GATTCTATAAAAAGGCTATGAGAACTGTGATGCTTGATTTATTATGGTTGTTCCGAAATTTCAAGTTATAATCAATCCTAATAATTTCTAATTTAGGAAAATTATGTCTAATTAGAACAGGTTTAGAGGGGGGGTAAGCTAAAAATGTCTAATCCTAATCGTTCTTAATTATGCATAAATAGAACTAATTAGAGCTTAATACAAAGGAGTGGTTTTCCAGATGATAGTAGCCTACATTGGCACTATGTTTAATAATATCCATAACAGTATCTATAAACAGAGGGTCTGGGCACTCAGAGAGAAGTTCAGCCCAAGCAGGAGCGTAAAGGTGCAAGGCAATAAGCAGACAATGTGGGGGTTGGAGGGCAGGATAATTAACATGTGAAGCTAAGCTGGGACGAGATGGAAGGATATGGATAGGTGGGAACAAGTCAAGGAGTAAAAGGCTGGAAGACCTAGAAACAAGAGAGCAAGTAGGGCCTAAGCAGAGTGCATAAGCATTTGCTGGCCCAAGTCCCTTACTTGTGCTTGATTACTGGATGTCCTTGGCTGCATATAGAGCATATGTGTGGGCAGCCCTAGAGACAGGGGTCAGTTGTGCAATGCCCAGTATTGTACTTGATACAGTAGCTAGCACTGCCTACCTTTCTTGTCTTTGAGCCACTGGGTGCAAGAGTGCTGGGGCACACTGTCTTATTATAGCTAAATAAGCAGTGGGTCTAGATATCCAGATTAATATGTCTTTATTTGCTATAATCCCCTACCTGCATCTCTTATTGTTAGGCTATAAAAAATCAGCATGGTAGACTTGCATCACAGCTTAGTTATATTCCAAGGAAATTTGCATTAGTGATACTATATAAGTCCAGAACCCTAAGGTGACCGGTCCTATAGATAGTGTCATAGGCACAATTGCTAATCCAAGGACTGCAAAGTAGGTGAAAAGATAAATGATAACTGAGTTAAGGAACTAGTACTCTTTGGTAAAAGTAATACCAGTCTAGAGCTCTAAGGTATTGCCATTAAGGGCCAAAATGCACCAGTCAGCCTTTTCCTAGTATTAGGGGTCTAGTTTGTAAAGGTCCAAGGACCAGAACTTGTGGGTCATGATGGCCATAATAACCATTGCCTTAACTAGGGGGAATTGTGAAAGAAGGGAAGAGGACACACCAGTAGCAGGATTAATAGATGCAGGTGGCACAAAGCTGAAAACATGCAATGAAAGCACATTGGTAGCTGTGGGTGCCACAATGATTAACATAGGTGTTAGAGCTGGAGCTAGAGTGGCTGCTGCTTTAGGGAAAAGGTTGGCTACTGCCCAGAGAGCAGTTTGCAACAAGAGCTACAGGTTTGCCATGCCTATTGTTAGGCTTGTAACCTTGGTTGCTAGACCTTGGAATTGTGCTTGGATAACAGTATTGGGCACCAGAGTGTCAGGGTTTGGGGTTTGTTAGGTTGGACATGTCGAGAGGTAGAGAAGTGGGGCAATTATATGACAGGAAGCATTTATTAGCATCTCAGCATAGAAGCATGCAGAACTTAGCAAAAAAATAAAGTATATAGTGTGTGCTGTGAGCACAGTAGTAAGTTTAGAATGGTGTAGACTAAGTGAGTAAGAACTTACCTATAAGCATGGCAGTGAGTTTTAGAATAAGGAACTATTACTATACTCATAGGGTATATATGTATATAGAGAAAAAAGGAAATGAGCCCAGGTGTCTTAAACAAAGCAAGTAGTAAACAAAGTAAGATGGCAAATAAGTAAGATGATGAACAAGTAAGATGTGGATAAAGCAAAAGATGCCCTAATTATAGCATGGTGCTTGCAAGAAAGGGTCTTATTGATCCCAAGCAACATATTCCCTTCTACTTGCTTAAACCAACATGGGTTTCTAAATGTCTGTGCTTCACCAGAATATAACTACACTCTATAGGTCTATCTCCATAGGGCTATGATAGTTTAGTGTTATTTTAGATAGAGATAGTTTAGTGTTATTTTGGTTGGGGGTATTCTAACCTAACCTAAAGGTTAGGTTAGTGTCATTAGGTTAGATAGGTTATAGTTATTTTAGACTAAGCCTTTGGTTATTTTACATTATTATGGCTATAATTTAACTCTATATTGCTATTGGGGGTACTGTATTTAGTAAAGAGATGGCCAACCTATTGTAGTATTAGGAATTAAGTTTGTAGAGATTTATTATACAAAACTCATAAATGATGATTATTGTAATAATGGCTACCCTAACCATAGGGAAACAAGATAGAAGAGAAGATAATACACTAGCGGCTGCATTAGCTAATACTAATGGCATAAAGCTAAAAGCAGGCTGCAAAGCTGTTTTAGGAGCCACAAATACCTATAGTAATAATGCAAGTGTTAATAGCATAAGTGTAGGCATTGCCGGTACCAGTAGTAAATTGGCCCTAACTTATAATACTATTTAAAGGAGCATCTTAAGCTTTGTAACACTTTTTATAAGGTTATTGACTTATGTCTTGACACTTATAGATATACTTAAGAGAAACCAGGGTAGGGACTAGCAGGCTCTGCTCCTAGCTAGTAGTTTGGCTAGACATAAATAGAGTTAGTAAGAAGGTATAGCTTCAAGGCTAGAATCATCTAGTAGTGTTATAGCATAGGGGCATGTAGTTATATGTAAGATTTTTTTAAAAAAATAAGTAAATATAACTGTGAGCATAGTGGTAAGTGAGAAATATAGAGTGTGAGCTAAGAGAACATACCTATAAGCAGGGCAGTAAGTAAGGAATGAGAAGAGAATAGGCCATGTTTATAGCTATATATATAGTAGTGAAGAGATTAAAGCAAGACAAAAGAATGAGAAAAGTGGCCTTGCCAAGGCACATTCGATAGGGCATTTTAAGTATGGTAAGTAACACTAAAAGGCCACATTAACCCTAGGCAAAACCACTATCATTCTTTGCCTAATCCGATAATATAACCTATCACATGACCTTTTCTTGTTACATAGGTCACATGATATGTGACATCGGATACCATGTGACTTTACGCCAAGGATCATGTCACGTGATCCAGGTGACCCTGTCATGTCACGTGACTTTACGCCCAAGATCGTGTCACGTGACTTTACGCCAAGGATGTGTCACGTGATTTGAGTGGCCCCCCATGTCACGTGATTTGAGTCACCCCCCCCCTTATGTCACGTGATAATGCTGAGTAACCCCGTATGTCACGTGATAATGTCACACACCCCTGTCACATCCCCCTCCTCTCTTTATTGAAATGGGTGCCCGGAAAATGGGATTTTTCAGACCTTGGCCGGCAGCCTCGAGAAGGACCTTGTTAGGATGGGCTCGAGTCCAGGAAGATGATGGAGTCTTTGGAAATGTAAAGGAAATCCCGCAAAAGGCCCAGGAGACGAAAAGCGAGAATGGGGGGGTACATCAGGGTGATGAGCGGAAATAAGAAAGATAGCATATTCTGAGATGGAGCAGGACTCACCTGCTGAACCTTCTTCTTGCCCATGGACTTTGCAGAGCGCATGATATGAGATGTAAGTGGAGGCGAGGGTGGAGATGATCATGGTACAAGGTCAAGAGCGAAAGCAACAGCGGTTGACACATGCATCGATTGTCACAAATTGTATTATTACTATTCTTCTCAATTGAATAAATATAATTATTACATGTGACAATTTAATTTCTGAGCTGTGACGAGTAATCATGTCAGCCACGTATTGACAGGGATGAGTCCCGATACGCGGCTGACATGACGAGCCTCTCTAGCCGCGGACAGGCTCGTCATGTCAGTGGTGTATCAAGACTCAGCCAAGCTGATACGCGGCTGACATGACGAGCCTCTCCAGCCGCAGTGAGGCTTGTCATATCAGCCACGTATCAGGACTCAGCCCTGCCAATACACGGCTGACATGACGAGCCTCTCCAGCCGCGGACAGGCTCGTCATGTCAGCCGTGTATATTGGCATGGGTGGCTTCTTCACCTCTTAATGGCCTCTTTAGCCCTGCCATACCCCTGTCCTACCCTGAACCTTCTAGCTTTTCAGGTTAGAATCATGTCAGGCGCGTATCCGGACTCAGGCAAGCAAATACACGGCTGACATGACGAGCCTCTCCAGCTGCAGCAAGGCTCGTCATGTCAGGCGCGTATCGGGACTCAGCCCTGCCAATACGTGGCTGACATGACGAGCCTCTCCAGCTGCAGCAAGGCTCGTCATGTCAGGCGCGTATCAAGACTCAGCCAAGCTGATACGTGGCTGACATGACGAGCCTCTCCAGCCGCAGCGAGGCTCGTCATGTCAGGCGCGTACCGGGACTCAGCCCTGCCAATACACGGCTGACATGACGAGCCTCTCCAGCCGCAGTGAGGCTCGTCATGTCAGCCATATATCAGGACTCAGCCCTGCCAATACGTGGCTGACATGACGAGCCTTTCCAGCCGCGGACAGGCTCGTCATGTCAGCCGTGTATTGGCATGGGTGGCTTCTTCACCTCTTAATGGCCTCTTTAGCCCTGCCATACCCCTGTCCTACCCTGAACCTTCTAGCTTTTCAGGTTAGAATAAAAATATCAGGGTACCATGACAGATACATTTTAAGCCTATTGAATCAGACAGAATTGTGTGCAACTTCGGATTTGGTTTCCAAAACCCAGACTGTGCTTCACATAGTCTAGTTTTAGGGGGTAGACTGTTTAAATCTATATCTATTGAACCCCTGATTCAATCTCACTGCTTCTGGGCCTCAAAGTTGAAGCAAGGTATGAAGATTACAGAAAGGATTTTTTCATATTTATATTTACATTTAATTGGCAACACAGTAGTTTCGGATATCGGTGGACTCAAAAGTGTTGGTAATACTACTAGACGGCTTGATTTCCTTTGAGTCCGCTAGTTCGGCCGCGATACGGGCTCGCCAAGTGGATGGGCCGCAAGACGCCTACATCGTGTTAGCTTTGTCGATAGCAACGACCCGAGCGCATTTGGTTTTGTTAATCCTCAAGATGTGGTCCACAGTGTTCATATGATCCCGGGATTTGCTTACGGTCACACGTCCGAACTTTTAGCGCATTCAATTGCTAGAAAACATGAAGAAAACAAACCTGACGGGAATGATGACAAAGAAGACCCTGAATGGATGTATCAAAATGAGTATGACGAGCGCTGCGAAGAGACCGACTACCTTTTTTATTATGTCGGAATGTACACATTTCTTATTCATCTTGCGAGTCATGACTGACAGGCACCAGGTTTTCCGACCGTGATATGTTTATGAGGTTCCGCGGTGGCGGAATAGGCCATAGAGGTACACGCAGTGTTGACAAGTACCTCCAACAGGATACGTACACCCTTGACCCCGAGGATCTCACCGAAGAGCACGAGGCGCCTTTAAATGGCCCGAGCAACACGAACGCCGCCACGGTCAGCGCTGCCGAAGCCGACGTAGCGTCAAACGACGCGCACATGAGCACTGCCAATGCCACAGCGACATTATACGTGGACATACCGTCAACAGAGGGTGATGCTGATGGTGTTGCCGACAAAGGAGGGGGGATTTCAGACAGCGAGGACTCGGGTATGCCAGAGGATCCTGAGAACATATCAAAAGGTAAGAGCCGTGAAACAGCGGGGAAAAGCGACACCCACAATGATGACAAGGATGAGGACGAGGAAGAGGACGAGGGCGAACATGAAGGCGAGTCCGAGTCCGGGTCCGAAGATGAGTCCGAGTCTGAGTCCGAGTCCGATGATGGGAGCGGCTCGGAGGATGCTGCGGACGAGGGATCAGAGAGCGGGGACACTGACGACGAGGCCGACGACGAGGCCATTCGAGACCGTGAAGGCTACGGCCCACTGTAGGTCACCTAACTTGTCGCCCGTGCTTGTTTTTGTTGTGCGTCGATAGAACTGCATGGCCTAGTAGTTGTTTTCACGCGAGGGTAGCTGTAGCAAGCTGGTTGGAGCCATAAAAGCCTCGCATTTCGTAGCTGTACTGTACTTATACCGACCAGTACGAGACCGCGTAGAGACGTCGACTGGGGAAGCCTGGGGAGAGCTCAAAAAACATACCCGGGCTGACAAGCCCGTGTAAGCCCATGTCGGGATTCGCCGACCTCGCCAGGCGTCGCCAGATTTAGGCACTTTTCCTGATGATGGAACAAGATGGCTCCGTACGACCGCGGATCTTTATATTAAAACCCCCTGGATGGGGAGCACCCTCGGTGGGCTGCTGTAAGAGGACGCCGTCACTAGACGTGATGTTGGGCGGCTTGCTCACGCTATCGACGTCGCTATTGACAACAGACTGCGAGTCAAACGACCCGTGACTGCCATCGCCAGTGGCGGGAACAAGCGGGAGAGCAGCCTGAAAGATGCCGTCGCTGCTCGGAGCGAAGGGCTTGCTGAAGCTGGTAACAGGGCTGTAGACTATGTCGGATCCAGATTCAGGATCCGAGCGGCTGCTCCGGGCGCATTGGCCCTCGTTAGAGCCAATGCTGGCGGAATGCTCGACGTCCATTCCGAAATTGACCTGGCCAATGTCGTCTTTTCCGCTTCGACCGAAGTCGAGAAGTGCCCGGAATGTCCAGTGGTTCTTGATGAGGCCCAAATTTCTAGCCTCCTTGTCCTCGAGATTGGTGCCAACCATGGCGCCCACGTTGACGACATCGACGTAGAGCACGTTCCCCACGATGACTTTATTTTTGATGTGCTCGGGGACATTCTCGGCTGTGTAGTCGGCTTTGGTCTATGTGTAGTGGCAAGAGAAAGTGCGACGTCGGTGGAGAATGTCGGTAGGGAAGTGGCGGAAAGGAAGAAAAAGACAAACAGCACGTGAGCGTGGAGCTACAATAGGACAGATAAGAGCCAAACAAACGTACCCCAGACGTAGAGACGGGGGCGAGGTCGAGACCGATATTCACTTCGGCGGGGGGCAAGTCGGACATGGTCTAGGAGTACAGCATGCGAGACGGCGAGCACGGAGTGGAAACAAAAGAAGAAAGAGAAAGCGACGTTTTATAGTACGCTGAAGTCGAGTAGACCGCGGATGGGAACTTTGAGAGACGAAGATGGAAAGGCGATATTGAGCGAGGAGCTGAAGCCTGAGGCCTGGCCTGAGGGACGACGATGAAAATGTGCAAAGGTTTGCTTACATAGGCTAGAGCATGCTAGAGCTCTGACCGAGCCAATCCAACTTTCCCTTTGGGCCCTCGCCATCGCCCTCGCCATTATCTCTGCTCTTTCTTGCGTTCCCCTCACTCTCCACCAAGTCTACCATCTGCTCACCAGCAGTCCTTTGGTCGAGGTTGTCTTCATACTCGCCATCCCAATAGTTGCATTTAGTTAGTGACCCGCCCTTCCTCCCCTCGGTTTGACCGTGACTGACACAATCCTCCGTCTCATTGGTAGCCACCACCATGTCCTCCACAGTCACCGTCTACATTGACGACAGAGGCAAGCCGGTGAACATTCCGGACTACGAGTCGATCATCAAGCAGAGTTTCGAACTACGTCGCTACCAGGCTACCGCCATCAACATAAACGGCGTGCGAATGCCTCTCACCAAAAATTCTGATCTTGACGTCAGCAACGTCTGGGTTAAGTTTGGCCGCACTATAACAATGGGAGAGGCTAGGACGCAACGCTTTGTTGCACAATACCTTGAAGAGCAAAACATTGCTGCCGTGCGTGCCCCTCGTGTCTACCTCGCCTTTACGTGGGGCGAGTTCGGTTTCATCGTCTCCGAGTACATCAACGGGCAGATGTGCGACAAGTCCGATATTAACGTCGTTGCCACCGCAGTGCAGGCTCTGATCAACATCCCGAGCCCCAATTCGACGCCTGGACCCGTCGGAGGAGGCGTCATCGAGCACCCCTTCTTCGTCGACGGGAAGTCTGATATCTGGTACAACACCGTCGAGGAGCTAGAGGGTCATGTAAACGGGGTAAGTGTTATTTTATTGCTCGTTCTGTCCCTCGCCCCTTGGCTGCTTTCCCGACGATACCTCTTGATACAGATCCTGGCCAAGACGGGGAGGACAGTGCGTGTTGACTTCAAGAGTGAGGTCGGCCTGCTCCTCTGCGTATCCGACTTGAAGATTGTCAACTTCATGAAGGATGGGGAGGGTAGGATCGTGGCCGTTGATTTTGGCGGCTACTCCTTCCTACCACCGTCCTTCTTCGCCTTGGCGCTAACACACGGGGGTTTCGCACACCGCATTGCCTCAAGTGGTATGCTCGAGTATCCAGCACCGCCGTCTACAAATGTTTCGGCGCTGGAAAGCGCCTCTTCCGCGCTGGCCCCATTTTCGAGCAATGATGTCGGTGAGCAGATCTCCCTGCTCTCTTTTTTTTTCCCTTGCCTCTCGCCCTCTTACAAGAACACCGAGCTCATTGTACTGTACAGGCCTTTCGAGGAAACTCCGGTCCAGACGCGTTCGGTAAACCCAGCGCACAGAGCAGTCACTTGCTCAACAGGACTGCGTGTTCTCTCTTCTCTTTTTTTATGTGCGTGCTATTGCTGCGACTTGTCGATTCTCCCGAAGGAGGTTGTATATCTTCGCTGTCTCTTTCCCAATGTATCAGGTACCACATCAGCCATTCGGTCACCACACGTGACCACACTGTGGCCGTCAACGCAATCCTCGCCAACGACGGCACCGCCTTCTGCGCCGTGCGCGCTGCGCACCTCCTAATGCAAACTCTTGCAAGCAGGTTAGGTTATGAGACTCTTTTTGTGAACCTATTCATAGGCAACTGGGAATAGGGTAGTCTATTCCCTTTGCTTATATCAGTAGATACTGTTGTTGGGGCAAACACAAGAGGAAGCGCAAGGGGGATGCGCTGGAGAAGAGGTCGCGAAGGGCAGACAATAAGTGCATGGTGGCAGAGAGCAGAGAATGGCTAAACGTGATGTGAGGGCTGGCAACTGCTGGCTGGCAGCAGTGCTATGGGCAAGGCCGTGTAACCGGTGAGGACACACGTACATACAGACAATTCGGCATACGGCTACCTACTTCCTCTGCCTAACCTTCTCTTGCGAAACCTCCGTGAAACCTGCCCAGCCACACATCGACCTGGCCGTTCAAGATCCCTGTCTCTGCGCGCAATCCCTCGGATCGATCCCGTTCTGCACGATCACATCTCTGTGCCCACACGCGGACTGCCCGACGTCATATTGTTGAGTGCAATCCTGCACTCTTCCTTGGCGATGCAGTGCGCCAAGTGTCTTCTTGTGCCGCATGGTCTAGCCGTCAACATGGCTGGCCTTGGCGAACAGCAAATTGAGCGTCGGCAGATAAAGTGTCGACGAGTCATGGATCGGGCGAGAGCTGGGCGCCAGTGTACTGCTTCGAAAGACATCTAAAAAGACGATGGCTCATGTTCTTATCAAAGTAAGTACTCCGCACGCTCGCCAAGCCACCACTACGTCTGCCTCCCACCTGGCTTAACACGCCTCCGCCATGAACATCACTCCTGCCTGTGATCCCACGTTTGAAACGTCATGGAATCTGACTTGTACAGGAGCTGCGGGCTGTTTGAGGCGAGTAAGAGCGGGCTGACGATAAGCGTGTCAGAGGCGAAGATACCTACAAAGATTCGCATCAAGGACACCCCAGGACACTCTCACTGACAGTTTTCACGTCTTTCAGCATCACAAGTTCACCACTTTCACTGTCCATCGGATTCCTGCTCTCACGGGGTTGTATATCAGAAGCGCTATACAATGACTGCGCTTTTGGTACAGCTTGATCGTGTCACTAGCCAACGACGGGCGCTCATCACTGTTTAATATCTTCCTCTCCACACCTAACTTTGAATTTCTTCTGGGTGACTGAGAGGACAGCCCACGTCGAGTGGCACAGTAAACGCACACAATCAGTGGTTTTTCGGCTACAGGATTATGGACGACTGTGGGCGCAGCTTCCGCGCGCTGGTACGCACGACCTTTTACCGACAGCTAACGTCAATTCATCTGAGATGCTATAGGTCATCCTGCAGATGCTCTTCGCGGTAATGCAGAATCAGCAGCGCCGCGAGGAGGAGGGGCGACGTACCGTGGGAGCAGAGAGTGCCGAGGGATCAGATCATGCCGAATGGCCGCAGTGGGCAAGACAAGGACATAGAAATGGCACCCCCAGTGAGTCCGTCTCGAACATACCAACTCTTTCTTGACAACGCCATGATGCATAGAATCGATCCATCGGTCCCTGCGACGCTGTCATCCAACTCGGACAGAAGTTTGTATCCAATTTGGAGAGCGTGGATATAATTCATGGGTGTCCAACCATCGCAACGATGCGGACTCAACAGCGCATAGCGGATGTCATAGAGCGATATGACGCGCGTTGGAAATGCTGGAGGAGCGAAGCGATAAAGACAGTGGCCTTGGCAAGTCAATGTCAGCTGTTGCGGAGGACAAACAAGAAATGATTCCAGTGCTCACGCGTGAGATCTTCTATTGTTCACCGGCCCTCGCCTGCTCCGGCTGCGGTCGGACATGGTCAACCCGTTGTACGTCGTCTCACTTAATCACCGCCTCGCCGCGACGAAGCTTCTAAGCTTCCTTTACTCCTCTCCTCCCTCACTCAGCATCTTGGAGAGGTCTCCGTCTATCGTGATGTTTCCACAAACAAAATTACGTTCGCGAGAAAGAAGACCTTGCTGGCCTGCATCATGCCCTTGAGGCCCTGTGTCAGTGTTTGGACCTGTGGTATCTCACATTTGCATTGGAGGAGCATGCATCTCTGATGCGACAGGCGCTCGTGCTTTCCCATGCCGACAAACTCCTTATCACATCTTTTGCGAATGTTCTCCGTTGTATGACCGCAGCTCGCGACCGGAGCACCTCCAAGAGGCAAAGCAGCTCGCAGAGGAGATGAGGCAACGCGAGGTAAGGTTGAACTGCGCGGTGTTGAGCACGACGGAAACACGTCTGAACGAGACGAGCTCCTTCTCACACGCACATGGACTGCCCTGAACGACTAATGACGCTCGAGACGGCGATGAGGTAGCGGGGTTCATCTGCGAGGGACCGTATGGGAGTCCTCAATGATGCTAGAGAGGCTGACGAGCTTAGGTATTGGAGTGAGTAGCCGATCGAAGGTCCTGAACAAGCTTGTATGCTAGTGTAGAACGAATGGGACGGAGGATGCCGCACGAGAGGCGTCACGGCTCACCGGTCACCGAAGCCAGCTGAAGTCGCAGAAGGCCAGGGGACTGCCAGGGGTTCCTGGCATACCGTGCGGAAGCTTGCCGAACTCCCGCGTAGAAACCCACCTCATCCATTCGACCACCCTCATAATAAATCTCGCACTTCCAGTCTCGATTTTGCAGCCCTCGCCTTCGATGCTACCGCCCAGCCAATGCGGCACGCCCTCCTGCAGCTTCTGTGGGTAAAACCTTTCCGTACCGAGCATCATATGCTCAGTAATACCGTCGATAAGATGGAAGACTGCGCGAGCGCATTCAGACGCGCTCGACATTGCTACAGTGGAGCATGGAAGCTAGGAGAGGGCGTACGCATGCGTGGCATATTGTATAGTCGCACCCCTGGACTCCATTCCTGTCCTGGCTTCCCTGCAGCCTTTGTGTGCGGTAAACACAAACCTACGAGCATCTTACGCACATACGTCTATAATTCAGTACATAGCGTATGTACGCTGTAGCGAGCGTGTCGGGCCTGATTATTCTTCCTAGGTTGTTCATCTTTTCCGCACCCAACTATGGACAATGACATATCCACCAGGCTGCCCATCGAATGTCGCGGACGCAGTGCCCCCCTCTCCTGAATATATGCTTCCGACCATCTATCACCACGCTATCTTCGATTCTTCATGCCGATTTCGACAGTCTCTGAGATCGCGGCTCTGCACTCAAGAGACACAGCTTCCAGCATGTCTTGTCCGTTCCCCAACCAGCATATGGATTTTTTCGGATATGCATCGCTTTTCCCTAGAGCAGAAACGAGACGGTAACATACCGCGATGGAGCCCTGCCACCAGCTTTGGAGCCTAATATGAGCCCTCGACGAGCCAGCGACACATCCATGTCCGTCGACTCTTGAAACGACTCGTCAGCTTATAGCCATGCCCCTTTGTATCGTCTGTTCTGCCGTGATACTCAGTCACCGGCTGGCCCTAATTTTGTTCCCAATACGCACCACGCAACATGAATTTCGAATTTAATTTGCGCAAGACGAAGGTACGCGTTGTTGTACAAGAAAATACTGCCTTACACATACACACCCGGCTGAAGAACAAAGGTAGAAATGAGGGGATGGTCCCGGTCGACAAAGTAAAATCCACAATGCGAGGGGATAGACACAGGCACTAGTCACTACGTACGAGACGATTACCGGATTTTGGCAGTGAAAGAAAGCTTCCGGGGGGATGAAGAATGGCGGGCAGGAATACTAGAGCGAGCGAAAAGGGTGGGAGAAACAGTGACATATCATGACCTAAGTAACGCAGGCGAGGATAGATGAGGAGATAGAGATGCAAGATGGCGCGAGCTGAGATGTGATGAGCTGTCAATGATCGAGGGAGCGTATGGTATGGTATACGAAGTCCACAGCAGACTATAAGCCTGGACGAAACGCGCCACGTAGCGGCGAACGAGAAGATCCATGTGCAGACGTGGAAGACAAAGACGAGAGGATCGAGAGAAAAGGAAACGAAAGCAGAGGAGAGGTGGGGGCGACGCACGACAGAACGCAGGCCAACCCCCTCACCGACGTCACGACTCGATTTCGTGCCCACTCATCCCCTCCTTCGATGCCGTCGTATCCACAGTCGGGGCCGCGCTCACGCGCAACGACGTCGTGTTGTCCGCGACCGCGATACCAGGGAACCGCAGGCTCGCAGGCGATGGCGGCAGCAATGGCGGCAACGGCAACGAGCTCCGCTCGCCCCCGAGGCCTAGAGGGCTGGCCGATCGCCCCTGGCCTGGTTGGCTCAACGGACTGACGGGCCTCCGCCGCGTCGTCGTAGGACTCATCGACCGCGCAGGGCTCGCCGGCCGCGCAACGCCCATCCCTCCACCAACGCTCGACGCGCTTAACCGGTGCTCTGCGTCAAGCCTGCTGCTCCGCGCAGCCGTTCCGACACCCGCCATACTTCCCCGCACGCCACCAGGTCCAGTGCCCACACCCAACGGGCCCATCTCGAGCCCGCCGATGTCGTCCAGCGCGCGCGAGTCGGCACGTGTGTGCGCGAGGAGCGGCTCCGTAACGCCCACCCCGCCGTCCTTCGACGACCCGACATCGCTCGCAGTATGCTGATGCCCGAAACGCGGCCGCGGCATCAAGGTCGTTTCTGTCACCGCCTCGCCACCTCCGAAGCCTTTCGATAACGGCCGATCATCCACGAGCGTGTCGCGCCATCCCATGCCCGTGCCATCCAGCGCATCGCCAAACTTGCTCTTCCGCAGCCCAAACTCGCCGTCCTCGCCATCCTCGCCGCCGATGCGTGTGCGCGCGCTGTCCATGGTATACGCGGAGCTGACTGCCATGCGGCGCTTGTACTCCTCAAACCGCATCAGCCGCAGCACATCCTCCGACGGCTGCTGCACTTCGTCCTCGTCACTGCTCTCCCTCGACCCTCGTCGTGCGAGCTGGTATCCGGGCAGCCCTCCCTTATCGTCGCCGGCATTCGCGTCGCGCGCGCCTGCGCGCCGCCATCGCCGCCGCCCGACGTACCACCGTCCCGCAGAGAGAAAGACGCATAGCGCGAAAAACCCGACGAGGCCGAGGAGGACCTCGACGCCGACGGAGAGCTTCTTCCCCGACGAGCTCTGAGCCGCCTTTGCCGTCGGCTGGCCCGACAGCGGCTGGTTGAGCACGCGCACGGTGTTGAACTCTTCCAGCGCCTTTGTCGCGTTCGTGAGTCCAAGCAAGCCGAGGCGCGGGCGGATGGTGTCGGTCGCGAGCGGCGCGGTCGCGTTTGGGAACGTCCCGTTCGTGTAGGGGATGTCGTATGCCATGACAGTGTACGCGTTGCGCAGGAAAGGGACACCAAGGATCATGTCGTCGAGCGTGGGCGAGGTATCGAGCTGGCCGCTGGCGGTCTGGATGAGCCCGAGGCAGGTGCTCGCGGTAGCGTCGTTCGGGGGCTTGGCGGTCACGTCGAGCGAGTTCAGGGGGAGCTCCGGCTGGCCGTCGAGCGTGATCGTCATGTTGAGCGGCGTCGTGCACGGGACGTAGTCTGTCGCGTCACAATAGAATCAGCATGTCTGGCAGGCGCGCAGAAGCGACTCACACTGTCCGTCAGCGCCGGGGCCGATGCCCAGCGCACCATAGATCCCGTTCGCGATGGCAGTGGTGGTCAGGATGTACGGCACTCCCGAATCGAGCACCGCGGTGGGGAATACGGCGCCCGTATGTGAGCGCCCGAGCGTGAGCGGGCGGCTCTGACCGTCGACGGTGACCCCGCGAACGTTGGTCTTCCAGAATTTGTTGCCCACGTTGGACGCGATCACAGGTGAGTATGTGATCTTGGCCGGATCCGGGACAAGCGCGGTGGGGTGCTGGCCGATGCCGAGCAGCGAGGTAACCTCGGGGGAGTCGGGGCGGGAGAGCGCGAGCGAGAGGCGCGCGGCGGGGACAGAACCGACGGGGGTGATGCCGAAGAGGTTCGAGGCAAAGACGGCGCCGTCGGGAGAATTTCCGGCCGAGGGCGAGAAGATGCTAGCGATGATGGAGTTGAGCGGAAGCGCGAGGCCGAGGAAGCCATCAAAATCGCGCTCGAGGGGCTCGTCTTGGACGGTCGTGACGGCAGCTACGGGGCAGCTGACGCATCACGGATAGGGAAAAGAAGCAGGAAGATGGGGACGTACCCAAAGCTTGAAATTCGATGCCGTAGCCGCCGATCTGGATTGAGTCCCAGTAGATGGGCCCGCTGACGCTTCCCTCGAGGTATTGGATGGAGAAGGTGGCACCCGTCGAGGTAGCTTTGGAGGGGTCGTAGGAACGAACACCGTTGGAGCAAGCGGAGGGGGAGCAAGATCTGGACACTACCCACTTGGAGCAAACGCGTCAGCGCCGATAGAGTGAGTGAATAAAGCAATGTACAAGGTCGGACGAGCCCATGTCAACCTGGAGGGACAGACTTTGATTGTTGGAGCCGATGAGAATCGGGACGGTATACACGCTATAGAGTGCCGATGTGAGCAACCAGTCATTTGCCGAGAACAATACAAAAAAGCCAAGAATAAAATGAAAGAAATGCGACGACGCTCGGGCGCGTCGAGATCGATCTCGGATGCTCGGAGACGAGGGCTCAGTTGCCAGCCGCGCCTCAAAACAGGCAAGCAAGATTCAATTAGTTGCATGCATCCACAGAGGAGGCTACCGCTATGTCTCTGCACGGGTAGCGACACGAGATTGAAGATCCGATGAATGGATGGGCACGCAGGGATACGAATCCCGTCGGTTGTGAACACGATCGGAGGTGTATGGAGCCATGCATTTGCACAAGCGACGAATGGACGTCACACCGAACGCTTGCGAAGGGACGACGAGAGAGAACGAGAGAGGAAGATGGGGGGAAAAAGGGAAAGTGGATGAAGGACGAGCACCTCCTGCCTGGTCATGATGTCGTCGATCGCCTCCTTCATGTTCCCCTGAGCAACATCCTGGCTCAGCGCTCGGAATCATCACGCACGAACAAGCAGCAGGACATCGACCTCGCGCGTATAGTTATAGAGCCCCTGACACGACGAGTTGATGAGCGTGCCCCAGTCCGATTCGTGTAGCGCGAGCTCGAGGATCGCCTCGAACACGTCCTGTTTGAGGAGGTGCGCTATGAAGTTCTTGTTATTCCGATGGAGGTGTGTTCGGAAATAGCGCAACGCAGCTACAGTAGGCTCCCAAACGTGAGTCAGCATCGGTCCTCTGATCTCAAAGAATTTCGGGGAAGTGCAGACGCCCCGAGGCACAAATGCTTATCTCTGCTGCAGAGCAACCTGGCGACGTGCGTAGAGATGTTCAAGGTGAGCATGAAGAAGTGGCTTCGGAGCGTGTGCTGCAGCGCGAAGATGGAGGGCTGGTCACACAGGGACAGGAACAAGTTCGTCTTGTCCCGCGTCAGGCGCAGTGTCGACTCCGCGCACCAGCCGAGTAAGCGTCGCGTAGACATGGAAGGGAATATTGGGGATGGCAACGGCGACAGAGAGGCTCACCTGCGAACAGCTTGCGATCTGGGACGCCGAAGACGGGCTTGAGCAGCGAGTAATGCAGAGCTTGTAGAAACAATCGAGGAAGCATTGCGTCTTGGGGTTGTCTGCTAGGTGCAAGAATATGTTCATCGGAATCTGCTGCCCGTGGAAAAACAAACATGAGAACCAGCCCGGGCACTGCCCATATAGGCAGCCTTCGCCAAGTAGAGTCGGGAAAGGGAGCGACGCACCATGGGCTTCGCGCCGTCCGGCAGCGGCATCGCAGCGGCATCTCGAGCACCATCCACAGTGCGCCCCCGACGAGCGTCTGCACCGCCAACTCACGGCTGCTCGCCAGCATCGAGCACAACACTACCAGCAGAGTCTGCTCCCTCTCTTTTCTTCTCTCCGCCGCCCGCGCCCGCACGCACCCCATTGCTCGGGCCCGCACCCACGCCCTTGAGGCCCTCGAACTGCTACAGCACGCGCTCTCGCACGCTGTCCACGTCGTGGTCCAGCAGCGTCGTGAGCACCTCCCCGCCGACCGTGATCATCCGCCGCCCGTCCGGCTCGCCCGTCGCGTGCACGACGCCGCAGTCGACGAGCAGCTTGAAGAGCGCCATGCGCTTCGGCAGGTGCATGTTCTTACCCATGCTTGCTAGCTGCTGCTGCTGCTGCTGTAGGGACACCGCGCGCCAGCGCTGCGCGGTAAGGCGGGATGCAGCCCGAGCGACGGCGTGCGCGCGTCGACGTTCATCGAGCCCTTCTCCTTGACGCCCGACAGAGTCCCCAGCCGGTCGTTATGGTCCTCCGCGCGCATGCTCCCGTCCGCGTTGACAAAGAGGTCGACGATCTCGTTAAGGAAGCGCACGCTATTCTGAAAGTGGTTGATGATGTCGATGTGGTTCAGACACAGGGATGTGGATTGTAAGGCCAGAGATTGGAGGGAATGGGAAGCAAGTGGAATCGGTTATCCATCTCGATACCATCGTGTGCACCGCACATTTAATCGGGGTATATGGGCAGAGTTTCATACCTCGGAATTTTAGCCATACTTACACACTTTTCGCATTCACCTCGTACTATGTCAACAAGTTTGTGGACCATCATACTAATGCACTTATACCTTGATAGGATTCTCACTGTCTTGTGGGCCTTTTGTATGCAGCATTTGTCTTATCATCTTAGAATAAGTAACTTCGCTTTTCCAAGTAAATTATCTCTTGAATAAGTTAGTTCTGACTTACTGGTGTGCACAAGACAGCCATGTTTTATAAGCTCGACAAGACAGATAAAGACAAAAGAAGAGAGAAAAAGACGGAAAAAGATAGAAAAAGATAGAAATATATGTCTAAGTTCTAAAAGGAAATTTGCACATTTCCTGATGTGTGTGTTCTCATTTCGATCACTGGTTGTGGCCGAATCAAGGACCAACTCAATCAACGCCGCAATAACAACCGTATATGCTATCCATGCTAGCTGGATTGAGAAAAAAGACTGCATCTGCAAAAAGCACGGAGAAACGTGCCCTTGGTCCAATGTTACCACACTACAGAAATCGAAATGGAGTGTCCGTATCCAGCTACTTGATACATACAAAGATCATAGCCCAAGGACCAGGTAAATGAAACCACGGTGTGGTGTCGAACGTCCAAAAGTACATAACCCTGCATCCACAGCTCGCACTGGCACTCATAGCCCCTCCGTGAACCGACTCTCGATCGGCGCCTGCCCAGGCGACGACGCCGCACCGCCATGGCTTTGACTTGGCTCCGCCTCGCCCTCCTCTGTCGCTGCCGGGCCCGCACCATCGTCCAGCGTCCCCGCGTGCGGTGCGCGCCCCTCTGGCGCCTTCTCCTGTTGCCGTTGGCTTGGCCTGCGCCCAAGCCCGCTGCCGTCATGCGCGCGGGGCTCGGGTGAGCCGGCGGTATATCGCTCGGGTCCTGATTTTTTATCGATCTGCAAAGAGCCGAACCAATGAGCACGGATTGATAGATAACACGCAGTGAATGCTTACCGCGTATCCATTGTGACCAACCTCGATGCCTGAATCGCGGTGCGGATGCGAATACGAGGGCGGCTCCGTCTCAGCGTCCTCGCCCGCACCTACCTCCCTCGCTTCGAGATACATTTCTTCTTCGCCCTCGCCCTCGCCCTCGTCCTGCTCCTCCTCGACACTGCTTCCTTCGTCGTCGTCACCCTCCTCTTCACTGAGGTACCCGGCGGCGCGCACGGCGGCGGCGACTGGCCCGCTGCGCTCCATGTGCTCGCTGGCAACGAGATAACGCGCGCAGAGCATGCGCACATCGTTCCACCACTCCATCATGTCCTCGTGGCTACGCGCGCGGAAGCTCCATGCGTGCTGGCCGCTGCCTATCCGCAGCGAGCCTGTTTTTGTTGTACCAGAGCCGTCACGCCTGCCCTCGATGTGGAACTTGTGCGACTTGGCGGTGGGCGCAGAGGCGGGGCCGAGCGTGCACATAGGAAGAAAGAGGCTGAAGAGCGGAGAAGTGGACTGTGTCGGGTCAGAGGACGAGTACTCGTGCAGGAACCCAGCGGGGGTGAGGATGTAGTAAGACTCGCGGTATGTGCGCGTGAAGCGCTTCTTGCGCTCGAGGTAGCCCGTGTGCACGGCGATGACCGAAGGGTCTTCTTTGGAGGGATAATTGACAGCTTCGGGGTTGCGCAGCGGCGTTTCGGGGTCGAGGAGGTGATCGGAGCGGGCGGAGAATGATATCCACTCGTGGTCAGGTGCGAGGGATGCCATGTGCTGGCCGAGTGTGCGCCATGTGTCTTGAACCGAGGATGACATGCGTGACTGCCACTCGTCGAAGGTCTGCCAAGCGGACTGGATGGCGCGCACGATGCCCTCCTCGAAATGCGCAGAGTTCTGCTGCATGATGATAATGGACTTTTGCAGCGCGTTTTCTTCGTGCACCTGTTTCTGCAGTTGACGGAAGACGGCCACATTGGCTACGTATCTAGTAAAAAAAGATAGTTCAAATCGTGACACGAAGGAGGGACTGGAAGGGTCACGTACGGATCGGATTTGGAGGTTACGCTGAGCGGGGTATTCTTGAAGATTGAGATGTTGGTGGCGAGTTCGCTGACGAGTTTAGAGGAAAGCTCGCGTTCCTTGGCGACGCCGGTTGCAAGTTTTCCCGTGTCGTTCTGAACGTTCTGAGAGCGGGGACGCGTCAGCTCACGAGAATAGGGGCTAAATGGGGCGAGACCTGCCTTTATGTGAGCCTTGATCTCAACGCGCAGCTTCTGTAAGTGCTGCACAATGGAGCTGTCGATGGTGCGCCCGAGGTTGGCATGTTGATCTGCAATCACGCGAGTCTTGTCACGTATGCCGTAGTAGACGTCCTAAAGGAAAAATTGGGGTCGATCGCATAGGAGAGCGAGGACAGGCGACTGACCTGGAGGCCGCCCTCACCGAGAAATTGGTTCCCGGATCGAAAGGGAACCTGTATAACGGCTCCCAGCTTGGTCAATTCTTTTGCGGTGTTGTTCTCGATGTCGGCGATGCCCTGCGAGATACGTACGGCGAGGGTTAGCGTTCGGTAATTCGGCGTGCAAGGGAGCGGGGGGTGGAGCGTACCTCAAAGTAGGCAATGAGCTGCTTCACGATTGCCTTCCACGCGACGAAGCGCTCGATGAGGACATCGGAGGGTCTGAGATCGTGGGGGGCGATGTTCTTCTTGATGAGAGACTGGCTCCTGGATGCAGTCGAGCCTTGTCTGCTCGCCTTTGAGATGGAGGTCGCGCGCGAGAGGGATGCTGCGTCGTTCATGGCTGCTCGAGTGTGCGATGGACGGGGGAGAGGATGGAGGGAAGGGGTGCGTGCAGACTAGCCTGCCTTTTGTACGCGACGGACGAGGCTAAGCAGAGCAGCCTGTCCCGACTGACGTCACCGCTCTGACTGGCCCCATTGGGCACCCCGGAGACTCAGGCTCGGACCCCGGGACCGTCGCCGCGTGCCTGTGTAGTGTACACGTAAGCACTCTGTGCGTGTCCTCTGCCGCCAGCGTCGTCTGCTCTTTCAGGTCCTCCCCGTCCCTCTCGCCCTCCTCGCCTTGTCCTCCATCGTCATCCTCAACCCGCAACCATGAACGCCCCCCTCCAGAACCTCGCCATTTCTCTCGGCGTCATGCAGAGTGCGTCCTTGTTTTTGCACTCGACACGTCCTCATCTCACCTCCTTCAGTTGCGCGAAAAATCCCTTTCGACGACCCTCAAGTTCTTCAGTATGTTCGCATCGGCTACGTCGCCAGCCAGGTCATCCTCCTCGCCGTGTACTACTTCACCTCGCTAAAGGTCTGTCCATCTCCACCTCCTTGTCCCAAAAAATACGTGTCTAACCTGTACCTTTATAGATCAAGCGCAAGAACGACCAGACTATCCTCAAATATGGTGCGTTTTATCCATATTCTTTTGTACATGATCACAGTGCTAACATTCTTTGTTTTTAGTGGAGCCTTCGAACCCGATGGTACGCCGTTCGCTGAAGCACACCTTCTCCCTCAGCTCATCCATGATCTTCAATAGAGCCAGGATCCTGGTCAACTCGTCACGACCACTGTCCGCGACTACGACCTGACCGAGACTTCAAAGCTTGTTCGTCTTTCACGATCACTTATTGCCCTTGTACTGACCTACGCCCCAACCCCAACTTCAGGTCCGGGCCGCGTACACCTCGATCGCCATGATGGCCTTCCTCCACCTCTACCTCAAGTACACCCAACCCCTCTTCGTCCAGGCCATCATGGGCATCAAGGGTCTCTACGAGGCCAAAACAGTCAAAATCCATATCCTCGGCCAGGCGGCAGAAGGCGACCTCAAGCGACCCTTCAAGGGCCCTGCTGGCATGTTTGGCGGTTCGTCCACTTCTGCTCCCCGCAGTCCAATCTATGAATCTTACACGTTTCGATGCTGCAGCCTCTGCGTCGCCTCAGACGGACAAAGCTGCCATCGACGAGGCTGAGAAGCGGATTGGCTCAAAGAAGGAAGAGTAGGCTCGCGCTTCGGGTTCGGGGACATTGATAGCATGCTGCATCTAAATCATGGAACGGTCTTTGATGTCTCGTCGTTTGCACAGAGGTTATGCAATAGATACCGGGATGGTCACACGACTCAGTGCGGGTCTGTGTGCGCCAGCAGCGAGCCTTTTTTCATCAAGGCATGTCTCTATGATAAGAAGCGTGAAGCCAGCTCGAACGAATCGGCATGAACACCGGTTCGCCAAAATGTATGTGTGTGATCAAATGGGACAAAGCTATTGGACCTTGTATCCCACAAGCGACCTGCGGCCAATGATCTCTCCAATCTAAACCAGAGGGAAAAAATGGCCACGAAAAGTCAACACGCAGTTCTCAAAAGTAGAGCTCGTGATGAGAAACGGGAGTCGAAACGCACCTTGTAGATGCCATACGCCTCGGCAGCGTAGACGCCGATGCGTGCCCACTCTCCTGAGCGCGCGACCTCACGCCAGTAGGAGGGGCTCGCGGCGCGGCGCCAGAGGGTGAGGTACGCGGAGGTGACCTGGGAGACAGAGGTCGGGGGCTGTAACCGCTCGGCGACGTAGATCTGCTTGAGGACCTCGCGCGTGACGGAGAGGTTGTATGTCAACGGCTGGCGGTAGGCTGCGGCCGTAGCACGAGGGAGGCAAGCAGAGCGAAGCGAGAGTGAGACGGGGCACAAGATGCGGTGAACGCAGAAGAGAAGTCACGCACCGCCTAATAGGCCACTGAAACGCTCGCCGACGGGCCCCAGGAAGCTCCTCGTCGCTGCCCAAGCCTTCTCCGCGACTTTCTGCGCGCTGGTGAGAGCCTCCTGGGCCTTCTTCTGCGCGGCCTCAGTGGAGTTGGAGGAGGCGAGGCGCTTTGGCTGTGCGCGGGCAAGGGCGCGGGGCTTTGCGAGGCGGAGGGGGGCGGAGGAGAAGCGCATCGTTTTTGTTGAGGATTAATGTATGGCTTTTTGAGGAGAGCAGAGAGAGTGACGAGACCAGAGCGCAGGAGACTTGCCGGGGTTCTCCGAGCGTGCACGTGCTCAGGGCTGCGACTTGTGCTCGTTCTAGATCTCAGCCACTTATCTCGCGATTCGCAAGATGCGATATAAATCCTCTCTTCCCTCTCTTCCTCTCCGTTCTCTATCCCTACCTGCAGTTCTAACATGTCTTCAAACAGCGACCCCGGCGTTCTCACCCACGCGCGCTATGGGAAGGACAAAGTCCGTGTCCTCCGCGTCGTGAGAGAGCCTGGCTCTAAAGTCCATCACATCGTTGAGTATAATGTCACCGTCCTCCTCGAGGGGGACATCGATACCAGGTGCGTGCGGTCGCATTTATACAGTGTAAAAAATGAGCCAACCTATCTCAATCGCACGGCACAGTTATACCCAGGCCGATAACTCCGTGGTCGTCGCTACCGACTCCAGTACGTCCTTGCTAAAATCGTGAGACCACCGCTCACAGACATCATCGTCCATCTCATCAGTGAAGAATATCACCTACTGTAAGTGAGCCCATATCCACCCTCTTATCACGCCATCACCTGGATCTATGTTCATCGACCCCCCTCGGCCCGTCCAGACCTCGCCAAAGTCTCGCCTCACATCCTCCACCCAACCCGCTTCGCCCTCCACCTTGGCACCCATCTTGTCTCGAAGTACGCCCACATCCACAAGGCATTCGTCACCGTCGAGCAGCTACGCTGGGCGCGCATCGATGCAGGTGCGAACGGAACCCCGCACACGCACGCGTTCTGGAGGGACGGCGACGAGAAGAAAATCGTCGCCGTCGAGGTCGACGCGTCCGCGGGCAAGGACGCCCTCGTGGGCAAGGTTGAAGCGGGCCTGCGTGACCTCCTCGGTAAGCGATGCGTTTTCTCACGTTTGCATAAACGAAGCGGCTCACGTCGCTCACGCAGTGCTCAAATCGACCGGGTCCGCATTCGAGTCTTTCGTCCGCGACGAGTACACCACCCTTGCGGAGGTGAACGACCGCATCTTTAGCACCTCCGTCGACCTCGTGTATACCTTCAAGCCGTTCGCGATCAAAGCCCCGAAAGACGACAGGAAGCTCGAGTTTGACGTCGCAAATGTAGGGGACGCCGCCAAGGTACGCCCTTCCTCTCTCCTTCACTCCCGTTTGCCGCCTTGACTGACGTCCACGAAAAATTCTTTCCAGAGCGGTGCCCCGTGGGACGGTGAGAACGCCCAAACGCTGGCAAGGAACATCACGCTCGACGTGTTCGCTAACGACGAGAGCGCCAGCGTGCAGGTACGCCTCACGCCCCTGCGGCCCTCCGAATCAACAGCGTACGACTGAACGCCTATTCACAGGCGACGCTGTACAAGATGGCGCAGCGCCTTTTGACCGAGGACGAGCACGTCCAGACGGTCACCTACTCGCTCCCGAACAAGCACTACATCCCCGTCGACATGAAGTACATCGGGCTCGACAATCTCACGCCGTAAGCTCTCTTCGTCTCTCGTATATACGCCGCTGAGCCCCTCTTGCGATTTCTAGGAGCGCGGCAGAGGTCTTCGTGCCCGTCGCGGCCCCAAGGTGAGTTCGCTTGCCTTCGAGTGCGAGACTGGGACGCTGACACGCTCGCTTAGCGGGCTCATCTCGGCGACGATTTCGCGCCAGTGAGGCGCCGGACAGTGTTGCAGGCAGGCGGACATAAGTAAGTAAGAGAATAGGCTGATGTTTCGCGATAAGAGAGATGTTGTACGTGCTGTAGCCACATTCAAGGGCTGATGAAAAAAATCAACAGACCAAATTTGTATTCAGTGTGTGAAGCACTCAGTGCATATCTTTCTAGATGGATCCCCCTCGCGTTAGTGACTTCGCACTCGCTCTGGTCCTTTCTCATACGCGGCATGTTGTTCCAAATAATCACTGCACAGTGATCAGGGATCAAGAAAAATTTGAACCGCCCATACAGCATTCAGTCCATACGGTCGACCTAGTAGGCTGGAGACCAGTCCAGCCTTGACACAAGTACGATACGAAAAGAGCGTGATCAGAGCGACGCGAATGCGCGGCGTCCACGACTACAGAAGCTCAGGAAAGATACGGAAGACAGTCCGGAACAAAGAGCGTGGCAGAGGTGAAGGGAGGATACGGAAGACAGATTGGAATATGGAGCCTGGTCAAGACATCAAGACACGATCAGATACTAAAACGGCGAAAAGGTGGACGCAATTGCTCATGCACCAGCGGCGTCTTTGGCAGCCCATCAGATACTATAATCATCGCAAGGGACTGGGGAGAACCGCATCTTCGAGCCGATCTTGGGATTGTCCCACTGTTGGCCAAAGTCAAACAGATCAGCAACGCAGCCGTGCACATGTAGACGATTTGAAGCACATGTAGACGATTTGAATCGCACGTAGCCGGTACCGGGGGCATCGCTGGCGCAGCCATCGGTCAAGCCGAAACCGCCGAGCTCAGCGTTGCCAAAGATCTGAATGGCACATTCCCCGTTCGCGCAGGAGGCGGTCCCCTTGAACTGGCCGGCTTCTGATCCGAGGGTCGTGAATCTCAAGCTACCACCGCGACGTCCTTGGCTCTAAAGGAACACTCAATGAAGGCTTTGGCAAGACAGGGTGAATGGGAGTGCACGCACGACCTACATCGATGCGCGCTAGTCAGAAAGTTTCTTCTCCGCGTGAATAGAGAAGAGCTACTGACAAATCCAAGAGCGCCCTTCGCATCCCTGATGTCGCTCAGTTGATTTTGCAGATAGAACCGGTCTTTGGCTTCGACCGGCCCACTGAAACAGTTCATCGGATCTTTGCATACCTTGAAGGTGATATCCCTGCCATGCAAATACCGCATGAACAGGCGCCTCGACTATCCGACAGTGGACTTACTGGATGCTGCCGTCTTTGACATACACACCGTCGTGGGCTATGCGCCCCAATTGCTTACTGTCGGGGAAGGACACGATGTATCAGGACCCGTAAAATAAGCCGATGTACTCGGGGCTTCCGCAGGTTGGGTAGGGTTCGCAGGATTTGCACGTTGGAGGTTTGCAACTGGGTGGCAGAGGAGCCGGGAAGGGCGAAGGAGGAGGTGGTGGTGGAGGTGGAGGTAGTGGTAGAGGAGATGGTGGAGGTGGAGGTGGAGACTGGTAGGGTGGAGACGGTGGAGACGGAGCGGGATATTGACACTTACCTTTGCTGTAAATTCTGCCGACAGGACAGCACGCACTGCCGCTCTCATCGCGTTGGTACGGCGTGTCGGTTGGGCAGCACTAGGTCAGGAGGCTATATGACCAGGCTGATACGCCACAGACACCAAGGCAGTCTTATGATCCCGCCTTTGCCATCGAGAAAGGCAAGTGTCTCTTGGGAAGGACGGCATCGCTCTCTATCGAGAGTCTGATGGGCCAAAGCGTCGAATGTTAGAACGGCAGTGACTCAAGGAGCTGGATTATCCTCACTTGGTCAAAGTATCTGCGACTTTCGCCCGGCAAAGGGAACTGGATGTGGGTCTTGGTCGATATGCATGTTGGGTCGCCATAGGCGTCGACGCCGGGCTCATATCCGTCAGGGCACGCTTCACTACCAGAGGAGCGCACAAAGGCGGCGAGCAGAGGAAGGAGGAAAAAGAGAAAGGCAAAGAGGTTCATGATGAAGAAGCGGTAGTGGAGATGGTGCAGTGGTTTTCGTCGCTCATTTGCATGTCGGGCTTGTGTATCTATCCACCTGCTTGACATGACATGGCGATGTGGCGTTGTGCACGGTAAAATCCCAACATCGGAGCAGCGAGCAATACTCGTCCCCAATGCTTGTTCCGTGACATCTCTCCTCGCTTGTTCGGAGTGTTTCCGTGACATTTATTCTAGGTTTTCAATGAAAGGTTTGGGAGGAATGTGCTGGTGTTAGTGGATCTCTAATCGTGGTGAAAACGTACACTGACAGCGGAATGAACTTATCGGCGGGTCAGACAGTTTCAAGGCATAGTCAAACATCAGCGGTTTGTTCATAATACTTACCAACAAGGTTGCTTGAGGATCCAGGCCATCGAGATGAGTGTCAGACTCCTTTCACGTTGTTGACTTATGCGAGTCCTCAAATCATCATTGACTTCAGAATCCCAGAAATCAACTCTCAGAGAGAGAAGTTCAAATGGTTGGCTCGATCTATGGGTGTGGCCTACCCCCGTTCCATCAGATTTCGGAATGCGTCGGAATACGAACCAATCATGATGAGAACGCTTATGTCTGTACGCAGTTCGGACTGTTTAGAAAACTGGAAAATGAGGCGACAGAAGATCTCATCTTGACTGGCTGTTTCTGTAGGAGAGTTGTGATTGGTGTATGCTTCTCACTAGATGACTCGAGTAATCAGTAATTGGCGACTGAATAAAGGAGAAAATACACAGCTGCCGTACGTCATGGAAATAATGTGAGCCATTCTCGGAAGTTCTAGACCAGACGCGCACAGACCTGCCAGGATGCTTCCGTTCGGGAACAGCTTGGGAAGGGGGATCCCGCGCGCTGCTTGATTCTGACAGCTTGCAGTGAGAACAGACTTCTTGTCCAGATATATCCGAACAGTTTAGTATCAAGCTGCCTCTGCTCCAGAGCTGTCAGACAGTCCACGGCGGGGATTGCTATGTTTAAGGGGACCATGATGAGTGTCGCTCCACTCAGTTTCAGAGCACAGTTTGCCTTTTGAGAAGTGGGCAGTGACATTCCGAACCCTTCCAATATTGCATCCACTTGGATCCAAAAAAGGATAAATTCGTCAAAGCCCAAGTCATGCACACACGAGCCGTGGCTAACTATGTGTGATGATACACATCCATTAGTTTATTCGGGGCGACCTCTCAGCGATTGCATTATCACAATCACGCTAGGGATATGGTCAGATAGCTGACCATCACTGCTGTGCTCTAGGCAGTACACTTGCAGAGGCACTCACCGATATACCGAAATGTCGGGTTCTTCCAATCCGAAACGTCATTCAGGTAAGAGTTCTTTGGGTCAGGGTCGTACTCCTGCCTCCCTTCTGCGAACGCTCGGTCACGCCGCTTATTGGCCGTGAGGAATATGACTCGGAGAGTAAGAATGACCACCATCTGAACGCGCGACGAGAGCACGCCAACGATGAATTCAGAGACGGACAGAGTGGAAAACATGCACGTACCTCAAGAATTCGGCTGACCATGCAGCCAATAATACCAGTTGCGTATCTCGGGGCTTCTGAATCTTTGAAGAGGAAAGGACCGACGATGTTGCTGAGAACACGTCGAGCAATAGTTGTCAACAGGCATCAGAGGGACAAGTTATTCAGGGATTATTACCCAGCAGCAACGCCCAGGAAGATAGAAGCGCTACATAGCGATTTCTCTAAAAAAAATCCCAAAATTTCAAAACCCAAACTAGCGGCGAGGAAGAGTCCACTGACTGGTGGCGCCGCCGACGTTCCCTGAAACGAGTGACAGGGCAAAGACAAACACAGCGTTGCTGGCACCCGTGAGATCTACAGCGGGCTGAGTACACCGTCGACTGCAGTCAGAACGTAAACACCCGCAAGAGGTACGCACAATAGCCAATCAACCGTCCGACTTTCATGTGTGTCGGTAGCCACGCGACGAGGGCAAAGCCAAGGATTGTTGGCAAGGTCACGACGCACATGAGGATCGTGCGCGTGTTCTTGGGCAGTTTGAGGCTCACGTATATAGAGATGAAAATTCTATGAGTGAAGTGCTTAATAGAGCAGACCGGGACAGAATCTGCGCTAACATACACAATAGCAATGAAGCTTCCATAGGGGATCTTACACACGAGTCGTTCATAAGGACACAACAGAAAGAGAAGACCAAGCAGGCGCACCTGCATCAGTGTTGTCTGCAGAGTTGTGAACCCAAATCCTCGGATGATCAATGTACCGCTGAAACCCAGTCCCACCATCAAAATAGAACCAAATTAACAGACAAGAGGCGCGCACAAGTTCGAGGTTCCGCCGTTTGGGACATTTGCGAAGAACCCGAGCAGAAAGAACAGATAGAACTTAGGGTCCTTGAACGCTTCCAATGCTTGCTGTCCATCAAATCTAATAATGATCAGCCATCATCGTTCATACACTCCCAAAACGAGAACACCGGTACGCACTGCCTTCTCTCCGACCCAGATTGGTCATCGCGTTTGCGACTCATGACGACGAGCCTCTCACGACGGGTGAACCAATGCGTATGCGCAGGTGAGTCGGGGATTACGATCCACAGAACGATGCCCCACACGCTACACAGAGTTCCGATGATCTACAAAAAAGTGGCGGTGGTCAATCACATCACACGTTGAAGGGATCTTGATGCTCTCACCAGGAACTCGTATTTCCAAGATGGCAACGCTGCTTTGATCTGTCAGAGTCGATGAGCGCTCTCCTTAGCACGCTTGCGTGGGTCACATACGTTCCCAATTCCGTACCCCAGAATGCCACCTATTGCAATTCCGATGCCATTTGCAGAATACCAAAGGCCGATGACGGTGGGTTGTTGCCTGCGAGTGTACCACATTGAGGTGATGAGAACGAAGGCAGGATCCGCGGTTGCTTCTCTAATCGAATCTTTGAGCATGAAGCCGACGTCTACGCAAACGATATATTTACGCTGCACCAGAGAGAACGCGAAGAACCGCTATATCGACGAAGTTGCGTGATGCGGCTTGGGCCATGAGCAAGACACCCCAGCTGGTCCACATGGTCAGATTGGATATCGTGTGAGTAGGATTTCTACATGAAAGTTGCTCTGGACATACATGAAAATCTGCTTGATCAAACCGGTGTTTTCAGGTCAGCGTGACCGCGTGAATGGAAGAACAACATGGGAGCGAAGACTTGCATTGACAGCGAGGTATTTACCCAAAGGAAACTTCTGCATCAGAAGGTTGGTCGGGAGTGCCCACGCAACCCAACCGAAGTAGAAGAGAGAAGAAAGCCAGTTCTGGGTAGAGGGATTGGTCCAACTTTCTGCGAACGGAACCTGCGCACTCACGTACTCGTCTGTCTTGAGGTCCAGGCTCTTCTTGATGCCAAAGATGGCCGCATAGCTGAGGGTCGTTTTGTCGCTGATATGAAGTTGTAAGCCATGATAGCAAAGGTCAGCCATTATGACCTACATGTAGTAAAAGGCATAACAGATCGAGAGTGCGGGTAAGATGAGACGGTTGATCTTCTGCTCGATCTGGAGGATGATCAGAACATTGCACCAGAAGAGAGAGCGGGGTCGCCCACATGTTTGACCTCGGCTGGGTCGAGGGTCTCCTGGTTCATCTGGGCAACTTCTCGACGAAATTCCATGGACGGATTCCGTTTTAGCAAGCGACGCATGCCTACGAAAGGTTTCTCGTCTGCCGACCCAGGACCATAGCTATCGTCTACTACGACAGGCGTGAATTCTTCGCAGTGCTCAACCGCAGCCTCCTTCAGTTCGGTGTTGTCAGGATCCTGAGAGTGCGGTGGAGGCGACATCACAGCAAGATGAGCGACAGAGATACGGCACTTTCATTTGAACAATGCCGTCGCCCTTAAGATAGTGCGAGCACGCGATGTTGAGAACCGGACTACAGAGAAGCAGGACGTATTCGAAGGACAGTTGACCTCCAATGATGTCGATCGTATATTGAGCCGGGCCGGGAAACAAGCGTGTTCGTACATATCTGCTGGTCGCCAGCGCATCATCTGCCTAAGATTCCTAGGCATTCCTAGGCGGATGTTGCTGAACACGTTAAAAAGTTTAGACACCGTTTGGACACGAGGACAAAATGTGGGGGTGGCTGATGGAGACTGTAGGCCGGCGGTGTGACCAATCGATTGTTACCTACTGTCACTCTCGTGGCCGTCCCTGGCTCCCGAACTGCGTCCGAATCCTCGACTCGACTGATTGTCCTCCTTGCACAGTCCAATGCTCGACGGCCTCCGAATGCCTTCACGATAGCGGCCCGACCGGCACGCTGATTATTTCTATAAGTTTACTGAACGCCATTGTACGAACCTGTCATTTCTGTCTTTACTTTGCGACTGTGGGCTTCTGCTGATTCACGATGCCTGTCCCTCAGTTTTCTGCGCTGTCGCTCACGGACCTTGTCGCAATTCGCGCTCGTGAGTCAGCTGCACAGATTCGCTGAACATCTCGCTGATGCCGATCTCAGGCGATCAACCCGACCATGTCGCATTCTACACCGGTATAGACGAAACTGGAGACCCTCTCAGGCCTCTCACGTACGCTTTCATGCTCATATTAGTCCCGCAAAGCTGATGTGCATGACAGATACTTTCAGGTGCAACAGGCAGTCAATCGCCTCTGCGCCCATTATGCCCCCATCGGTCTGACGCTTCCGGCAATCACGCCTCTCCCTCAACGCACTATTGCCATTTTTACATCTACTGCGATTGACGAGTCTCTTCTCGAGATCGCCCTAGCGAAGCTCGGGTTATCACCTCTTCTTCTCTCTGTGAATAACTCGACCCCTGCCGTCGCGCATTTGTGCAAGCTCACGCACGCGACCCATCTCATTTATGGGTCTAAATACCTCGACGTGGCCAGCGAGGCACAGCGATTGTTAAAGGAGCAAGGCTACGAGCTCGAGATCGTGCCAGAGATGCGCTTTCCGCTGTGGGGACCGGATGGTGTCCAAGAAGCCAAAATACTCCCGTTTAAGCCGGTTTTGACACCTTCTGAAGAGGCTGAGAGGGTTGCGGTCATATTGCATTCATCTGGATCGGTATGAAATTGTTCACCTCATCGTTACGTTGACTCAACTGCGAATCTTTGCAGACCGGTTTCCCAAAACCAGTGTACATCACCCATAGAGGCATGATTGCGAACTTGCATGGCCATATCCCGCAACCGGGGTTCAGCGCTCTACCTGTATATCACGGCTTCGGCCATTTCAGTGGGCCAGTCGCATCAACTCTTTTTTGCTTTCTCGATTCTTAACTATTCTTGAACAGGTTCCGATGTTTCTACAACGGCGTCCCCTTCACCCTTTTCCCGCCGCATCTCCCTCTCACCTCTGCGAACATATGTAGAATTATAGAATCCTCTCCTACGCCTTGCAAACAATGCTTCGCTGTACCATACGTTATCAAGGTGAGTTCATTCTTCCCCTTTATCGCCTTCTTTCTGGATCCGTCAACACGCATTTCACTTTACATAGCTTATGGCAGAGACGGAAGAAGGGACTAGAGCGCTCGCAGCTTTTGATGCAGTCAGTTACGCTGGTGCCGCATTACCAGTATGTCGAAACTCGCATTTTTCTGCCAGAACATGAGTTTACTTTCCGTTCACCTCAGGATGATCTTGGTGATCGACTTACTGCAGCTGGTGTCAATATCCTCAGTATATATGGTACGACGGAGGTAAGTCTAGTCGCGCTCTCCATTGCAGGAGTTTTCCAATCACTCTATGTAGACTGGCGCCCTCCTCAACTCTAAGCGCGACTTCGCGACCGACAAGTCGTGGAACTGGCTGCGCGCGACGGGGCTCATCCTCTCATACATGTCCATGGAGCCGCGCGGCGCCAACACGTACGAGATGGTCGTCAAGGACGGCTGGCCGCCAAAGATCGAGACGAACCGCCCTGACGGCTCGTACGCAACGAAGGACCTGTTCATCCGACACGAGGAGAAGGGCGATGGGAATTGGTACAAGTATTGCGGGCGGCTGGACGACACGCTCGTGCAAGTCTTGGGCGAGAAGACGAATCCCGGTGCGTGTTCACGCTTGAGTTCGACCTAGACGATCGACTGACGGTGGTCTGTTTGCTGTACAGTGCCGATTGAGCTCGCGATTCGCGGCAACAGCCCCTACATTGCAGAGGCCATCGTCTTTGGGGCTGGAAGGCCGCAAGTCGGCTGCCTTATCCTTCCCTCGGAGCTCGGCAGAGAGCTTTCCAAAGATCGAGAGGCCTTCTTCGAGAAGGTGTGGCCAGTTATCGAGGAAGCCAACGCGCAGGCCCCGACGCATTCGAGGCTGCTCCCAGAGATGGTCCACATCTTGCCGTGAATGCCTCTCGTTGTTCGCTTCTGTGGGACGATGGACGTTAATGTCTAGATCTGCAGATACGGCACAGATATTCCCGTTGCGACGAAGATGACGATATTGAGGCCCGCCTGTTATGCCAAGTTCAAAGATATTATAGGTTCGTATCATCCATGACCCATATGCATCCAAGCCAATCAATCAATATATACTCTGATCTAGGTGAAATATACGACAGATTCGAAAACGGTAACGGTATAGCGAAGCTCATCCTCTCCAAGCCGGAACTAGAGAAGTTCATATTTGACGCAATCGCGCAGACCCTTGGAGCAACTAGATCCGCTGCGTTGAACAATACAGCCGATCTATTTGCTTTTGGTGTCGACTCTTTGCAGGCGACTCGGATTCGCAACATCTGTCAGAAGGAATTGGACGTTGGAGGGCATACGCTTGGGCAGAACAGTAAGCCGCCTTCGGTTTTGAACTGCTACTAGTTTACGTGATTTGCGCGTCACAGTTGTCTACGAGAACCCTTCTATCAACAAGTATGCCTCCTTCTCCAATGGCCAGTCCACCGTTCTAATGACGACTCTGCAGGTTAGCAGAGTATATATTGAGTTTGCGATCCGGGCAAGATGCTCGGGAGTCGGATGAATACCAGCACGCCAAGATGTTCGCTATGGTCGAACGGTGGAGTTCCAAATTTGATGTGAGGAAGTCGACTCCCTCGAACGGACAGCAGACAGCCTCAGCGTCCCACATTATTGTAAGTCGCACGCTCTTTTAGATGTGGTATCTTTGTCCCACAGCATCTTCCGTTAGGTCCTCACCGGTGCAACCGGCTCCCTCGGCGCTCACATTCTGCAGCAACTTGTCTCTTCTCAATCGGTCTCCAAAGTGATTTGCCTTTCCCGCGCCAAATCACACGCCGAATCCCTCGCCCGCGTGCAGGAATCTTTGCAACTCCGTCAACGCTACCTGTCAGCCGCGGAGCAAGCCAAGGTTCTGTCCTTTGCTGCAAATGTCAATGAGGATCAGCTGGGCTTGACGTCCACAGAGTATGAAATCCTTCGATCTGAGGCGACAACCGTCATCCACGTGCGTTATTCCAATTCAAGGTCATATGGATGATTGACCAAACGCGCACCTTTTCTCGGATTCTAGAATGCCTGGCCCGTCAACTTCGTCCTCGGCATCGACTCGTTTGACGAGCACATCGGTGGCGTCGTCAACTTGATCAACCTTTGCATTCGCTCGTCCAAGGCTCAGCTCCCAACGTTTTATTTCAGTTCTTCAGTGGGAACCCAGCAGGGTGTTGCGAACCAGGTCTGTGCGGAAGATTTCTCGGATTCGCCTGCGACGGCGTCGCCGATGGGATATGCCCGGAGCAAATGGGTTGTAGAGAAAGTGTGCCAGCGCGCAGCTAAAGATACTCCTATCAACGTTGGCGTTTTGCGCATTGGACAGCTTGTCGGAGATACGGAGAAGTGAGCAATGGCCGTCAATGCCATCTCGAACCGAAATTAATGATGTCTTGCAGCGGGGTATGGAACGAGACGGAAGCCTGGCCTTTGCTGTTCAAGGGCGCTAATGCAGTCGGCGCGCTTCCCCTTCTCAACGAGGTTCGTCCAAGATGTTTCCTTCCGGTTGCCTAGTTTGACTCAATATGCTACAGCGACCATCTTGGCTTCCGGTGGATATCGCGGGTCGAGCTATCGTTGAGATTGCTACACAGCCAACTCCGCCCAAAAGCGTTGTTTATCACGTCCTGAACTACAATACGACAAGCACATGGGACCGCATTCTTTCAGGGCTTAAACAGGCTGGTGTGCGCTTTGACACAGTGAGCCGCGAGGAATGGTTGGAGCGCGTGGCCAAATCAGATCCGGACGGCTCACGCAACCCTACGATTAAGCTCCTAGTGCGTTGTTTGCCGACTGCCTCCCCTTTCCGCTCCACACTCATTCGTATGCATAGGGTTTCTATCGCAATCGCATCGGCAAAGCCGACGAGCGGCCGCCCATGGAGTTCTCTGTGGAGATTGCAAGTAAGGCCGCACCGAGCATTGCGTCATGCCCTGCTATAACCGAGGATCTTGTTGGAAGATGGGTAGATCATTGGCGTACGACAGGCTTCCTGTCTGCGGAGTAAACGACGTCCGTGTATACAGATTCTCGATTCATAAGTCTCTAGAGTGTTGTATCATTAGGATTCACCAAAGGCCTTTGATATCAAGGCTAGTGTGAGGCCCGCGGTTGCTGAGATTCAAACCAGTCCTGTATCGCCACGACACTGCAAGCAAGGAGCTATGATATTGCCAGCCTTGGATTGAGTCCAACAAAGATCACTTCCCTAGATCATCCGGGGAACACATTCAGTCGTCCTCTCGATCAAACATCATTCGACCCGCTTGTGCCGGCTCTACCAAGACGATGCCGATGTCATCATTGGAGACCATGCTTTCTACCAGTCCACTTGGTGAAGTTTTTTTGTTTTGATGTGCTGACACATGGTCATATAGCTCCTCGTGCTCGTCATAAGGCTGTATGATATCTCTCAAAATTTCCGAGTTATATGTCCCAGTGTGTTTAGTCTGAAATTCCTATCCCCATACCGGGAGCCCAAAGCAGCCCATACTATGCTGGGACCGGAGTTGAATAGTGGACCAGAGTTGAACAATTGATATAACTTCCTCCCTATTATTGTGGCAGCCCTGAAAATATTCATGTATGTTACTGTGTATATATATATTAGCTGTGTATTTTTTTTAGATTTCTAAAACAGGTGTATGGGGCAGGGGAGGGGGGTTCATGTGGAATCTTGACTCTCTGTTGTGACAAGGAGCCCAGATCTGACTGATCTTGTATTCTAAACCTCATCTAAGAAAAGAAGCAGGGAATGTATATGAATAAAAATAACATGAAAAAAATTTGAGGGTAATCAGTAGGAAGTTCATGCCTCAAATAAAACATCAGTGCAAGAGGATATGCAGAGTAACTTTGGCCTTGGAAAGGTGACTTTTATTTGAAGCTCCAACATGTTCCATTGGCAGATCTTGTGCAGGAGTGCCAAGGCAGGCTCTTGTTTGTGCTCTGACTGACTTTGTAGACTCCCTGCAACTTATGACATCCTTAGACAAGAAAAAGAGAGACAGGGAAAGGGAGATCTATGAGACTACTATTGAAGCTGCTTGTCAACCTCTTTAGAATAGTATACACTTGAGCTATAATCAGGCTGCTATTGCTTTTGGAATCTCAGTTTCCACTCTGCAGCATCATTATCTAAAGAAGCTATCTGCTCCAAAAAATGCTTATGAAAGAGAGTAGTTTAAGCCTCCAACTATTTAGTTTATGTTTACTGAAATCCAGTAAATACATAATATATAGTAAATAAACAGTAAATAAACAGTATAAACAGATTTGAAATTTAGAAAATAATTCTATAGTAAGAAGGTCAGTGTGTAGCCAGTTTTTTTGGAAGCATAAGTTTAGAGATTGTCTCTGCCTTTAGTGAAGAGTGAGTATTAGCACAAACATGATAAGAACTTGAAAAAAGACACTCAACCACCACTAATGTCCTAGGAATTGCAAGAAAATCATGAACCATCTTAGAAATGATATGAAAGTCTAATGCATAAGCCTAAGCCACTGTTATAAGTAGATATCAGTTGTCCAAAATTATAATAGGCATACCCTCCACTAAGTCAAATGTGCATTGTATTTTCCTTGACTACCCTCCATTGTCTCCTAATGCTCAAGCTCTGAATGTTGGGACAATGCAAATAGCTTGTAATCTAGGGAAAGAAGAGAAGATTTTCCTATAGTGGCTAAAAAGTCATTATCTTCTGCCAATATCTCTATAGGCCCAACTGGAATATCTTGCACAGGTAGCATGTCTTTCTTGTACTCCTCATAAACATAAGTAAACAAGGCCTATGCCTTGTTCTACTCATCTTATCTAAGGCTATCAAACCACTAAATTTGAAGATAAGGATGACAAACTGTAAATAATAAATCAAATTGCTAAATATAACCCATAGTCAGGAAAATAATGCTTTGCTATATCTGGAAAAACACCCCTTTGTATGAGCTCCAGATTATATCTAATAGTGTCTAAAAGTATCTAAAAGTGTTAATAGTATCTAAAAGTGTCTAATTTCCTAATTGGGAGCAACACATTGTGAGCATTGGATTGGTTTCTAATTTCATGATATTAGCACTAATTCTATATTAAGAAGTCTTTAATTATTAGTAGGAAATAGTAAGTACTACTGCTCTATCAGTGAGAAAGTAAAGATGTGGCACATTCTATACTATTTCAGCATATTACTCTTCTTTATATATGCCTATACTATTATCTTGTAGCTCTTTTGCTGACTTTCCAGCTGCTTTTATAAGGGATATAGAAAGAGAAAAATGTGCATTGATGCCCCCAGCCACTTTGTTGGCAGCTTAGCAGCTGCCACAAAAGGCTATGAAGACCTAGGTACCTTGTTCTTGCACACAAGATCATTAAAGTTGTCATTGTTAACCAATGCCTGCTACTGGTTATTATAGGACACAACATGTGGGTTGGACTTAGGGATATGCTATATGCAGCCTTGTAGACCTTGTCTATAGTATAGTGGCTAATACTGTCTTGTGCAGCACACAATCATCATCACTATTGATATTACAATTTTTAGCACTATTTATATTGTTTATTGCCCTATTATACAGAAGATGCTCAAACTTGGTGTTTTCCTCTAGCTATTAGGCTGTGGAAAAGACAGTCATATTGGTACGTGGTGTCAGAATGATATATTTGCCTGCCATATAGGAAATATATGCATTAAGCATATTAAGATCACCTCCAACAATCTTGTGCTTATTTATATATAAGCATGCCATACATATACCCTTGTCCCCACCCTCTACCCCACTAGTGGCTATTTGGAAAACCCCATTCTCTTATTGGATCTTGATTATTCATAATCATGTTTTCAATCAAATTTGCAAATTCAGGTAGCATTGTCTATACTAGTAGAGTCCCATTGAATATTACACTCAATCATAGTTTTACACATTTTCAGTCCAAATTGTATAAGTGCCATAATTTATTTTTATCCTATATAAAGTGTATTATTAATTATTCATTGGTTTATTATCTTCTTAGCTGGTGTTTAAACTAAATCCTAAAAGACCTGACTTTTTAGGTATTTATTGACCTATTTATTTATAAGATAGAGGAAAGATAAATGTTAAATAAAATCAGAGATGTTGAGGTTGCCTATATTATGTCTATTTATTTTGATTACCAAGTTTATATCTTAGACCTTGTGGCTTAGTGGCTTAGAGCATCTGTCCCAGGTGCTTGCATATATGAAGTTGTTGGTTCAACTCTGGCAGAAGGCAAGTTTGTTATAAGGTATATTTTGTGTTGAGGTATTGAACTAGTGCTCTAATAGTCATGACTCTATAAGAAGGCTATGAGAACTGTGATGCTTGATTTATTATGATTTTCTTGAAATGACAAGTTATAATCAATCCTAATAATTCCTAATTTAGGAAAATTATGTCTAATTAGAACAGGTTTAGAGGGGGGTAAGCTAAAAATGTCTAGTCCTAATCTTTCATAATTATGCATAAATAGAACTAATTAGAGCTTAATACAAGGGAGTGGTTTTCTAGATGTATATACACAGTACACTAAAATAGTAAAAACTATTTATACATAGCAAGTAAATTAAATTGTTGGAGCCTTACTCTATAGGCAAAACCTGCTCAATGTCATTTATAGCTGATATGGCAAAAGATTGGCAAGAATTTCTATCAGACACTTCTCTGTTGGCTATATATTCTGGCCCCTTGTGCTTGGATTGTGGTATATCATTGCCAGAAGATGGTTGAAAGGAATTGCTTTCTAGGAAAGCAACTATAGCAAATGAGGTTGGGCTAGGGTCTCTACTGCAGGGGGGACTGGTAGCAGTATCATCTAAAGTCAATGGTGCCTGCTGCTCATCACACTAAAATATGTTAGTGTGAAGAACCCTCAAGATAAATATATAAAAAGAAATTTAGAGAGCTTAACAGACTGACCATGTGTGATTCTAGAAGACTGTTGTTTGCTGCTTCACTTGTTGCTTGGTAAGTATAATCTGCCTTGGCTTTGTTAGGCCTTTGGATTTCTTAAGTGTTGTTTTTGACTCACCATCCATTTTGATGTCTTAGAAATTACCAGGGCCCTTGTCTGCTCCAAAGCAATACTTAGCAGGGACTGTCAAGGTTTGCACTCATGTGAATGTAGCACCATCTTTCCATATTTTGAGATGTAGATAATAGGTAGCCTTAGGCCATTCCATAGGTATACCCTTGTAGAACTTAGGGCATTCACATAGGTATGTATGTTGTCTGGGTATGCACACAGAGGAAATATGGATCTGTTCATGATCTGATTCCATCAATGACAGGATGAAGCTTGAGCTGTGCACTAATGACTCTACAAGATTCTGTTAGCACCTGATGTTTCAAAAGATCAAAGTTCTTGATAGTATTGGAACTCTGGAGGTATGACTTGTAGAAACTTGAGAGAGCATGAATGCAGCCGCGAGTCGCCTCGTCGTAAGGAAAATTTTCAATAAAATTTTATTATGTAACATCCGACTTTCGCCAAACAATCGCAACTGGTCGATATAGATTGACCAGTGATAGACCATGCTCTACCGTACTATCTCATGAGACACAGGGAGTTCTCACTCATTCTGGTTAGATCTCGTAATATCGGGTTTTCACTGGGGCTGAACCCCGAGTGCACTCCGAGTACACAGTGACCTGCGCGTGTGGGCCTGCGTCTCCCAAAGGAGCTGAAAAGTTGAGTTCTGATGCCAGCGCACTGTCAGTGATTAGTTGTCGGAGTTTGAGTTATGTTGCCTCGCTAGTGCTGGCTCTGACTATGTCTTGAACTGAACCTCGTTTCAGCTCATCTGCCAGGCCTCACGCACAAGATTGATTGCTCTCGTTGATTCATGTTCATAAAATCTATTGTGCAATCGAGCACCACTCATGCATCCATCAGGGCTAATGGCTTCATCAAAGTTAGGCCGCATTGAATCACAAGTAGTGGGAAGAGAGGATGCCTTTGTACTTCTTATCAGTGAGAGCACATCGATGGTGCAGCAAGTGGTAGAGAGCGAGTATGCCAGCTCAGATTGATGCTCCTCTAGAAAAAGTACGTCAAAGCATTGTCGGTTCACACCCCTAACCACATTAGCATTCTGTATGATATGTTTCTCATTTGTTTATGAGATTGTGATCGCCCTCACGTTCTCGCCCGTAACGTCCATTCGACCCCGTCCGTTTGCCGTTGAGTTTCTAATTGTATGGGTCAAACGACGGAGGAAAGGGTCCCTCCATAGATCAGCAGTCAGAGTATATGTGAGTGCTTGTATCGTCCTGCTCAATTCAACATGGACAAGAGGATGTAAGCCGTTTGAAGTACAATGATTATGCACATAGAATCGCTAATGCCACAAGTCTTCTGGTTCATCAAGAAACGAGGATGTAAGCGTCAAGCCCATCGCTCTTGTGATGCCCTAATCAGTGTGAGGGCCTGCTCTGAGCGAGGCTTGATGTCGCATTTGAACGGTAATGGGTGGCTATCAATCCACGCAGCTTGGTCAGTATTGTTCGACTGAAGAGGGTAACTTAAATGACTCACACGACCAACCCTGGCTGAAATTCACCAGAAGGTATGATTTCCTTCCCGTCCGGGCCCACAGCTCTTCCAATCTTGAAGGCAGCCAAAATACACGCGGTGGTGATCCACATCGAGTCCATGGCCATAAATCGACCCTGAAACATTGCCGTCAACAACCATGTCAGGACGATCAGTGTGAAGGAGGACATGAAAGGCATACGGGACAAATCCTTCGGCCGAAGCCAAATGCAACTCCCGGTTCTTGCACGTTTGGGTCGAGCTTTCCGTTCAACATCAAAAATCTGTCCGGATTGAATACTTCCGGTTCAGGGTAAGCTACAGGGTCGTTCAGGATAGCCCTTCAAACTCATCGTGATCAAAGTAACATCACAATCAGATAATACCGACTTACCAAGCGTTTCCAAGGACCGTAGCACCCTTCGGGATGTAGTATCCCTTGTATATGTCGTCGGATGCGGTCGAATGAGGAAGAGCTAGACTAGATGAGTGGAGGGTTTAGTCGACGGCGGGAACACACACCAAATGGTTGGATCACATTCCAGCGGAGAAGTTCTTTGATGATGGCAGTGATGTATGGCAATTCGCCTTCATCTGAGAACTCCGGGAGACGATCAGGACCAATGACGAGGTCGATTTCTGCGTGAGCACGCTGCTGGATATCTGGGAACATGACCATTGTAAGGATTAGGGCGTTGAGAATAGATATCGTCTTGACGGAGTAGATTGGTCAATAGATCGTGGATAGATGTTGACACATACGGTGTCTGAACCAGCTAGAATTTTATTCATGAAAACAACGCGTACGGGGTTCAAGACAAGACCAACCGGAGTATACCGTCCCAGCAATGGTCTTGATGTAGGACTCCTTCGTCTTCAGATTGGGAAACCTCCCTTCTAAGGTTTCGAGCAGGTCGGTTGTGAGTGACGGTTTTGCAAGTCCTTTGACCTGATATCTGTTGGAAAGTTGTGCCAAAGATCCAGAAAGACGACTGACCAATTGTGTCTTGACATACTCGAATGGAGTGTCACGCATGGCAAATGACCATCTTCTGCATTCATCGACCTGCCTCTTCCACCCCATTCCTGGTAGCCATCCAGGAAGGTGCTGAACTAGAATGAAGCCAGGTCAGAGTACATTCGGCAAAGACACCATTTGGTGAAAAAGTGATAGTGATCACGCACCCCAGGGAAGGATGTCGATAATATTCTTATCACCAGACTTCTCAAGACCTTCTAGGCCCTTTTCAGCGATCTCGATATACTCGTCGTTTTCCGGCTTGGCCTTGATCCCGTATGCAATATCCAGGACAAGTTTTCCAGCCATGCTATCCCAGTTAATCCAATATGTAAAATGTCAGTACCACTGAAATACTAAATATCATAAAATCGCGCACTAGCGGATGTGTCGCATAAAGTCATTAGGAGAAAGCAAAAGTTTATTTAGGAGTTCGTGCGTCACAGCGAGCTCGTGATCTCTGTAGTTTCGAGAGGCGATCTGACGGAATCGAATGGTGAACTCCCGACGGCAGATCTTCCAGCGTTCCATGTCCTCAGTGAAACCGATATCCCAATCGAAGCCGAGCCTAGAGCACGTCTTGTCAAAGTATATGGGCATACAGATGAGAACTCTAACTCACGCTTCATTCACCATTGGCATACGTGGTCTGTAGATTGGGTGAAACTATTGAGCTCGTTAGATCACCAATAGACTCGGGAGGAATCACCTGTTCGAGTAAAGATCGCCCCGTTTTTCAAAAAGGTCTACAGCCGTTTTCAAATCGTTGATAACGATGATGGTTGTGCCCAGCACGTTCAATCGGATGATTGGAGAGCCTTTGAGGGTGTTTGTGAGGGGCAGTCCTCGCCAAGCACAAAGTCTGCGGCTCACCTGATTCGCGCCCCCATCTGGCGTAAGTTATCCATTGGCGTTGCTCTGGGATATCGAGAATGTTCCCCAAGATTGGAAGCCCTTTAGGACCTGGGGGATAAGGGTACCTATTTCTCCGCTGGTTCAGATAAATGATGGTGATTGCAACCAACACAGCCGCGCACACGGCGATGTCAAGACGATCTAAGGAAGAGGGCATGATTGTTCTGTCATCCACAGAAGATGCTGGGCTTTTGAGAAGAATGAACGATAGACCAAATTTCCGAAATCTCTCAGATCTCTGCGCCCTCGCACGCTTGATCTGTTATCTGTGCTGCACCTCGCTCACATGTCCCCACTTTCAGCGCTCAGAAGCGTGGTATATTAGCAATGAAGCCCCTCTCGCTACGACAGTCAACGCGATATTAATCCTGCTTGAGGAAAAGCTATACGTGACATGAAAGGATGCCTGGTCATCAGTCAACGGGCTGTCCCGCCTTCGGTCAAGTTGGGACAATGCTGGACTTCAGCGCTTCAGCGTCAGTACATACCTTAATCTCGAATATATCACATAGATATCCGAGCGCTTCAAACCTCATAATGGCGACTTGTTCACAGGGTCTATCTGTGATTTTTTTTTCCATATTTCTGAATAATTTCTGAGATTGCGTCCGTCGAAAGTGAGCGGTCAGCGACAGACCGAATAGGTGGTCGATGACAAATCGACAAGTTGACTGACCAGTCAGCCTCATGTTTTTGTAAAATCTTTCTCATTGCACAGTATATTTCTACGCGACTGCACCACACTCATAGCCATGTAACCTTCCCACAGCACGACGACTACTATGATTATCCTCACAGGTACAACGGGCGGCCTCGGCTCTCAAATCCTCAAGTACATTCTAAGCCTCAACCTCATTCCTCCTTCTCAGATCATCATCTCGCTCTACAATACTTCCAGCGCCCGTACAGATCTGCCGTCAGGTGTCCAAATTCGTCAAGGAGACTTTTCTCGTCCGGAGTCGCTCGACGTCGCGTTTGCTGGGGCGGACACTCTCCTCCTAGTTTCGTATCCATCCATCGCGCACAAGCTGCGAGTTGACAGCCACGTCAATGCGATCGACGCTGCAAAGAGAGCTGGGATCAAGCGGATCTACTATACCAGTTTGGCGTTCGCAGACGGAAGTGTATCGGCGGTGATGCAAGCACATCTAGATACAGAGGCTTATTTGAAACAGAGTGGGTTGGCATATACGATTGTGAGGGAGGGGATCTACGCGGAGTCATACCCATTGTATCTCGGTAAGTTCACGCGCATTGTTCCAGGCGATGATTTATTTAATCGCGCCGTGATTAGGATTTTTCGATTCGTCAAAGGGAGTCGACGACATATACGTCCCCGGAGACGGCCCTATCGCTTGGGTGTCGCGAGAGGATTTGGGTGAGGGTATGGCTCGTCTGATAGCATCGGTATGTTTTTATCAGACGTCTAAGCTCGTTGGCTCACATTGTTCTGTCTAAATTCACAGGGCACCAACGAAAACCAAACTATATTGTTCTCGGGTCCGCCCTCGAACAAGCTCACTCTGCGTGAAGTTGCCACGCTCCTTTCGCATTGCCTCTCTCGCCCTCTAGCCCTTCATATCGTCGATGTCGAAGAGTACGTCCAACGTTTCCATGACGAAACCTCACCTTGGGCTACGGAAGCATTCCTTCGGGCTTGGGCGAAAACATTTGACGCGATGGCCCGTGGCGAGACAGGCAAGGTCGATGACCTCCTAGAAAGGATTTTGGGACGTCCTCTCAGGTCTGTGGAGGAGGTCGTGAGAAACAAGCTGGATCAAGAAGCGGTTACGCAGTATGCGAAGTAAGGACTTCCGGCTCTAATCATGCTGATGTCTCGTCAATGTCCAGTTCTGTCTTGATTATCCAATCATCCATATAAGCCTAAAGTGATAATGATCATAAAACTACTCTTCCACGCGTTATCTAAATCGTACCATCAACTAATGCACTCAAGGTGTGTCCAAAACCGTTGTCCAAGTCGTGCCCTTCGATGCAGTCTAGAAGTGCCTCCAGATTGTCTTCAAAGCTCGTGATCGTTTTCCAGCGCCCGAGATGATGACCGCAAAGTGATGTACCCTTTTGTGGTCCACACTTCTCCCACAGCAATCGCACTGCGCAACCTGCAAATGCGCTGACCTTTGTATGTCTAACCAATCACCGGAAGAATACGATGGTAAGCAGCTTTTGTAGTGTACGCTATCTGAATACAGATCGAATTAGTGAGCGCTAACACTGATGAGGCGTCCCAGCTTTTTTTTCGCGCCATGGACCATCCTTTCTGCACGCGGGACATACGCAAGATTAACCGGCAAATCTACAACTGTATATGTCTCTCAAAGGCTTTGCGTCCTCGGCTGACGAAGGCCTTTTATAAGCATCACCTTGGTATTCGTGATTTCTGCGCATACTGAGATACTCGGAGGTTATACTGTTAAGTTCAGTGGCTCATGGTGCTGATGATCAACTCTACCTTTGCAGTCCGCAACAGTGTTTCAGCTTTATAGAAGGCAGTATATCTCCTTTCGTCCCACGACCAGAATTGTCACTTGAATTTCACTGGCAATGCTCGCCAATATTCAAGCCGAGGTGGTCTTCGTCTGATGATCGCCTTACCCTCCGTCGCTTGCTCAAAGTTATCGGGGAGACCAAAAGAGATCTTCGTATCGTCTGGTATTGCACTCGGACATCATGGTTTGATGGTTTGATGGTTTGATTCTCTCTCTCAACAGTATTGATTCTGTCAACTGACCCCTGACCAGGACAAATATAGATAGTCCTCACAATGGTCCCGTGATTCAATAATTCTCATACATCGAATCAGCATATAAGGCAGTACTCAGCGTTTCTTTGCTGCTCCCTCCCCACTCTTCCAGAAGGCTGCCTCTCTGATATCTCTGACTACCCATGTCTTCGAACGAAACTTTTTTGCTCCAGGGACTGGGTGACGATATCATCCGAGACCTGATTGGCATTGCCTGTGGATCTATATTCTACGGTCTGTTATCCGATTACTGCATAGTCTGTAATCCACTAACTCTGCAGCAGGAATCTTTGTAGTCATGATCTGTCTTTCCACGCACAGCCTATGGTGATACATATAGCGACATGATCCTCACGCTTAATAACGACGCTCATGAGCATGATAGGCGAAGGGGATTGACGTCGAAGCCCGTACTGGGCATGCTCGTTGTAACCCTCGTCATGTTCGCGCTGTCAAGCGCACTCTGGGTTATCACACTTGCACTCCGCGTCAGAAGGACCCATCTAGAACTCGTTGCAAACTCAAGTGAAGCACTCGAGGATAGGATATCTGATGCCAATGAAGCGACAAAAACGATCAAGTGGCTCGTAGATATCCTATTCTCGTTTGAGGTTTTTTTTCTTTGTCAATCCGTGCTCGCCCATATAACATCTTGATTCTTATGCACTATCCAGTTCGTTTTGGGTGATATTGTCGTCATCTGGCGTGCTTGGACCCTATGGCAAGGCAATTGGAAGATAATGCTTACCCCTATAGCCCTCCTGGTGGGATCTGTTGGTACGTTCACAGATAATATATATTGTCATCATGTGATATTAAATGATACTCGTTATGATACAGTCGCCGCGTTCATATTCTTTGGATGCATCGTTTCTAGCGACTTTCCACTTGACGTTGATGAGCCGAATTTATGCAACAATGCTGAGATCGCTAGTTGGGCCATGTCTATGGCTACAAATGCTGCCGCTACAATCCTTATTGCGTACAGGACATGGTACGAGTGTTAGCGTCTGATTTGAGTGCGCTATCTCACCTCTTTCAATCACACCAGGCAGCATCGACAGTCTATCAAGAAGATACTAGGCTCGACAGATAAGGTGACAGGGGCTGAGCGGATCTTGTGGCTGCTTGTCGAGTCAGGCTTGATTTATTTTGTGCTTTGGGTAATGGCGGTCTTTGTTCAGTGACGTGACTACACTCAACTGAATACATCAACAGGTTCCTCAGGTCGTTGGATTCTCTCCTGCAGCTTATACTGTTCCCTCCGCCAGGCTCGCGGAAGACATTCTCAACGACATCGGAAACCAAATCGTGGTGAGTCTACGTGTGATTTAGACTGTCCAACTCAACTTGTTCTCACTGCTTCCGTACAGGGCCTCTATCCTACCATGATCGTTGTCTTGGTCAACCTTAATCGGTCTGTGTGGGACTCAACTGAATTTTCGCACCAAGTGAATCACAGCACCATGTGCTTTGCATCTACGCCAGGTCATACCGCCACGGTGGCGACGAACAATGGCCAAAGACATGCCTCCATACATTTCGAGACGGTTCTACATTCGGGGTCAATAAGCGACCCGGACTCTGAACATCGCGATGATAAGCCTGAATCAGTCGATATGGTGTAATTTGAGCCCGAACAGCCAAAAGATCACGTCTGTCTCTCAGAGATAGTCGAGCCAAAACGTTCGTTGTACGAGATCGCAGTAATTCTTAAATTGTGACCATCTTTCATTGATGGCACCTTCATCGAAAACATAGGGCAACGTCTTCATAGTTATTTCTTTATACATATGGCAGGGCTGAAACGTACGATCATACAGTAATGAAACACTCCTTGATCCACTCGATGATGGTGGATTTTTGGGGTGATCTATACATATCTAAACCTCAATATTTTTACATCCGCTGATACAGTACAGTCATTACATGCATTGTACAAATTTCCAGCTCGAACGGAGTACATCTTTGCTTTCATAAAAGGCATCGATGGTGAAGGTGCCCCCGCCACACAAATTCACTCTTTGATCCGCGTGACGATCCATGACGAAGGTGTGACCGGACATGGCCGTCGCGGTATATGACGTACCATCGGGAACCGCTGACAGCTGACACCACGGGCAAAACTCGATGGAATCAGTGATTCCAGTATAAGGGACCAACTCGGACAGAAATCAAAACTTTTACTCCAATATGGATCGAGCAGATGGAAGGGGTGAGTTGCTCGGGGTCAATGGGACCTTTTCTCACAAAGCGCCACGCCTCAATCAGGGTCCCTCGCTAGCGCTAGCATTGTCCGCCACCTTGCCTTGTCCGCCGCCTGTGTTCACTTTATCCTCTCTCAATATATATACCTCACGAGCGCGAAGGCAGTTCCTCATTCCGAACTCACTGCCGCGCACTCGCAGCACGCGCTATGTACATCTAGTTTTTCACCAGGCATTGCATGCCCCCGTGCCGAGACGCTAACGGACGATTCCTGCCACGTAACCGCCCCGCTTCCCCACCTCCCGGCATGTCCACCTCAACCAACCCAAACCCCGAGACTCCAGTGTCCGACACCGTCACCCAAGCTCAATTCCATGGTCTCACAACCGAGGTCTCGAGCCTGACAATAGGGATGGCCAACCTGCAGCTCCTGCTACAAACAGCCCTCCAGGCGGCCGCCAACCTTCCCCCCGAAGCGGCAGCCACCCCGGCACCATCCGCCGTAGCGCCCACAGCTGCCGACGTGCTTTCATCGCACGTCCCCGGCTTCGTGCCACCCGCATCCACCAATCCTGCCGCTGGTGCGTCCCCTTCCCTTCTCTCCCAATTCCCCCTGGTCGAGGCAGCAGTCATCACGGCCATCGTGACCCATGAATTTCGGTCCTCGGATCTCTACAAGCTGGACCCCCAGTACCGAGACAAGGCCGACCAGCGCATTCTAGCCCTCAACGGCGACACGCTGGAGCTCCAGACCGGTGACTCCTCCGCCAAGGAGTACTGGTCCCTAAGCTCAGTTATCATCCCCCTCTCCACCTATTTTTCCATCCTCAGATCGGCAATTGCCCCCATGACCCCATCCATAGGATCGGTCATCTCGGGCTTCTGGGCTTACACAGCATCGCTGATGCAATTCGCCTCGGAATACAACTGGGCCGCGGTGCACACCTACCATGCCGACTTCTTTACAGCTCGGTGACGAGAGATGCAGATGGGCGACTACAGCAAATGGGGCCGCATAGATCTGGACATCCAGACCCGCCGCTTGTTCGGCCACAACAAAGCGGCGCGCCCCAATGCTCCCGCGCCCAGTGGCACAAAGACGAGAAAGGCAGGCGGTACTGGCTATTGCATCAAGTACAATACCGGACACTGCACGACGAGCCCTTGCCCCTGGGGTCGCCCACACACATGCTCCACATGCGGCCAAGGGCACCCAGTAACCGAGCACAAGTAGGGACTCAGGCCGGCAGACGCTCACGCGCTCCGCCCAGGCCCTGCTCGTTTTCTCGCCCCCAAGTCCACCGGCCCCTCGCTCCTCAACTCGTTCCCTCCCATCCACATCCCCCTGCCTCGCCCCAACTCAGCTCCACGCGCCAATCATCCCACCCTCCAACCCCTGCACCGTCCGCTTGTTGCCTTGCGCCTTCACGCCCCCGCTTGGGCCCAATTTCTTTCTGAGTACCCAGACCCCTTGTTCATAGATACAGTCATGGATATTATTAAGCACGGTGCCAATGTAGGCTACCATCACGATCACGCACGCGCGCAGTCCAGCAAAAACTTAAAATCCGCACTACTGCACCCCGATGCCATTACCGCCGACATCGCAGCCCAAGTTGCAAAAGGCTGCACGCGTGGCCCTTTCGACGCGCCACCCCTCGTACACTTTCAAAGCTCTCCGCTCGGAGCTGTCACGCGTAAATGGGCTACAAAGGTCCGCCGCATCCATCACCTCTCATGGCCTGATGGGACCTCGGTAAATGATGGCATCCCTGATGACGAAGCTGCCATCACATATGACACATTCCATCGAGCCGTTGAAGATCTGATCGCTTCCGGCACCGGATCGCGCATGATCAAACTTGATCTCGAACAAGCCTTCCGGCAAATCCCTGTCCGACTGGCAGATTGGCACCTGCTCGGTTTCACCTGGATGGATCAATTTTATTATGACATCGTCTTCGGATTCGGCCTGCGCTCCGCCCCATATATTTTTAACCTATTTGCTGAAGCACTTCACTGGATCATCTCGCGTCACATCCCTAGCCGACTTCGACACTATCTCGACGACTTCCTTGCAATCTTTCCCCCCAACATGGCGCCTCCAGACGTCCTTGCTGCGAAGGACTGGATTATGGAACTTGGCCATACCCTCGGTCTCCGCTTTCAGCCTGAAAAAACTCTAGGTCCAGTGACGTGCCTGGAGTACCTGGGTCTAGAACTCGACTCTGTCGCAATGGAAGCTAGGCTCCCTGCTCTGAAGCTTGACATCCTGCGCGACCTCCTCACAGAATGGTCTGTGCGGTCCTCTTGTACACTCCTGCAACTACAGGAACTTGCAGGCTACCTACAATTTGTATCACAGGTAGTCCCCCTCTCACGGGCATTCTTACACCATGTTTTCCAATTCATGGCATCATTCCGCACCGATCGCTCGCATCGGTGCGTGCCTCGTGCACTCCGTCGTGATCTCGATTGGTGGCAGGATGTCGCTACTACATGGAACGGGATCTGGCTTCTGACGCCAAGCCACGCTGAGGTCCACATCTACACAGATGCCAGCGGTGCAAAAGGAATCGGCGGAACCACAGGCTCACAATGGTTCTCTTCTCATCTTCCCTGCCAGCTCCGGGGCCGGGACATTCAGTACAAAGAACTATACGCTGTCCTTCATGCCCTCCTTTGCTGGGGCCCAGACCTCACCGGCCGGCATGTCATCTTTCATGTTGACAACCAAGCTGTCGTCCAAGCACTTCTCACGCTGTCAAATCACTCCACTCTAGTTGCGGAGCTTCTGCGCCGCGTCCTTAATTTAACATGCCACCTCGACCTAACCTTTTCCACGGTTTGGCTCTCTTCCAATCAGAACGCGCTCGCTGACGCTGCTTCTCGTTTTAATTATACTCAACTATTTGATCTTGCCCCCAATCTTGATCGACGGCCCTCCTACCGGCGCCTCCGTTTTGGTGGTATCAACACTTCCAACACGTCGCACCCCAAGTCGCTTTTTACCTATGGCACGGGATCGCGTCTAGCACGCGCGCCACTTACAGCGTCAGCCAGAAATCCTTCATCAATTTCGCCACTATTAGCGGGCACTTCAACCCAGATGGAGCCCTCCTCCTGGCCAATCAAAATGCTGTCATGGCATGGGTGGCCTGGCTCGGCAGCCGAGTCCAGCCCAAAACCATCAAAGCTTACCTCACGCATATCCGATCCCTCCATGTCGACACGGACCTTCCTTTCTCAGCAATCAAAGCGCCAGTCGTCCAACGCCTTATTTGGGGCATCAAGAGATACCATGGTGAGGCCAGCCGCAAACCCAAGCAACCAATCACCCTCCCCATCCTTCGCGACATCCTCAACCACATGCCAGATTCCCCTCAGCAACTCCACCTCCGCGCCGCCTGCTGCCTTGCCTACTCCGCCCTGCTCTGTTGCGGAGAATTCACGACACGCGAAGGTACCCGCCGGGGCTTCGGCACCGAAACCGGCCTCACAGTCGGTTCCATCAGATTACTCCCCGATGCCACTAACCCGACTCACGCAATGATCTTTCTCCCCGGCTCCAAAACCGACCCCTTCCGCAAAGGAACTACCATCATGGTCGCCGCTGCTCCTCCTGGCTCTGCAACCTGTCCGGTGGTCGCACTCAAAGCCCTCTTCGAGGCGGAACCCCGGCCGGAGACCGCCGCGTTGTTCGAAGAACGTCCCGGCATGCCGCTCTCTCGCGGCTTCTTCCTCAAATCGATCCGGGCCACTCTTCTCCACGCGGGGTACAATCCCTTGGAATTTGCCGGCCACAGCTTCCGACGCGGCGCCGCCTCCTCCGCAGCAGTTGCCGGCTATTCGGACTACGAGATACAACTCTTGGGCCGGTGGCGCAGCGATGCCTTCAAGCTCTACCTAGAGGTAGACCAGGCTTGCCTGCTTCAACTGTCCAGAACTCTTCATTTGGCCCTCCCTCAGCCATCCGCTTTCGACCCTCCAGGTCTGCGCGGCCTTCCTGTCATGGCTTAAGGTCGGCCCCGGGACCTAGTCCCGAGGCTTGCCTTGAGTTCTCAGGGGCCACAAATGTCATACATTTGTCATGCCTGTCGAGCCCGGAGAATTTCGCTTCCCTTCTCAATTCAGTCGCTTCTTTCTCGATTTAGATAACGCTTCTTCCTTTGTCACTCAGTCACATTGATGGATCGAGCAGATGGAAGGGGTGAGTTGCTCGGGGTCAATGGGACCTTTTCTCACAAAGCGCCACGCCTCGATCAGGGTCCCTTGCTAGCGCTAGCGTTGTCCGCCACCTTGCCTTGTCTGCCGCCTGTATTCACTTTATCCTCTCTCAATATATATACCTCGCGAGCGCGAAGGCAGTTCCTCATTCCGAACTCACTGCCGCGCACTCACAGCATGCGCTACGTACATCTAGTTTTTCGTCCCACCCACCATCCCTCTCCACTTAGATCTCTCTACGCTACACTAGTCTAGTCTTCTGTATCTACATAAGCCCTCCTAGAGTTGGCTTGAGGTCGGCCCCGGGACCTAGTCCCGAGGCTTGCCTTGAGTTTTCAGGGGCCACAAATGTCATACATTTGTCATGCCTGTCGAGCCCGGAGAATTTCGCTTCCCTTCTCAATTCAGTCGCTTCTTTCTTGATTTAGATAACGCTTCTTCCTTTGTCACTCAGTCACATTGACCACCTGTTTTTCAACAAATCTTAGCAATTCCTGCCAATTGCTGACAATTGTCGAACACTGCTGACAAATGCTGACAATTGGCAGGAATTGCTGATAATTTCCAGCTTTCGTTAGCAATTTGTGACAATGCCCAAATACGATTGTCACAAAGTGTCACAATTGGGTGCAACACATCCAGCCATCACTTTGGCAATTCTATTCTACTAGACTTATTAATTTTTAGCCTATCAAAAACTCTGCCCAGATACTCAACAATTGTCAACATTTGCTAGCAATCTTTAAGTCTACAATTCAGCCTAGGACCCAACAATATCTAGCAATTGCTGACAATTAGCTAGGGCTATGGGCAATACAGCATAGTGTGCCCTAGTATGACTTACAGGTAGAGTAGCAAGGTATAACAATATTAGACAAGATCCAGCAAGATCCAAGAAATATTGAAGAGTAGATGTGATATTAAGATTGGATAGGATCAAAAGGCAGTCATAGTTATAGACAATTGTGGATGATTATTGGCAATGAGATTAAGGGCAGATTGCTAGCAATTGTTAGCAATTGTCACATCTTGCCAATAGTGCCTAATTAATAACAATTGCTGACAATTGCTAATAAGTGATTACCTGCCAATTGTGGATAATTGTTAAGCCACTAGGCTTATCATGTGCACTTGATGCACTAAGAGGGGTTCCCTGGGCTAATTGTAATAGTGACGGCCCAATGTATAAAGATGACCAATTGTCTTTGGGCTTGATTCAGGAATTCTTGATCACTATTGATCTTGTCCTCAAATAGATGGAGGAGGTATTGGTTAACAAGGTGTCATTGTTTGTCTGGTACAAACAAGTCCTCTCTGATGCAACAAATGACTTTGGAGGGATCCCAACTGATGACTTGATAGGCAGCGAGTCCTTGATACATTGTAGGCAGTAGAGGATGATAAGACCATTAAGACGAGTCCAGCGCTTCCTCAGACTAAGTATGATTCTATGGATCTGGCAGAGTTCACGAAGTGTGGGCTGAAGGGGCCAGATGCCGGGTGCAGTGTAGAGATCGAGATGTATACAAAGTGAATGAGCTGATCTTCTAAGAAGCTCAGCTCGCCTATATATAGTAAAAGCTATTTAGGGTAGGATGGACATATGGTCCATGCTTCTGAACGCTAAGTAATCTGCAGTCATTGTTCATACTCTGCAGCTCTTTGATGTAACCATATATAGTAAGTATATCAAATGTCTGTCCGCAGCAATATCGAATAGAACTTGATCACAATCGACATTAGAAACCATAACAAAGAGGGGATCATAGTATTATAAGTGTTCATGTGTCAGCATGTAAATGGTAATCAGTCTAAATCCAAGTCATGTGCGTAGCTCATGACCATGTCCTGAGTCACGTGCCTAGATGTGTGTTGAGTCACAGTCCTAGTTATTAATGTCTAAGTCCAAAGAGATGCCTGACCTTCCCTCCTGTCCATGTGCGCAGCACGTGTTAGGATACGGTCCTAACAATGATTGCCAACAAATTTTCACAATTGCTAGTGGTATTTATATGGGATTTGCCAGCAATTGATAGAAAATATTATATATTGCTAACCAGACCCTAAAAAGTTTGAATTTTGTCTGAGAAAACCCTTTATATTCCAGACTAGGAATATGCTCCTTAATTTCTATACAAAGTATGCTTGGATTATATTATGATCTAATCAAAAATATGTTCCAGCATAAAATTAGGCTAAAATCAGGCTAAAATGTCATAAAGGCTACAATATATATTCATAGAGCACAAAAGAAAGGACATTTAAGATAAAAATCACAAGGAACTTATAGATTATATCCTGAACTTATCTTAAATAGTCCATAGATTCCAAGCTAATCATATTGTGAATAAATTATTGCTTGATCATTTGATCACAATGGGATCAGCTTGGAATCTGAGGACTATTTAAAATGAGTTCAGGATATAATCTATAAGTTCCTTGTAATTTTTAGCTTAAATGTCCTTCCTTTTGTGCTTTATAGACATCGGATATGGGTCATGCTATCTACTAGTTACAGGTTCATCCTTATATTTAACATGACCCACATCCAATGTGTGAGAAGTGACTAACAAGTACAGTATTCTGAGTTTCTAAGGAAAAGTTCAAGGAACCAAAGTTGATAAAATGTGGTCATATATTAGTTATTGTTTTAATTAGCAAAGCCCTCCTAATGCAGTGGTGATGAGCATGCACCTATGCTAGGGTCTGAGAGAGGTATTCAGAAAGCTTTGGGGAGATACTGAACAGCATTAGACAAGTACCAAAGATGCCAACTTGCACTGAACATGGTCGGTCCCACCCAACTGACCACAGCCCTCCAAAGGACATTTGGCAGCACTTGGGTCAGTTTGCCCATACTTCATGTACTTACCATGACCACACAGAAGTGTTACAATAGGTGTTTACGAGATTGGAGCCAGTATTCTGTGTTAGCCAATGTCCTCTGTGAGTCAGTTGATCCTTATCACTTATCTTCCTGACTTCCACATGGTCAGTCAAACACGATCTTGCACCATTACTTGGCCACTCTAGTTGTATAATACCTCTTCTTTATTTTCATTGGTTTTCCAATGCTTGTTCCCACTACCTACGCTTGGGTGACAGATCCCAAATGTTCGGGATTTTGCCATCACTGATTAACTTTTACCTTATCACCTTCGGAACCCATATGGACATCTCACCTACCTTCTTATCTTCTCTGATTGCTAAGGCTTGGCACCCATTCGACATATACTCTCATTTCTTGTTTAATATTTTACTTAGGGGCTCTGTTTACTATAAAAACCTACATACAACTCTGGAATAAACCAGCTTTCACACCCCACAGTTCAGAGCTCATTTGCACTCATCTCAACCATGGAAATTGTCTTTGTCAACTTCCAAAAACTTGTCATCCTTATCATTTGGCCTTGTTCACATTCGTACTTGTCTCTTTGATCGTACCCTTCGTCCTCCCTCATATATTATCAGAGTCCTATGTGGCTCTTGAAGCACATAGTTGTTGGTCACAACACTACCTTCTCATCACTGATTGACTCCTCGACCTGACTCGACCGACCAAACGTTCGGTTAGTCTTCGGTGCAGTCCCAAAACCATTCAGGCACTTTAATCTCACCCTCCTCATTACTTTTCAGTGCGCCCTTGCTTTCTCAAGTCCTAACTAATGATTCCTTGTGTATCAGATACTAGCCCCAGCACCCCTGCATTAGAGGGTGTTTTAGTGTTGTGCTTGGCACTTAGAGCCGCCTCTAGCATATCAGCAGTCTACCCTTATGCCTCAAGTTTCTTGCTCTTAACAGTGTTGATGGTTGTGGGTTCGATCCTAGCCCATGCCTTTTTTATTATGTCTTTTGCCGACCTCACAACGCCAAATTTAGGCATTGGCTAGCATTGGCTACATGTGATAAGAGTCGTTCAAAGTCGTTCACATTCGTTCAAAGTGAGACTTTTCTAACTACATCAACTTGTCCGATCTCGCTCGTTCTCGTTCGATTTCGCAATATTGACTTTTCACTGGGCTTCAAGGTCAATTGTTAGTCGAGAATAACATGGGAATCAAACTCACTGCTGCAACAATGATAGTGAGCAGCGGTGATTTGCAGATCCTTGAGAAGCGCGTAACAATTCAGCACAAATACACCGATCAGAGCGAAAAACCGGAAATTTGAGCAATTTTTGTTCGGATTAGGTCGAAAGCGGCAAAGGTTCGGTTACAGTTGGGCTGCGGAGAAAGAGCGAGGGACACGGCGAGATCCGCAGTACAGCCTTACTGATTGCAGTACCTGATCCGATGTCATCGTGGAAAGCGTTCTCGATGGTCCTGATGATGGATGCAGAGTCGTCGGGAATAGGGAGCCTATTCCAAGCGACACAATTCAGTTTGCGCATCAGGGAGCTTAGTAGGATGTAGAAGTACGCAATGAGGGCGAGATTTCAGGGAGGAGAGGGAGAGAGGAGAAGGGAATGAATCAAGGCACTCAGATGCGGTAGAGTTTACGAGATCCGCTCCGTGTCGGACACCTCATGCAGAGCTGTCAGATGCGCCTCGAGCGACGAGCACTGGAAAGGGATATCAGAAACTACTTGTGCTCAAAGTGGAGATGCCAAGCAGGTTGTCGGACAAGAGACTTGCACAAACAGATGAGCATCACCAAGTTCAGGATGCGGGGCGGATACGTATTACGAGGATACTTGACAGATGTACCTACAGTTCCTTGTCTCTACGATGGAGAGAAGGGCGGAACATATTCAAGGTCGACAACCGTGAGAACCTCGACGAGAACGGAAGCAACGGGAGCCTGGGAGACATAGGCTACCACAAGGAGGCAAAAACACAGGTTGATCGGTGACCTCAGCGGGGTCCAGAGAATAGGACACGCCTATCACTTGACCGGAACCATTGCGCGCGCTTGAGCCTGCATGGATTAGTTGGCGTGAGATAGATGAGGTGGCTGAACATCGCACGTTTGGAAGGACAAGGAAAAATCGAACAAATATCGCGCTAGTTTGAGACGGTGCGATGGAGGCAGAGCGGAGGCCGGAAGGTGTAATAGAGGAGGGGAGGGAGGAGAGGGGAAGGGGCGTGGGCAGGAGGCAGAAGTGGAACCGTGACGGTCACGGCGTTGATGCAAAGGCAGACTTGAAGCCGCTCATGGTCCCATGAAGGCTTCGACTTCGATGCCGACCCTCTCAAATACCCATCCTCTCCCATTCTCTCCACCATCGCCACTCTTTACCGATTCAGACACGATACCTCACGCTCACGCATCTCGCACCCAGCTTTCATGGGTATAAATATCCACGATCCTTTAGTCCAGATCAAAGGTATCTCGTTTTCTTTCCGGTCTTGTCACTTTGCTCAGCCGCATTGTAGTTACCCAGTCAGTATGCGGATTCCTCGCAATATGTATGACTGCTGTACGCGTGTACATCCGACGCGGGAGGTACTGGTGGGACGATGCGTGGGCTTTCTTCTCTCTCTTGAGGTGCGCCATTTCGCTCCAGGCTCGTTTATCGTCATTTTTTTTTCTCATCTAAACGCGCGTTTGCAGTCTCTTCATTCAATTTGCTAGCGTGTTCATGCACGTCGATAATCCCTCGGAGCTCTCAAAAACGAATCGTGTCGCAGCGTACTATCTCATGGCGAGCACGTTTTATACCGTCATCTGGTCCGCCAGACTCTCCATCCTCTTCTCCATCATCCGAATCGACCCCGACCCCCAAATTCGCCGGCGACTCCGCTGGATTGTCGCCATTTTCATTTTTGCCATCTTTTTCTTCCTTGCCCAGCTCATGTGGGTCTGCGAGCCCGAGCCCGGTTGGAAGGACGAGCGCAGCCCACAGTGCAAGCTGAACAAGGAAGTCGCGATATGCCAGCTCGTTTGTACGCCTTTTCATACCTATATGCGTGTTCTTGTGGACTGACCGGCCGCATCGCAGCCGACATTTTCTCAGATCTCCTCCTCATACTCCTCCCCCTTCGTCTCATCCATGGCATCAAAGATCGTGGTCTCCGCCGACGATTGATCTTCATTTTCTCCACATCTAGTACGCATCCTGACTTCGATATCGTATGCTGTAACCTTACCATTTTTGCTCTACAGTCATCACGACCATCGTCTCCCTCGTGCACGCTGCCTACATCATCACGGGCGGCGGTATCAAAGTCATCATCTCTGCCCTCGTCGAGGACTGCATGTCCCTCTCTGTCGCGAACGTCCCCGTCGTTGCGACCGCGCTCGTGCGGCGCTTCGGGCTGCGCGACCAAACGGAAGACCCGACGTCCTTCGCAGACGAGTCACCCGACGGCCCGCGCTTCTCGTCCTTCCGCTTCAAGTCGCGCATCACGGGTGGGCGATCGACGCACGGCACGTTCGGGTTCACGACGCGACAGGCGCGTGCGCGCGGGCTCATCAGCGGCGGGACGACGACGGACGGCTCGGGGTCCGGCACGGACACGGACCTCGGGCTGACGAGCAAGGGCACGCTCAGCGCCGCGTACACGCTCGACGAGGCGCAGACGCGCAAGGACGCGCATTATATAAGCGTCGGCTCGCTGCAGGGGGACTCTCAGTGGCGACCGAGCCTCGATCCTGCTGCGCGGGTGACGATGCAGAAGGGGGAGGGGGACCACTATATCAGCGTCGGGTCGGTGAGGGTGCAGGAGCCTCTGCGGGAGGTCGAGGAGATGGATGAGGAGGCGCGAGTGGGCGGGACAGGGCGGGCGGTGCCCATGGGGATCGGCGCGCTGTGGGTAGGTAGGCAGAGGCAACAGGCCGGTCCTGCCAGGGGGCCTCGATAGCACTGTAGATACCGCGAAGAGACTCGGAGGTTTGTTATGTACGCTGTTCTGCTCTGCTCACCTGCTCGCTGTATACCGCATCTATGTACTAGGATATAATGTGTAGTATTCGTTCTTGTCGCTCACATGATCTGGTAATGCTACCTTTCTTGGAGATCGTCGATTTCGTGTGGCTCGCGCAGTGCTGCGGCGTCCTGCGTTCCTTTGCGTGCCTTCGTCCTGACCAGATTGATGTCGATCGGCGACGTCAACCGGGGCTGGGTGGCTGGGTGTTCAGGCAGCGAACGCCTGCGGATGCCTCACGGCTCGAAGTGCGCTGCTTTGTGAGGCTCTATCACTGTTCTATCAGTAGCATTGTTGTCACAGAGAGATATCGTAGTAGGAGCGTGGTATTCTATGGCATGACGAAGAGTGAAACTCACATCACCAATCTCTCAGTGGCGTTGACAGCTTGGCAAATTGTGCAATCTTGACCGTCAGCCTCGATCGCGATTCGATCGAAATGATGCAGAACGATGCCTGAAAATGTCTGGTCCACAGGAGTATAAAACATGCCGCTCGAGGATGAGGCTCTATGGAGCTGTCCGATCCTGGGCCTCATTCATAACCTACTCATGTGCCTTGAGAAATATCCATATGCAACGATAGCGGTTCATGCATTATCGTGCACTAGTATTGCCATCAATCCTGTCATATTATCAGATGAAGCCAAATAGAATAAAGGAAGTGCGGTATTATTGTATATAGAAACACGGCCGAGAACATGGATTTGAGGTAAACGATGGCCCCGTTCCATAGAACTTGCTGTAGGGGAGCGCGTCGACGAGAAGGCACAAGGGTTAGGAAATAGTTAGCACCCCTTAATGAAGCAGCTATCGGATGCCCAAGTCAAATGGTCACCTTTTGATAAACACGAAAGCGCGTGTTCCCTCCCACACCGACTGCACATGAGCGACCCACGGGCCACACCACCTAATCCAGCTCGTCCAACTCCCGCCGTGCTATCTGGAGCTTCGGCTCGCAGGGACCGGAGTGCACGAGGATGTGTCCGGGCACCTTGCCATCCGCCGTCGGAATTTGCAGCGCGAGGGTCTCGTCGCCAGAGGGATACTCGGTGCGGTGTCCGGCGCTGAGGGCGGCCGTGTCAGTGGCAATGATGATGCCGTTGCGGCCGCCCTGGACCCATGCTTCATCTGTGGAGTTGGGCAGGGTGATGTGCGCGAGGCCAGATAAGAATACGACGAATCTACAGCCAACGACACGCGCAGCAACATGTGAGCGGTCGATCGGAGTCGTCAGATGAAGACGGCACGCACTGGACATTTGGCGCGTTGTGCAAGCCCGCGTTAAAGCGCGGTGGGAGGATGGAGTAGCTGCCATTGGCGAAATTACCAAGCTGGAGCGAGCTTGCGCCTGTGGTTCCCACCTGAGACGACGAGACGAATCCGGGGTCGAGGGCCCAGCACTCGAGCACGGAGATGCCGTTGGCGGCGGTGAGAGCGGTGATGTTGAGCGTGCTGGGCATCGTGGACGGTGTCGGGTCGCGAGGGGGGTCGATGGAAGGTGGAGGTTCGATTCGAAGAGGTTAAATATTGTGCGGACATGGTCGCGTTCAACTGTTGCTCGGCGGTCCCTCTCCGTGCCTGGCCCGATACCAATCCGATCCAGTCTCAGAAGTTTGCTGACTCAGCACTTCATCCCGCTCCCGTCACGCACATGCATATCCTATTCACTATCCCTACCTTCGACGGACGACAACGCAATTACCCACGCCATGATCCCATCGGCCCCCAATTTCCTCCGCACAAAATCGAGCGTCCGATTTACTCAAAGCAGCCAGCACACTTTGTATCTTTCGCGCTCAGGTGCTGGTGCGTAGCTCATCCGTTCCCCTCGCATCTGTAGACGGTCCGGAGATCCTGCAGGTTCATACTGACAGGTGTAGCAACAATACGCGCCAGTCGTGTCTCGGTCACCTGCCTGATAACATGGCGTTGTGTACGACCTTTGTTTCCTACCTCTCTTGTCTAAACACCCCGCGTCACGAAACGGGCCTCGACCACCGCCACATGCACACCGCAAATTTTCCCTCAGATCTCTCACCCGATATACACACAGTCATATACCCTCTCAGATTTTCTCTTGGCTTGCGAGTTCGTATGTATATAAGGATTTCATCATCATTGCGCATACACGCTTATCGTCCATCCATTGCACACGTTCTCGCTCCCAGAACTTGCGACTTCCCACAATTTACAGGATATCGCCTCATCGGCCGCTTTTCCGTCAGCGAAACCATCGACGTTCACACACGTCAACGGCCCGGCAACGGGACAATCGGTAATTGTCTTGCTTCTAATAGGAGCTTTGGGCGACCAGGGATGACAGGATGTTTGAGACTCACGAGTGCTTGTCTTCTGATTCACTTTATCCTTTTAGGGCTCGTCACCAACTTTGACTAATCCCCAAGTCATCACGCTCATCTCATTCATTTCATCCACCATCAATCGTCTTGTACCACGCTTGTTCACGATGTCTTGCGACATCTTTGGGAGAAAATCATGAAGCTTACAGGTACGTGCTCTCGTAGCAGTGGTCAAGAAATCCGATCTTTGCTTTTTGATTTCCATCGGCGATCAGCGTAATACTGTGAATCATGGGGTATACGTACCCATCTCGTCCACAACACAGTAAGCAACGTCTCTGAAACACTCAAGGCAGTGCAGGAATCATTTGTCCAGCGCCGCACCATCTCATGCACAGGACAAGGTAAGCATTGTCAATAAATCCTGAACAATGTGTATAGCCACAAACAGCATTCGTGATTCTCTTGCATGAAAATGACAACAGCGCGCGACATACGGTATTTTGGATATCATCACCCCTAGATGCTATTTGTTGCCGTTGCATGCATTTAACTTCTCTTGATCTGATAGACGCGAGCCATTCTGCGCACGCAGGGTATCGTCGCCATTAGGGCGTGCGGCGAAGGGCCGACGTCGCGACGAAGTGCAGACGCCACGATATAGGTGGTAAAAGAGATACCTCAAAGTTCGAGTCAAGTGAGTGATATCTCACATTGACATACCAATATACACAACTTCATCCCACGTCCACCAAAGACGTTTGAGTGGTGGTATGAACGTCGTCTATCTCCTGCCTATCCGCATCGACTCCTGCTTCCTAATCAGCATCTCAGGCGCATTTTGCTACTGATGAGCGCATACGATACCTCTTAAGGTTTCAAAATTGAAACCAAATTGAGATGATCGAACGTTGACTGTGCGCGAATCAACTACTGCAGGCGCGTGAGCCTCGTCATGTTACCATCTTCCAAGGCACAGCGTCTGTTAGGCTCTTGTATGCCATGCACCTCACCCAATTCAGGCATACAACGTTCCTTTGACAGCTTCGATCTCCGCCACCTTATAGTCATTTAGAGTCGACGTCTACTTTTTTTCTGCTCTCTCATTCCCTTCTCTACCTGGGCCTGACGAATTCCGCACATTCGCTGGACTAGTTTGGCTGAACATCTTCCAGCTGTGCGCTTTTCGCCTCCTTGTTGACCGGCGCAGGTACCAACATTATTCACTTTTGAGAAGGTAGTATCCCTTGGACGATACATTGTGATCCCTCAGAGGCCTATATCTTAGGATTCGCAGGCACCTAACGTTTTATGAAACGCGGAAGGAAATGTCCTGTTCTCTCACGAAGTACGTCGATCAACACGTGGTCCGCGATGGTCGTGGACGATAGGCAAAGGTCGCGTTCACACCGAAAGCAGTGGATGATCTGAATCTCACCCGCAGCACTATTTCGTCAAATCCATTGTCGAATTGTTATTGACGAAACCGGCCCAGTCATCCAGGTCAATCGGTTTCAACACGAGGACTCGCCGCGATAAGTATTGTCGAAGACTCACAGACTTCTCAAGGTTGATCCGTTTCCAAGAAAAATTGTCGTGACATCTTTGTGGCGACGATCTCCTCTTTCGCACATTACAGCCACAAAGTTATCTTGAATCCTCACACGAGGTTTGACGTGCTCGCCATTTCTGTCTCTTGTGAGACCCGGGATGTCACCTCCTTAGCTCCGTACAGGAACACCTCCCAAGCTGAGTATGCACGGTCTCCTTTTACGTTGGGCAACCAAATTTTGTGGGTTGGGCGGCGAGATTTTGTAAGGCATTGCGGAACGTATAAGTACGGCTGAAGAGTTGCGGGAAACATTCAACACTCGACATACACACTCAACACTCAACAACACTCAATCGATTACAATGGTTCACTTCAACTTGACAGCTTTGGCCGCTGCTGCTACCGCCTTCAGCATCACCGACTTCCAAGGACACTTTGTCGATCTCGCCTCCGGCGGGACCACCGACTTCGTGCCTGTCCGCAGCTTCGCCAAAGCGGAGAACCAGAACCAGGAGGTAAGCGTCTCGAGCATGAAATAGTACGCTCGCAATTCTGACGCGGTCGATGGGATTAGTGGCAGTTTATACAGACTAGCAACCAAAACCAGTTCAGAATCCAGAACAACGGCGTCAGGCAGGTCATATCCTTCCCGTCTGCCACTTATATGGGGTACTCGGGCATTATTGGGAGCCAGCAAGCGATTGCCCACCCGAACGCTGGCACTTCTTGGAACCTCGTTGGAACCGGAAATGGCGAGTTCAAGTAAGTGGCTTTCGCCGCCTCATACGAAGCCGATTCGCTGACCGTACGCTCTCTCGCCATACGTATTCAGCCTCATAGAGTCTAACACCGGGCTTGCATTGACCGCGTGGACGGCCAGGACCGACTCGAGCAGCTCTCCGGTGCGCCCTGCGCCTCCTCCATACCGTTTTGAACGGCACGCTGATATGTCATAATTTGTTTCTCGGATCTCATAGCTCACGCTCGAAGTCGCCGCTTCTGACCCTCAGCAAGCGTTCACCATCCAGGTGGCATCGGTCTTCTAAAGCGTTAGGCGAGCGCAGTTATTTTTGAGAAAGTCAACGTCGTGGACATTGCGGGAGACAAGGGTTCTTGTGAAAATCGAAGGTACAAATGCTACATTCCTAGGGTTTCGTTTTCTTGTTCTGTACGAGTTTGTTTATGGGAGCATGCGAGATCTTTGGTATTGGTTTATATACGGAGTTTGACCTGTTTCTCCTTGCGGAAATTTGATCACAAGGCCTCTAGCGAGTGATACCTCACGGATTCCATCACCAAGAATGAGCTACATCGCGTCGCGACAACCGACATATACTTCCTCGACGTGGTCAGCCAGGATGCGCATTCTCGTCCGAAGGACGTCTGGGTCAAGACACGCTCCCTCGACCTGTGAAGCAAAAGTGTTGCGTACCTAATATCCCAACAGGCATCGTGTTTGGGATTCCATCTCTTGTAAGTCCAACAGAGCAGGCACCAGTGCTTGTGTGTCCAAAGGCCTCATGAATAGGGTCCAAGACGCCCAAGCCGAATGTGCTGCATCGACTGCATCCACGCCTCGTCAGCTGCCGCATGGGTTCCTTGTTGGTACGCGTGTAGAATGCTGCCATTAGTGGCGCTGGCAAAATCTGGATCTGATTCAAAAGTGCCTGAGCAGCCTCCGGGAGGTCCTTCGGACAACCTAGATGAAACGCTCACAGCTGAATAGGAGAATTTCAGCTTACTTTGCGATATACGGAGCCTGCATTAGCTTTATTTTCTCCATGATCAGAATGCGATGAGCAAGGCGTGATTTCGAGGAGCCTCGAATAACAGCTACAGTAAAGCCGCCTTACCTCCTCCGAAGCGGTGTATGTGGACAAACATGATTGATATTCGGTGTATACAGCACGGCAGCTCTCACGGGCCGAACCAACGTTATCGAATGCCTCTATACTTAGGTCACGAACTCTGCGTCTCCATTTTCGGCCAGTCTCGTTTAGGCCAGGGCCGTCTCGATCTTGAAGACCTGCTGTTTGTCGCCTTCAATCTCGCGTTCTAGCGTGAGCTAAGGTGGATACAGGAAAGAGAGAATACTAGTCCCCCTTCACAGAGCTTGAATAGGAGCATAAACCATGGACTCACCGGCGACTCGTCTTTGTTCGCGGCCCTGACCGGCCAAGCGGTGAGCGCCAGCTTTCAATGGAGAGGATCATGTATAATGAATCTGTGACAACAGTGCAGGAAACAGAGTACAGCTGTGAGGGCTGTCATTTCGCGGAAATCAGACTCGGTTCACGCACTTGTACCCCGCCCCGCACACAGCCCGCTGCCAATCGGTGTCGGCAGTCGGGTGGGCCATGGCCCGCTGGCGAAGAACGTTCTCTTGCCTGACATTGGCAGAGGGGTAGGAAATGACCTGCTGGGCGCCGTTGTTCACGACCCCAATGTAGCCCTCATCACCAGTTTCCTCGAGCTTCCACTGTCCAGGAAATTTCCGTGCGTCAGCATTGGCAGCTCGTGAGGCGAGAAAATAATGATTGGGACCGACCTCTTGATTGATCTTATCTTTGGGGAGAGCCTTCCTATGTGTCATGATGGGGACGTAGGTATCTTTCATACCATTGGTGAGATCGACATATTGTCCCTCGAAGGCGACGATGCGGGCGATCTGGATGAGGTTGACTTTCTCGAGCGTGAAGACTTGCTGCATATCTCCTTCGACGACCGGTTCCAGCGTAATCTACAGCGGATCGTCGGGGGTTTGGAAATAGTTGCGAATACGCACATAGACCTACAAGTGCGGACGCTCAACGGTGCACTGGAGACACAAAGTTGGAAAGGCGCGTGCTAAGTCGATGTAATCTTATTTTAAAAGGTGGACTACCGGGTTCGAAAACGAAGAAACATGAACCTACGTGGGTTATTAGCGCGACGGTTGTGAACAGCTTGGAAACAGAGATCGCGCCCGCTACCAGATGCTGACAGCAACATGTTCTGAATGATCCGTCTGCATGTAACCCTTGTCGTACTTAGTCGTACAAAAAAAGAGGGTGAAGGACATTTATTGATGATTCCGGAGCTAATGCTTAGCTCACAGCAGGTACGGGTATATTCAGGGAGGCAGGATCGCTGCCAGTCCACCATCACTCAACTGGGAGCGTCATTAGGAAAAAGTAGCGTCGATCCGAAGTCCTTCCGCTGTCAAATCCACATGAGCGTAAAAAAAGGATGGATCACTCACGGAACACATATAGCGTGTACATATGACCTATAACAGCAACCGAATGCATATACAGATCCCGGAGTATAGAGAATGATGCCGAGATAGAATCATCAGGCTGCAAACATTGTCAAATAGTCAACCGTCTCAGCAATCGACGCACAGACAACGCTCATTGATATGCCAAAGTGGGGAATTGCTTCAATCCAAGATCTCGTTCGGGTGGGACTGCTTCGAATCAAAGTTATAGTCCGGCCTTTCCTTTTCAAGGATGAGGATGGCCGCCTTATGAGCGTGCAGTAAAGACAGGTAAAATGTTATGGAGGAATGCGCGTACCTCATGAACGCGACTGACCATGCACGTAGATGATTATCAAAAGCGCAAGTGGGGAAGCTTCATCGAGCAGCGAGGGAGAGGACTGACGTGGACATGAACACTGTCGGTACAAGATTTCCAATTCAAGTATCATGGAGATCAAACACGACGAAGAAAAGGTATTGTGGAGACGCACCGGCATCAGTGATGTCTACAGCGATGAAATTCCGAGATTCCGAATCGCTGCAGCCCAGTCCTGGAATCAAATTAAGACCGGAGAACCAGTCAGATTTGAGCACAATTTTGAGGCCCCGTCGTTGTAAACCTTAGTGAAAACAATCAGCAATGAGCATGAGCGACGAGTCGGAGGGCGAGTGCAGAGCATAGTGGTTGGGGAGCTTGCCGTTGCCGAAGATGCCGCGACGATGACCTCGGCTTCCCGCGTGCGGACCCTTAAATTTTATCTTCCAGCCTTGGACAGCTTTGGACCTGCTTGGACGCGAATGGAACCGCGGTTACAGCGTTGAATCGAAGTCTTCTCCACGACCAACGCCGACATTCGAATCTTCACATTCAGAAGCCAGAACAACCCAGCGCCAGGACATAGGGAGCTTTTGTTCTCGCAATTTCATAGCTGCTGAGCTGACATTGACGATTTCTGTCTCTGTGACGCCTTTGAAGGGGCCGATGAGCAAATCTCGGATCTTCGGTAAGACAATATGAGCCCATCGGAGGTTCTATGGCACAAGGCCAAGTGAGCCGTCACGCCACGTCCTTTTGTCCACTAGCGGTGTTCCGACGAGGCACCTTGCGCTTGGACCTGCCACATTAGTTGTCCTTCACCGTATGTGGCTGCTGCCGACTCCGGCGTATAAATACCCCATGCAATTCTCTTCCCTCTCCAGATCGCATCCTTTCTTCCAAAATACCAACCTTATCAATTTACACGACAGCATTCAATCTTGACATTCGGCCTCAATGGTCTTACACAACGTACGTCGTCCATCGACGCCTTGCATGTCGTCGCTCATCCTTCTTTCCTTTAGCCCCGCTATGTTATGGGAACAGCAGCGTACCTTCACCTCCACTCTCCGGCCTGGCCGATACCCCACGAACAAGCGAGCACAGACATTATTACAACCCGGCCGACGGTCTCGATCTCGTGCACTCTCAGCCATAGTCGAAGGCCTGATTGACAGGGCAGAAGACAATCCCCCGCCCTGCTGCGTGCGCCTCTCTCTGGAGGCGGTGTGGCAGATCCGAGATGCGTGGACCGCAGGGACGGGCATGAAGAAAATCCCATGCCGACGCGACTCCCCGCCCTGTCCACCTTGCAAGGCCTTCCCCTGCGTTCGCAGCCAAATGTGGCATCGCAATGTGTGTCCGCCGTACTGTAGGGTTGCCAGCCACGACGTCGCTCCTAGATCACGCCCATCTAGGGCCAATCGTTGGTCTCTGTCACTTGACACTGGGCTGGCTCACGTCCATGCCACACAACGATTGGAACGTCGTTGGTTGTCGTTCAAACGCCTGCTCCCTGATTTCCATGGTCTCGGAACTCCCCATTCGACCGCCACCCCTCCTGTCTGGCGTTCCGCCTCTCTGTGTTCAGTTGCGCGCCGTCCGGCCACGGGAAGTGGCGGCGTGTGGAGCTCGGCGCCCTTCCACAAGATGTTTCCCCGCGCGATATCAGAGAGTGGGCCCTAACGTACCTACCAACTCCAGCGGGCGCCACGGACCCCGCCCGGACGGAGACGCCGGCGACGAGGCGTCCCAATTCGAGTTCGGTATGCTTGCGACCGTACCCCCGGACCTGGCCGAATTATTCTCCGCGGCGTCCCCCGACCCTCGCGTGCTGCCTTTGGACGCCTTTGTCTGGCGTGCATATGCAGACGTAGTTGACGCAATTAAGCATGACGATCGTACACCCTTACCTCTGGCAGTGAAGTGGTGCGTGGGCTTGCATGCTTGACGGCATAGAGGGTAGGATGTCTGTCGGATACAGAGCGGTGTGCCCAGGATAGGTGTGCATCGACGCTCCGTCTTCAGATGCCAAACGAACAGGCGGCGTCTATCTAATGAGGTTGGACATGCGATTCGCCGACGGCTCGGTCTTGTAAATGGTGAAGGATTTTAAACTTCACGAAGACTCATTTGGGGATGTCGGACGGTGTGAAGGTGGATAGACAATCATGCAGATAATATTCCATCGTAGTCTGTCGGAGCGCTTTTTTGTTTTTTTTCTGGCTCATTGGGGTGGGGGCACAATTAATGATGTTTTTTGAACCGTGGTGTCTAAGCATTGGATATTGGTTATTGTGTGAAGCAGAAAGGCCTGTCGCGGAGTCACGTCATCGGCATTCGCCGTCTCCCAGTCACAATGCTCAAACGACCCAGAACATAATGTGAGTCTCAGCTGCTGCGACACCGTGTCACCAATGCCACCCTTGTTTTCCATTGTTTCTTGTTCTTGCATCATGCGTGGGCAAGACGTACTGGAGCGGTGACGATAACGACGACAACGACAACCGTCAAACCATGCCGTCGGAGGCCGTTGGTCGGGCCAGCACCGCCGTCGCCGTGATCCGCGTCGCCGACCGAGCTTGTAAAGTGCTAGAAAGCCTCTCGCGGCGCACGCATGCCAGCCCCTGTGCAGCACGGTACACATGGAGACCGCAGATTTGTTCTGCCAGCACAGGCTGACAGTCCCTCCCTCATTCCCTCACTCACAAGCGACACTCCTTTCGGCGCCGCCTCGTACCTCGCACCCGAATACGCGCATGCGGCCACTTCTTCCTTGGAAGAGGTCACCGCCGGCTAGCTCGCCCAGCGCACCCTTGATGTTGATTCCACGCGCGCCCCCGAGCTCGGGCTCGACCGTCGTCATCGTCTCGAACACATGTCCCCCGTTCGACTAACCGACCAACCGACCGACTGACCGACCGTGCCGCATGACGCAATATATTGTTTGGCGCTGTTTGTGAGCAACGGACAAGTCGTGTGGTCGTGTGTTCGCCTGGAGCTGCCTGGAGCTGTTCCCAAATCCATCGCTGCCATGGTGGATATACTCATCCCGTATTACAAGGAGTATATAAAAACCTTACTGAATCAACCACCACCACCAACCGCTGATAAAGAGAAATTCAGACAATGGGGAATCCAATGCGCGAAAGCCTTTGTAGGTCTGGTCTCGTTGGTTGCGTGATGCAGAGCTCACGGCTCCCTCAGAATCATATGTTCAGTTCGGAAGGTTATGTTATCGACACCGATGTGCCAACCTTGCTTGATGAGGCAGAGAAGATACTTGAGACGTGCGCCTCCGACGAATGGCTGGAATGGGGGGCGGTTATCCTCCGTGCTCGCGCACGTCGGCTCGACCAGGCGCAGCGCAACCCGCCCGCGACGCTCAAACAAGATGTTTCTGTGACGGGACCAGTTCATCTACTGGGAGATCCAGACAAACCAGAGGACGTCGTTCAGAAGACCGCCCGCGAGGTCGCGACACGGCAGCGCGAGAGGAAACTGGCGATGGACGCCCGCAACAAGGCCATCGTTAATCGGTTCATCCGGGGAGAGATCACGAAGAAGGAATTGAGGGCTCTCACTCTCAAACCACTGGATGGGTTTGACGATACCGTTCCTGGCTCGCAGCTTTCGCCAACCCCGCGCACACATACTCCATCCCACGCATCTCCTTCATACTCACGATCACCATTGTCCTCCTATTCTTCTCCAAAATTATCTTCATCTCCTTCGCCGTCTTCATCGCCCCAATCCAAGCCGCCCAACCGCTCCGTCGATCGCAAGGGAAAAGGTCCGGCCACGGTACCTCACCAGGGGAGCAGTGTGCGGAAGCGCGTCGTCTACGAAACGGATGAAGCGGAAGACTCGGAAAGAAAGCCGAAAAGAAAAAGAGGTAAGATCCCCAAGAACCTGCCACAAGGGGCGGTCCGTGTACGCGCATCCGCTACTGAGTCACATTTGTGTTTCCTAACGTCCAACAGGCCAGCACTGCGTGCGTCAGATGCTCTGGTTTCGCGACGCCGTTCCAGTGCTTCCTCTACCCAGGAACTGTGCGGTGCGTCAAGTGCGCCAGTGATCACCAATTCTGCCATGGAGCTATCCTTGCCGCAACCGCCACCTCCGAGCGCGAACCGAGTCGAGGTGAGGAACCTCCGACATACTTCCTCCGTGTCCCTACTTATCGCCACGTCGCCCAGCTCCTCGTCTCAGAAAGGTCACCTCCAAGGTGCCCACCTTGGTCGTCGTCGCTCCTTCCAAGGCGGCCAACGTCCCTTCAAAGTCGGTCGCGGGCCCGTCGCGCCTCAAGCCTGCCTTTGAGGAGCGGATGATTGCAGGCCCATCCAATCGAGTCGAGAGTCCCCCAGACATGGATGCCTCTGAAGATCTCCACGAGACGCCTCCTCCGATGGATGATGATGTGGAGGAGTACATCGCGCAATTTGTTTCGGACAAGCGCCAACGCTCCCGATCCGTGAGCTCGATCAAGCGCGAGATCAAGATGATGCGCAGGTGCTTGGACTATAACTTGGAAGAATTCCTTGCCCTCAAGGTTGAGCGGGACGCCATGAAGATCAGGAAGAAAAAACTGGAGGCGCAGGTGGAGGTTCTCACCAGATCAACGGTCTCGCAGCGAAAAAAAGAGATGTGATGCGTGTGGACCAGTCGGAGGAGGTGATCAACGAGGACGGCAATGGTGCCGCCTGGGCCCCAGAATAGTTTGGATGTACTCGTACTACAAAAGAGGCGGCGCGTGCCGCCGGACAAAGCCGAACTTCCAGCGTGACGCCCCCGACGTCGAAACTCGACTCAGATCCCGCTCCATAACCGCCTTTGGGTCCTGCGAAGTGGGCATGACGCGTCGTCGCGCGGCTGCAAAGTAGAACACTGCTTGTAGGAGAACCTATGCACGACGACCGCGATTCTCGTCGGCATATAGCAGGGCCTTGCCCTGCGCTGGCATGATGCCTCGAGCTCTGCAGCATACGAGACATTCTCGGGCCTTCCTTGGCAAGGGCAGCGTGGGCGACAGCCACGCCGTATGGCACCGCGGCCCGTGGGACGTGCCTTGGAGAGGGGTGGACAAAAGAATGTGGCATGGTTGTCCACAATGCGGCGCGCGCCGCTTATTCATGTGGCGGGCTGGCCCTCGAGGATCGTATAAATACCCTCTTGCGATGCCCCTCCTCCCTCACATCGTGTCCTCCCCTCATCCGCTCATAACTCATCTTACCACAATCACCCACCTCGACCTCGCGCGTCGATGGCCTTGCACAACGTACGTCCGTCCGTCGATGCCTCGGGTGTGCCGTCGCTCATCCCCCCGTCCTGCAGCCCAAACGTGTGCGGACACAGCGCCGTTACACGAACAAGCGAGCACAGACATTATTTCTCCGCGACCGACGTGCCCGGTCCGCTGACGCCTCAAGGCAGAGTCAAGCAACGGGCGCGCAGCTCGTGCGCCGGAGCGGTGGCACGGACATGGTCGAAGACGACACGGGGACGGCCAGTGCACGCCGGACAGCGGGTGCATGCACCATTTCCGGATACGAGCGGCGGCTGGAAAGCGGGATGGAGCAGCGCCCCTAATAAGCGTAAGTGATGTTTTTGAGGTAGCCAGCCGTGTGCTCACTGGTCGAATATCGTAGTGGCCTGGCTACCCACCGTAGGGAGCAGGGTATCGATGCCAAATCCCTGGAAGGCCCTGGGCGCGCACAGCGACGAGACAGACGTGGGGGGGATCTGGCTCGCCGTCCTCCTCAGCTTCACAGCTGCGATGCGGCGGTGTGGCAGATGCGGTTCGCGTAGCTCGAAGAGACGGCCGTTGCGAGGATCCGATACCGGCCCCCTCCCTCTCCTTCGCAGACATTGTATGTCCGCCCCGCCGTCTGCGACGAACAGCGACACCGCGCGTCTATCCGCCATCTCTGTCCGTATCAACGCAAGCACGGCGATGCCAACACGTGATGCGACGCCCGTTCCTCTCGGTTGCAGCGCACCGCACGTCTACCGCCATGGAGTCGGCAAATACGGGGGCGCCGACGGCGCGTCCGCCGAACGCGTATTCCCAAACCGGGCGTCCCTCCTATCAACGCCTCCTCGCCGTCATGCCGCACGAGCTGCTCAGCCCGCGTCAGGCCATCCCTCGCCCCTCCACCGCCCGCTCTCCATGGCGTCCCATGAACGGCCCCCGAGCACGCCGCGCGGTGTCTGCCCCCCGACGCAACAGCGTTCGAAGAGCCTTACCGCACGTACGGCTTGCGTGCGTAGGCGTCCTGCGCGACGCAGCTAGGCGCTCTAATCAGGCTGCCGTACGTTTCGAAGCGACGCGGGATCGTGGACCGTGTTTTTCCAGCCCGGACTGGCACCGACGAGCATGCCATACGTGAACAGCCTGTCGGACGCGGAGCGAGCGAACGGGCGTGCGTGCGTGCGTGGAGTACGTCGTAGCATACGCGTGCGTTGCCCGAGTGTTGCGGTTCGATGCGCGATTCGCAGCGAGCTCGGATGACGGGAAAACGGGGGCGCGCGCGGGTTTGCGCGCGGGTGGAGACGGAGTGCGAAGACGATGCACGCTGGCAAGCTGATCGTGTACGGAGCGGTCGTTTTTTCTTTTTTTTTTTCTCTCTTTTGTTGTCTGGACCTTCCAGTGAGGGGGGGGGGGGGGCGCGATCAATATGATGCGATTGTTTGTGGTGGTCTGTCAGGGCATGCTGAGTGAATGAGTGAGTCTGAGTGCGGTGTGCGACGCCAGCGACGCCGACGCTCGCGCGTGCGTGCGTGGAGTACGTCGTAGCATACGCGTGCGTTGCCCGCGGTAATGCGGTTCGATGCGCGATTCGCAGCGAGCTCGGATGACGGTAAAACGGGGGCGCGCGGGTTTGCGCGCGCGCGGGCGGAGACGGAGTGCGAAGACGATGCACGCTGGCAAGCTGATCTTGTACGGAGCGGTCGCTTTTTCTTTTTCTTTTCTCTTTTGTTGTCTGGACCTTCCAGCGAGGGGGGGGGGGGGGACGCGATCAATATGATGCGATTTTTGTGTTGGTCTGTCAGGGCACGCTGAGTGAATGAGTGCGGTGTGCGACGCCAGCGACGCCGACGCTCGCGTGTGCTTGGTGTCAACAAAAGGCCTTTTCGGCGCGGCAGAAATCAACCATCACATACCGCCCCACGCTCCCGCACGCGTGCGTGGTGTGTGGTAAATGCTCATTCGACTGTGATCAAAGAGGACCACGGGCGTCGGGCGACACGAACAGAAAGGCGAGCGAGGAACGGCGGCCGCGCGAGTACTCTACCCAGCGAACCCCCGCCGTGCGAACGAGCAGCCGGGGCCGCAGGCGGGTCGTCTCGGCTGACGACCTTTGCGAGGTCCAGAGCCGGCGCGAGTGCGCCGCGGCACCGAGATGGCGGTCGCTCGCGTGGAAGGCAGCGGGGGTGTCGAGCTGGGGCGCGCCGCGCATCGCGTCGCATCGCATGCTGGTACATGTTGTGTTTACTGCGAGGGTCTGGCTGGTTTGGGGCGGGATCGAGAGCGCACGGGAGCTGTGGGCACGCGGGTCGTCGGGTGTTGGATCTGGAGGACGAGGGCGAGGGGCGGCGCGGGCGCGGGCGGCGAGTCGGGCAGCGGCGTCGACGTCGATGTCGCGGCGGGGACGGACTCGGGTGGTCGGTGCGGGAGCGACAGATCTGGGGGAGATCGCGGAGCAGCGGTGTGGTTCTGATGGGGAGATGGATCGGGGAGGGGCGTGCAGGCGCCACTGGGAGGCGGTGCGCGGCCTCGTGGGCTTGCATCATCGCTCGCGCCAATCGGGATCTCGCCTGACGTCATTTGCGCTGGCAGAGAAGCACGGGGTCGCACGTCTGTGCGTGCGCGGGGACGGCCGTGCGAGGGAGGGACACGAATGGGGCGTGGTGTGGCGGCGTGGATGTGCGACGGGGACGTGCGACGGGGATGTGCGTCGGGGGGACAAAAGGTGCGGGGAAGCAGCGGGCGATGACGTCGGGAGGGGGCGTAGCGAACGCCGAGGGCGGGGCGGTCGCCATCGATGGGGGCGGCGGGTCATGTGAGTCGAGGCTGTTTGTGTGCGAAAGGAGTGTGCTGGTGACGTCAGCGGCGACGACAGCGTGATGGAGCAGACCCTAACCCCGGCGATGACATCACGGTTCCCACGGGTGGGCGACGGGACTGCCCTCAGATCGCCCCGCCGGCCACCTGCTTGCTTGCTTGCCTCCTCCACTCCACTCCACCCTCCCGTCTGCCCTCGTCGTCCTCGCCGCCGTCGTCCAGCCCGTTCCCGTCACCGTCGCAGCCAGCGTCCGCAACACAATGGCCGGAGACCACAAGTGCCCCGTCTGCCAGGCAACTTTCACAAGGCCCCAGCATGTCGCAAGACACATGCGCTCTCGTGAGCCTTCTTCCACCGCTCACCGCTCCGTTGCTTGCCGTGGGGCCTCCTCTCCCGTTGGAGCCCCCGCCCCCGCATCCGCCCCTCCCCCCTCCCCGTCGCTCTGCCGGCCTTCTTCTCGGCCCTCCGCTCGACTCGCTCACTCACTCGCACTCACCCCGACCCCGCTCCACAGACACCGGCGATCGCCCATACAAGTGTCAGCACTGCGGCGACCAATTTGCACGCAGGTCCGTCCGTTCACCCTCTTCTTTCTTGGCTCTCTCCGTCCTCACATCTTCCCCCTCGTTTTGCTTTTACAACCCCCTCCCTCCCAGCGACCTCCTTTCTCGGCACGTCAATAAATGTCACGCAAACGAAAAACCCCTCGTCTCCTCCGCACCCAACCGCCGCAAGGGCGCTGCCGCCGCCTGCCGCGCCACAACCTCAAAGCAGGCCTGCGACCAATGCGTCCAGTCCAGCCTCCCCTGCGACGGCGCAAACCCCTGTTGTCAGCACCCTTTTCCCCTTATCATCATCCATCACCCGCCCTTCGCTCCCCTATATCCTCTTCCGCCTCTCGGTTACTGACTCACCCGCTTGCTTTCCTTCCCCCTTCTTTCGCTTCCCTCCCACCCCCCTCTCGCTTGTCCGAATATCATATTCCGCCGTCGCCGCGTGCACAAACGGCCCTTTCCGCTTCCGTCGCTCCCTGCAGCCAAATGCATACACCGAAAGTGCCGCTGCACCTATGTCAAGTTTCACCGCCAAACCGCTCCTCAAGGTCCCGGCCACCCCGCTCGCCCAGGGCCCAGCCATTCCTCCACGGGTACTATCGGCCCCAACAACCTCTACTCGGGCCTCTCCCTCAATGACCCCGCCCTCCCCTCGGCCCTCGGCCCCCTCCCGACAGTGCCCCCCGGCTACCGCCTCTCCGACACCTTTCTCATGGGCTCCTCCGCCGCCCCAACCCTACCCCCGCCACCCTCCCAGCTCTACGCCCCGCAATACACTTTTCCGTCTTCGTCGGCACAGGCGTATCCATCCAACTCGCTAGAGCCGTACTTGCTGGGCTCGGGCTCCGCCTCGGCCTCGCGCGAGTCGTTTGACAGCACCGCGGACTATGCCGCCCGGTACCGCCAACAGGCCGAGATGCTCTCGCGCTCCGCCTCATCCTCGTCGGCCGCGAGGGGCATGCCGAGCCTCTACATGGATCCTTCACAACAGCATCAACAGCAACAACAGCAGCAGCAACAGCAGCAGCAACAGCAGAGATACGGCGCGTACGGCTCGAGAGACGCCGGCGTCGACTACAATCTCGGCCATCCGCAATCGGACAGCATGGCCTTTCCGCCGTCAAACCCGGGCGTGAACGACAAGGTGCGTTACGTCACGATTGATTAAAGTGGTGGACATCCACGCATTCCGTGGCCAAAAAAGAGTCCTAGGTACTGACGGTTCCCGCCTTGCGCCGCCCTCCGTGCCCCACAGCCCGCGCCGTACAGAGACAGCTATGCGCAGTATGCCTCGCACGATTACGGGCCCACGCACGCGCCGCACCCCCCGGCGAACGGCAACCATCCGTTCCAGTTTGAGCTGCACGAGCACGAGCATCAGGGCCATCGCCGCGGATCGCTGTCGCTCGCGAGCGACGACGGGAGCGTCGCGGCGCACAGCCAGAACGGGAGCGCCGCGAGCCCCTCGCAGCCGTCGTCGGCTGCGTCGAGCAGCGTAAACCTTCCGCTGCCCGGGATCGGGATGCACGATTATGGCCACCCGCTCATGCACCGCGGACATTTACCACAACCACACGACCCGCACGATCCGCATCACCAGCACCGGCACCAGTACGGGCTCGCAGGAGGGTACGCAGACTCGGATGGGCGGCCCGCGTCCTCGTCCTCGTCGACGCACTCTCACGCTCACGAACACCAGCAGCACGCGGACGGCGGGTACCGCGCGCACGGCCAGCCCCATGTCCACCCTCACGAGGGCGAGGGCGGGTTCTCGAGCGCGTTTGGGCTCATGTCGCTCGACGACCCTGCGGTGCTCGCGGGCCTGAGCCAGGCGCGCCGTTTTTCGAGGGCGTGCTCGGCGTCCCGGACGCCTCGTCCAGCAGCAGCAGGACTGGAGGCGGAGGAGGAGGAGGAGGGGGCGGAGACGGTGGTGGGGAGGCGGAGGGAGAGGCTGACGGGAACGGGGGGCCGACGCCGGGGAACCTGAAGGAGCTGCGCGAGATGTGGAAGCAGTACATGCGGAGCCCGCTCACGGGCCCCGGGGCTCGTCACGCCCACCGCCGGCGCCAACGGCCTCGCGCACGCCGCACCGGACGGCGGAGGCGGCAGCGGATCAGGAGGTGGCGGAGGCGGAGGCGGAGGGTACATGGGTCACGGGCGCAGTCCCAAGCGCGAGCGCGGGCTGACGCGCGTGGCGAGCCTGCCGAGCGTGAAGACGCCCGACGCTGGCGCCGGAGCCATCGGCGGCCTGAGGACGCTGCATCGTCCCGAGGACCTGCGGAGCTATGAGCAGGCGGTGCTGGCGCGGCGGACGCCGTTGACGCTGAACCTCGTGCCGCGGCGGCGGGGAACCGGTGCGGGCGTCGGTGCGGGTGCGGGCGTGGGCACGGGTGCGGGTGCGGCGCCTTTGGATTCGAGGTCGAGTTCTGGGTCCGGGTCTGGGTCTGGACCGGCGTCGGTGGCGGGCTCGGTGGCGGGCTCGGTGGCGGGCTCGGTGGGCGGGTCCGAGGGGCAGAAGAGCAAGAGCGGGAGCGCGAGTCCGGGGCGCGGGGCAGGTGTCGCTGGGGGGCTGGCGTTGCCCGTGCCCGTGCCGATGCCGATGCAGGTGCCGCAGGCTGCGATGTCGACGATGCAGCAGCAGCAGCAGCAGCAGCAACAACAACAGCAGCAACAACAGCAGCAACAACAACAACAACAGCAGATGCATCAAGCGCAGATGCAGCAGATGCAGGCCGTGCAGGCGATGGAGATGAGCAGGCCGAGCAGCACGTCGAGCGTGGGGTCGAGTTTGGCGCACGTGTTTGGGCCGGGCGCGGGTGCGGGTGCGGGTGCGGGTGCGGGTGCGGGTGCGGGTGCTGGGCAGAGCGGGAGCCTGAGCGCGTCGGCGTCGCCGCATCCTGGGTCGCAGCAGCTTCACCCTCGCCATACGCATCTTCAACAGCAGCAGCACCAACATCAACGTCAACATCAGCAACTGCTTCCCGCGATGGAGCATGGCCTTGGCGGCGGCGGCGGCGGCGGCGGTGCGGAGGACGTGGCGCGGCCGTCGTTCAAGCGGCTGCCGTCGCAGACGCTGGGGCCGGACTACTCGAAGCGGGCGGCACGGATGGGGTACGGCGAGGGCGAGAGCGCGCTCGACGACGGGGAGGACGGGGAGTTTGGGTTTGGGGGCGGCGTTAACGGCGGCGGGGCGACGATGGGGCCGCCGCCGGTGGGAATGGCGGTGCGGGGGAAGGGCAAGTATCATCCGCTCTCGGGCGCGGACGTGGGCGCGGGCGCGGGCACGGACGCGGGGACGCAGCATCATCAGCTGCGGCTTGCGGAGCGCGGGCGGCGGATGAGCGCGCCGGGCACTGTGGGGAGCGGGGTGGGCGCGTTTGGGCTGGAGCTGGGGCTGGGGCTGTCGATGCCGATGCCGATGTCAGGGGCGTCGCTTAGGCGGGGCGCGGGTGCGGGTGCGGGCGTGGGCACGGGTGGGGTGGGTGAGCGGGGCGAGCGGGGCGAGTCGAGGGCGTAGGGCGAGGAGGAGAGGCGGCTTGGTGGACTAATTACTATGCATGCGTACATACCTCGTGTTCTATCTTTTCGCGTTTGCGTTTGCGTTGAGGGTGCTTCCTTTCATTTCAGTACGGCAGCGTCGGTTTCTTTCTTGTTCTTGTTACATACTGCTCGACTGACTCTGTTTGCCTCGGCCGTATACGATCCTAATGAACGATTCTTACCGCCATCGGCGCTCGCCTCGGAACTCGACGGACGCGCTGCGTGTATATAATATATGATATGATATGGTATGACATGTACATTTTCTTTCTTTTTTCTCTTTTCCTTTTTTTTACCTTTTTGGATGGATGGATGTGGGGTGGTGCGGTGTGGTGCTGTCGTCGTTCGGCGGTCCTTGTCCCGCTCGACGCTCGTGTCGTACAGCGTTCAACGTTTTGTCGAGGCGTCGAGGCGTCGAGGCGTCGAGGCGTGGGCTCCGGCGGTCACCGTGCTGCGTACTGCTGTGGTACGTGTGGAAATGTTGCTGTTGTGTGCATGCTTGTGTGTATGGACGAACGTGCGTGCGTATATTGTGTTTGAGGATGAACGGGTAGCACTCGGGTACTCGAGCTCGTGCACGTCTGAACTTTGGAGTCGACGCACAGCGCGACCGCGGAAGGCCGGGTGTCCCGGCGGACTCTGGAGAAGGAGGTGACGCCGATTCACTGATATACACTGATACGCTGCAGGCGGCCGGACGGCGCACGCGCCGACAAACAAGCTCTTGCAAGATTTTTATTCTTCGCGTGCTCATCGCACAGTCGCACACACGGTCAGAATCGCCGACCTCAGACTCAATCGCACAACTCAACAAGTCAACGCCCAAATCGGACAAAGCAAAAATATATATATATATTAATCGATCAGTCGCCCCCTCCCCAACTTAGAGACCCGAACAAGATAAAAAAGCACAGTGGCAGCGCTTGAGATCAGCTTGCCAGCATGCATCGTCGAGCGACTCCCGCGCGCCTTTCACGCGCGGACGCGGCCGTAGGTCGGCCTGCCAGCATGCATCGTCGAGCGACTCCCGCGCGCCTTTCACGCGCGGACGCGGCAGTAGGTCGGCCTGCCAGCATGCGTTGTCGAGCGACTCCCGCACGCCTTTCACGCGCGGACGCGGCCGTAGGTCGGCCTGCCAGCATGCATCGTCGAGCGACTCCCGCGAGCCTTTCACGCGCGGCCGCACGACGCCCGCCGCCCGCCGCCCGCCGCCGCCCGAGCGCGCTGCAAATCTGACATCCAATCGCGTCACGTGCTCGCAAGCCCGTGCGCCGGTTCCCGAACCCCGCGCGGCGACCACGCCTATCTGCATCACCACACGTGCGGCAGCCTGGTTCGCGCCCTGGTTGGCGCCGCGCAGGGCGCTAAGCCGCCGACCATGCGCGGTGTGATCGTTGAAGTCGGCGCATCGAGTGACAAGATGGGCGGCTCAGGCGATGCCGCGGGGCGTGCCAAGGGGATGTCTATGTGCGTGGATCGAGCGGTGAAGTTGTCATACAAAGCGGCCGCCGCAGGCGATGGAGGGGCGCGCGCCGGCGTGTCTTCAGTCTGATTATCCGTGTGGCATGGCTACGAGGCGGCTCCTATAGGAGGGGACAGACGTTCACCGCCGAAGCTGCGCCCTCGGCGGACGCGCGCTCGGCACCGCCAGATTTGGCGACCCCGAGGTGGTGGACGCGCGGTAGGCCGCGGCTATAGGGAGGAGCGGGCGACACATCGCGCTCCAGCATCGCCGTTCATGCGTTAGCTGTGCTCGGATACGGTGGATAGACGCGCCCTTGCACTGCTCATTGCCGTCGGTGGCGCGGGCGGCGCGGGGGGCGTGCGATCCCGGCGAGTGAGGGGGAGGGGGCCGGCGCCAGAGCCTCTTGGCGTGCGTCTCTTCGTTCTACACACGTCCCGCATCCGCTCTAGCGCGGCACATCACCCAAAAGCTCTTCACGTCCGCCCTGTGGCCGCGCGCGTCCAAAGTGCTCCGGACGACTGCACATTCAACCGTGCCAGTCGCTACCGGTAGCCAAACCACTGGACGAATCGACAAGTTAGCAAAAAGGCCGGCGATCTGGACGAGATCACGCACGCTGATTGGCCTCTCGGGGGCGCGCGAGCGGCGGGCCCATGCCTTGACCCTGCCTTGGGGCGTCAGCAGACCGGGTTCTTCGGTCGCGGATAAGTAATGTCTGTGCTCGCTTGTGCGTTGGACGGCGCTGGTCCCGCTGCAGGAAGAGAGCATGAGCAACGGCACAGTGCGAGGCGTCGACGGGCGGACATACGTTGCGTATGACCATGGAAGCGCAATATCGAGGTGGGTAGTTGTGATAATATGAGTTATGAGGGAGGGCAAGGTGCGTTGGGATGGAAGAGGACTCGCAGAGGGGTATTTATACGATGCTCGAGGGCCAAGTCTGCCACATGAATAAGCGACGCGCGCCCCATTGTGGACTCTGATGCCACATTCTTTTGTCCACCTCTCTCCAAGGCACGACCAGGCTGCCACACGGCGTGGTCGTTACTCGCCCTCGCCCTCGCCTCCGCCTATTGTCTACAGCTCATACGTCGCATAATTCCGAGGCGTCGTGCCGGCGCAGAACGAAGCCTGCCATATGCCGTCGAGATACACAGTCGCCGATTTTGAGGATACCGTATAGGTGCGTGGCGCGGCATGCCCACCCTCGCGGGCACCGAAGACGGTCGTGGAGCGGGATCTGGGTAGCCTCGTGCTTACCAAGCGGAATAGGCCAGGCGGGCTTTGAAAGACCACGGTGCGTTGCCGTCGGAGTCGTTACGGCTCGGCACGCCGACGGAGAGCGGAGCGACGGAGGTTGAAATGCCGGCTGGATGCGCCCCGAGCACCCGACACCGTGCGGATAGACACCGCGCCCCGCGGCCGCATCGCCACCACGCCTCGTCTTCCGGATCCGCCTGCGACACGTGACGCCCGCAGATACCGCGCGCCGTCGACCCTGTCAGTCAGGCAGCTGGCCGGCAAGTCCCCCGCAGGACAACACAGTGCGTCGCCTAACTATCTTCTGCGTTAGGTCAGCAACAGAGACTATGCGCCGCCTAGCTCAAGCGCGCACGCCATCTCGGTGCTGCACCGTCCACGCCCGCCTGCTTCTTGCTTCGCACAGTCGCTCGCGCACAACAAGGGCAGGTCGTTCGCGCGGCGGAGGCTCGGCGGGGGTCCGCTCTGCCTCGCTTCGCCCGTCTGGGGTTCACTCAAGCGGAGCCACGCACGCCGTGGGCCGCGGTGCTGCAGACACACTTCGCGCACGCGACATGCTCATCCCTCGCTCTCTGCCCCAATCAAAACGCGCACCACGTGTGCTCTCGCCGTTGCGCGATGCAGGCCTCGCCCGCGTGCCGGCAATGGGCCCTGCACTCATTTTGTTCATTTTGTTGATCGGTCGGCAGAGCGCGTGCGACAGGCGATGCGACGCAGTGGAATATCTCAGTTTGCTGGGAGGATGCAGCAGTCGAGCTCTGTCGCGCTCGAAAGTTCATGCCATACACGCGCCTCGAGCTGAAGAGCTTGGCGGCGCGGCGTCGGCGCAACTGAACAAACACTACTAAACGCTGCGGCTGTGCTGTGCAGAGCGCAGTGATCCACCCAAACAATCGAGTTGCACGTCGCACATGCTCCCAGTCTCTCAATCATTCACTCAGTCGCTCAGATATGCAACGTCTAGATAGATCAATGCAGCGCTTTATATTGATAGCGTCCCCCCCCAACTGATGGATGCTAATAGCAAAAAAAAACGACCGCTCCACAACAGGTCAGCTTACCATCTTACATGCTCAATCCACCTCCGCACTAGCTCTCATCATCGCATGAAGTGATATGATACCCCCCGCGTGCCCTCCGTTTTCCCGACATCCGAGCTCGCTGCGAATCACACATCCAACCACACTACTCCAATCCGTTGATTCTTACACAACGACATCCTAGATGCATTCGCTCGGTGTCCGATTCCCGCGCGCCCACGGGTCCATTCGACCTGCACTGCTGTATGCGTGTGACGGGCTTTCCATGAGTGGGCTGATCGGCCTGCATTCCCGGCTGGAAAAACACGGTCCACCAACCCGCCGCCCAGCACAGCGCGCGCACGCGCTGGACTGTACCACCCCACGTACGGCAGCCTGATCAGAGTCCTGAGATGCGTCGCGCAGAACGCGTATCTGAGGATGACGATGCGCGGTGTGGTCTTCAAAATCTGTGTGTTGAGTGGCGAGATGTGCGGCTCAGGCGATGCTGCAGCGCGCGGTGCCAAGGGGACGTCTATGTGCATGCATCGGGTGGTCAACAGGCTATAGAGAGTAGTCGCCGCAGGTGGTGTGGGGGCGAGGGAGGGCTTGACTTGGGCTAGATCATTCGTGTGGCATGGATGCAAGGTGGCCTTGATAGTAAGGACGCTCAGGGTGGGAGATGCGCCCCCGGGAGGCGAGTCGTCGACATCGCAGTATCTGATCTGGCGACTCCAACGTGGTGAACGCGCGTCGCCCTGCCATAGGGAGGAACGGGCGCATCACACTCCAGCATTGCCGTGCTTGCGTTTATGCGGACAGAAATAGTGGATGAACGGGCCGTATCGTGAGTCATCGCGTACGGCGGGGCGGGCGTCGCAACCGTCGTGTGAGTGGAAGGAGGGGAACGGCATCAGATCCTCTTGACGTCTGCTGCGTCGCTCCGCGCGTCCATAATTGGGCCTTCAAAGAATCGGTGCACCGAACTGTCCTGGTTGTGCCCGGGTAGTCTTACAGGGATCCCGGATCGACCGGCTGCTGATAAGGGCTGGATAGACAGGCCACTGCAATAGCCGACAAGTAAGTAGGAGCCCAGCCATCTAAAAGACATCGCTTACTTTGATTCGGAGCTGTGCTGACGTTTTCCCTGTTGCGATACGAACAGACGTATGTCTACAACTCTCGAGGTCGTCAGGCGCGTCTCGCACTCGGGAACGGCGCACCCGCTGCCTGAGAGGCACGCACCAGGCGACCGTGTCTCCGGTTCTGCTGCGCGTTTGTCCCTGTCGGGCGCACGAGCCGCGGGCCCGTTGCTTGACTCTGCCTTGCGACAGATCGGGCACGTCGTTCGCGGAGAAATAATGTCTGTGCTCGCTTGTGCGTTGAACGGCGCTGGTCCCGCATAATTGCGGGCTGGAGGAAGGGAGGATGAGAGACGGCACAGCGTGAGGCGTCAACGGACAGACATACGATGTGTAAGACCATCGACGCGCGATGCCGATGTGGGCAGTTGTGGTAAGATGAGTGGTGCGTGGATGAAGGCTGGAGAGAGGGAGGCGCTGTGAGAGAGGAGCGAATGCAGGGGTATTTATATGATGCTCGAATAAGCGATGCGCGCCGCATTGTGGACCCTCCTGCCACATTCTTTTGTCCACCTCTGCAAGGCATCGGGCCGCAGCGCATGGGCCAGGCTCTAGAGTCCACACGGAGCTGTGACTTTCCCTGCCCTCGCTCATTGTCCTGCGGGAGGCTTGAGAACATCCCATATGCTGCAGAGCTCCGAGGCATCATGCCAGCGTTGGCCAAGGCCCTGCCATAGTACTCGTGTGCTGCCGAGATATGCTGTCGATTTTCGAGTACAGTACACAAGTCCTGATACTGCGCGTATCTGCTTTGCAGCTGCGCGAGGACGCGTTGTGCCCACTCCGCGGGGCTCGAAGGCGTTCGTGGAGCGGGATCTGAGTGCAGGCACTGGGCAGCGTTGCGCTGGACGCTCGGCGTTGTCCGGCGGCACTCGCCGCTGCCTCTTTCGTAGCTCAGTAACGGCGCTGTTTGCACACTCGACGGTTCCACCATCTGCATGAGCATGGCGATATTGACGCGCCATCAAGCGAAGGGATGAGTGTTCATGGTGTCGAGATGGGACTGGCGCGGGCGCGCCTTCACCGTGCCACGCACGCTCATAGTGCGTTGTATGCATCTCATGGCTTTCGGTCTTACGCTGTGCGCTTTCCAGCTTCACTCGCACGGAACCATACACAATGATGGAAGAACAGAAAGCAATATATATATATATGCAAATCCCCACCCCCAGTCAAGATATTGTAAACAGACCCTCGCCATCATACCTGCCACTCGGCCCAACTTGTCTCCTCCCGCCGCATATCCGGTGAGTCATTATCGAAGGCGGGGAACGGTGGTATTGTTATTCTCCAGTGGAAGTCGAAAACCCCACAAACCCCTCTTTTTGCGCGTCTAGAGACTGTATTTAGTCCGTAGAACGGACGAAGATGACTCGAGGAATGCCCAATCGCAAGTTGTCAGATCCAATGACGTACGTGTTAAGCTCGATAGTGCGAGAGAAATCTGTGGGTAGATAGATATCCTGGAGTGCCAGGCCGTGTTCCTTCTGGCAACGATACGTTGCTACACAAGGGCAAGTAAATGCGGGGGAGGGTTGGGAAAGGGCGGGGTCACCGCCGTCGGTATTCTGAGTGACATCCGGCCGGGCGTCGAGAGGAGGATACCCACTATGAGTACCGGAAGCCGAGTGGCATTTGGCTGTAAGGTGTTCCTGTATCCTCTCGCAGAAGACGGAGGGATTCTCGTTGACGTTTTTAGGACATTGAATCTGCGGCAATGGACACGGTAGGATCGATGCTCGCATGTTGTGCAATGACCAGGAATCTTCTGATTATAGCCTATCCGAAGCACAGAGCGGTTCTGCGACACCGCACCTCGCGCTTGGAATCCATCTCCTCTTGCACGGGCAGCCGGCCACTGGTCATCCGCGACCGCGGGTGCTCTGCGCGGATCGGTAGCCTCAGTCTGCGCACGTTCATGGTGAGGATGGAAAATAAGCTCGTAGGGCCCATCATTCCCGAGGCTCATGGTCCCGTGTCATTGGAATGCGACAGATTTGGACGAAGGCTTGTTGCGAGGATGGTGGAGACGTCGTGGCATGAGCCTGAGCATCCCAGACCTTCCTGATAATGGCATCGCATTCGAGTAGGGAGGAATGGCATCAGAGCAATGAGGGGCAATCAAAGATGCCGCGACGTACCTGGTGACCCTCTTCACATTAGGATAGTGAGAAGGCGGGGTCCTTCGATGCGCTGACAACAGGTGCGTCAACGGGCGCAGTTGTCGGTAACGCGCAGGGTGAGTTGCTCGTGAACCTGGCGCGCAGGAAGCTTCGTTTGTGGCGTGCATCGGAGTGACGCCGTACATAATGTCTGTGCTCGCTTGTGTGCGCTCTGCATCTGCCAGTGCAGTGCCGCGGATAACAGTCTGTGTGGTCTGGTATCGTGGCATTGATGAGTGTCGATGCGATAGTGGTATATGGAGAAGGCGTACCTTGTTTGGTATCATGTATACGGCGGAATGTTTGAGAAAGTGATTGGGGACGGGGAAGCGGAGGAGAGCTGTTGCTGGCAAGAAAGGGATTGCGCCCGGGTATTTATAGGATCGTGTTTGCCACATGTAGCCACGATGCACCGTCGAAGCGCCTTCGGAGCCACATGCCACATGTTTATTGTTACGTCGTGTGCCACAAGAAGCGTAGCACTGTCCGCATCGAAAACGTAAGACTAGATCAAAAAAAAGAGACATAACTCGACGAAAAGAAGTCAGCATGAGTGCGGAGCGAAACTGTTCCAACACAATATCCCGTGAGCTGAAATGATTCTGTTTACAAGATGCCTCTCCTCGAGAACCAAACCTGGAGAGCGTCCGCTTGGGTGAGCCAAACGCTTCGCCCGAGATCAATCAATCGACCAAGGTACGTCGTCACAATATCATCGTAAGTGGTAATGAAGTCCAGATCTGTCGCAGTCATAAACCGACCTCGACCTGTTTCTCCGCCAAAGGTGATGTCATGCCACAGATCCTCCAGTCCCTGGAGGTATTGAGACTGTTTCTCGCCATGTGGTCCTCGCCCTATACCCTTAGCAATTGCATAGAACGTCCCACGATTGGCATGAAGGCTGTGCGGTTTGTGCACACAGAGAGATATGGAAAGATTGTCAAGCATATGTAGAATCTGGGCAGTCAACAATTTCTCGGGGTGGGAGAGTTTAATTACGATCGTCCCTCCTGGCGCCACTGACCGTAGAGCGATGACAATCTGAGAGATGAGAAGACGATGACGATCCCATTCATCTGGGTCGGTCAGCGCAGGGGAGCGATAGGTCCGCAAGAAGTGTCCATCGAGAATAACAATGTTGAAGCGTGCTGCGAAGCCATCTGGCAAAGGCTGCATGGAAGTCAGCAACAGCGGTCTGTGACCCGAATGAAGTTTGTAGTAGAGGAGATCGGCGAGGTGCAGTTCGAAGCGAGAGCTGAGATGCTGTTCGAGAGCCATGGGATGACCGCCCTGTTCGATTGGTAGCGAGATCCCAGTGCCATGGGCACGATGATGTTTCTGAAGAATATAGGACGTGAAGCCGCCTGGACAGCATCTTCCGATCAAAGACCGTCAGTGTCTACACTTCGATAGCGAACCCAAAAAGCCTTACCCAAGGTCTAAAAATTCCAATCTCCCAAAGGTTGGGACAAATCGCGCCTGGACATCGAGCTCGCGGAACACCTTCTTCATCTTGTTGAACCATATCGAATTCATACGATCGTCTGCGGAATCCGCGATCTGTCTCTGGCGATTGAAGTGACCATCTAAGCCTTCCTCATCCCAACCCTAAATGAGGGCAGCCATACGTCAGAATCTCGAAAGGCGAAGTTGATGTGTCGCACCTTCTTCCTCAATACTTTCAGCAGCTCCAGTTCGAAAACGTTCTGTGCCAGAATTTCAGAGGAAAGGTCCTTCAGCAAATATGGCTCGGGGCATTGAGGAGAGACTGGAGACGTAGCCATGATGAGAGCAGGCACTTGAAGCCCGTCTATTCGCCTCCCAGGTAGAAATAGTCCCCTGTCGTTGATGTCACGGGTCAAGCACTAACCCGTTATGCTTATTCCAGAACTATATGATTGATTGTACGGAGATTGAGATTGCTTCTTTCGTCTCAGGTTCACCGAATCTGGTCTCCAGCGGCTAAATCGTGAGCTTAAAACTTGCTGAGCCCACCAACGCGACCCGGGATGAGCCAATTATATACTCAAAAAGCATGAAATGAGCAAAGGCAAGCTTTCGTAAAACATGGCCGCCTCACCTGAGAATGTCACCCGATTATGCCGTTCTTCGTCATGATGAGCCAACGCTCGACTCCAGTCCACATTGATCACGATAAGACGGATACCAGGCTGATAGAACTAAATATAGTTTCCAACTATTACATAGAAAGAACCAAGTTAATAGACCGCGGAGACGCATGGTCCGGACGCCGCGAGGATGCAGACAGTCACTGACGTCATTGACGACTGCGCCTCCCGATATATCCTGAAGTGTATCAAGAACAACCCAACCGGGGCTAGAGACAATTCTATCAAAGCGGCGAAGTCGCAGAGATACCTTTACGAGGATAAAGGTGTGTGTGATCCTTCGAGGTGGAGCTCCTCGCCTCGCCGCCCTCTCTCAAACTCAACCTCTCGATAATGGTTCCTAGACGGGAAGGCCTTCGCTAGATGCGCGCATCGGATGAGGCAACACCTACTGGGTATAAGCAGGGATGAGGAAAGGACCTATGTGTGAGGGCAAGGATGAAGGATCAAAAAGAGCGATGCGCTTTGGAGAAATGCAACGTCAAGTGGGGCCATTCCGAGAAAGATAACTGTCCTACAATGAAGGAGCAAAACATGAGCGAAACTTGAGCGAGAGAAGTCGGAAGATATTCTTACGTCACTGAGTACCTCACATGGCTTCTACACGGCGACATGGTGATCCAGATCCACTAGCTTTCCTGACTGTCGATTGAGCCGTGGGGAGGCACTCCTCAATGGGATTGACGGGAATGCCAACCTTAGAGATGAGGATTAGGCCAGGCTCGATGCCGGGGAGGAGCGAGAGGATGAAGAGGGATGCATCTTATTCTGAAGTCGAGAAAATACAAATGTAATACGAAGCTGCACAAGAGAAAGAGACTACCCATGAATTCTTTTGATTGGGTCATCAAGCCTCATCGGTGGGACAGTATCCGAGTATTGCAAGTGCGCACCTGAGGGGTGGGTGTGTGGATATATTCGCGTGCGCAAGAAAGCTAGGTATGTGCATAAATTCGCCGGCGGTGGCATAATCAGGCGGCTGTCGAGAGAGTGTCTGGTGAACAAAAAGGGGGGCAAAAGAAGTAGGCAGTAAGCAGACCTTGAGCCGTAAGATCTTAAGTAAGATAGTGAGGAAGCGATGATGCGTATACAAGATAGGAGGGGACAGTCGAGGAGAAAGGGTTTTCGTGAGAGCATTCATGCAGTCGAGAGTCGCCACGAGGCCACGAGTACATCCAATCGGGATGTGGTTTTATGTGTCGCCACCTGAGTCAAAGTGCAGGTCAAAGGTGGACAAAGATTGAAATTGTTACATGAGCTCCACTGCGTAGGACTTCTATGGTCCAATTTCTCAGATAGTTTCATTGTCCAGAAACACATAGTCTTTCTACCGGTGGTCAGGGGTCACTATAAAGAGGCTTTACAAACGGACGCTGGTCGATAATATATGAGTATCATTCCCTGGAGTGAACGGACAAAACAATGCGCACTCCTTGGGTCTCAATGAGATTAGCAAATGCCTTTTTCCCCCATTACCTCAATCATCTCATGCTCCATGTCGAGAAAGACATTTATTGGACGGATGCGATATAGAGAAAGTCGCTCGCGTGTTTGACTTGTAAAAAGGACGAACATCGCCTGTCTACGAGGCCAGATGCACCGTTCTGAACCTCATGTCCAAGGCCAAATTGTCAAATTTTCCATGGTCGTCTTTCTCAGGACGTGTGAAGATATCATGTTAGGTGTCAGCTTCAGGATGTTTTGCCTGATACTGTCCTGTGTCGACGATCTGGAGTAGTCATAATGGAAATTGGAGCGCGAGGAAGTGTCAGAAAATTTGACTAATGCCATTCAACGCTTTCGCTTGTTGTGGATGATAGAGATGAATGATGGTCGATGTATATGTTCCGTTCAACGAACGACGCGTCAACGTCGCGACTGGTTGCTTTCCAAATGAGCACAAAGCTTACAAATGTAAGTACGACCCGTGCACGTCGCTTTTGGACTGACCTTCCCAGCTCCTTTCGCCCCCGGGCTCTCTTTTCTTCTCATAGTCGCTTGAGCTTAATGTATATACTGGGTTTTAAAGTCGCCATTATTCTAGCGGCATTGAATACGAAGCAGACATGGACATGCAATATGCAGGGTGTTCAGAATCATAGCACGTCGTCGACTTAGATAGACCTCGGTGAGTGGCAACCTTACGACGCCAGGGACACGATTGACACTTGCTTTTCCAAGTCCGAAGGTTGGGCCATTGGGAAAACAGAAAAGATCTTCTTCTTAATCTCGAATCACCGTCCATCGCACACCGTCTCCAACGCAAATCCTCAACTTTCCATATCAATCAGATCCACCACCATGATGTCTTCTGTCCCGAAGACTTCCCAATTCTCCTGTACTTTTTGTTTCAAGAAAGCGAAGCATAACAATAAACTTCTGCGATGCAGTGGTGAGCGTATCGTCGATGTCCGTGCAAACTCTCAATACTAAATCGGGTTCAAGGTTGCCACTCAATGTATTACTGTGTCAGTGACCTTCGCTCTCATACTCGAACAAGAGCTGATCGACCCATTCTGCAGAGCAAAACATGTCAAGGAAGCCATTGGCCCGTGCACAAAGACCTCTGCAAGAGCTTGCGGCGGACTCTAGCGCCCGATGGTCCTCTCTCGTTGATAGAACCCTTGTCTGGCAAGCGCAAGCTAGACATTTTGAATGATCTCCGTCTGTGGCGTACGGTAAGTGTCAGATTTTGTATGCGCCACGCATGAGCGTTCCCATTGATTCTTTCTTGTATATGTTAGACGCATCAGGATGCCCTCAACTTTGTCACTATTCAAGCCTTGCAATTAGATATCTTCCCCGAGCGTGCCAAAAATCAGTTTCTCGAAATTGATCTCGAGTACACATCAGACCAATCGCGCGACAAGTTCATCATCAAATCCGGGCACATTCACACCGATGTTCCTGCTGAGGAAATGCTCTACAAGAGTTATCATGGAACAGCAGATGATGGTCCTGCTGATGGCACGGTGATAGTGGCAAACCTCAGTGTCTCGTGTGGCAATGTGTCAAGTGCAGGAGGGATAGTGATGGGAACCAGTATTGTCCCTCGAGTATCTGCAGCGAATTGGCTCGAGATTTTGAGAAAGGTGACGTCTCAAGAAGTAAGCCTCCACACCTTCAGGGACATATTGGGCGCAGTGCGTCCATATTATGACAGCCGTATGAGCAATGATCCGTCACTCTGTAAGTGCAGGCGTACGTCTCTCGGTAATTGAGGAGATCCTTATACTTTATGGACAGACCTTATCGCGCAACTGGCCCGCGATGTGATAATAGGAGACATGTATTCTTCTAGTGATCCAACTTTCCACACGACCGTTTACATGGCGCTCTCAAGTCCGGATTCTGACTAGTCTTCGTGAATTCACATATATACGTTGCAGTATTTCACTTGTAAGCATCCAGTTCTTCATTCACAATCAAGGTGGCTGATGGATTCAGCAGAATTCAACAGACGAAGGTGTGCGTGATCGTGATGTATCATATACATGTATACCGTTTACTTGTGAACGATGCCGACTCTAAAGTGAACAGATTTGATACTCTACCATTCATTTCTTCTCAGGCAGGAATGACAGCGACTATTATGAGATGTGACTTCATAACTAAGGTGCGATGGCACCGAACTGGTGCCGAAAAGTGGACAATATGCTTAGCTTTGTCTCGCTTAGCCCGACAAGCTGGGACCTTTCTGAAGACGTCTGTTTCATTTCTTCATCTGACAGTCAAATAAATTCTTCAATTCCTCATTCTCGTGTCGTACCCTGAGTGACTGTCACCGTCTACCCCGTACCCAGACGCTTTCTCTTAGCAGGATCCATCTGGTGGGGTACGCTCCAGAGCTGTCATGTTGTGGCAAGCATCGAGCTCTTTGCGCTGTTCGATGTGATGAATTATGGCATCAATACTATTAAGGGCAATGATAGGAGTAATGGGAGACGTCCTGACGCAAGCACGTGATTGATATATGATTGTAATCCCACCCCAGAAATTTGACAAAAAGAGAACATTACAATATGTAAGTGGAGGAAGACACGCCTGTCACCCTCACCGGCCCCATCCAATTTATGGCGGTGGCCTCTAAACCCGTACGGGCTAGGGAGGCGCTTTGGCTTGAGCTGTTGATCATGGAAATCGATAAGGCCGAGGCGACCATATCCACAAGAGTCTACGTCAACGCTGGTTGTAGAGGCCATTTGGAGTGTTGCATGATCCTGGCACAAGCGGGTGTTCACATTCAGGAGGATGATCAGGGTGGATGCGGGGAGGAGCAACGCTAGGAGACCAGCAAAGTAGGCATGACCGAAGCTGGTCATTTTGGATGGAACAGGTGGCAAAGCGGAGAAGCAGGCCACTCGTACATCGCTTGAATATCGCCCTTGCAAGTGACCTATAGAGGGCAGGGTACGTGTGCATGTCGTCCCTGCCAACCCATAAAGAAGGCCTACAGTTCTACAGTGGCTTGATCGCATGAAGAGCTCAGAATCGTCGGTCTGGGTCAATTTAATCTGGCCATCATATCCTGGTTGACGCAAGGAATACAAGTTAGAATGGCCAGCAGAGAGAATAGCGATATGTGCAGCCGTCTACGTACAGTATGATTCCTATGTCTGGTGACCGAATTCTTGAAGGACAGGCTTCCCATTGCCTTGCTATATCCCTCGAGCCAATTCCATGAGGTTCCTAATGAAGTAGTCAGCGATGAGACATACAAAATAGATGTGAACGAGACTAACTAGGACTAACCGTCACTGCGGGTGCTGAATACAACGTCGCACCATGTGATAACACGTTGACCACTTAGGGGATATAGACCCTTGGGAATACGGCCATCGATGCAATCGATGATCCTCCCACGGCCCTATCTCTACCAGATCTCAATTCGTGAGGAAACAACATCCCATCAGTCAACATGATATGCGCTATATGCAGGATCGATGCCAAACTGAACAATAATCCTGATTGAATCATGAGATGGGTAGTCCAGCAGTGCATGCCCTCATGTCTCCTTTTTCACGTCCTTGGACAGACTACATGCCACTGTAGTCATAAGCAGAGACAGTCCAGGAGAAGATATCGAGAACCTGTAGGTGTCTTCATAAAGGCGATAATACTGTCGACATCCACAGGTTGCCGATGAAATAATGTCAGTGCTCGCTTGCTCGAGTGCCCGTTTGGTACGAGCGAGCAGCAATATGTAGCGAGAACTGCGGAGCCTGGTTTTGGTGGCAGGGAAATAAGAGAGGTACTTCGACAGCGAACAGTTAGCAGCAGGAAATGAAGACATTGAAGGAGAGCATACGTTGTCTATGTCACCAAGATCGTAAAAGCAAAGCTTCGGTCGGCGCTGATCCAAGAAAACCCCGAGAGCAAAGGGATATGCAGGCAGCATTATGGAGGTTATTGAAGAAAGAGAGGGTCGATTGGGGCATATTTAGACGATTTCGATAAATCATGTGGCATGCTGTTTATTGTTCACAAAGCTTGGTCCACAAAACTTGCCTATTGTCCTCCGCCATGTCCAAGGCCCCAGAGACCCGCCCACTATTGTGAATGTGGCAATCCTACGGAGATGGGGTTGCCCAGGCTCATGCGACACATCTATTTACGCACCAAAGAACTGCATTCTCCGTTGCATAGATCTGCAAGAAAGTTCTTGTCTGACCATACTTAAGCCAGATAGAATCATTATGGCAACGTAAAGCCATACAGACAAGATTGAGAGTGAGAAAATCAGCACATGTGTTTTCAAAATTCTTCAGGACCGGGTGCAAGCCATATCAGCACGGTAGTGTCTATTGCTGAGAAAGAAATGTGGGAGCTTTCAAAGCATAATAATAATAACCCAACAAAAAGAAAGGACAGCATCTCGAGAAAATCCGCTGACGACGATTGTCGATAGTGCGGGAGGGTCCGATACATGGACCTTGGACTAGAGACTCCATTAGAAAGCGATGGAGGGATTAAAGATGCGTGAATGCTACCGGGAGACGAATCCTTATACAGATCAACACTAGAGCAGTAGCAAAATGGTAGAAAGGAACACACCAACAAATCCTGTGCAACGATTTTCACCCTGAAACCGGTCCCCAAACAACCTGGGAGGCAGCCATATCCAAGGACTAAATTCACTCAGTGAATCATCATCTAGTATAGCCATACTGTAGTCGCCAAAAAAATGAAGGGGGAACAGCAGGTAGAGCTTCCGTCATGTCGTCATCTATAGTTCGCGAAAAGAATCTGAGAGGACCATGCTGCAGTTTCCGTATCACACAAAAGGGTTGGCCATCGATAGAAATGTTGAAGACTCTGGGCTAGCTCTAGTTCCCGTGGCGCCTTACACAGAAGACAGTCGTTCTGTATATAGGTCAGCTCCATACGAGAGGGACCGCACACTGCAGACGGTTGTTGTGACGGACAAAGCCAGCGGAGTGTGAAACAAATCTTCTCCAGTTGAGCCTATCTCCACGAGCTCACCTCCACAGATCTACACACTCACTGCGCTTGGGATTATTTTGAAGAGTATCGGTGTATGGGCAAACTTCCAACCCGTCTTGAATTTTTCCCATTTAGTGTCGCTCTTGCTCGACGACAATTGTCGTCTCCGCTGAGCCCAACATCGTCTGCAGTGATCAAATAAATTTTGTTCCAGGTATCGTGTTCTCTGAGCATCAGCCCTCGTCTCCCATGACTCTCGAAACTAACTCAATATAAGATCCCCCGGAATACTCAATACGTTCACAGCGCTCCTTTTGAGTTCAGAGTTCCGCGACCATTCCGCCTGTCTAATAATAAAGTTAGAGGGCGAGTTGCGCCAGATCATTATCTAGGAACGGCCTCCTATACATCACTGGGATTTTACATTAAACATGATATATCAGTCACTTGCGTTGTTTTGCAAAGACACAGGCAGAGTTCCGTTCATATTTAGAATTCTAATGAATGTGATGTATGGTCCACCCTCCACCCCTTGTTCCTCAATCTTCCTCGCTGATTCGGGCTTCTCACGCGCAATGATGCTTCAGAATTCCATGTTGGCAAATCATATGTCCCACTGCTTCGTGCAGAGACCAATTTAGCATTCCGTCCAATTTCCGGATAAACGCATTTCGGTACGCTTGTATCCGCATTTCAATGGCTCTCCTACCTCATAACATGATCTTCACAAACGCCGGCTGGTCCTTTATTAAGAGGCCGTCCCTTGCATTTCCCATGTTAGGTTCCGCTCACTCTCCGAAACCCTAACAGGTCGATGCGACCACGCAATTTACCCTGGCACCCACGCACATGGGGTGAGATGGAAGACATGCTTGGGCGCTCGCAAGTGAGAATATGCAGGCGCAACTGATCAGCTGGCATCGAGACTGCGATTGATAACACCGCGGTGGCATGGGCCTGCATCGCATGAGAAATCTAGCTCTTCAAGTCCCGCAACGGTTCGTGCGGTATTCTATATGACTTGCTTAAGCTATTCTTAATCATGATAGATGTAAAGTTATAAAGGGGTTGACCAGGTCCCTCAAACAGCAGACTGCTCCCATCTTCTGTTGTTCGTGAGCACCGATTCATTTGCGCGACTTTGTCATTATATTGACCAGAATTGTGTTCCTCTAGACTCTGGCACCTCCACCTCCCTATACAACACATACAGATGTGCGTCCGTTCTTCCAGGTAGTTATGGCTAATTGTCCACCTAACACAGCACAATCGTTTTGAAGTGACAATGTCTCTTGACAAGTCAGGTAATGGCACCTCTTGTCTATATCATTTGCACGCACTATCTGAGCGATCCACTCTCTGCAGAATTTAAGCAATTCTTCAGCAAGCTTGGCGCGGTTCGAACAAACGACGCCCAGTCGGCAGCCTATATCAAGGCTGCGGAGTCCACATCGAAAGATGTCCAACCAGAACCAGGCCTTCTGATTGTTGGAGCAATCGAAGGCATCATGTATTTCTTACTGGGAAAAATACGCGGAAAGGGCGCTAACGATGTGTCGCCTGACGAAAGACATGGCGTAGGTGACTTTTCCGGAGACGCGGTTCCGGACAAGGTCACTGGAGGCGGCACGTTCACCATGACGTTGAAAGAAAAGAGCGTCGACCTGCGATTGAATTATGATGAAGAGCGCTTCACCTATACATACTCGGCGGAAGGTCATGAATGGGATATCGATGGAGACTGGAGTGGCGATTGGACAGACAGCTTTTGAGACTTCTTCCCTGGTGAGTACCGCTTTCGCTTGTTGATACCGACGGTAACTCACATCATCACTTGGCGGTGGCGTGTTTTACGCAGCAATTGTTTCAACATACTTTTTTAGTCATATTGCGACTCATTCAGGGTTTTGTAAGATCTATGTTCACCTATGGGTTTCTCAGATAAACATTGAACTTGTCCTGCGTTTTTCGACCGGTACGGGATGTCTTGCCCTCTGTATGCAATCCTAGCCAGGAGCGACTAGGCTTCATCGTTCTCCGAGAGCAAACGGCGGGTGGATCCACTCTAGGCACGACAGCTCTTCCTTTGTATTCATTAGGTCAGTTTGGATCTTTTGAAGAGTCGGGCAGTAAGTCCATAAAGCGAGCCAGAGTATTTTCTGTGCCACTTTCATGCAATTCTTTGAGTGCAATGACTGAGTACTGGAACTGATACTTGATCGTCTCACTTTACATCTACGGACAAACCTCCTAGTCTCTGAGCCGCATAAGAGAAAGTAGTGATGATTGGTTCTCATGTTTCAATCTTACACATTTCTGTCAAACCATGCGATCTTTCATGGTGAGAGCCGATTTGATAAAACAATGCAAAAAACATGCTAATTTTCAGCTCTCTTGGTCGATGAGCGAGATTCGCTGATGAATCAAGAACAGGATCATCTGGAGGCGCAAAGCTACGAAGAATAGTGGAGAGGGCCAAGCATGTGATGTGAAGTACAATGCACATACGATCTGACTAGTCTGTTTCCTCAAAACCATTGATGGATCGGATCGCATGTGAGACGATGGTCAGTCAAGGCTGCACTTAGAAATTGGTCGAGTTCTGTCATAGTGATTAGAACCGTGCATCAGCAGTCGTAATAGGGTCAAGGCAAAAGATTGCCCGGAAGAAGAAAGTCGGTTGGTTGATAGCCTTTTGCAAAAGAGGAGGCGGATGTTTACATACAGGATAGTTGGGGTTCGAAGGAAATTATATCATACATTTCTGCGCACATGATATTCAGTGCAAACGATAATATTCCTTCGACAGTGATAGCAATCAGAGACCGAATCGTACCTGTGAAATATGTTCTGTTTTGAGGATATGCACTTATATATTTGGAAGCCGATGAACGGTTGCCCCCGAACTTGCTTGTCCTACCGCGTAAGTGCAATCTAAGAAACTCACGGCCCAGTTTCGATAAGATGCAAGAAGGAGTTTGTGTGAGGTGATGGAGTCCTGTGTCGAGTTGTTCGGAGATTCGGAAAGTGTCAGAGCGTCTTGTTTTGACGGAGGTCACAGCATCAGGAGCGCGAGGTCGTCTAGAAAGTCCTTTTTTGAGAGGTTCGAAGAGAAGAGTAGACGCGGAGGCCCTCATAGGTAAGCGAAGCTCTAGATCGAGTGTTTGGCAGGCATCGGCATACCTCCCAAGATTCCCGTGAACACGTGTAGTCATTCAGGTGAAACGGACTAAGAGGCGGCAGTCATCCTCCCCGGAGTGTCTGACTTTCTTTGGCCGCTCCTGAGTCTGCTTTGCAACCCCCTGAGAACAAGTGAGATTTGGGTAGCTCAATTAGGTTTACACAGAAAACAAGTGACAAGTGGGGACCCCGCTTGCTCTGGAAACTGGAAACTATTGGGACAGGGCAATGGAAGAGGTCAGCCATACTATAGGTAGTATGCGGACCCAGAGTTGACCGTCTGCATGCCATAGGAAACACGGGTTGCTGTTATAACATCTTGCGATAGCAGCTTTCAAGAGGCCTTAGATAAAGGAATACTAGATTCTTGCATTGACTCATGCAATCCTCTGTAAAGCAGACGAATTCAGCAGTTTGAAGGATATCAAAGTGCACAACCCAAAAGAACCTGCGCGCATGTGGTCTGCGAAATTTTTACGGATGTCGGCTACCATCTCGAACGTACTGAATTCTTAGCCGGAGCCTCTTGAAACATCAGGCAAGAACACCCGAATTAGTACAAAAATACGAGGACTGATTGGAGGAACCTGACTCGATCTCTGAGCACGCAGATGTCGTGACAGGGTGACAGGGAAAGCTGAGGTTCTCTAGTTGTGGAAGGAAAGCCTGTGGAAGGATCAACGTTAGCTAAATTTTCAGTGACTCGATCCATGGGCCATGACGAATTATGGGGTGACACCGGCGATGGTCTTACCTTTGTCTTGCAAGGAGACATCCGATACTGCCTAGAGGTACAGTAATAGCGCTAAGCAAGGTGCTGAACAATGGAAGCCTGAACAGGTGAAAAGTCCTGTCATGGAGCGAAAATGTGACCTGAACTGAGCAGTGTGACCAGGGTTGGACTTCGAAAGCGTCTTGCTCAACTCTACGATGCACATGGAGTCGGTCATATGATTGCCTTGCACAACACCTGGCACCAAGGCTCTAGATCCGCTGTTCAGCAGCCTTCTCTTTTTTCTAGCATGCTTCGAAAAAATGACACGCTCATCTTGACTATCCACCATTTCAGCGCATACTCCAAGCTCAGCAGTCGGATTACTGTCGGGTTTGTTCAGTGAAATTGGTTCAGTTCGGTAATGCGATCATCTATCTGATTCCTCTGAAACAGCGCCATCGGGTCGATATCTCATGGTTCCGTGACAATAGTTTGCGTTCCCTATAACACTCAAATAAATGAATCCGGGACTTTAGTCACTCTCTGAAGGATACAGGACGGCTCCAGTAATTTCCACATCCAAACGAATTGACATGGATGACGGGTGCTTCATTGGTCATGGACTATGCTGATTTTCAGTGATACGAGGTCGTTCATTGCTATTCTTTCTTATGGTAGGTGAATGGAATGTAATCAGATGTCGAGGAACTGTGACGCCCCCTTTCAACCTCGCATTTCGATATAACAGGGTGCTCGTTTATTAAGTGCCTCACCACTCATAATGTAGAACTCAAGGTATGATCCCTGTCCATCCAGAATGGTAATTTCAATCCCCACTAATGCATGCATCCTTGCTTCTTTTAATTTATGAAATTTTCTGTTCAGAGACGAGTCGTGCTGCGCCTGCTGTCATTTCGATGATCCTTTTGCTTTCCGAAATTCCGGACATATTAACACACCAAGTTGAATTGAAGACCATGAATTTCTCCGAAGGCTCACAAGGCGAGAGCTATCGATCGCCTATGAGCATACAATATCTATTTTTGCCACAGTTTCACAGGCCTGAGGTCTATCTTCTGTTTTATTCTTTACTACATCACTACACGTTCTGTTTTCAGGATGTTCGCATTTGTGCGGATATACAATGTGCAGCAATATATAAAAGTCCTCCGTCACAATCTCTCGAGCAGCATTACAGCTCTTCTCCGACTCTCCCATACAAGTAAGCATTGTCCAATTTTCACGACCGTGCAAGCGATTCATTGACTATGTTCTTCATCTAGTCGAAATATCCCCCGTTGCCTTTACGCACCTCAGTACTGTAGTGCACCCCCTTCGCCTACTCATCGCAGCGATTGACGTGCTCTATCACAATAGAAACAACAATGTCCGGACCCAAGCTGAAGGTAATTCTCCTCTCTTACCTCTGTCATCGCGGTCTTTGACATGCGCTTTCACTATAGACACTATTACCTCAAAGATCACAACAGAAGGTAATGTACTACCTGTATATCCTTTCCATTGCGCTCATATTCGGACAATTATTTTCATAGAATTCGATGTTTTCTTCGTCGACCTTGCTACGCAGGAAGGTCAGGATGACAGGCCTGCTCAGCGCGTCGGTGGAGACCTCACTGTCAACGTCAACCGCGAAAACGTGTACTTCTACCTCGACTACATCCAGGGGCTGGCCAGTGCAAATGCTGTTGCTAGTGGATCAGGCCATTTTAGAGGTCCAGAAATTCCGCGAAACTTAGGACGACGAGGAACGTTCCGCCTGGTCTTGGAGAACAATAGAAAGAATGTGACTCTACTCATACAAAACGATAGCGGAGCAGTTCTCCATACATACAGAGGCACGGGTAACGTCGATGCGGGTCTCGTCGGGACCTGGACAGGCAGGTGGAGTTAGGTACCGGAGGTATGCCCCACAGGTTTCCTGTCTCGGTCTATATTCACTCTCACACACTCTCTCGATGCAGAGTCTTTCGTCTTGTGTCTTGGTTGATCTGTCTCATGGCGGTAGCTTTTTCCCCACAGGGTTTTTTAACGCACCCGTCTTGCCTCTTTCTCCTCATGTCCCGCATTCTACATAAACATTCGAAATACAGTAACGATGGTCTCATTTTCAATCATCATCATGCGTTCGCTTGTAAATCTGGTGACAAAGTCAGTCAACGATTTAGGACTGCAAGGTGCTGTTTTAGCGTCCACCCAATCAAACACTGAAGGTTGAGCGATTTGGCGACCTAAAAGCTCTTCCAGTGTCCTCTCCGATCTATAGAACAAGCAGTCTAGGCGGATTCAGTGGCACTAAGTCCATTTTGTCTCACCTGTGCTCTGAGATAAAGGACCCTCAGGGCTAAGGCGCATCTGACCAAATTTCATTTTAGCCAGGTGGTTTCAAGAGACAAAGCACGGTGGCATGTAACCAAGACAGTGGCAAAGCGTGGACAATAGCCTTGTCCATGCCTCGCTTGGACTACCCGGCGGCACTTGTACCACCCGGCGCTTGGACCACCTTGCCTCGACGTATAAATACCCCCCTGCAGCCTCTCGTTCCTCCAACAACAGCAATCATCGCCCACTTGTCGCGCGTCGCACACATCCTCATCATTGCACCGTCAGATGCGCCCATCAATCCTCCGCCATGCTCTCTTCGCTGATGCCTTAAACGACGTATGCCACACCCCTTCCACCCCTCATTTAGCTCGTGCTCATACCCTTCCTCCCGTAGCCCGATCCACCTGACGGCGCGCACGCAGGAGCCGCCTGTTCAAAGGCAACGCATGCACAAGCAAGCACCGACATTATCCATCAGCGCTCCCACAAGCGAGCACTGACATTACACGGCCATAAACCAGGCCAAAGGCAAGGTCATCACACCGCCGTCCATCCGATGCTCGTGAGTGTTGTCTGTGCCATGCACTCTTCATACAAACTGATCAGGGACACATCGGGTCGATCGACGCATCGTAGAGTCCAGGAATCGGACAGCAATGATCGCCTACCCTCCAAAGGACATCATGGCGACTATCGAAAATCACCTGTCAACTAGCGCCATGAGTCTGCCGCCACCCTATTTCCACGGTGTGAGAAAACGCCGTCGGCAGGTCGCGCTTCAGGCTCACCAATATCTTTCGGTTACGCTCCATAGTATGGCGGGCCGACGAGCTGAGCGTATGTCCTCGTCCTTTTCTTGACGAGCGCTACCGACTAACGTGTTCCTTGTGTAGAGACCTACACTAGGAAATTTCGCGGTGTGGACATCTACTTACCTCTATCGGGGTTCATACTATTATACTATAAGGGTGGGGGATCATAATACAATGTGTTTTTGTGGCTTTATAAGCATCGGCAAGTTGCCTTTCCTAGAGTGAAATGTTCCGGAAGGCAATCAGCAAGTTATTGCGGCCAAGGGATTTGGTGCTCCGAAGCTGAATGAGAAATTGTAGCACCTTTCGTGTTCACAGCAACACATACCTCTGAATTGCAGGCAATGCATGGCTTAGATGTAGCAAGTGAATTGCGCAAGGTACACACATACCCTACAGACATGTTCCGCATACTCCAAGGCTTGCAATGACCGGCACCTCTCAACTAGTCAACAGGATTGACATGCAGATTGACTTGACCTTTGCCAATCGTCGGGTTTATCCTTATATCGTGAACGCACAGCAACCACCTAACATCAAAGACGAGAAAGATAGCATGCGATTGAGTTGGGGTGCGACAAATGGATGTGTGAGGCGGAAAACATGAAGCGTAGACAGGCGATGACGATTAGCCCAGAGTGAAAGCAGCTCATATAACAAACTTTTAATGTAGTACTCCTCCGCGTCTACATAGGCGCTCATCCTCTGCGACACGCTCACTCTTGGATCTTAGCCAAGATCTCCGCATCCTTAAACAGGAAATACTCCTGCACAATTATATTCGATCAGCACCGTTGATTATGTGCAGAGTTAAAGGCAGACACACCTCCTCTCCGACCTTGATCGAGTTACCGCCCCAGCCGGGAAGGAGCACCCGGTCGCCCGCCTTGACCGACGTGGGCACGATCTTGCCGTCCTTGCCAGGCGCGCCGGGACCAACCGCGATCACGGTCGCCTCAGGAAGGGGGCTGCTCGTAGCGGACGTTGGCAGGAAGATACCCGACGCGGTTTTCTAAACGAAACGGGCGAGAGCGCGTGAGACACGGCGGCGCGGTCAGAAAGGGAGACGCGGTCGGGCGTACCGCTTCTGGCTTGAATCGCTGGACCAGAACGCGGTCGAGCAGAGGAACGAGGGACTTGATAGACTTGAAAGTTGCCTGGGCAGCCTGCGTGACGCAGCGCACCCGCGGGTTGTCTACGTGTTAGCAAAGCGGTCCCGCGCGCGCCGACCACGGTGCACGCACCATTTCAGTTATGCAAATGAAGCAAGAATTAGAAGGAAATGAGCAAGGGAGATTGGGCGAAGTGGAGGAGGAGGTGCTGGTGACTTGTGACTGGACGAGTGAGGGATGGAAACACGCAGAACGCGCGAGACTTTTCAGCCTTTATTTGTTCCGCGCAAACACGCATTTGTCATTGCCCTCGCAAGTTCACTTCCTCGGCACTCTCAGCAACCCCGAGTTCGCTCCGCCTCCGTGGAATATACCAGAATAAAGCCCTCAGAAAGGTCCTGCCTTTATCGCAGCGGGGAATGAGGACCGTGCGAACCGCCTCCGGTTGAGAGAAGCATTTACCTTGCGAGGACTAAAAGTTGGAGCTGAGCGGTGAGCAGAAGCAGCAGGCAGCTTTGTTCCGTTCAAAAACCAATCCACAAGCCTCATCAATCGGCCGCACGTCGTTTCCACAGCTAAGAAATCGTAAGTATATATATATGCAGACTAGTGACATGATATACTGATGCAAAATACGACGCAGAAACGGACCGGTAGGGGAACTGAGTACTGAGTATCATACCGAATAGCCACACGTGTGAGAGAAGAGAAAGAGGAAAAAAAAAACAGACAGAAAAGAAACAGGCAGGCATTCAGGGCAGCGGATAGACGTGAAAAATGAGAGAGGGGAGAGAGAGAGAGTCGGTGTGATGTGCAACGTGTGGACAGACAAAGTATGATAGAACAGAGAAAAGAGAAAAAAAAACACGACGCGGTGGAGTATACTGAACGAGAGGGGGTGGGTGAGGGAGAGACCCGACTGGTAGAGAGTAGGACCGAGAGGCGGCCGAGAGTGAGGAGGGAGAACCGTGCACGGACGCTCGTCGACGCGCTTAGATGGTGGGGGAGGACACTCGATCGGAGGGGGAGAGGGCAGGGGAGGGCAAGACAGCCTCAAGAAAGATCGTGCAGCAACGGTCGGCCCATCACGACACAGGCCAAGTCGGAAACCTGAGGGATATATTTCCCGTCTGGAAGTAAAAAAAAAGTGGTCCAAAGGTGCGGGCGGGGCGTGTGCGCGTGCGGCGAGATTGCGAGTAGACGAGAGGTGAGGTGAGAACGACAGAAAGAGTGAACATGCGAGGTATAAACCGTGTGCGTCTTCGCTCTACTCCCCGACGCCAGCGCGCCGAGCCGAAGACAATAGAAAAAACCCAATGAGAAAAAACCAAGCAACCAAGCAACCAACCGCGCCCCGCCCACTCAATCGACGTCCATCGAGATATCGTCTCCAGCCACGAGCCCGTACACCTCCCCGTCGTCCTCCCGCACCACCCTCGACGGCCCCGCAATCATCGACAAGTCCGCCCGTCCGCCACCCGCACCCGCAGGCGCAGGCGCGTTGAAAAACCGGCTTCGCTCCACCATCGCCGTCGTCGTCGTCGTCGTTCCCACCGTCCGCGAAGGCCCGTCAACAACAGGCACCATCCCACCTGGCATCGTCTCCGCGCGCCGCCGCACAGTCGTCGCAGCAGCCGCTGGGCCGTCTGCCGGATCCGCCCTCCGCCGCTGGAACGGGATAAAATACGCCTCGCGCCCCGCCCGCTCGTCCGTCCCCACAAACGGCGACGCCTCGTAGAACGCGCGGCCCCACCCCGGGTTCCGCGCCGTGCCCCAAGCCTCCTCCACCTCCGCTGCCGTCGCCGCCGCTGCCGCCACCGCTCCCTCTCTAGCCGTTGTCACTCCTCCTGCGCCCACGACGGCGCGCGCGCCCGGCCGCGGCGTGATGCCAGGCGGTAGCTGTCTGATAACGTTCGCCACCGCCCGCGCGACCTCCGCCGTGTTCGCGCCCACGCCCACCGTCGCCATCACACGCTCCCTTACGCGCTCCGCGCGCCGTCCAAGCCCGAGCCCGACCGCCGTCGCGCCGCCCGACACCGTATCCTCGTCCGCCGCGGGCCCGGTAGCGGTTGCGGCGTCCACGCGCCGCGGCGCGTCCTCGGGGTGCGGCGGCGCGGGTGCGTTCTCCGCCTCGTCCTCGTCCTTCGAGCTGCACCAGAACCGGTGCCCCTCGCTCCACGCCGTGCTCTGGCATTCCTTCCCGCAATACTTCGCCTTGCGACACCGCCTGCACTTGGCGAACTCCCGCGGATACGACTCCCACCGCCCACACAGCACTGCGTCCCGCGCGGATCAGCGACCGGTAACAAAGCAACACCGAAAGACGGAACGTCGACTCACTGTTCGCGCACTGCCGGATCCCGCCCCGCGAGTCGTCCTTCCGACACGCGTTCCGCATGATCACGCCCGCCCAATACTGGATCTCCTGCGGCAGCGTCGGCGGCGGGTTCGGCAAGTCACTCTCCGACGAGCTCGGCCGGAACGTGAACCGCTCCACGAGCGAGAACACGTTCGTCTGCCGCACCGCCTGCGGCGCCGTGACGTCCTGTTGCTGTTGCTGCTGTTGCTGTGGGTTCGCGGCCGCGCTCGAGGTGTTCGGGAACGGGGGCGGCTGCACGGCGGGCTCCTTGCCCTTGGTACCGCGCTTGGCCAACGTCTTGAAAAACGACGCGGACGCGGACGCGGATGAAGACGCCGCAGCCGGCCCCTGCTCATGTCGTGCGCCCACGCTCGACGGCCCAGCGGCCGCAGACGCGCCCACACCCGCGCCCGCGGCACGCCCGCCAGCCTTGTACGACGCTGTCACGGGATGAAAGCTCGCGCGCGGCTTATAAAACGCCTGCCGCACATGCGGGTACTTGCTCAGATACGCGAGCAGCTGCAGGCTCAGCAACACGTCCTCGTCGCGATACGGCCCCGCGTCCTGCTCGCCCGGGTGATGATGGTGATGGTGGTGATGGTGGTGCCGGCCCGCCGCGCCCGCGCCCACACCCGCGTCGAGCATCGCCGGCGGCGCCGTGACACGCGGGACGGCGGGCAGTGGCAAGTTGCGCTGCATCGGCGCGTTCGGGCGCACGGGCGTGTCCTCCTGCCTGTCGTCGTCGCTCGCCGCGTCCCTGCGCGCGCGGCCGCCCGCAGCGCCAGGGGTCGTGAACAGCGGCAGCGCGGCATTGCCCGCGCGCGGCGTCGCGTCATTGCGTGCGCGCCGCGCGGTCTCTGTCGGGCGCACGGTGCGCGTGGTCTCGATGGCGCCGGGGGCGCCGGGCGGGGCGCCCATCGCAAAGTCGTCGTTCGGCTCAAGCGAGACGATTCCGTCCTCGACGCCGACGCCCTCCCCGCCGACGTCCTGGTCGTGGTTGATGATGATGTGCGCGTCCGTGTTGAGCTCGAGCGAGACGCCGCCGCCGCCGCCCGCGGGCGTCTGCGCGCCCGTGTCGGACACGATGCCGACCGCGCGCCGGGCGTGCGGGGACGTCTGCGCGCGCGCGACGAGGGTGGCCATGGGTTCCGGGGACGGCGAGGCATCGGTGGCGGTGCGGTCCATGTCGACGTCCGCGTCGTCCTCCTCGGTCTCGGTCTCTGGTCTGGACGTGTTCGCGGACGTCGAGGCCGAGGTCGAGGCGAGGACGACGGTGCCTTGGCGGTCACGTGCGCGGTGGGTGCGCCGGGGTGGGTGGGTAGTGGCTGGATCCCAGACGGGGCGGGCGATGATGGTCCCGCTGCGATCGCGGCCGGGGACTTCGACAGCGCCCGTGGGGGTGTTTGATCCGGCCGGGGTAGCGTTGATGGAGGTATCGGTGGAGGTGTCGGCGTCGGTATCGAGAGAGGCGGGCGAGGGGCGATCGGGGACGGTGCGCGGGGAGATGAAGTTGGAGAGGGAGAGATCGACGCCGATGGAGACCGAGACGTCCGGAAGGGTGGTGTCCATGGAGAGATCCATCGAGTCCGAGTCCTGTACAGTCGCAGATTGGCCGTGAGCGCGGGCGCACACGACAACAAAAAAGAAAAACGAGGTGGTCGCCGACTCACGAGCTCCTGAGCGTCGCCCTCGATGCCACTGTCGTCCGCACGGACGAGCCTGCGGCGCTCCGCCCTGTCAAACCCGTGCTGCCTAGCGAGCTGCTGCCGCTCGAGCGCAAGCGCGAGCTCAGCCGCCTGCTCCCGCGAGCGCTGCTCTGCCTGCGCGAGCCTGCGGGCGACACGCTGCTCGCGCGACTCCCTGGGCATGCCGGACGCGCTGGAGCTGGGTCCGACTGCGAAGCCCTTGTTCGCGAGCCAGGCCTCGAGGATGCAGCCGACGACGTCGAGTGTGCCGGCCTGGACGACGCGGCTGCGGATGGGCTCGCTGCCGCGGACGCCGATGTTAACGACGCACTGGAAGGCAAGGGAGAAGCGGTAGGCGGCGTGCTTGTCGAAGACCTTGGGGTTGAGGGCCGGGGCTAGGCGCGGGGCGCGGTGGGCGGGGGGGAGGAGGCCGTAGAGGACGGCGGGGTTTTCCGGGGGCGGCGGGGAGAGGCAGAAGTCGTGGAGGAGGCGAACGAGGCGCTCTAGGCCGCCGTCCATGGTCATGATCTCGCGTATTCGGGGGGAGGTCGCGGTGAGGTAGGTGAGGTGGGTGAGCGAGTTGAACAGCGGCAGCGACGAGTTGGTGTCGAGCGCTGTGTGCCGATGCGATGGGGACGGTGAGCGAACGGCGACGGCAAAAAGGAAGAGTGGGAGAGACGCACCTCGTCTGTCATAGAGCTGGCTGGAGATGCAGACCGACGCCCTGTTCTGGGCGGGGAACGCAAAGTTTGATTCGCGCATCGGGGAGAGGCGGCGAGAGCAAGCCTGTGCTGTGCTGTGGAGCGTGTGGGCGCGGTGACTGTGTGCAGCGGCGAGCGGGGTGTGGGCGACGGGGGGGACGGCGAGGAGGGAGGAAGAGAGAGAGGAGGGCAAGGGCCGTCGTCGTCGTGCTTGATGATCAAGACGGCGTCACGGACGAGTCACATCCGGTCACCGGTCACTGCCCCATGTGGCCCTGTTTGGCCCCGGTGGCCCGCCCGCCAGTCAGCCGCCGCCTTGTCTTCTGAAACAGACGTCCCCCTCTAGCCCTGACACTTTCGCAGCGTAGTAAATTCGCGACTCCGCGACTCATCATTAATCAATTCCGTATACCAGGGTCCAAGCCCGCCATTAATACAAAGATCCATTAATCCGCATCCCTGCCAGCGCCCACGCCCACGCCCCCGCCCATCCCATCAAATCGCAGCCTGCACGCCCGTAAACCGCTTGAACGTGAACCTGCAACCAACGCCCCGCTCAGCACGCACGCGCGCACACCAAAAGAACCGCAAACGCACCCGAGAAACGCAAGGTCCCGATCCGCGTCGAGCCGCTCGACGCCCGCGGGCTGCGCGGGCACGTCCGCGAGCTCCTCCGTTGGGAAATACGACGTGTCCGTGATCGAGCTCAACGTCGGCGGGCGCGGCGCCTGCAGCTCCCGCAGCGCATTCCACTCGACGCCCTCGAAGAACGCGTGCATCTTTGTCTTTTCCACCGGCCACCGCTGGTCGCCCCATGTCATCAGCCTGCCGCCGCCGCCGCCGCCATCAGCATCACCCAACACCGATCGCCGTCAGCAGCACCGCTCCCGGCGACGACGGGGATACAAACGCACCTGCGCATCAGGTCCTCGGCCTCGCGGCTGAGGTGCACGTCCTCGGGGAAGAACAGGTGCTTCGGCCACTGCACGATCTTCTTGTACGTGTCGCTCGCGTTCTCCGAGCAGAACGGCGGGTAGCCGACGACGCACTCGAACATGATCGCGCCGAGCGACCACCAGTCGCACTCCTTCCCGTACCCGCGCATCATGAACACCTCCGGCGCGATGTAGTCCGGCGTGCCCACCGTCGAGTACGCCTGCCGCCCCATCGCATCGATCAGCACACCCACGCACACAATCTACGGAGAAGAGAGAACGAGACGCGCGCGCCGCGCCACACGCACCAGTTTCCTTCGATTCTTCTTCCATGTCGCGATCGTCTCCGCGCGCGTCATCGTCAGATTGATCGGCGTCACCTCGACGCTGTTCCGCGCCACGTTCCGCGGGCCCGCCTGCTGCTCCTCGACGAGGCGCCGGTAGTACGCCGCCTCCGTCTGGCGGTGGAGCCCCGTCGAGAGCCCAAAGTCGGACAGCTTGAGGTGCCCATTCTTGTCGATCAGGATGTTGTCCGGCTTGATGTCCCTGCGCGGTGCATCCCATAAAAAAAAAGAATAAAAAAAGAATAAAAGAATAAAAATGTAAAATAAAATAAGTAGAAGCGAGTGCGACAAGGGTAGTGCGCACCGGTGTATGAACCCCATCTTGTGCACCGCGTCGATCGCCATGATACACTCCGCGATATAGAACCTCGTGACGTCCTCCGAAAAAACGTCGTACTTCATGAGCATCGTCATGAGGTCGCCGCCGGGCAGGAACTCCATGATGAGGTACAGATAAAGCGGGTCCTGGAAGGAGTAGTACAGCTGCACGACCCACGGCGAGGTTGACTCGGCGAGGACGTCACGCTCCGCGCGGACGTGCGCGAGCTGCGCCGCGCGCGCGTCAGTGGTGTTTTTTTCTTCTCCTGAGGCATGTGAGGGACCCACCTGGTCCCGGCGGAGCATCTCCGCCTTCTGGAGCGTCTTCATCGCGTACACCCGCCCCGTATCCGTCTTCTGCACCAGGCGCACCTAAAAACGCACCCCACGGCACACGGCGCTCAGCCCCGCGTGCGCGCACGGAAAACAAAGAGCGCGGGGCGCACCTCGCCAAACGCGCCGCGGCCGATGACCTTGACGGTGCGGAAGTCGGCGAGGCCGATCTTGGTGCGGCGGAGGCGGAGGAACTGGGCCTGGACCTTGGCGTGCTTGCGCGCCTCGCGCTCGCGGCGCTCGTCGGGGAGCGCGGCCGCGCGCTTGTCGAGCTCCGCGCCGCTGTGCGCGCGTGCGTGCGGGAGACGGGCGACGGGGAGTCGCATGAGCATGTGCATGTGGGCGTGGTGGCGGGCGGCGGGCGACGGGACATGCGCGGAAGCGAGGCGGCCGCGGTACGTAATGTACCAGCGAGGCGTGCACGGACGCAGCGCGGCGCGGAGAGTGCAGCGGGGCAGATAGAGCGGGCAGAGCAAGGAGCATGAGAAGAAATCAGGGCGTGAGCGCACGGCGGACGGACGTACCGGACGTTGAGGTCGATCGCGGTCTCGAGCGCGACCTTGTAGTACGACTCGAGCTTGACCTTGGCGGCCGTCGCGCGCGCGCGGCCCTCGCTCGACAGCGTATCGGGGCGGCGCTGGTAGTACACGTAGTCGGCTGACTTCTCCGCGCCGCCTGCGGACGAGGGCGAGAGCGAGGGAGAGGGCAGAGAGAGGGCGAGGGCGAGGGAGGCTGCGCTGGGCTGGCCATGTGCGGGACTGGGGAGGGCGGTGTCGATGTTGAGAAGCGGGGCGGGCGCACCGCTAGGGAGCGGTGTGCTGTATATGATGGGGTCGGGGTCGGGCGAGAGGGGGCGGGCGAGCATCTCTCTTGCTGCTAGTATTAGCTGTGGCGGCGGCGGCAGCTGTGGCGGCGGCGGCGGCTGCTGCTGGCCTCGAGACGGAACCAGATCGATTGCCGCTTTCGGTAATCAAGGTCGTGAAGGGACCCCGTACTCTCTCCTTCCGCATTCGGGGGTCTGCCACTCTTCATTTACATATCGTACATACTGTTACTTGTACATCTGGTTACACAGCGGGCAAAGTACCATGGTTCAGCTCGAAAGTAGCGGAACATGGTGATTACATGGCCAAATTTCTTTTTTTGGCTAGGTCGACCATGTATCGGTTGATTCCGAGCTGAACACATTGAACTTTGCCCGCAGTGTTATCTCATCGCGCGCCCTCTGTCCCGCCGCGGTACCGCGCCGCCAGCGCCTCCCGCGCCTCCTCCCTCCCCTCCCAGCTCTCCCCGTACGCCCGCTCCCTCCCCGCGGCCTCCTGCGCACCCTCGTCCCTCCCCTGCCGCGCGTCCCCCAAGGTGTCCCCCAATGACCCTCCGCTCGTCGACTGGTCAATCAGCCCCCGCTCGCCTGCACCAGGCGTCCCGGCCCCCGACCCCGTGCGCGCGGGCGTGTGCGCGCCAGAGTGCCGCGAGGCATCCCACGGGCTCTGCCGCGACCCGTAGCCCCCCGACGCCGTCGCTGCATCCGCGCATCCATTAGTCAGCGTTCAAACGAAAAATCCGCACGGCGAGTGTCGAGAGGCTTACAGTCTCCTGCGGGCGGGTAGTTCCCCATAGCGTAGTCTCCGCCGTAGTCCTCCCCCACCGCCCTATGCTCCCCTTCCGTCGTGAGACTATCGCCCGCCGCTGCGACATCGCCAACGTCGTTCAGCGCACGTTATGTACCTGAAGCTCTCGGAGACACTCACATTTATTCACCAGCGAGCCTCCGTACCCGGAGCTGGCACCGTATTCGTCGCTCATCGCGGTCCTGCGTCCGTATCGATATTTCTCCCAGTGCTTTCCGCAAGAACAACAGGCTTCGCGAGAGGAAAAATCAACGTATCACCGTAGTCGCAGTCGTGTCGTGTCTTGTCCTGTGGAATGGATGAGCTCCGCTGTGCTTGCGCTCTTCCGGGGAGGGAGGGGAGGGCGACATGATATCATTTGTGTGCACGTGTTGCCCATCTCCTCGACACGATGACGCCGCCGGCTGCCCAGTTCAGCCAGGTTCAGCCACTGGCCAGCCACCAGGACCTAGTCTCCGTGGCTGACCTTACACAGAAGAAAGTCGTTCTGTGTATAAGGTCTGCCTCAAAGTTTGACCCTTGGGTGGGCAGCCCTCCTTCGGGCATCTCGGATCAAAATCTTGCACTCTCGAGCTTGAAAAACGTCAGCGTGCTGACAGACTTGCATCATCATGCTTATGTAGTTACTTAATGCAATATACTAGTGTAGATGTGGAGTCAGAAAAAGAGAGCACAAAACATGTCAAGGATGCTGGAAGACTCAATGTTCTATTCCCTAGACAATACACTTGAAGTAATACAAGACAGTATTAACCACTGTACTAATAGACAAGGTCTACAAGGCTGCATGTAGCATATCCCTAAGCCCAGCCCATATATTGTGTCTTATAATGACCAGTAGCAGGCATTGGCTAACAATGACAACTTTCATAATCTTGTGTGCAAGACCAAGGTACTGAGGTCTTCATAGCCTCTTGTGGCAGCTGCTAAGCTGCCAACAAAGTGGCTGGGGGCATCAATGCACATTTCTCTCTTTCTATGTCCCTTTTAAAGGCAGCTCGAAAGTCAGCAAAAGAGCTACAAGATCATGGTGCAGGCATATATGAAGGAGAGTAATGTGCTAAAATAGTATAAAATGTGCCACATCTTTATTTTCTCACTGATAGAGCAGTAGTGCTTACTATTTCCTACTGCTAATTAAAGACTTCTTAGTATTAGTGCTAATATCATGAAATTAGAATCCAATCCAATGCTCATAATGTGTTGCTCCCAATTAGAAAATTAGACACTTTTAGATGCTATTAACACTTCTAGATAATTTTAGACACTATTAGATATAATCTGGAGCTAGTACAAGGGGGTGGTTTTCCATATGCATCTTTTACTGCTGACCAGATGAAGTGGTTGTCCAGATCGGCAAAATATTGTCTTAATTTGTGGGGTTGATGGGGGTCAAAGGTCAGGGCTGTTTGATCTCCATGAGCAGGCATGGATGGGGTTGCCATAGTGAGAAAGTCAAAGGTGGGGGAGAAGGTGTTATTTGCCAAAGTGATCGGGGATAGAGTTGCTGGTTCAAAGGAGTATTCTAGTGAAGTTGGTCGGATGGTCGGCATCTGTCACGAACGGCTGTTCAGGACGAGAGAGTCCTAGGCCACAATTAACACAAGAGGTTTTTGAGAGGATAATCGGGACTGATCAGACTAGTGTCTTACAACCAGAGAAGACTGTGTGAACAGCAGTTCCTAGATTGGACAGAAGTGGATAGCCTAGGGCTTCCACACTGCGCCGCAGTATCCATAAATATGTACAAGCAGATGCACGGACCAAGTATCAATGGAACAGGGACGCGAGGTATGGTCGGGAGAAAGGTCCTACGAGTCCTTATCAAGAAGGTGGGAAGAAGTAAGTAAGCAAAGGCGAGACATTTCGTAACATTACCCCCCCCTCTAGGCCGTCAATGCCAGAGACGGTAAGTAAAAGTCCAGGAAAAACATAAGCAATGCGCATAGTCCGAGTCGTACAAAATAATACTTAGGGCACATATTCTCGCTGCCCACAGTCGAGTCATGACACGATAGCCCTTGAGTACGGACGTCATGATACCCCACCTCGTTACCAACCATGTGGGGACTGCGTTCTAGAGCCGAGTCCCTCTTCTCATCATGGCAGCGGGTACCGGCCCAACGGATTCGAACCGTTGTCTGCCCTGGCAGTTTTACGTCATACCGGACGAGGGTGTCTGTCGCTCTCTAAGCTCCACGAGGGCGGAGTATAACGGGTGCGGTGTCAGACTCGCTAGAGTCGTATTCGGTGAAGGGGAGAGATGGTCGAGTTCTCGTCGAGGAGCATACGAGGCCGAGACGTGCAGGGATGATGTGATAGTGGGGGGAGACTTGTGCAAACCGATACACGTCTCGTTCTCTGTCAGTCCTTGTAGGGTAGGTCCCCGGCATTGGGCGAAGCGGAGCGCCATTTGAGGCCGAAGACGAGGCACGAGATACCACAGCCGTGGTAGGCATGTGATACTCGGTGGAGGGAGCAGGGTCGTCGGCAGGGTGAAAGGAGTCTCGAAGGTTTTGCAAACCCATGAGTTTTCACTCTCCAGCGTTAATACGGGCGATGATTGTGCCCTCTCGGATCTGCAAGGCTCGCTGTGCGTGTCGAACAAAACTCCTTTCCTCTTCCAAGATCTCCAACGCCCGCTGAATCTCCGGTCTAGTCGGTCCTGACATGAACTCTGTGTTAGGTGTCCCCTCAATAAGTCCCATCATATACGCGACGGGGGTTGTGAGGTAAGTTTCCCTATCCGGGAAAACGATGCCTTCGTTAGCTTCATGGGTCAAAGGGGGCGGTGAGGGTGAGGACGAAGGAGATGTGGATATGTCTATGACGGGGGATCCAGGAGTCTGCGCCACGGCCGCTTCTTCTGCTGCGTTAGCGTCGACTAGAGCCTGATACCTCCTGGCTACTTCCTCCATTTGATCCTCTGTCTCTCTCATGCTGAGCATGCGAGTTTCTTCTGCGACGAATGTGGCCTCAAAGTCTCCTACTTCTGACACAGTGGGGGAGCGGGCGTAATTGGGAAGCGATGTTCGTTCGTCGACGAGGGTGCTGTCAACAGATGAGAGGTAAAGGGATTCGTTGGAAGACATGTCTTTTCGAGAGTGGATTGGAGAGGAGTGGTTGAAGTGTTGGGGGAATTACAAGGATCGAATTTGGGTTTTTATACGTTTTATGCTTTAGTGGTCCCACGTTCATGAGGGCCTCTCGTAAGGGTAAAGCGTTACATCTTTGGTCGAACGCTTCCAAAAGTTCTTTGGCATTCCCTAGGTTTGCCCTTGTGATCCACTCGTCCGCTGAACTCGGATACCCTTTCCAGTGTACTAAGTATTGGTATCCTCGTCCTCGTCTCCTTCTGTCGAGGATATCTTCCACTTCGTATTCTTCTTGTCCTTCGATCAGGTCAGGTGGTGGCTGCTCAAAGTTGGGGCCGTGGGCTATTGTTTCTTTGTATGGTGTGAGCAGGGAGGCATGGAATACGGGGTGTATTTTCCATGTCGGCGGAAGCTTTAATCGATACGTAATTGGCCCTAGTTTTTCTTCTATTTGGAATGGTCTGTGTAGTTTAGGGGCTAGTTTGTCCTTTGGGTATGTGGTGGTAATGTTTTTTCCTGAGAGCCAAACCTTCTGTCCTACCTCTAATTGGACTTCGTTCTCGGTGGTTTTTCTTCTCATTAATTCTGCCGCAACTTCCAGGCTGGCCTTCGTTTCTTTTCGAAGCTGTTCTAACCTTTCCAGTCTTAGTTCCACTCCGGGGATGTCGGACCTTGGTGCGATTTGGGGTACGAAGGTCGGGTTGTAGCCGTACATGAGTTCGAATGGTGACTGGTGTGTGGCCGAATGTTCCCTTATGTTATGTGCAAATTCGGCGTATGGTAGTAGCTCGGGCCAGTTTGTTTGTTCATAGTTGCAAAATGCTCGCAGGTATTGTTCCAATTCTTGATTTACTCTCTTCGTTTCGCCGTCTGTTTCGGGATGGTAAGCGGTTGATAATGCTGTCGTGACCCCTAGTTTCTTCCATAGTTCTCTTGTAAATCGAGCGGCGAATTGTGGACCTCTGTCGGAGATGATCTTTTGCGGGAGTCCAAATCGTCTCCAGACGTTTTTCATGTAGAGGTCAGCCATTCTTTTGGCGTCTATGGTTTTGTCGCACGGGGTGTAGACGACTCCCTTAGTGCTTCTGTCCACTGTCACGTGTATTGCGTTATATGATCCGACTTGTGGAAGATCCGTAATGAAGTCCATCGTGACTGTCTGCCAGAGTCCTTCTGGTATTTCATTAGGAACGAGCGGAGTGCATGTGGGATGTGTGATATTTTTGGTATATTGACACGTTGCGCATCCCGTTACGTATTCTTTTACGAATGTGGACATTCCTGGCCACCAGAAGTTGTCTGACACTAGGACATAGGTCTTCCATCTTCCTGGGTGTCCTGCTGCTGGTGAATCATGGTACATTTTTGTGATTTGTCTTTTAAGTTCATTGTCTGGTGGAACATATATTTTTCCTCTATGCCAGATGAGATCGTCTTCGTAATTCCATTCTTGTAGGCCTTTCGAGAGTGCTCTGGGTCCTGATGTTTTGATAAGTTCCATTGCGTCTGATACTTCTTTGTCTTTGGCTGTGACTTCTTTTAACTTTCGTCCCAGCTGGCTGTCAAGCATTTCGACTGTTCCTCGTCCTGTTGCACTTTTGACAAATATTTGAGGTTGTAGTAGTACCTTGTTTTCGTTGTCAAATTTTACCCCCTCTTTCAGGTCTGGACGCCTGGACAGAGCATCGGGTCGATGGGTAATGCCCGGCTTGTGGACGAGGGTGAAATCGAAGTGGGAGAGGAAGAGTGACCAACGGGCTTGGTGGCGGGAAAGAGTTCTTGCGGTAGAGAAGTATAAGAGGTTCTTGTGGTCGGACCAGATCTCGAAAGGGTGTCGTGCGCCTTCAAGGTATACGCGCCAATGATCGAGGGCATGTATGACGGCAAGTAACTCTTTATCGAAGATATCATAATTCCTTTCGGCCACATTGAATGATTTGGATAAGTAGGCAACGGGGTGCCACCCGTCATTTGGCGTTTCTTGTGATAGGATGGCTCCTGAAGCGAAATCTGACGCATTGGTCTCAAGACGGAATGGACAATTGCCGTCCGGGTAAACAAGGACGGGAGTCAACGTGAAACAGTGCTTTAGTCGTTCAAATGCTTCGTCTCTTTCGGGAGTCCATTCGAATGGGACGTCTTTCTTCGTAAGGTCGTTGAGGGGTCGAGCCGTGGTGGCGAAGTCCTTGATGAACCTACGATAGAAGTTTCCAAAGCCCAAGAAGGATTGTACTTCCTTGAGGTTCTTTGGAGTTGGCCAGGCGGTGATTCCCTCAACCTTGACGGGGTCCATGGATATGTTGTCCGCGGAGATGATGAATCCAAGGTATTCAACTGTGTCCGTTTCGAAAGTGCATTTGGAGGGCTTCAAGAATAAGTCGTCATCCAAGAGTATCTGCATAACTTGGGTTGTCACGCGTCGGTGTTCTTCAATGGTTTTTGTGAATACCAGGATGTCATCCATGTAAACTGCCAGGACCTGTGCTACAATGAGGTCGTGGAAGATGATATTCATCATCGTTTGGAAGGTGGCGGGTGAATTGCAGAGACCGAAGAACATCACGAGGCATTCAAATAGGCTGAATTTGGTCATGAAGGCCGTCTTCCATTCATTGCCCTTTGCTATGCGGATGTTGTTGTACCCCCATTTTACATCAAACTTGGAAAAGATCCTTGCCTTCGATTTGGCGATGGTTCTTATTACGTCGTCAATTAGGGGTAGCGGGTATTTGTTCTTTATGGTCCATTCATTCAATCATCGATAATCCTGAACTGGTCGTAGGCTTCCTTCCTTCTTTTTTACGAAGAAAAAGGGTGACACTTGCGGGGATTTAGATATCCTAATGGTTCCTCGCTTTAGATGCTCTTGGAGCATCTTGTGCAGCTGGTCTTCTTCTTCTTCCGTTAGCGGGTATAGTTTACATCCCGTTGGTTCCTATCCTGGTTTCATGTCGATTTTATGGTCCCATTGTGAATGTTCTGGGAGTCGCTGTGAAGCTTCTTGGCTGAAGATTTTGGCGAACCTTTTAAGAACATATGCTGGAACTATTTCCTCGATAGGTCGTTCCGTTTTTGCCTTGTTTGCCTTTTCTGCCAGTTGTTGCGACTTGTTTCCGATGGAACCAATATGAACTGCTTCGAGAGGATGTACTTCTAGTGGGTTTTGGTAGTACCATTCCTCATAGAATTCGGAGAAGAAGATGTCTTCGATTTCGTCTTCTTCGAAGTCGTCTTCTATTCTGGAATACCCAATTGTTCTGTTTTTTCTTTGCCGGGTAGGCATTAATGCTTGTAGGGTGAACTTGGGTCAGCTGACTAGACACGTGGTGGCGCAATTTGAAAACATAAGGCTGTTTTTTACCCAGTTAATTTGCGGGTTATGTTCATACAACCAGTCTGTTCCCAAGATTACGTTTTCGCCCCCCAGATTAGCGGCCAGTAGTTCGCATTGTTCGTCGTGGTAATTGCCTTCTCCATTCGTTATTCTCATAAGCACGCAGACTTTGTCGGTGATTTTTCCTCTGTCGTTGGCTGTTCCATCTATGTTAAACACAGGGATAGGTCTGTCGATTTTCTGCATTGGTATGTCGTTATTTAAGCAGAATTGTTTGTCAATGAGGAGTCCTTCTGCTCCCGAATTGATCAATACCCGAGCTTCGGTGGTTCCTTCTCTGTGTTTTAGATGCACGTTTATCCTCATAGACGATTTCTGATTGGATTTCGTGAGCCGTATGAATGTTTTTACAAGAGGATCTGAGGTAGGTCTACGGTACACCGGGGCCGTAGGCCTATTTAAAAATCCGATTCCTTCTTCTTGCTCATCTCGCTTAGCTCCTGAAGGAGTGCTTCTTGTTCGTCCCACCTCATCTTCCCGATAACCCTTTGGATCTCTTCTCGGCTAATCTCATGCTCCGTCTCACGTACAGGCGCATCCGGTCCGGGTGCGTGGGCCTGGCGAGCTGCGAGTCTGGCTCGGAACGGGTTAGTCATTGCCATGCTTCTACCTTGCGTCGTAGCGCCTCCCTGAGCACTGCTTGAAGTTCCTGTCGAGAGCGCTCGGCCATAGCCGCTTCCTCCGCTTCCCATCCTGCCGCTGGTCTGAGCCGAGCGGTTCCCCACCGTTCCACTACTCTGTTGAACATATCTAGCTGACCCTTCATATACCCTAGACGAACCCCTGACAGGGCATTGGTTGGCCATATGTCCTTTCTGGCGACAGTAAAAGCACCCACCCTCCATTCTGAGGCGGTTGCGCTCTTTGTCGGTGAGGGTCGTTCGGACCGTGTCTACGGCCATGGGGACGACGGAGTTGTTCATGGAGGATGGAGCGTTGGAGGAGTTATAGCGGAAAGGGTTGTTGGATCGAACAGAGGCGGAGGGTACGGAGCTTTTTATGCTTTGCAGCTCTCTCCACTGGTTATCGAACCTTCGGGTGTATTTTACCCAATCGTCCATGGTCGTCGGCATGTCAGGGAGTCTGTAAATCTGTTTGAGGATTTCCGGGTGTATGGCGCGGCGGAAATAGTCGACGGTGGATTCGAGGTCAAATCCGCTTTCTCCTGCCGTCATGAGGTAGTCCGTGACAAATTTGTCTGCCGACCGCTTTCCCATTCTCATTGTGAATAACTTTTGTCTCGCCTTCTGTTTGAGACTTTCATCTTTGAATGCAGCGGCTAATTCTTTTAAGAAGTCCTTGAACGTTCCCCACGTTTTTCTTGTTTCCGTCGCCTTGTATTCTCGAAGTTCTCTGTCGAAGTAATACTTCTGGGCGAAGAGTGACGCCGTTCCTTCCCTCATGTATGACAACACCATCAGGGTTTTATCCTTATCGGTGTTGTACTTGATCGGGTTGGCGAGAATGTACATGTGACATTCATATATCCATTCTCTATACTTCGACCTCGTGCCATCGAAATCTTTCGGTTTGTTTCCTTTGTCCGACATTTCGTCTTCGTCGTCTGTAGCTCCTGTGGTTGGTAGAGGGTTTGGTCATGGGTTCGGATTTGGATTCAGTTGACTCGGCCCTGCTATAGGTTCCGGGTCTTCTTTGTCGACCGGGGTTAGTACTCCTGCAGGAATTGGGGTTTCTTCGATGTCCTCTTTGGGGATGTCGACTGGTGATAGAACGGGTCTGGTTCGAGTGGGGGAATCAACGGTTCTGAGGGGTGCTTTCCTATCTTCCCAGGGTACTAGCGGGGCGTCAACTGTTCTTCCGCTATTTTGTCCTCCTACGTAAACCCAGTTTCCCTTGGATGTTCTTCTGATGGGTTGTCCGAAATGGACAAATGTGTCGGAGTGTTTCAAGTAGTCGGTTCCGTGTGGAACTCGCCCTACGCTTCTTCCTGAACCTTGGGAAGTCGTCTTGTTGGATCAAAGAGCCCACGCTAGTCTCGACCTGATCAAGGTTCGAGGGTCAAGGCAACAGCAGCTCTTCCTGGCCGGGTACAGTATTTCTGCTTCTGGTATAGTACCGTACGTAACGTCGAGTGCAATTGTTTCGGTCGTACCTCCACTGGGTTGATTACCAGATAGAAGTATTCTACAACCTAAAACGACCCACACTGAAGTGGAATTGTCCAATCGTTCGCTCGAAGTGTATAGTAACTATTACGGTCGACGGACGCTTGTCTTTTGGGACTGCCTAGCGCCGTATGTATCTAGCCGGTGTTCTGCTGCAAAGAAAAGGGTGGAGTAGGATTGAGTGTGGAGAGGCTATCCAGATGTCACGAACGGCTGTTTGGGACGAGAGAGTCCTAGGCCACAATTAACACAAGAGGTTTTTGAGAGGATAATCGGGACTGATCAGACTAGTGTCTTACAACCAGAGAAGACTGTGTGAACAGCAGTTCCTAGATTGGACAGAAGTGGATAGCCTAGGGCTTCCACACTGCGCCGCAGTATCCATAAATATGTACAAGCAGATGCATGGACCAAGTATCAATGGAACAGGGACGCGAGGTATGGTCGGGAGAAAGGTCCTACGAGTCCTTATCAAGAAGGTGGGAAGAAGTAAGTAAGCAAAGGCGAGACGTTTCGTAACAGCATCCAGAAGATGGGGCTGTGTGGGATTAATGGAGAGATGGAGTCATGGAGAAATGGGATAGGAGATGGGGGTAATTGTTCTAAGAGCACAAGGTCGAGGATGGGGGAAATCGGTGAGTGTAGTGATCGGTTCAGCAACGAAGGTGGGGTTAAGAAGAAAGTGGAGTCGAGTGGCAGCGAGAGTGATGGCAAGGATTCGAGATCAAGATAGTGATGGTGGAATAAATATTCTGGGACTATATCAGTGTTTCCAAACAGACTTTGGTTGGCAGATGTTTCTTGAGTATTAAAGCTGTCAATAACTGTTTGTCATTCTTCGCACTCTACTATTGGTCAGGATGAGCGATGTGTATTCCTTGAGGTAATTTTGAATACTAACCCTCTATGGTGGGCTCCAAAATGATAAGCTAGAGGTGGCTCTAAGTGACAAGCACAATACTAAAACAACCTCTAATGCAAGGGTGCTGGAGCTAGTATCTAATACACAAGGAATTGTCAGTGATGGCTTTAGAAATTGAAGGCGTACTGAGAAGCAACAGAGAGTATGAGATTATAGTGCCCAAACAGTTTTGGGACTGTGCCAAACACTGACCGAACATTTGGTTGGTTGTGTTGGCAATTTGGTCAGTAACAAGAAGGTAGTGTTGCGACTGACAACTACATGCTTCAAGAGCCACACAGGACTCTGACAATATACAAGGGAAGATGGGGGGATATGAGCAAAGAGATGAGTATGAATGTGAATGAGGCCAAACAACAAGGATGACAAGTTTTTGGGAGTCGACAAAGACAATTTTGATGGTTGAGACGAGTGCAAATGAGCTTTGAACTGTGGGGTGCGAAAGCTGGTTTATTCCAGAGGTGTATGTAGGTTTTTATAGTAAACAGAGCCCCTAAGTAAAATATCAAACACAAAATGAGAGTAGATGTTAAATGGGTGCCAAGCCCTAGCAATCAGAGAAGATAAGAAGGTAGGTGAGATGTCCATATGGGTTCTGAAGGTGATAAGGTAAAAGTTAATCAGTGATGGTGAAATCCTGAACATTTGGGATCTATCGCCTGAGTGTAGGTAGTCAGAACAGGTGTTGGTAAGCTAATGAAAATAAAGAAGACATAACGTACAACCAAGGTGGCCAAGTAAAATAGTGCAAGATAACGTTTGACCGACCATGTGGAAGTTGGGAAGATAAGTGATAAGGACTGACCAACTCATGGAGGACATTGGCTGACCTAGAATACTAGCTCTGATCTCATAAACACCTATTGTAATACTCCTATGCAGTCATGGTAAGTACATGAAGTGTGGGCAAACTGACCCTAGTGCTGCTAAACATCCTTCGGTGGGTTATGGTTGGTCGGGTGGGGACCAACCATGGCCAGTGCAAGTCAGTGTCTTTGGTACTTGTCTAGTGCTGTTGAGTATCTCCCCAAAGCTTCCCAAATACCTTCCTCGGACCTTAGCGCAGGTGCCTGCTCATCAACAGAAAAAAATAGAAAAAGATAGAAATATATGACTAAGTTCCAAAAGGAAATTTGTGCATTTCCTGATGCGCATCCAGCCCACCAAGACACACTCTACTAACAACTCATCTCTCATTGTCCTGAGGTATGCTAGTCCTTCTTGTATCTGGGGCACCTTCTAACAGCAAGGCCTATAATGGTATTAGGTAAAAGTATGATGCAGATTATATTGACAGTTTGAAATGGTACCATGTGAGGACAAAGGACAAGGGAAAATCTCATTCAGAAACTCATCACTCATTACTAGACTATATTGTGTCTTCAGTTATGAAACTTATTCTGCCTGTGTCTTCGCTGACACAGTTGTCAATGCCAGATTGGGCTGCTGGATTCACAAATGGCGCTAACATCATGCAGTTTATCTTTCTTCAAGAAGATTAACATAGACAATTCCATGGATAATAGTTTTGTGTTCACGATGCCATGCTTACTCTTCTGCAATTCAGCATGGGAAACATATTGGAAATGTGTATGGGTGTCAAGAAATACCAGGTAAGGCAAAGTGTCGAGTCGTCCAATCCATGCTTCTCCTTCAACCAAGCGATACGGGTGCATGAGGAGCATAATCACAGGCTGTCTACGAGTAGCATACATCAGAAGAAACTCTATACTCAATCAATGGTAGAGACATACTAATGCTTGGGAGAAAGAACCAGACAGAAAAGCAGCAAAACAAGTACGTAGGTCATTTTCAAGGCAACAGTAACACACGAGAAATTCTGCCAAGATGACCTACCCTTCCAACTCCGATTCCACCGTGATAGGCAAAGTTCCTAGCCTGCGACTTTCTCTCTTGGAATCTTCTCCCATCCTGGAGCCCTCACCGTCTGGGGTTCCAGTCTCTGTCGTCTGCGACTTGCTCGATTCTTCACTCCTCACCCTGGTGGGCTTCAGTTTCTGCCTTCTGGCGCTTACTCCCAGACCCCTCGCTGGTCACGACCCCATGTTCAGTTCTCCGCCGCCGGCTCTTGGATCCTTCAGTGCTGAGACCGGCTTCATCACTCTTGCGTTTCTCAGTCGCTCGTAGTTCAAACGCTCGTAGCGGAACTGGCATAACAGATGGGGGAGGCCAAAATTTAAGCATGTCACAGCTTCTGTTGTTCGTCGGCCATCCATCCTCGCCAAGCTGCCTTCTGTATATCTGGAGGTACGTGTCTGAAGAAACCAGTTGCTTGAGGGCCTTGTCCTTGGAAGGGTACGGCGATTGAAATGTCGGTTCTATCATGATGTAGAATGGTACGAATAGCGTTCGAAGATCGTTGATCAGTGTGGCATGCGCGGGATGAAGGAATTTGCTAATGGTTGCATATGAGAGCTCGGTAGGCGGCGCATAGTTGAAGAAGTCCTTTTTGCCTTGTCCTCCACGAGTCTGGAGCGCGCGATCTCTGAATGCGCTATCAAAATGACGATAGACTGCGCCAGAAACCTCATCATAGAGCGAAGCATCATGCTTGACGTATCGGATGCTGTAATAGAGAAGGACGTGGAGGAATGATTCAAGATCGTCGCGAAATTCATGAATTTTGTTCATTCTGAGAAGATCCGCAGAGATATATTGCCATGTTCCCTACATGCCAAATCAGATGGAGGTCTCTCAAGCGGGGAGAAAAGACTCACCGTCATAGAATTCAACGCAGACTGCGTCACTTCGCCATCGTCAGACAGGATTGTTGCCAAATCCCAATCAATAAGGAGTCCAGTCCCTTCATCTGTGATCAAAATATTCCCGCCACTGATATCCCGATGGAACACCTTAGCATTGTATGCTTTTTGATGAGCTATAGCGCATATTTAGCTATAGGTCAGAGAAAGAATCATGATAAGAAACGCACCTTCGATTGCATGCATAATAACAGAGCACAGTTCGAAAGTCGAATTGAAATCGGACAATGGACGGCCGATTTCTTTCAGCACAATCCGATAATGCCTGTGCTTCTCTATCTCCTTGACCTCAGAGCCCTTTCTTATATGTGCAAATTCATGGGTTCGCGTCGCCTGGTTTCTCACATCTCCCGAGTAGAGAACGTGAGGAATGTGTGGAACCTGTGCCTGCGCCAGAATCGCATAAGTCTCTCCCTCTCTATGAACCCCGTCAGCAACGTATCTCCAACTGTCCTTGAGAAATACAAGCTTCTTCGTCGAAAGATCGAACGCCTCGTATCCTCCGGTGGCCCTACCAGTCGGGCTCCGTCCTAGGTACTGCGCTTGAGATGCCACCAAGAAGTGCTCACTCTGATCCTTCTTGTTTACCACAAGGAACTTCCGAAACGTGTCGTCCGAAGCGTATCGCTTGGGTGGGTTCACTTCATCCTCGCCCCTCAGACGCGCTAGGACTTTGGCCCGTTTGTCCAATTCCACCTTTGTCATCTCAATTTCCTCCACTGTTGGCCTCGATACCGTGATGTCGTGTCCACGCTGCTCGTCAGAGAGATAGTTGTATTGCCAGAAGAATCTCGCCAGATGAACGATGTTCGTCCGCCAGTCGAAGCGTTCGGTAACGACAGCACCAGCACGATCCCAGCGAATGAAACGAGCGTAGTTTTGGAGAAGGAGGACCGAGAAGACGAAGCATCGGGGCTGTGATTGAAAAATGAGGTTGGTGTACGATATGATTTGACCTGTGTTATATATGGCCTTATCAGCCATGTGCTGAAACGAATGCCCCTTTCCAAGCTTCGCATCTGTATTCAGATCCACGAACGGATCTTCGGCCAACGGTTTACACTCGATGGGTACCTCCACCTGCTTGAAACTCGCACCGAGTTCTGGTACGTTGCTCGCATTGTATACAGATATATCGGGTTTCCGATTCAAATCCTTTTTGAAAGTCGTGTTGACGAGGACGAGATTAGGACAAATGTCGGCTTCATTCACAGCGGCTATCTACAATATATAACGATTGAGGTATGGTCCGATGGGAGAATTATAGAATACTCACAAATCGGCCCTCGAATCCTATACCACCGGTAGCTTTGTCCTTGAAAGCATCGACATAGCCTTCCGGAAGTTCATGAACGGTCTCAGTGCGCATGAAAGTATCGATGAATTTATCGACGGGCATAGGCCCACAGAATTCATCCCGCATTTCTTCGGCGTTTTTCGGATATTGATGGGAGGCGTTGTCAGGACGTGCAAGACTAAATCGTTGAGTAGCTGATTCTTTATATTTTTGTGGTTTGTCACCGGTTTGAGAAAGCAGAGTAGACATATTCGTCAAGGGAGTTTCAAGGGAATGAGAAGAGAACTTACAGGAGATAATTAGTGCTTGAGTCCAACAACCAATGCTCGTTTTACCCAGTGGTCTTGCAACGCTCTGAGATCGTGGACGTTGAAATTGAAACCCTGAAGGCCTGAGGGCCTGAATGCGGACACATCCGCCGCCGCATAATTCAAGCCCCGCGAATGGGCCACTCTTTCATTGCAACCCCTATTACCTGTTTCTAGCACCTTCTCCTTCCGATACCTTCATCCGCATCCCTAAATCTTCCGTGGCAGCCATGGCCATGGCGTTCACGGCTTTGATATCCATGGCGTTCCGTTTGAAACCAAGCTCGCTGGTTCTCGTATCCCATTTTCGAGATCAACCACTACTCAGTTTCCGTCAAAAGACCCATCCGCTCCCTGCATCTAACATGTTACTCTCCTATGTGGCAAACACAATAGGCTGTAAAACTCCATGGACGCTTGAGCGAAGCTCCAGTGTGCCTGTATCCATACTTCAGTTTACTTTGCCGGTATTGCCTCAAGGCAAAGTAGGTCGTACCCATTTATTCAAAAGATAATCGATGTCTTGCAAAGACGACGCGAGCGCAATAATAAATATGCAACAGTCGCACTGTCTCAATCAGTCCTTGCAGTGCCCCGCCACCGCGGTCGACATGGTTAATGAAATCGATCGGAGTTTAGTCAGACAATAGTGAGAAGCGCACTTTTGAAAGACGGAAGGCGTCCTCTAAGGGGATCTCCTGAAGCTGGACGAAGCAAGCATAAGGCGGTGTTTGACGATGTCCATCATACAAAGGGACAGATGTCGAGTCACGCACGGACGTCCAAGCTGCACTACGGCTGTGCAGTGCGAGTGACACACGTGAGCTACCACACTCAATGACAGGACGGAGGATGTCCAGCCTCAGATCTTGAGGAAACTGATCGTCCTGGCGAGACCCACCTTGTACTGCACGGAATTGTTTTTCTTCATGCCTCACAGCATCCGTGGAATCCTCCGGTGTCTCTACACCACAGCAGTCTCGTTGGTTGCCACAGTGTCTTGTGGCACACATGTCAACGCCTCCCACTCAGTCGACGGTCATATCTCTCCACACCCGACTTGCCAGCTCAGCAGCGTCTGGACGCAGTCGTTGCTCGATGCAGGATTTGATCCCCGCTATATTGTGTTCGTGCATCACTTCGGGTCATACCACCGTAGCTCGCCACGCTCAAAATACGCTGAGGGTCAAGGGGGTTGCCGACGCTGCCACAAGGTCCACAGCAGCTCGAAAACGTTCGAAAACATGCCCAGAATTGGCGGATGACTCTGGTGCATGATATCCCAACTCGACTTGGCCACCTGACAATCAGCCTGCTCTTCCTCTGAAGATTCCAAGTCTCCACCGGCGCCAGTGACTTTGACCTCCTGGCTGAACAGGTAACATCGTTGTTGGGCGTAAATTCGCGACGAGGAAAGTAATGAGAAAGTCATTCTTTGTGGGCAGGACGAATAGTAACATCCGAGAAGGTGCCAGGGCGTCCGCGGGGACTAGAGGGAAGGTCAAAAGAAAGGGATCAGAGGAGAACACCGCGGGGCGATGTCATCAAACATACCAATGAGTCCGTCTCCGTGAACAGACGTTCGGCAGTGATAGGTGACATAAGAGAAGCCTTCGCCGCGCAGACTGGAAACCATGCAAACAGATGAAACCATAGTGTGAGATGGAGCTTTCGCATTTCGTTGCTTGAAGGACTAGAGACAACACGACATAAACACAAGGGTCTCAGATTGGGGTCTCAATCTGTGATATACCTTGATCTCGGGCCGATGTTTTGAAGCGGTACATCAGTTGGCGGCAGAGAGGGAGATGGGGGCATCGTCGGTACGCGAAGATGCAACTGGGTCGATCACCAAGGTGAAAATAGTACTAGAGACAGGTTCAACAGTAGAGAGTTAGTCGCTGCTTTAGATTTGTCTGCGCCTTTCCTAACGTACCTTGTGTCCCTTCGCATCTTTTTAACGATCTCCAACCTGCTGATACTCTCGTTAGACTCTCCAGATTCCTGAAGAAATTTGATTTTGTTTTCATTCTGCTTCTGCAGGTCGACCCTCACATGCTGATGAGCGTTGATTCTGAACCTGGCTATTTCTCGCTGACGTCCTTATCGAGAGGACTTTTGCTTTTCGGCATGTTCGGAGGGCGACTTGGTGCTGTTGCGAAGGGTCACGTGCTTACATATCGTCCGCATTATTGGATGTGATCTCTACCAAATATCTGTGACAATGTTGTTGACGGGGTACTGAAAGGTATTGGGCGAGTTCAGTAAAATTAGCAATGCGCTACCAATACCTTGCAAGACTCGGTAAGTTCCAAACGCTCTCCATCGACTCGTTCTAAAATCCTTGTGAACGACCTGCTCTTCCCATCTTGTCTTGCAAACGTCCTTGAGTTCATACTACTACCACCAGAGCACGGGTCAGAGTAGCAGTCGATCTTTAATTTGACGGGTATGTTCAAGCAAGGACTTGTAGGTCTCGTTGCTATCGGTCACACGGGGATGAAGCGCTGTATGGCGATAAATGTCTGTACCATGCTAGTCGATCGCGTGGAGTAACCTGTTATAAAATAGATACGTTTCACGTCCTTTGATCTCGGTGGGACAAGGAAGGACATACGGTAACGACCATGTTATAGCTCAATGGTCTCCTTCGGCTTGAACTTCTTTGATGCTCGCTCCACAGAGCGGAACTGAAATTGATTCCCGTACAGCTCGAGCTCTATGTGCGGTGCTTCCAGCACAGTATTGCTTGTTTTCGATGATTGTGACGAGGAAGGTCCGGCCGCAGGCGATGAGGAGCTTGTTGTATCAAGGGTGGAGTAGAGGGGGACCGCGAACGCGAATACTGAGCCATGCTTCGGTATGACTGGACAAAAAAATGCGTATATCACTGGGAGCGATCGATTGAGAGGCTTACGCTTCGATTTGTTCGTGCGTGTTACGACTCTGAAAGCGTTCTCAGTTTCGTGCACAACGATTCCCGAGAGGCCGATCAGCGCTGGGTTATTGCTTCGCCTTACTATAGACAGCTAAATTTGGTATATATGGTTGTGCAGCTGTAATGAGATATTTACCTGTCATGATTGATCCATGGAAGTCGGCTTTGACCAACTTTGCATGCATACCCGCAGACGACGGCATATCCTTTGGAGAAGGCGTACCCGAGGCTGGAAGGGCTGCAAGACCCAATAGCTCGGACATATACCCTAGCCACAGACGATGCAGGGGTATGAACAACTCCCATCTATAGCAAATACGATAGGCATAATTCAACCTGAACAGTGATCAGGCACGCACCTCGCTTGTTCCTTCTTGAGCTTCCACATGCCCTTTTCGACAGCCTCGTTCCGCCCAATCACGCCCAACCGCCTGCGCTCTTTTGCCTTCTTGATCTTTTCCACCTGCGCGGCATGCAGTAGCGCAATCCTGCTCTTCTTTTCTGGATTTTCTAACAGGATGAACTGGTGACGGATGCGCTCGTTATACGTAAATGCGGCCGAGGCTTTTCCGCTGACGCCAATCGTGGAATGGACATATTTGGGCGTGAAAGGCGTGGAGCTGGTGAATTGTGCGCGTCGGTTCTGAGGAACGAAGTGAGGGGACGCGATCATAGGGGGGAGTTGAGGGCGCATGCCTGGGCTATTGCAGATATGTCTACCTGTAACGTTCATGAATAAAGAGTACGCATATAAACGGCATTTGACCAAACATGCCTGGCGTGGTATCAGTCCGTCCTGGTCTTTGTGAAGCTCGGTGTATAAATCCCTCATTTTGAATGAGACGATGAGCAGGCAGCTCTCGGCCTCGGTGTACGTTGATATGGTCGATTTCTGAATTCCTGGTCCCTAGAAGGGAGCAGGTCTCTGTGCAATGAGCTGTGACGTCACAAGTTTGATTGTAACGCCGTATTTTTCCGAGCAATTTTCTCCGTGGACGACATAGGCCATTCTGATGTCATGAGAACGTTTATCGTCTCCTACTCAATAGCACGGCCCTCCGGGCATCCCTTGGTCCCAGCACCATTTCCAAGCAGTCTCCTCAATGTTTACCGTTCAAGGGCTCTTTCTTTTTTCTTACTTGCGCCACGCTCTGCTACGCTACGCAATGCGTGTGGTCGTCTCAGGCTGTCAGCTCCTTCGTGCCAGCGTTGGAAGTCATTATCAATAACCCGAGGTGGGTATTTGCAAACCACAGCAACAGTTTGAATAAGTAATGCAGCGACCGAACTATAGATGGCCTTGTGGTTCTGAAAGATTTCTAGTTTCAAATCTGGACCAGAGTTCGACCCCGATTTATTGATTTAGAATTGTTTAAAATCCTGTGGAAAGTGGATGCATTTCCACAGGCCTTTAGAGCGAGTTCTAAATGCTAGATTCTTCCGATGGCTTGGTTGCCGCGTCGGCACGAGCGAATCCATTCTGTCGGAGCTTGAGACCCCCCTTCTAGATTTTGGAACTGGAAGGGGGGCTCCCCCCCCCTTTCCAGTTCAGATTCGCCATTGTAAACGCGTTTTTTGAACTCCGCTTGAACCTTGTCGTCGCTATCCTGCGAGCTAAGGCGAAAACACTGACACAGACAAGAGCTTCGCTCCATAACACCTAATCATCATTGTGATACCAGAGTCTAGCAAAACCAAGTCATCAAGATCCACTGCATATGCTATTATCCAATGTTATCGAAGCTGAACAGTAGATGGTGGACTTGTGGTGTATCTGCGGTGGACTTATCCGTGCTGGCTGCACGGAGGCAGATCGTGATTGAAGCTCCGCTTATATCAAGTGCGTGCGTTCACCAAGTCATAGATGGTCTTATGGTTCTGTAAGATTTCTAGTTTCAAATCTAAAACAAGGTTCGACTCCGATTTATTAATCTAGAACTGCTCCAAAACCTGTGGAAATGCATCCAGTTACCCATTAACATGCATTGTTTAAATATAGACACTACCAAGGCCCAGTAGTTCCAGATCGCTCTTCTAAATCTTTTGCAATTACGAAGAAAGAAAATCGAGTTCTTCCACAACATTGGATGCATTTCCACAGACTTTAGAGCAGTCCAACTTGACGAATGATACATGTTCCGAGGCGTCTACCTGCTGATTATACATGTCAGGCGTACTAACAACTTCTGTAGGCCCTCGCCATTATCGTGCTTGACATCGACATCATGGTTCTGGCCGGCTCAATGACATCTTTTTTTCAGTGATGCCATCGTACGCTGGAGGATACAGATTGAATGGAAGCATAATGTGGGATTTGTGTTTCCAATTGAGCCTTATCATAGATTCTGGTGCGAACCCTCTTTTCTCTGATCACCATTAACTCTGAAGTGTGTTGTATCAGTGGTCGACTTCGTAAGCGTCAACAATGTGTTATTTTCAACTACCACTGCTCTCCTCGCCATACGTGGCTCCACATAACCTAACTAATGGGTGAGGTACAGTGTTTAACAATTTCATTTCAATAATACGCTATACGCGATCTAAGCATCAATCGCCATATCACTACTGATTAGGTGACAGGTTTTCATTTGAAGAGAAAACACAGAGTTACGTGATGGGAGGTTGTGCATGAAATGATACAGTGAGATGGCCCCGTGCGTAGAGCTTTCTCGCGACTCCACTCCTAACGACTTGATGTCCAGATTTCTTCCTCTATCAAAGGGCACAAATGTACCAGAACGATGTCATTTCCTTAAACGGTGGCACAGCCTTTCTCCGTGCTATATTTTATCGCTCATCTGTTTCAAATCATCGCGCTTGCGGTGCAAACCTGTCTTAATCTACATAGGCTTCGCCGTTCTATCAACGTCCATTCGTGTCAGAGTGTTGATCAAACATCAGGTGACTAAATTGTGCTATCCAACTCCTTAAGAATTCGGATCAGATGCATACGGTAGCTTGCTCATGGCACCTCCTCGTGCGCTCCTAGGGATCTGGCAACAGTATTGGCCTATACGATTCAAGGCGGTTCTTTGCATTCTCACAAGAGAAAAGCTTGATGATGAGCATTTACGGCATCAATTTTCGGGGGGGCACCGAATTCTATCTATATCTCGACGAAGCGCTTCATACATCGTGAGTACCTAGTTCATCGTTTCTGTTCATCAATCATCGCATGTCATCAGCGACCACATACTATATATATAACATTGCAGGATTGCGATGCGCATACACTCCCATCTACGCAAGCTGCCCATCCTCAGACACATAATGGAAGCCAACTACGCTATCCAAGATATGCGTAATAATCGGTTAGCTTTAATGGATCTTGGATTTGAGACTAGTTTCTACGGTGTGTAGGCTCATTGTTAAGCCCAAAAGTTTTACTTAGGGAACAACTATCTATAGGTATCTCAGTCGTGTCCTTTTCAGTTTCAACGTATTTTCTTGCGTGAGTCGGCCTAGTATCATAGGCCAAATACTGGTGTTTGACTCTGAAAAAGTCACAAGGGGCTCAAAACGAAACCGATTCTGATCATGTTCATTGCAACGTTAATTGTGTTTGCAAGTTCAACCTGCCATGTAGTCCTGGAATGGAAAACCTACATGATCTCGCATCTGGATTACGATTGCCCTATTGGCAAGCAGTTCGGGCCTCCTGAAGGCATCAACGCGGAATCTACGAGAATAGAAAACGCAAACAAATATTTGTCCATGATCAATGTAAGCCCTTCAAAGATCACGATTCTTTACGATGACGCTTTTCGTCGCAGTACCTATTTAGCGATGTAATCGTGATATGGAGGGTGTGGGTTATGTCGGAACACAATATGAAATTAGTGTCTTTCCTCGCGCTACTTTCTCTAGGATGTGCTGGTACGCATCCTCGTGTGTTTTCGACGCTGCCACCTGACGTGTATATTAGTGGCCTCTCTCATAAGTATCAACCATCTGTCTAGACTATATGTCTTTTTGATCGTCGCCTATTCCACAACGTTGGCAACGAATCTGATTTCTACTATATTCATGGCCGTCAAATCCTGGTCAGTCTCCGCTGTATTTCCCAGCTCAATTCATCATTTACGGACCATAGGCAGCATCGTCGGCTCATAAAGACATATCTTGGTGATGTGTGTACGAAATCGCAGACCGGATCTATCCTCGCCCTCTTGATAGAAACCGGTTCCATGTATTGTCTCATGTGGGTGAGCAACACAATAGTTCTACATATATACATACATGTCATTCAGGTATATGCGACAGATCAGCTTCTTTGTAGTCGCAGTTTGGTCTGGGTTTTGGGAAAACTACACAGGCAATATCTTAGTTTTAGGAGGCATGGTTCAGATCTCTGTGCGTTGCATACATATGTTCTTTTATCAACGCTTATCCCACAGTGACCAGGGGAGCTACCCAACTGCGGTCATCGCCCTGGCAGCATTCCAAAAGACAGCTTGGGACATGAGCATTGGGATGGCATCTCGGAACGTCTCTGAGAGGCATGTCGCTCCGAGACACACTCGCGCAGCATCATCGACGATACAAATTGGCTACTATCAACACACTTCAGCGCTCGATGGTCGCCTGAAAGAAGATTCTGCACCTGCCGATTTGGCAGAGAACGTTTGAGTCCGTGTGAGTACTCCTTTCCGGACTGGATATCTTTTCCCAGATCTAAACACTGCATCACCAGGTGCTCATTTTTTCGACGTCTCGCGGTGCCATTGCAAAATACATCAGTCTGTGAGGGCATTAATGACGGGATTAGGCGGGTGCAGAGCATGTAGGTAGCTTCCACATGCTTCGATATGTAGGAACCAAGAAAATTTATGCTCTATCGAAGCCATACGGTGCCCTGGCCACCTCCGTGTGCAACAATACGCAATGTCCTGTGCATTCTTCTTACGTTTCCTCTGCGCAGCACCCATTTCGGTGCGCAGGATGGCTTTCTGAGTTCTGCGAATCGCAGCATGACCTTTGTGCTCAACTCATGAATGCTTCAGGCCTTGAGATAGCAGAAACAACGCGAAGCCAAGCAGTATGGAGGGCATTCATCTGATCAGCTTCGCTTCAAATGGACGCAAAGTCTCTATCTCGCAGGCGGAAGACGATATACATAGCTGGGATTTATCTGCAAGCTGCGGAGAACCAGACTGTGCTGTGTCTGACTTTGTCCCATGACTCGACCTTTTTTTGCGCGCGCAAAAATGCGCAGATCGCGCAGGAACTTGAAACGCTTATAAGCGCTCTGTTTGCATCCAGTGCGTCTTCAACTTACTTTCAACCTCCATCTTCACCGTGTATCTATATATTCATCGGCGGACGTCCATCTCAGGCACCCCGGCACCCCTAGGACCCCGGATTTTGTGGTCATCGCTGTCGTCTCAGCACCGCTGCATCTCGTCAACGCGACGACTTCTCAGAATCCACATACTTCGAATACACCTAGTTAACCCCACTGCATAAGTCTCATTAAGGAGCTCAAGGTCGCATCATGACACCCCTAACCCGGGCATCGAAATCGACGAAGTCACCATCGACGGTTCGGGGTCTTGGCTCACCTGGGCGCCGCCCAACGCGCTCAATGGACATAGACGAGCTCATGGAGGCCTCACCTTCAGAAGTAAAGGATGCGGATGAAGCAAAAACTATACTGGAAAAGAATTTGATGGTTATCCTGGGTGAAGAAATCACTATCGACACTCTACGCGCCTCGCTATGGCATATCTCTCAGGGTGCCAAAATGCCGGCTACAGCGAAAACATTGGTTCAGGCAGTTGCCTTGCTATTGGGAGAGATTGACGAGGACCTAAAAGTGGAGAGCATTGCAGGGAGAGTTACGGAAATGGTCCTGGACAAGCTGAGTCCGGACATTAATCAACTCGCTTATATGAGTGAATCTTTGAAGGCCTCCAGCTCCTCGGTGGAAATCTCGATCGCCTCCCTATGCGACTTCCCCTCCCATTCACAGGCGGAATCAGACTCCCTTCAGAAGCTAAAGGACAACATAGAAAGTTCACGCCAGAGCCAAGCAGAGGATAGCAAGATGCTCCTTACGGGAATGCGGGAAGTATCCGAGAAACTGAAAGAGGTCGCTAAACGAGTTGATTCCATCCCCATCCCCTCCACCCCGTTGACCTCCTCCGTCCCACATTCCGACCCCTCCTGGTCGTACCGCAACGCGCTCCTTAATACCTCCGCCAGCGGTCATGGGCAGAACCTTGTCGATCCCAAAGTAGCCCGACAGTCTATTCTGAAGGCCAGGCAAATTCTTGTCGATCTGAGCTACCCTGGAAGCGAGACGGTCCCGGCGCGCAGTCTCGAATCCATCCGCGACACGGCAATCCACTTCTGCAAGACGGCCGAACCCCGCCCCTCTTGCGACATAGTTATCGAGGACATTTTTAGAATCCAAAACGGTGGAATCATCTTCCAATTCAACTTGAAGGAAGCCGCAGACTGGATTCGCTCCCCCCCGGTGAGCTCGCCCTTTGCAAATGCCTTCGGCAACGGAGCAGCAGTCAAACTCCGTCTCTTCCCTCTCCTCCTCCGTTTCGTCCCCTTCACTTTCCGCCCAGATGTCCCCGCTGATCTCAGGGAGCTTGAAGAAAGGTATAAGCTCCCCACACTGTCTCTTCCCTCCGCTCGCTGGGTCAAGCCCAAAGAAAAGAGGCATCCTACCCAAATGGTAGGTCACTGCATTCTCAATGTCTCTTCGATGGATATCGCAAACCGATTGATCATGGATGGTATCACCATCCGTGGGCGACGAGTTCTACCCGAACGGCTCAAGGCCGAACCAATTCGGTGCAGTAACTGTCAGGGCTATGGCCACATCGCTCGCAACTGTAACCATCAGAGCGCATGCGGCACCTGTGGTCAGACCAGTCATAAGACTGTTGACTGCAACGCATATCGGACCCTCCATTGCGTGTCCTGTGGGGTGAACACGCATGCCAGCTGGGACCGGAATTGTCCGGAATTCCTTAAAAGGTGTCAGCTGCTCGACGAACGCCGACCTGATAACCAGTACAAGTACTTCCCTACAGAAGACCCTCGTACTCATTTCCGGTTACCAGCTAAAGTCCCTATGGACCGCCGGTACCCTGACGAATTTGCTGTCCATAGTACTCGCGAGAAAACGGCTTCGGCTGCTCCTCGCACGCAGTCCACTATTCCGGGCTACTTCGCACCGACGCAGACGCAGTCTCAGAGTGCAACTCATCAGCGGTCTCAGAACCGCCACCCAGATGACCTCGAGCGTGATCAGCGCCCCTACAGGGAGCTGTCCCATGGGCTGCCCTTAAACGTGCCATCTCAGCACTTGCAGGTGCCCTCAAGGGGCCAGTCGCCGCAAACGTCGGCATCTCCTTCTCTGTCCTACATGACCCTACGTCCTGAGAGCGACATAGGTCCACCTGGTTTACAGAGGCAATTGCCTCCCACGCGCTGGGACGATCAATGATACACGCTCCTAAGGAGTACTCGTCCCAATTACGCATCTGGCAGGAAAATGTAAATACCTCGGATATCACCCAGCATGGGTCTCTGAATACGAGAGCGTATGATGAGTACGATGTGATCGCTTTCCAAGAGCCGTACATCGACTTCTTGGGGAACACCAGAGCCTCGCATGACTGGCATGTACTATACCCTTCGACTCACTTATCTTCAAACGAGCCTAAACGCTCGGTACTACTAATCCGCTCCAATTTGCTCTCCTGCTCTTGGCGACAAATAGAATTCCCCTCCAACGATGTCACAGTGGTTCAATTCATGGGCGATTTCGGCATTCTCACCCTGTTCAACATCTACAATGACTGCAACCATCAACGCACGCTGAACACTTTGGGAGATTTCTGCCGACAGAAAGGTGATGTCATTTTCCCCCACGCCGATGCGCACCTGATATGGCTAGGGGACTTTAACCGGCACCATCCTCTCTGGGACCATGCTGACGACACACGACTTTTCACAATGGAGGCAATGGAGGAAGCCAACTACCTGCTTCATACCCTAGCCGACCTCGACCTACGCATGGCCCTCCCTCCTGGTATCCCAACACACCAACACCTAGTCTCAAAGAAATGGTCTCGGCTCGACAACGTATTCTGTACACCCCACACGCTAGAAGCCCTCGTTTCATGCGACACCATGCCCGCTCTTCAAGGACCCACCTCCGATCATCTCCCCATAGTAAGTATTCTCGACCTCCAAGTCCCGCACAAAAACCTCCCCCCAAGGCGAGACTTCCGTAGCACGGATTGGGAAATCTTTGAAAAGAAGCTAGATGAGTATCTCTCGGCCAAGCCCCCCCGTGCACTGACCACTCTACAGGAAGTCGACGATGCGGGAAGGCACATCATCAGTGCTATTCAGCACACGATCGACGAGGTGGTCCCTACAGCCAACCCGTGCCCTCACTCCAAGCGATGGTGGACAAAGGATCTGGGAAAACTTCGACGATCGATGGTCTCCCTCACCCGCAAATGCTATAGGCTGCGCGATGTGCCAGGTCACCCTCTCCATGCTGACCTACAGGCGGCCAAGGCTAAGTACACCAAGGCCATCCGCTCGACAAAAGAACGGCACTGGAAGGACTGGCTAGATGAGGCCAGCAGTAACGACATCTGGACGGCAAACCGGTACATCTCAACCCCGTCGGGTGATGGGGGAAAAACTCGGATCCCAACTTTAAAGGTAAAGGATGCGGAAGGTAACGAACAGTTAGTGGACTCCAACGAGGACAAGGCAAAGGCCTTGGCCACCGCCTTCTTCCCTCCACCTCCAGAGCATACAGACATTGACCCTGGGTTTGTCTACCCTCGGCCGGTATGTAAATTTCAGCCCATCACTCGAGATACTATCCGTAGGAATGCAAATCGGCTGAGCCTGTATAAGGCACCGGGTCCTGATGGAATCCCTAATGTCGTCCTGGTGCGGTGCATGGATACACTGATCGAATTTTTATTCCACCTGTATAGAGCTTTCTTTGCCTTAGATACATACTTTGATCCGTGGCGGGAGTTCACAACCGTTGTCCTTCGCAAACCGGGCAAGCCAAGATATGACGTTCCCAAGTCATACCGACCAATTGCTTTGCTGAACACTACCGCTAAGCTGCTGTCTGCTATCATTGCCGAACAACTTACTTTTATAGGAGAGAAGTACGAGGGAGTACTACCACCCACACATTTCGGAGGACGTCCGGGACGCACCACCACTGACTCGATGCACTTGCTCATACAGAAGGTCAAGCACGCCTGGCGTCAAAAGCAAGTTGCCTCGGTCCTGTTCCTAGACATAGAAGGAGCATTCCCCAACGCTGTTACAGATCGGCTCCTGCATAACATGCGGAAACGAGGCATTCCAGCTAAGTACATTTCATTTGTGAAAAACCTGCTCAGCAACCGTCGCACCGCCCTACGCTTTGACGACTATGTCTCGCCGGCCATTCAGGTCATCAATGGCATCGGTCAAGGCGACCCGCTTTCCATGATCTTGTATATTCTCTACAACGCTGATATTCTCTCCATCCCCAAGGTAGCCCAAAAGACAAATGAATACGTCCTCTCATATGTCGACGACACAGCCCTCTTGGCCATTGGCCACTCCTTCGTGGACACACACCAAATCCTGGCTGACATGATGACACGCGAAGGAGGCGCTATGCAGTGGTCTCGCGACCACAACTCCCAATTTGAGCCGAGCAAGTTTGCCCTTCTCGACTTCACACAAGCGAAGGAAACGGACCCTACGCGCCCAGGAAAGAAGAGGGCGCTCACACGTCCACCGCTTGTCATTCCCAATCTTGCCATTATCCAGCCCAGCCCCAGCGCTCGTTACCTGGGAGTCCTTTTTGATCAGGAGCTCCGCTGGCATATTCAGGCGCAACAGGCAGCGGGAAAAGGAGCTGCCTGGACTAACCAGCTAAGTCATCTCGCTAAGCCCTCCTTTGGACTGAAACCTGCTCAGCTCCGGCAGATGTACATAGGAGTAGCGATCCCAAAGATGCTCTATGCAGCTGATGTATGGTGCACACCCATCCACGGCGGGGGTCTCAACAAACGTCGGTTAGGCTCTGTCGGTGCTATAAAAGCGCTCGCGCGGGCACAGAGAACGGCCGCAAGAGCCATTATGGGAGGGTTGCCCACGTCTGCCACGGACACCCTCGATGCTCATGCCAACACCCTCCCAATGGAACTCCTCATCGAAAAGCACTGCGCCCGTGCCGCCACACGCCTAGTATCGCTACCACCTTCACACCCTCTCAGTCCTCTAGTCAAACTCTGTGCCCGCACATACGTCAAGCGACACAAGTCCCCGCTTCATCACCTCCTTCACCTCAACCACCTCCACCCTGCGCACTTTGAGAAGATACGAGCTGTCACCTCCCGTCCAGGTGCCCGCCCGCTTGCTAGTTGGTCTATCCCAGACTCCCGCGATGACTCTGTAGCACAAGACGGCTCCCAGCAGGCCCAAATCAGGGTATACTCCGATGGCTCCGGTCAGGACGGACAGATCGGGGCTGCAGCAGTTCTTCTGCGCGACAACAAACCGCCTCGAACCCTGTTCTTCCACCTCGGCACAGACACAGAACACACTGTGTACGATGCTGAAGTTCTAGGCACACTTTTAGCCCTCCATCTAATTAGCACTGAACGTAACTCCAACGTACCCATCTCCATCAATCTCGACAACCAGGCTGCGCTGAAGGCGACCCTCCACCCCCGCGCTGGTCCAGGCCAGTACTTAGCCGTTGAAGTTCAGCGCCTGCTGCAGGATCTCAAGCGCAGTCGAAAAGGGACAGACTTTCAAGTGGAATTCCGCTGGGTAGCTGGACACGAAGGGATCGAGGGAAATGAAATGGCTGATGTGGCCGCCAAAGAAGCGGCCGGGGGTCGCTCAAGCCCAGTTAAGTCTCTACCCAAACTCCTGAGAGACTTTAAAGGCAGCCCTCCCATAGGAATATCTGCGACGCGCCAGATCCTGCTCCAGAAGGTTATGAGGAAATGGAACACACTATGGAAGGCCTCCCCGCGATACGCCAAGCTCTCTCGCATTGACCCCAAGCTCCCATCTAAGCACTTCCTCAAGCTGGTCCAGGAAGAGGAGCTTCGACGAGGCCAGATCAGTCTAATATTTCAACTTCGCACAGGCCATATCCCGCTTAACAAGTACCTGCATCGCATTAAGGCCGTCGACTCCTCCCGTTGCCCGGCCTGTGGTGAGCCGGACGAAACGGTGAAGCACTTCTTATTGGACTGCCCAAAATATAGCTTCGAAAGGCACGTTCTACTCAGTAACTGGCCGAGGCACCGTGATGTCCCACTTTCCTTTCTACTTGCAGACCAGGAGGCCTTCAAGCCTCTCCTTCGCTATGTTCAAGATACAGGCCGATTCCCCACACAATACGGTGAGATCCGCCCTCGTACATAAGATATGATCACGCTTCGCTGTCCCTTTTTCCTCAGGGCAACGACTCGCATCGAACAGCCCTCCTATCTCGATGACCCTTGGCATCCTGTCCAACATCTACCCCACAATTCACCTTTCTTCAAACTCCACGCTTTGCTCGAATGAAGTACGCAGGCGCGGACTTAGCCTCCCGCGATGCGTGTGTAGATCCGGTTGAGGAGTAGGAAGCAACGGGGGAATTGGGGCAGCTGGCAGTGCAAGGCTCAGATTCGGAGGGAGTTGCCGAGGTTTCTTTTCAGGTCACTCCCCACCTACACCAAACGTCCACCGCCGACCACATTCGACACGCCATGCCCTAGTTGATCAGAACCCCCCCCCCCCGCCCTTACCACTTCACAGCGTTTTTTCGCCAACTCACAGGTCTCACGTCTCTCATTCGTGCATGCCCGCGCAAGCGGGCGAGCATCATTCTTGAACGAGCCCAGTTCTTTTCACACAATATTCGCCGGCAAGGATCAACCCTCAAATTCACACGACCGGAGCTGGTTCGGAGGCAAGGTTGGGCGCACAGGAAGGAAAGGGAAGGTTCATATGTACTTGAAATGTCGAACATAGGGTTCTGTTACCCTGATACGACAATAAATGGGATTAAAAAAAAAAAAAAAAAAAAAAAAAAAAAATCTATATATTCATTCTTGCCTTCATCATTTGCTAGATAGATGACAATGATGTTCTGTCCTAGGCCTGTCAAGCATACATGCTGCTGCAATTGTGCACGGAGGACCCGGCCTACGCTATAAAATCTGGTTCTGTGCTCCTAGGTATGTCCTAGTCAATTTCTTCCACATTTCTTTTTATATTCAGCCGGACATCCTATTTTCTCCACCGTGCAGCAGTTTTGCCTCCCAATGCCCCTACATAAAGTTGTCACTTCAGCTTCCCCGTCTTTCATATATATCAGCGTCGCTTAATTCATCTATTTTCTAGGATTTCTTTATGATTTTGGGGTGGTCAAGGATAGCCCGCACTTCCATGCCTGGAGAGCAGAAGCACCTTTTACAGTAATGTAGGCTTGGGGACTTCATGCAATCAAATGTTGCAGTATGATACCCGACGTGTGTGCGCCATTCATCCCGGCAGTCTACAGCGTCCGATCTTTGTTGGAGAACATCGACACTCAATGATCAGATATAGAACAGTTTCATTAGGCTGGTGATGCTTAAAGGCTAGCAAATTGCTGGTATATCTGCGGAACATCGAATCCGTTTGTGCATTTCTACCTTTTGTCTCGGCTCAGGATTGTCCTCATGTGAACAATTGTTCATTTCATGTACAAAGTCGACTATTCAGTTCATCATATTCATACGCTCATAGTGGCGGACATATATGTACGTTATCAACATAGACTTAGCTTTGTTGGCCCCCAGAGCTTTGGCAGGGGCCACGCAGCGCAGTTGTCCGACATGCTGATGGATGAATGCAAGCAATACGTTGCCTAGGGTGGCTAGGCAAGCAATCTTAAACGCTTTCATGACACTCCGATGACTGGCAGTCAAGAGACGACGCAGAGCGATCAACGGAGTTTTTCGATGTAAGCTGAGAAGGGGTACTTTTTCACGTGGCGCGCTCCTAGAGCACCCGCAGAGCTAAGATAATGACATTCCATAGTCATTGGTGCCATTGCAGGTAAGATTCGTAAGACAAGTCAAAAGAAGACAGGCCACATCGTTGCCCTCTTCAAATGACATGCGGACGCCGAGTTTTGAAGCCGACCTCCAGTCCGACAAAGAAGCAACTGTATTTTTAAGATAAAAGCATGGAGGTCTACCATGTATGCAACATACCGCAAAATTGTCTGAACCATGAGCAGACGCGTGCCTGCGTGTTTGGGAATAAAGTCCGAAGCATAGCAAGCGACTAGAAGCCAGCGTGCTCAAGAAAAGATTATCGACTCACTTCAGCGTAGATCTCGGCCGCCCACTTGCTACCCTCGGACCTCCTACTAGCATCATCCTCGAGCGCTAAACTTTGCCAGTGCTTGCTCTTGATCCAATGCAGACTTGAGGCTCGATTCCAGTGCGCGATGTATAGCCAAACTTGAATATCGTAAGCATCCTTCTCACCTCTTGACTTTTCGACTCTGTTTTTCGCTTATTTTGTCTTTTTTAGGCGTGCTTTACTAATAGTCTTAACCTCTTGTATGATATCTCTCTTCCTCAAGATATATAGATGCATCCTATCGTCGAATGAAACTCGCTTACGAACACATTACATGGCTCCTTTGCGTGGAATGACGAGAAACTGCGCAGGCCAAGGGGATTCGTCGTGCGATTCGGGAACGCGTTTTTTCGGTAGTAATGCTGATAAGACCCATCTGTCAACGTTTCTTCCAGCTACTGCTGTCTCGCAAATCCATACGCACGTGAAGTCCCATCAGCACGTCTGCTCTCCTAGTCCTTGTCTTTCCCACAAACCTCGGCAATGGAATCGAATTCAGCACAAAGCTAGTAGCGCGCGCTGATGATAATCAGAGAATGCAGAGTCGTTCCAACCGGAAAGGAAATACACGGTAAATTTACAAAGATTCAGCATTCGTTGTGCTGAAGAGAGCGACAGCGAATTTAGCGATAACGATGAGCGCCGTCGCGGCCGATAGATCGATTCCCACTTTGGGCAGAAGAGCACAGTCCATGTGCATATACGAGCAAAAGGACTTCCACGTCTATTGCATCTGTCAGCGTCATGGTCCGATGTGCATCAATTATGGGTCATCCGTGATAGAACAACGATGTCATTGTCTCTGATGCTGTTTAATTGCACCTCATGTATGCACCGCTGCAGGACGTCTACTCACTCTTCTATATTCTAGCTGGCTCATCTCTCTGGAGCTGGTAATATATTTATCTGCGCAAGATACTTACACAAGGCTCACGCCCTACATCATCTCTCTTGCTTGTGAGACTGGCTTCTACGGTGTGTGAGCTCATTATCGTGTGTTGCCCGCAATTGACATTGGGTCCGTAGTGCTTTCAATAGTATTGTTTGCACTCTCAACCCTCGCGTGAGTTGCACCTCTGAAGAGGGCATATATTGATTAATTGATGTAGTTGAAGTCGTAGGGGCCTTACAACAAGGGCGGTCCTCATTATATAGATAGCAACCTTCATCATGCTCACAGTATCGACCCGCCATTTGTTTCTAAAGTGGGTAGGTGACATGGGCACGATCCTAATTGAGCTGGGGGTCCCTCGGCCAATGACCTTACAGATGAAGTGGTAGCCATTGCGAATTTTACCTACCTATCATCAAAGTAGGTTCTCAAACTATGGTCTCATCATTTTGACACTCGTTGATTATTTCGCAGTATTCGTTAAGCGCTTTAATCGTACTCTGGAGGGTATGGATCATGTGGGAACACAGCATGAAAATTTTGATACTCCCTCTGCTATTGTCCCCAGGATCGACTGGTAAGTGGCCTGTTTCAATTTGCCACCATTCACACACAACCTTAATATCAGTGGCTGCTGGTATATGCATCCCCTTCGGCGGGCTCGGTGTTGGATTGATCGGTGTCTATTCCTCGACACTGGCTACCAATATGATTGCCACTACGCTCATGGTGGTGAAGGCATGATCAGTGTATAGGAAAAATCAAGTCTTATCGATCAAATTAACATCGTCACAGGCAACATCGTCGCCTAATCAAAACTCACCTAAACAGCGCGGAATACACATCCTAGGCCATATCTATCCTTGTTCTTCTTGTCGAATCTGGGGCTCTTTACTGTGTGATATGGGTGAGCGGCGTTGTACCCATTGATGGCGTGTGCGCCTCTCACATGACACATGATGCGACAGATCATCTTCCTCGTGAGCTGGTGTTCTATTGACAGCAAAATCAACAATCTCAACATGTATTTAAATGAGACCCTCCCGGGAATTACAGTTCAAGTATCTGCGCGTTACACATATTTCCTTCATTTACAAGATACCCAGTCCACCTTGAGCAGGGGGTTTATCCAACCGCGGTTATTGCCCTGGCAGCGCCCCAGAAGACCACATGGGACATGAGCATTGGGAGGGATATGTCTCAAATCGCGCCTCATACAGCGATGCTCTTTGTGACCAGAGATACGTGTTCTGGCACGTCGACACTTTAAATTGGCTATCATCACTCGACACTGTCTATTGAAGGACCCCGCGCGCCTAACATCGAGGCGAGGGATGGGGGAGTGTAGATTAATTGAATAATATATTCATGGTGGCGAACATATATGATCGGAGTTGCTTTGCACCTTTAGCAGAATGGGCGTGTACCGCATATGTTGTTGTTCATGGCCGCCTAGGACGCGTACAACAGTCCAACGAAATCAGGTCTCGCTACCCTACACATGGTGGGATTTCTAGGAGCAGTGCCCACGAGGCGGGCAATACAAAAATGGGTATGTTTCCATTCAATAACATAACGTAGGTATTCATGCAGATGCGAAAGCACAAAATATGCTACTACTTGCGATGACGAGACGACCGGGACGACATTTAGAAAGTTAGATGGGAGGCGAGCGCAGGCAGGGAGGGGCACTGACAGGGATCGGAGAGCGGACGAACGAACAAACATAGCGTAAACAGCGCATCATGGCATCCAGATCTTGATCGTCTGCAGAGACAGCAAGCATCAGCCACATGCAACAGAGCCACATACGGGCGGATGTCATAGTTCCGACCTGCCGCGCACTCACCTGGTCAGAACTGCCAGACACGAGCACATTCATCAAGTTCGATGCGTCTCCTTCCTTGCCCTCCTCCGTGCCGGTCGCCTGCCGCCCCCACGATAGGCTCGACACAAATCGATCGTGCGCCGCGATGGTACGGATACATCGCCCCGTCTTAATTTCCCATATCCGGATTGAGCGGTCGTCCGACGCTGAGAGAAGGTACTTTCCGTTGGGATGGAAAACAAGGGACCGCACCCAGTCATCATGCCCCTCCTACGCACCGACACATCAATAATTGTACAGCCATTTGAGGGGAGATGCAAAAAACAAAAACACGGACGAGTGTGTGAAGGCATTGCCCTCGTATCGCATCCCAAATCTTGATCAGTTTGTCTCGCGAGCCGGTCATGACATATGCAATTGCAATGCCTTCTGTAATGACAGGCTGTTTTATACCTGTCTGTGTGTACTATGATATCAGCCTGCTATACAGTCGCGGCCGAGCCGCCCACTGACCTTCTGTCCCACGAGTTCACGGACCGCTGGGACAGACGCGCGAGGAACAAATACGGCAACTTCAACGGGTTTGTCGTGCCCTCGGAACTCGGCCTTCGTCGTTCCCGAGCTAAGCTCTACGACTTGGGCAGTCTGCAAACCAAGATTGAGAACATATGAGAATCACCAGATGTCAGGACGCGCAAACGCACATGGTCCATCGAGCAAGTTACGATATATCGGCCATCGAGGCTCGGAAGAGCGCATCGGACCCAATCTGGATGTGGCTTGATCACTTTGACACAATGCCTGCATAAAAAAGATACAAGTCAGATCTAGTGTGAAGAGCAATAGAATAACTGTGGCACACACGTCGAGGCGATCTCCCATATCCTGACGGTCTGATCGCGGCTCGCGCTGATTACACGATCGTCGCCGGGAAGGAAGCGCGCCGACGACACAGAATGCTCATGTCCTCTGAGCGTTGCGAAGTTCTGATAGTCGTTGTCGACATTCCATAACTTGATGAAGAGATCGTAGGATGCGGAGACTGCGAAGAGAAGGAAGGGTTAAATTGGTTACCGACGACGCGACGGTGTGCTGGCGCTGATCTGTGAACCATTGAGCCTGCGGCACAGCTCCGAAGACTAGAATGCGCGTAGCTGACGACTTTCGAGACGCCATACCTTGCAGATGGCATCTCTGAAGGTCAATGTGTCAATGAGATGTCAAAGGAGCGAGATCTGGGAGCGGAAGGGGGAGCGAGAACGTCTGATGCTCCTGTACATCCCAGCCTTCTATTGTGTGTTTGCCACTCCGTCCAAACGGGCCCGGAGGGCTCAGCACGCCTATCGCACACATTTCGACACAGAATGTCGCCCACGTACCGAGGTGCTTCCCCTTTGAGTCATATTCACAGTCCGTGATGCGCCTAGTATGGCCCTTCAGCGTCCTCTCCAGCTCGCCCGTCTCCCAGTCCCACACCTTCAGCGTGCAGTCGTCACTCCCGGACGCGAGGACAGAATAGACAGGATGGAACGCGACGGTATTCACCATGTCTCTATGTCCGGTGAGCGTATGCTTTGGGGGGCCGACGCTAGGCAACCAGTCTGGGTTGTTGCGTTTGCTAAAACCGGATGGGAGGGCGGCCATATGCATGTTGTCGTGGAGGGCCTGGGCAAGTCGCGATTCCAGGTCAAGTATCTGCGCCCATATTATGAGAAATATTGTCCGAGCGAGGAGATTGTAAGGCGAATTGAGTGGGCATAGACAGACCTTCTTCTGCATCCGGATCACACTCGTCCATTTCTTGACGAGAAGCCCCGCTGTCTTCTGCCCTGCGTCAGGTTGGAAGTCGGCCTGTGGTAGCTCAGAGCACAATCTTAACACCATGCTCGATACACACGCACCTGGGCCGACTCTTGCTTAAACTCCTCATACGTTCTCGTAAACCCCGCACTGTGTAAGTAGTCGAGCATAGCCTTGTGCCTGGAAAGCGTTTGCAAACGTGAGGACAATCGCTGCTCACAATCGAGGACGAAAGACACACGCACAGGTCATCTTGTTGTCGTTCGGATAGCACGCTCGCCATCGTGGAGGATGTGCAGCGCAGCGATGCGGAAGCAGTTGAATGGTCTGTGTCGCACACAACCAAACAATCGGCAAATATGTGCCCACCGGCAATCGCCGCCACCGCTCTCCTCTTGCCACCGTCGACACCATCACCCACTCACCTCAGCTTGATACATCTGCTCCCGTGTATGAAGTGGAAATTCCCAGCGATAAACATAGATCATCTTGGAGATATCTCCTGTACACCTTTCGAATATGAAAAATGAAGATTTTCCAGCATTTTCCTTGACTTTTTATGTGAGTCGCGTCTGCAAGGCAACTGTGCTGTGTCGGCGAGGCAGATGTGCGTCTCTCATGCAATGAAATCTCCGGAGATTGACCCTGGAAGGCTGTATCGCTGGTTGGCCGCTCGACTGCGACATTAAACACATATGACCCACCAGATGTTCGATCGCGAGATCATCATGAAAATCCTCTAGGAGCAATCGGCGGTATCAAACTCCTTCAGTTCTGCCCTAGCTTGGCATGCGAGGAGACTGGGAGGAGATGCGGGAGATGCGAGGTTGATAGCTGATTATCCTTCCATCTCGCGTTGGTTGCTGCGTGGCTTCTCGTTTCTGTGCCTACGCCTTCCGCCTGTAGCACATCTAAGATCTCCTCAGCGATCATCTTGGGTTTTCTAGGCCCTGATTGATGGTTCTCTGTGTATAACAGGATCGTCTTGGGCGAAGCAACCTGCCCACGCACGCTTGCTGGTACTTGCCCTGCGTCTCTTCAAGCTCGTGTTCGGTTTCGCTTTCATTCTTGTCGCGTTCGCGACCCTCTCCGTGAGAGGTGCCTATTCACCCGCTAGACGGTAATGTCCAGTATCTAGCTGGAACAATCGGCATCAGTAACTGAATATTCGTCGTAGAGCAACTGTTTGCAACGGGCATGCTGAGCTTTGTGGTCGCAGCTACGGAAACCTCACGTTCGTTGGAGGTATAGCGCAGAGTGTATCCTCGATACCAGAGATGGTTGACATATCCTCTTTTCGTCGCAGCACACGACTCGCTTGCGTTCAGCAATGACTCGCTCGCTCGTACGTGCTACCTCCATCATATCCCTTTACGAGTAAAGCTCAAAACTTTCCATTGTGCTCTTTCTCAGTTGCTCGAGATCAGAAACTCGACATACCGACGCAACTGAGTCTTGGCATCCGGCTGCTCCAAGCACAGGCTCACGAGTTCGTTCTGCTGTCGTCGCTGATGATGATTCTAACAGGAACCTATCAGTCTTGACGGCGTCATCCATTTTTGTCATACGAGTACGTGCTTCTGCCTTTCTCTTCGAAGATGATGACGAATATCGATCAACACGAATCAGCCTGCGTAAAACGAGATTTCATCTTATATCCATCATCTTGAAACTCACGACTTCGTTGTCGCAGGTTTTGTTCGATAGAGGCACTGTTGAGGGCAAGTCTCTTTCTCTCTCGCCTTAAGCTGGCCTCAACTCAAGAGGACCGTTTCCAGACTATCTCAAAACAGTGGTCACTTTCCTCGCCGCCAACCCCAACGAGGTCCTCACCCTCATATTCACGAACCCAGAAAGTCCCTGTCGACCGTCTGGGAACCTGCCTTCAACGCGTCCGGCGTCGCCGATCTCGCATACGTCCCGCTGCACGTGCCGTTGACACAAAACGAGTGGCCGACGCTGGGCCAGACGGTCGATTCGGGGAAGCGTGTGGTCGTGTTCATGGACTTTGGCGCCGAGTCAGACGAGGTCGACTTCATCCTGCCCGAGTTTGAAATGGTGCATTGTTTCATCAGGATCGGACCTCGTTGATCGGAAGGCACTGACGTGCGTGCTCGTAGTGGGAATTTTAGGTCTGGGAGACGCCCTTTAGTGTTACGGACGCGTCGTTCCCGTGCTCTGTCAATCGCATCAAGGGGCCTCTCAGCACGGAGGAACACATGTACATGATCAACTACTCACTCAACATCGACATCTTTGTTGCCTTCCTTAGCGATCCAGCACAAGCCTCCAAGACGAACGGCGTCACCTTGTGCGTCCGCATTTCCCTGTGTTCCTTTGCGCGAAATGATCTTATGCATCCACACGTGTTCAGTATCCTGGCACATGCGAGCGGGTGCGCACCCCTGGGAGGAAACCGGTGACCCTCTTTCGTGCTGCTGAACTTCGTGAATGACGAGCAGGCATTTCAAGCCGCCGACTTTATGAATGGGTTCTCATGATTGCAATGTCGAGCAACGCCACTGATTGCAAATGTTGCATATCGTACATTGCATGCCAGAGCTTTGCTTTGTTACGGATGGGAGACCTTCACGCCTTTGAAACACCACTTGAAACAATTCCGTTCTGGTTTGTTGATATGAAGATCCATGTTATGTCTTCAGAAAAGTATGAGCTGTTGCTCACCTTGCCCACACTAGGATTCTTGCGCGTGATACAAAACCATCATCTCTTAGTTTGGTATCGAAGCAGCCGTCGGAACAAGTTACGGAGGAAGTATCATGTCGTATGAGCTTTTCATGTCCCCTTCTCAAGATCTTCAGAAAGGAATATGTTATTTATCACTGTCGCATGTGAGAGAGAACACTAACAAGAAAAATATTTTTGGATGAAAAAGACCCAATCGTGATTTGAACACGAGACCCTGCGATTATAACGCCCTTTCAAGGCACTGCAATCGCATGCTCTAACCACTGAGCTATTGAGTCTTGCACACCTCAAATTAAATTATATATATAACATCAATACATGGTATAACTGTGGGATACCATATCAAGACGATGAATGTATCAGACGCAATAGCCTACAGACCGTCATATGCATTCCGCCTGTCTGCCCTTTGTGAAAAGCAGAAGTATGCTATCATCGAGTCCTCGTGAAATACAACAAGGGTGATTCAACGGTATAGACACCAAACATACAAGAATGTTTCATAGGGTAATCATCACCCGAGCCCTCAACCCAATAACGCCGCCACCTCGCCCATCCCACCCAGGAAGGGTGGCGCGGCACACTGGACACCTATGAGAATAAATACAGATGAAAATGAGTAGCTATAATGGAAGACCAAAATGGCACTGTCGAAAGAGCCGCGCACATACGCACCTCGCGCCAAGCCCGCCTACACCAGTTCTCATAACAGCAGCGTTGACAGCCGTGAACAGACATTCGCCACATAATATATGCCCGCAGGGCGTCAGCGTTGCGTTGGTCGGCGGCGAGAAGCAGATCGGGCAGCAATATGTATGTAGCGGTTCGGGTTCCGGCGCTCGAGGCAGTGGTGAGATAGGAAGAGAGTGGGTCGGTAGTATGGTTGTAAGATCGGAAGCGGGATGCATGGAGGGCGGAGGTAACGACTTAGAGGCATGGGATGATGGAGAGGTGCTGGTGGATACCGATGTTGATGCAACAGCGGGAACGTTGTTGATGACGACTGAACTTGGTGGGGCTTGAGTGGGGACTTCACGGATAGATGGCGGTTGGACAGGAGTCAACAAAGAAGCAGGATTAGAGGTTGGCAATGCTTGGGCAGATCTCGATGTAGATGCGATTCTCGTCTCCTCAATTTGGCTGTCATCTGCGGTCAGGTTGAATGTAGAGTATCCGGAGAAGACATCATCAAACGAAGATGTTTTTAACGGCGTTCTCGAAGACAATGGTAGGAGAGGATGACCATGCGACCCAGAAGGCCGCGAATTAAATGGTGGTTGCGCAAAGCCTGTGTCATCGGAGTACGGCGATAGCGGAGACATAGAGCCGAAGTGGTCCATCTCAGAGTATCGGCCATCGCCCTGTTCAAAAGAAGTACCAATCAGTCTAATCTGAAGAGGTGAGATGATTCATGGACGGCAAGTACGAAAAATTGATTTGATTGACTTGGAATGGGTGGGTGCATGAACGTAAACTTAGCACTCACAGCATCGGTATTCGACGGTGGATGAGATTCACTTCCCTCCCCATGTGAGGGGAGTGCATTCCAACCCAAATGACTTTGAAAGTTCATGAAGCTGTTGTCACTTCGGGGAGAATCCATCCAGCCGGGTGCATCCAAATGACTTTTATCTGTCTCCGCAGTTTCGAGCTTCGTTTTCTTGCTAGGTCCTCCGTCGCCACCATGGTCCATTTGCTCCTGCTTTCTCTTCCCAGACGCTTGAGAGCTGGTACCCTCGCCTACTCCGGCTCCAGAACCGCCAGCCTCGTCGGGGGTAACAGCAACAGAAGGCTCGGCCTCTACATATGCTTCGAGCGCATCATACATAGTTGCGAGTCGTGGATGAAATGCATGGGAGTGTCTCTCTGGCTCTAGGGTGATATCATAGGTACTCGCATCTCTACCGTCGCCGGCACTTTCGGACCGCAAGTCCGCAACACTACTTCCACGAGATCCGGAAGCGCTACCCTGCTTCGAGCGTGAAGCGCTATCATCTCTCGATGCAGAAGTATTCCCTGAGTAGGATGAACTAGAGCAAGAAGCTCGAGAGCGTGCTCGGCCAGTGTTTCGCACTGCAGAAACACGAGGCTGTAGGGCGCGCGTCGTCATCGGTGCAGGGAGTGGCGGGGTGGCTGTTAGATCCAGCTGAGTTCCAGAATCAGTACTATCCGATATGTCCATGATACAGAGTTGGTGTCGGTGAGCCTCGCCCTGTGTGAAGGAACAGGGATCAGTGCAGTAAAATAGAAGACCACGGTCGCCAGTGGGAGGCGTGACTCTCGGGCATAGTGCCGCGGAGTTTAACCACGTGCTTTGTTGTGCCACCATGTTCGAAGGTGATGTGGCTGAGGTGTGGTCAATCCTTTGTTTATTGTTGAGTTTGAGTATAACGCCTTCCACAAGGCATCCTCACATCTCTCACCTCGACCACTTCCTCCGAAACCACGAACGGCTAACATGCATTCCTCGCAAACAGAGAAAGCGAGCTCATCTACCAAAACGGCTGACATGCCGCGAACACCACCGTACTCTCAAACAAGACCCAACATTGTTTATGATGAGCTTTTCATCGCAACCAGCAACAAGTTCCTCGGACCCATGTCCCTCGAGTCTTTCTTCAATCGATATCTTCCCATCGATCCAGCCAGCGGTCCGCAACCGCAGTCGAGAAGCATTCGGGATCGTCGGATGCGCAGTGGCAAGAGCGTTTTCCACCCTGTCTTTGTGAGCAGCACGAGTCTGGTGTGTGTTACCATTCTGAATTTTGTTACCATTGTAGATTAGGGCGTTGCAAGCAACAAGACTTTGCCCCGGCCTCGGTTTCGAGTACCCGTCCCTCGGCGGAGTGGATCATGAACCCAACACCCTCAGACCCATCATCTCTGCCTTCAAGCAGGCACATAACAGCAGTGCCACAGCAGATCAACGCCCTGCAGAGTTCTTAATGACGTGCCTACCGTTAGAGGAGGACCCCTTCACCGGTTCTCAGTCGAAATCAGAGGTGACCCCCTCTGAAGGGTACTTCGAAGGCAAGACGGGCGTCACCCAGGTTATCGTATGCAATCTCATCACGGATGTGTACCGAGAGATGATATCTCAACGACGCTGCTTTATGTTCACGGCGCTCTTCTTCCAGGACTATGTCCGCTTCATTCGGTGGGACTGGGCAGGTGCGGTGGTCTCTCAGAGGTTTAGTTGGAAAGATGAGCCCGCGCCATTGGAGGTGTTCCTGTGGAGGGTCAGTCATTTGTCAGATGCAGGCCGAGGACATGATACCTCGATCTCCCAGCCTACCGCAGAGGAAGTTGAGGCTGCAAAGAAGAGATTGGACGAGCGGGCGAGGGAATTGGCCAGGATTCGGGGCGACGCGTCTGTGAAAACACGCTACTCCACGGACGATACCTTTCGCAAATTCCGTGTGGTGGACAACGTCGACCACGTCGAGCGGTTCTTTGTGGCATCCGAGCCTATATATCGAAGCATTCCAGAGATGGGCCGCGGCATGGTCGGATACGAGGCGCTTGACCTCCAGACAGACAAGCTGGTATACATGAAGGATACCTGGCGATGGGGCGAATCTGACCTCTGCGATGAGGGATTGACCTACCGCCGCCTGCACAAAATGCACGTCCCATGGATTGCCCCACTGGTGTGCGCTGGGACAATAGACGACCAAAAGACACTGACACATGCAGTCAAAAATAGGCCATGGTGCTGCAAGGGCGCAGAACCAAAGGCCCATGAACACCACCGGCTTGTACTCGGCGCGTTGGGAAGGCCATTGCGTGAATTCAGGTCCACGAAGGAGTTGTGCACCGTGATCTCCGAAGGCATGGAAGGTGGGTCTATGAGTTCCACTCTTCCCATATTGGTGGCTTACCATTACTCTATCCCAGCTCACCAGGCAGCGTTCACCAGAGCGAGGATCTTACATTCGGACATAAGTGACGGAAATATCCTGATCACTGATGACGGTCATGCCTTTTTGATAGACTGGGAGCTGTGCCAGAAGGTAAACGACAATGGTACAGGCGATTATGAAGGAAGATCGGTGCGCACACGTCCAAGTCCCACATGCCCCGGCTTTACACTGATGATGATTACCACCAGGGGACATGGGTGTTCATGTCCTCCGCCATGGGCACTAAGATCAAGTGGCACGAGTTCCGGGACGACCTGGAGTCCTTCTTCTACCTCCTGCTGTTCAATAGTATCCGGTACCAGGTCTGCGCGCCTCCGGACCTCGCGGCTTTCCGCGAAATTTCTGAGACGTTCTTCCAGAGCGCACATTATGAGGGAGACGAGCTGTGTGGTGGTACGGAAAAGGCTAAATACCTCAAAGCGGCGACCGACGCCCCATTCTTCCCCAGACATGAGCTGGAAAAGATGCTCAGTGCGCCGCACGCGAGTTTGATCGAGGAGATCAGGCTGCTGTTCCGCCCGGCATACCTCGTCGGACCAGACCTGGAAGAAGCCATATCGCAAGCTAAGCGCAATCTCAACCTGCCGTGGAGCCAAGACGCCCTGCTCGACCATCTCAGGTCGTCAAAGGCTATGGCAGAGGTGTTCCGGCAGCACTTGGCGATGCCGGGCTGGAGAGAGGGCGATAGCGGTCACGACCTGTTTCCAGACTGGGGGGTGCCGCCTGAAGTGCCTGTGTGGTGTAAGTGGACGCCGCCAACGTCTCTACGGAAGCGGTCGACCCCAGACTCGATACCGGCCTCGAACGAGACACCGATCCCTGCGCCGGCGCCTGAGCACAGAATACGCCTGGCCATATCGACGTCAGCGCCGCCATATACGCCGTCCTGTTCGACCGACGCACCGGCGCCGTTGGTTCACGGCATCAAGCGCGCTCGCGATGAGGCGGAGATGGACTGTGATGGGAATGAGGGCGGGGACCACTCAGCCCCGTCGCTGAAACGCGTTAGGCCATCGCCTAAAAAGCCGTCTGCGATCCCTGCTCAGTCTTCACAGCGCCCGGAGGGCGGGTGCTGACCGGAAAATGACGCGGCACCATTGGATCACGCACCACGGTGGCATGCGCAACCATCCTGCGACGCACATGCGCGAAATTGAAGGACAGGCGCATTGTACATGTACTGGTCCCCACAATTCCGCGCTATGGATGTGCCAGGTTCCGGTCTTGGACAGCAGAAAACCACGATTCGTTGAGCTCCTTATCGAGGTGCGGCTAGTTCGCTTTACAAGGCGGCCTCCGAATGCTGGACAGGACTAGCAGGCACGGCAATCTCGACGGGTATACGAGCCTCGCTAGGTACGATGGCATTGATGGTGAGGCGTGATTCCATTCGGTTTGCATATGTATATTTAATCTAGGGAAGAGACTATAAGTGGGGAGGAGGGGATGAATACTATAATCATTTATCGTAATTTTGTATAGCACGACACGTGAAGTTGCAATGGCTTTCGACTATAACAGTTGAATGACGCACCTAAGAGTACACATGCTAAGGGAAGGTTAGATCAACCTATCGTAGTCATGCACTAACGAGGCGTCAATTGAGTCAAAGTCAACGCGCCGACATCGTGTGTTCATATGGTGCTGGAAACCAATAACAGAGCACTGTGCGCTCAGCTTCCGCCTCAAACCCAAACCAGAGCGACAAGGGCGCTTTGGCAACATGTCGTCAAGGGAGAGGCGTAAGGCGGACCTACGGCCCTACAACGACGTCATCTCGCATCAACACAAATCAGCTCTTTGAAAGAAAGATCTCACGTCTACTCATCCTACATGGACAGAACAATTCATCAGCTCGGGTCAGCTCGCTTCAAATCAAACTCAAAACGTAAGAGCAAAAAATGATACATACACGTACACGTCCAGAACAAGCAACCCTATTCGCCTCACGCCCAACCTCCCACGCGCTCACCTCCGCCATCCATTATCTCTCCCACCGCCCTCCCACTCCTTCCTCCCAACTCTCTCCCTGCTCCTTCCAGTATTCATCCCACCGTTACTCTCCCCCTCGTCCCATCGCCTATCCCTCCACCCCTCTCTCCTCCCCCAATCTCGATGTGCAGCCGCCACATCCGCGCGGTTGAACACGTCTCCATAACCGCCGTGCACCGTGCTCGGCGTAGCCGCGTCCTCTGCCTCGCGCTCGCGCTGCTTGCGCCTGATCAGGGCAAGCGCGCGCGCGCGCTCGGAGGACTCGCGCTCGAGGCGGGCTTGGGCGAGCGCGGGCTTGGATGTGGATGAGGGGGGTGAGGAGGAGGTTGGGCCTGTCACGAGGGCAGGAGCGGGGCGTGTAGAGGCAGAGGCAGAGGTGAGAGCGCGGGAGCGCGCGGGGTGCCGGATGTGAGAGGGTATAGCAGCGAGCGGATCTGCGCGCGATTTGCGCGCGAGTTCGCGCAGTCTAAATAAATTTGAACGAGAAGTGATCAGTTCATCGGCGGAGAATGCGCAAAGAGGGGCATAGTTTGGGTCGGAAAGCTCACTGCCGGCCGTCCCGCCGCGCGTCCTTGACGTCTACGTCCTTGTCTTTATCATTGCGGGAGGTATACCACGGGTTCAGGTCCTTTTTTGGAGGCGCGAACGCGACGCCGCGCTCTAGCTCTGGGTCGGGCGCGGACGCAGGCTTTTTGGAGGGCCGTGCTGCGAGTACGAGTGATTGCTGGAGCGGTCGGGCATCGCGTTCAGTGAGAGTACGAGGGATCACAATGAATATTCGGGTGTACCTGTTCAAGGTCTTCAAACAAGTTGATATGGCGGCTCGCGGAGGAGAGGGAGGCGGAGGTCAAGCTCGAGGTGGTGGGCAGGTGAGATGGGCCTGCTTCAGCGCTTGAGAGTGGACCCGCACCTGCGCCGGCACTAGCACCGCCAGCACGTTGTCTTAATGCATCCAATCTAGATTCTGCGTCCTAAATCGCGGGCACATGGAAATGTGAGGAAGATGGAGGCAGATGGTAGGCGTAGCATGCTTACCGCGAGGAGCGCCCTGTCTTCTTCCTGTTGCTCCTTAACCTTTGCTTCTGCCTCATCGCGGCGGACGCGGGCGATGTTATCCTGACGGTAAGGGTGGTAGGACTTGTGGTGGGCAATGTTGAGTTTGCCCATAATGACGGTCGAGTCGAAGGAGCAGCTCAAGGCCGGCCAGGGGTCACGCAAGTGGTGTCTGATCGATATATATTGCATAAAGACAATCATTCAGGAACCCCTTCGATAGCTCAGTTGGAAGAGCGCAAGACTGTAATGGAAAACATTGTATCTTGATGTCGCTGGTTCGATCCCGGCTCGAAGGATAATAGGCTGGATTCGTCTCTTTTGCACCAGAGGTGATCTGGGTCCTGGCCACGTATTGACCGAGGTTACGGGTGCCTGAGAGCGACTGACACGTCGACGGCCTGTTGCTTTTACTTTCGTTTCGATCCATCTGCGCGTCCAAGCGCCCCCTTACTCCCTGCTCGTCATGTCCGCCCGCACCAGCCCCAGCGGCCTCGGCGGCCCCAGCGACGAGTCCTCTCTCCTCGACAAGCTCGATCAGTTCGCCCCCGCACCCCTCAAAAGCTTCGACGCCTTCCCCAAGCTGCCGTCCACCTACAAGTCGCGCTCCGAGTCCCGCGGCTTTCTTACCCTCTTCGTCGGCCTCCTTGCCTTCTTGCTCGTCCTGAACGACATCGGCGAATTCGTCTGGGGTTGGCCGGACTACGAATTTAGCGTGGACCGCGATGCGGAGAGCTTCATGAAGGTGAACGTCGATCTCGTGGTCAACATGCCTTGCAAATGTGAGTGCTGTGATCGTGGTATCCACTCGCTTCTCTTGACCAGGTCACGGCGTGCTCTGCTTTCGTATCACTCGATGTGTGTGTGCTGCAGATCTGAGCGTCGATCTCAGAGACGTCATGGGGGACAGGATGTATCTTAGCAAGGGTTTCCGTCGGGACGGGGTGCGCAGCTGCCCTTTCTTTTGCCTCTGACTGCGCGTGTCAACAACGCGCCTTCCCGCAGACCCTCTTCGACATCGGTCAGGCTACTACGCTCAAGTACGTCTAGAATCCTTCATCCCTTGCAATTCATCTTGCCGTGTACTCCTTCGTACCTCATTCATTTTCTCTCCTCATACATTAATTCATCTCAAATCACGCACAGGGAACACGCCGAAGCGCTCTCCGCTCGCCAGGCTGTCTCCCAATCTCGCAAATCCCGCGGCTTCTTCTCGCTCTTCAAACGCGCCCCGCCGACGTACAAGCCGACATACAACTACCAGCCCGATGGGAGCGCGTGCCGGGTCTATGGGTCGCTCGACGTGAAGAAGGTGACGGCGAACCTGCACATCACGACGCTCGGTCACGGCTACGCGAGCTCGGTCCACGTGGACCACAACGGTGCGTGTACCTCCACAGATCTCGCAGCCTTGGTCCCCTGACGCGCCCTGACGCCCTGGCCTGGCCCCCCGTCACCCCGCCGCCAGCGATCAACATGTCACACGTCATCACTGAGTTCTCTTTTGGGCCCTATTTCCCCGAGATAACCCAGCCGCTCGACAACTCATTCGAGATCACACCAAGCCGTACGCGCCCTTCTCCTGTCCGTCTCGAAGCAATTTAACGATGCGAACGCCATATTTTTCAATACCATTCACAGCCTTCACGGCGTACCAGTATTTTCTCCGCGTCGTGCCGACGACCTACGTCGCCCCGCGCTCCGACCCGCTCATCACGAACCAGTACAGCGTCACATACTACACCCGCGTGCTTGAGCACAACCGCGGCACGCCCGGCATCTTCTTCAAGTTCGACATGGAGCCCATGCGGCTCACGATCCATCAGCGCACAACCACCCTTGCGCAATTCCTCATCCGGTGCGTGTCGTTATCGCCGCCTTACTACTCTCAGTTTTTTCAACTCCAGCTCACACCTGCGACGTCGAACTGCAGCTGGGCCGGCGTCGTCGGCGGCGTATTCGTCTGCAGCGCCTGGGCCCTCCGCATCACCACGCGCGCCGTCACCCTCGTCGCCGGGCCCTCCGACGAGGACACCATCGCGCCCACCCCCGACTCAGCCGCCACGCGCGCCTCGGGGCTCCGCCGCAAATGGGTCGGTGGCGCCCTCCGCGCGCGCCCCGCCTCGGGCACTGGCCAGGGCCGCGTCGTGCGCCAGGGCAACAGCTGGGTCGTCGAGGGCCCCGGCGGCGGCAGCGTCGGCGGCTCGCCCTACTCGTCCTACGCGGGCACGCCCGTCTCCGCTGCCTCGCCTTACACGCCGTTCTCCCCGTACTCCCCCGCGCCGCCCCCGCCTATGTCCGCGCGCTCCATGTCGCACCCGGGCGCGACGCCTGCCGGCGGCGCGGAGCAGCACCCCGCGCCCTTCGGCCTCGGCCTGCCGTCCAGCGCGTTCGGGCCCGGCCCTGCATCCGCGCGCTCGCCGTCGATGCCCGCGCCGTCGCCGTTCCTCGGCGCGGCGAACGCAAACGCGGGTTCGCCGGCGGTGACGCCGAGCTATGCGCATTTCCCGCCGACGCCGAGTGCGGGGTCGACGGCGTTTCCGCGGTCGCCTGCTCCCGGGGCGGCTGGGTTCCCGTTCGTGAAGTCGCCGTTGGCCGGAGCGAAGAAGGACGACTGAGCGGTGGGCGGTTGTGCTCGCGTGAGGAGAGACGAGACGGGTATGCGAAGAGGGGAGGCGGCGGGGCGCGTGTAAAAGCGGCCGTGGATTGAGGTTACTTTTTATTGTTGGTACTTGCGGTAGGGCAGTCGTGTACCGCCGGGGTGTTCGCTCGTTTCGTTTCGTCTGTCTTCTCGCATGTGTCTGTATAAGTATCTTGCATCGTCGTGTGTCGTCTCAGGCGGAGGTACATATCATCATGGGCTGGGCATCGCAGGGCATGACAAGCAGTGAAGGTCGGTACGGTACAGATGTATATATGAATATTAGATGGGTATCGCAGAGGGCCCGGCCAGCTATCGGGACCGTGATACATGATAGATCTACTGCTACATACGACTAAGGGTACAGCGTCCAGCGCGTGCCTCACGCGCGCCGCTTTTTGGTGCTTTTCTTTCGCGCAGGCTTGGCGGCTCTGGGCTGCGCCTTTGCGAGCTGTTCCGTCAGCTGCGGCGATTTCTTCGTCTGCTTACTGGGTTTCTGCCGTGGCGCGTCCACAGCTTCCTCTGCCGCGCCGTCGGTTTTGCGTGCGCGCTTCGAGGTTCGATGGGGTGGTGGTGGCGGCGGCGGCGGCGAGGGGGTCGGCGGTGCGGAGATGTACACCACCGGTGCACACGCCATGGTGCCAGGGGCCGGCACCGTGAGCTCGGGGAACAGGTCACGCGACTTGTCGTCGTCCCGCCAGCCCTCCTTCGCCAGGAAATCCTCGATGGTGTTCGGCACCGTAGGCTCAGGGGATCGCTGCGCGGGCACGCGGCCCGCGCGGGGGCGGTAGACCCTGTGCTCCTCGCTAAGGTGCGCGCGCAGGAGCTCGATGAGGGTCCCGAGCGGCTCGCTGAGAAGCGCATCGAGCACGTCCAGGGGGAAGAACGGCACGGGTGCGGGCGCTTTCGCGCGGAGCCACTTAAGTTTCTCCTCGCCTCCGCGGAGCATGCAAACCTCGTCGAAGAAGTCGCTCTCGAAGAAGCGCGTGAAGGTCGCGCGCAGCGCGGGCACGTCGGGCGGGGTGCGCGCGTGGTAGCGGATGCTGTAGTACAACAGGACGTAGAGGAAGGACTCGGCGTCGTCGACGAATGCGTGGCAGTTTTTGTCTCCGGACTGGATGGTCGCGGAGAGGAACTCCCATTTTCCCTACAGGGACCGTGGGCGCGTCAGCGGCGGGGCGGGGATGAGAAATGGGGACAGGGCGTACGATCGCGCCGATTTCATCGGTCTTCGCGTCCTTTTTCATCATCTGCGACGATTCCCAGCCCAGCAGGAGCGCGTGCCCGTCGTTGGTGATTCGGATGTTGTCGCCACTGATGTCGCAGTGGATCAGCGCCGTACGGTACGTCGCCAGGTAGTGGCCTGCGCGTGGCCAGATTATGAGGCGCATTTGGCATCGAAGCTACGAACATAGAGAACAAACGCACTTTCTGCGGCTTCGTAGATAACTTGACAGAGCTCCTTCGTCGAGTTGGCCTCGGACAGCGGGCGGCCAAGCGCACCGTACACGATGCGGTAGTGCTCATACGAGCCCGGAAAAGCGCCGCTGCAGCACCAAGGCTGCCCTGCGGCCTGGTCTGTGCACGTAATCTGCCCGCCGACGACACCTGCGCACACGAGGGGCGGGAGGCGCGGCACATAGTTGCCCACGAGCGCCCTGTACGTCCGGCGCTCGTCTTGGAACAGTGGGTCGCGCGGGCGCCACGTATCTTTAAGGTAGACAAGCTTGCCCGTTTGCAGGTCCAGAGCCTCGTACGTGGCCATCCCGTTCCCCGTCTCGGGAGGGTCCAAGGTCTGTGGCAAGGACGCAACGAAGAAGTGTTCAACCGCGACAACCTCCCTACCATCGTCGTTTTCCTCATCCTCGTCGCTGTAGTACTCTTCCTCTTCCTCGTCCCCTTGTCTCTGTCTGTGGATGTCAACGACGAGGAACTTGACGAACGTGTCGTCCGTAGAATATCGCCTCGGCAGAGGAGCACGCGGATCCTCTCCCTTCGCCCTCGCTAAGCCCCTCGCGTGCTCGTCCAGCTTTTCTTTGGTCAGTGAGATCTCGTTCGCAGTGGGCTTCGACAGCGTCTCGTCGTGTCCGCGGTCATCAGCTGACATCTGGTTGTACTGCCATAAAAATTCAGCCAGAAATGGGTCGCCCGCCTTCCAGTTGAACCGCGCGCTAAACACTACGCCTGCCCAGTCCCACCGGATGAGCCGGGCGTAGTCCTCGAGGAAGAGAACAGAGAACATGAAGCGGCGGCGCTGAGATAGGCACTGCCGGTAGATGTCGACAATAAGGTGGGATATAATGCGCGTGGTTTCCTCTGTCCTGTGCTCGAACAGTTCTTCGTAGGGTGAGACCTCTGCGCGGTATTGGGCGTTGGGGAATGGGGTGAACGGGTCGTGCTTCAGTGGAACGCACATCATGAGGAGCTCGACGGGTTGTTTGGATACCTCCATTTCACCTTCCTTCGAGCGATTGTAGACGGAAATGACGGCGCTAGGCCCATGGCGATCCCCTTGGTCAACTCCGAGGACAGGCGCGTCGCGGAATTCAAGGTCAGGACAAAGTCCTGAGTCCTCTAACACTTTTATCTATGGATCATCGCAAATAAAGTTCGATCAAACACAATGCCTGAAGGGAGCCACTCACGAATCCAGGGTCAAAGGCCGTCACGCCACTGCGCACGCCGTCCCCACAGAGGCGAAGATGACCCTCCTCGGGCAGCGGCTCATGTCCGGGGAGATATTCGTTGAATATCTGACTCGTCGGCATAGGTCCAACAAAGGTTGATTTGTTTCCCTGAAAGATGTGTTCGTACTTGAAGCCATCTCTCTTCCTAAAGTATCTCTGCGACGCGTTCGAAATCGTGGATGTCTGCGAGTTGACGATCGAACTGCTGCTACTACCTGTTGAAGACATACTCGAAGGTTTTTTCAGTGTGTAGTCGCTTGAAGAAGGGGGTGGCTGAGGTGGAGAGGAGAAATCCGAAATAGCCTGGGCAAAGCATTGAACGAAAGTGTGCCACAGACATAAGGCCGTCATTGATGGGCCATGGGGTTTAAACTCCGCGGCGTCGACGGGTCGCCGGGGTTCGCCGTTGGCGACGAGTCCAGTCCCCATTTTCCTTTACGCCGGACATCCATCACCAACTTTTCTGGCTGGGTACAATATGAAGACAGAGTAAACCGAAAAATTCTGCTTGCATCAGATATAGAGCCGGCGTCATGATTATTCTTACTTGATTCCGTGACAAGCTCATTCGAACGAACGTTGAAGTGGAGTGTCCTAGGGAGATCAGAGAAGATGATGTGCAGACAAGCGAAGGACACGGAGGAGAGAACGGGACGTGCTGCAAGTCTCAGTCAGTATGATTCCAGACCAGCCTACGAATCCGCTGCGCTGGCAATAAACCTGACTCCATCCGACTCTCATCTTACTCCAGAATTTCCAGAAGGTGACCTTTTGAAGGTCAGAATCAACTATAACAACATCTCCTTACACCTTACTTGAAATTTCGTTGCTCATATATTCTAGCGCTTCCCGCAACCCCTCGGAGAACTCGGGTCTCCACCCTGCTACCACCGCCGCCGCATAACACCAACATGACCGAGAAGTTTGAGCCCTTCTCTGGTAATCTGGGGGCAGAATAAATCCTACACGATTTTCTAAGGATATTTCACCGTATTCAACTCGACACAGACGAAATGGTGGCCATAAGCCGCTTCAAGTACTATATCAAGGTTGGGCATGATGCTGACGAATGGTTCGCTGGTCTCTCATCCCATAAACTCGCGATTCGAGGCCGCGTTTGAGTAGTATTGGCCAAAGATGAAACGAGCAGTCAAAATCCCAGAAGAGTATGAGGATGAGCTGTTGAGCTGATGCTCCGCGACGAGGGCCTTGGGGTGACAAAAATAGTTGGCGGGATCGAGGTCTGGTCGCACGTCAAGTGTGCACACGACGCCCTCATGCTTGCTACAAGGGCCGGCGTTTCATCATCTTCCGTATACGTCAGACCGATTCGCCGCGAGTGCCCTGTTGCTATCAAAGACATGATCGACACCACGCTGACCGACTGGGCAGCGTTCACGGAAGCTGTCCAACACATTGACGTTGACACAGTCCAATGCTATAGGACGCCAACCATGCCGAGTGCATCCTCCCAAAGTCCTCAAATGTCCCCGTCGAACCCAAAGGCTCATTGTATCTCAGCGAGGCGTTATAATCTAGCGTAGTCAAGAGGTGAATGAATACCAGGCGAGGTGGTCATCGCGCGAACGTTTTGAAGCCCAAAAATCTTGAGTCCGATCGTGGCTTCTGTACAGCACATGAAAAGATCAAGCAGCGTGCAGCCTGCGATGATGCACAGAGGAAACGGGTGGCGTATGACCCCTCGTCCTTATATTTCGTCACCTCGCTGAACTTCCAAGAAGGTGGATCTATTTGACGGAGGGTGGATGGTCGGTGGCGTTCTCCATATCTTCCAAGGCTCCAGACACAGAGCGAAATTGGATGCCAGGCAATGTGGCCTGAATACCGGACTCACCGAACGAATCCCATACTGTCTTCTTGAGGGCGACGAGGAGAAGTATGATCGTAGGATAAATACCCTAATTGTCGACTGAGGTGAGGTGATAAGCATCCAGCTGGATACCCTCTTACAGATATATGAGTCATTATCGGCCATGACCACTGGATGACGAATATGTTTCCAGGAAGCCGGATGAACTCGCAGAAAATAAACACCACCTATGTATTTATCAACATCGGTCTCTGAGAGCACGGAACTCCTACTTACACAAATCAAACAGTAAAGTGCACCAGACTCGATGAGAAGAACTAAAATGTTCTCGGCGTGTGTTCTCTTGGCACTCCGTCCAAGACTGGCCACTATGAACCGTCTTTGCCTCCTAAGAAGAGCGGGTGTTGAAGAGAGGTTAAAAAAAGGCTTTTGCACCACTCACCAGGCGGTAAACATGATTGAGAAAGTGGTGGCAACGTTAGTCGACAGAAACATTACCAACCCAACGATCTGCATGTCCCCGCAAAATACGTTATCGAGCGCGATCCCCTTTACAGCACATCCTACTGATATGAATAAAGCGACTTGCATCCCGAGTAGTCAGGATCGTGCTCAGGAACAAGGCCGAGATTGCTGCTTACCCGCATAACCTGCGATGAGGAAGCACGACACAACAATCAATGCAGACTTGTTACCCTGCCATAGCACACATGCCCTCCAAATGATGACCCCGTCAGCGAGAATGGGCTGGCAAGGATACATTAACCCGATCGAACAAGACCATACGGGGCAGAATACGTACATTGATCGAGTATATGATCTCGATGGATTCATACAAAGGATTGCCTGCGTTATTCAATGCGTCAAATGCGCGATCCAACGACGTCACAGGGTCGGGTGAACCAACGTTCTTGATGATCTTGATGAGGTTGACCAGAGACAGTGTCCAGACGGCACTCGAGATCGCAAACATGCAGAGGGATGTGACCAGCATGACCACCTTCACTCTAGTCCTCGGTTTCTCCCGCCTGATTACCATCAGCACTCTCGAATATCTAAAACGATAGAAACTCACAGAAGGACGTGAGTCGAGAAGAGAATGACGACCACAAAGATGCCTGTTCGAACAGTATCCAGAATCCAGATCAGTCTTGGGCTCTGGTACGCGAATCAAGATACCTGCCATAGAATAAGGTCTGGAATATGACGCCGATAGTCGCGCCGGTCATAAAAGCGACGATGACGGGGTGAGAACTGTTATCGCTCAAATCCATCTAGCAGATCAAGCGTCGACTCGGCAGCGGGGAATTGGAGGAGGGGCCTGAGATGCAGAGAAGTGAGAAGTGCAAGCATATAGGCTGATTATATCCCCGATGGGTTCGAAAGCTGTCTGGGACAGTTCGACACTACTGATGCCGCAGAAAACGGCGCGACTCGTGACTGGACCGATTAAGAATGGATGCTTACTTGATCCGAGTCGAACAGCGCTAAAAAACACCCCTGTCATCGAGATGGAGGTCATTCAGCCCAAAAAGGAATGTAAAAATGGAGACATTTGCCCTCGTCAGACGGATCAGCGAAAGCTGTCAAGTGGCTGGTCCTGTGTTCGCATCCGATTCTAGACGCCGTCGCAGTTTACGCGCATTGCCAGAATCAGAATCAAAGCTACTGCCCTCACTGCCTGCCATTCACGGTGCCGCATCATGATCGTCCGCACAGTAAGTCATTGCCAAAGCTCCAGAGACAGTGCCCAGACGGCACTCGAGATCGCAAACATGCAGAGGGATGTGACCAGCATGACCACCTTCACTCTAGTCTTCGGTATCTCCTGCCTGATTACCATCAGCACTCTCGAATATCTAAAACGAGAGGAACTCACAGAAGGGCGTACGTCGAGAAGAGAATGATGGCTATGAAGATGCCTGATCGGACAGTATCCAGATCAGCTTTGAGCTCTGGTACGTGAATCAAGATACCTGCCATAGAATAAGGTTTCAATGGTGACGCCGACAGTCAGACCGATCATATCAGCTGCGATGACGGGGTGAGGGCCGTGGTCGCCCGAAGCCATCTGGCAGATCGGGCGTCAACTAGACAGCAAGTGAAATGAGGCGGGTAAGGGGGTTCTAGGGGTGCAGAGAAGCGAGAAGTACAAGCATGTATATAGGTGAGCCGGAACTCTGATCAACTCGAAAGCTGTCCGGGACAGTTTGATACTGTTGATGCCGCAGAAAACGGGGCGATCTATTGATTGAAGATAATGCTTACTTGATCGAGTCCAACAGCGCTCCCTGTCATCGAAACGGAGGGCATCCAGCCCGAAAATGGAAGCATTTGCCATATCCGGCTTCCATCATGGCGTGCGGGAGGCGAATTCCCCCCGTCACAGATCGCTGTCAAGTGGCCGTGTTCGCAGTATGTTCGCGTTCGATTCTAGACGCCGTCGCAGTTTGCACGCATTGCCAGAATCAAAATCAAAGCTACTGCCTTTACCGCCTGTACTGCAAAGGAAGATCACAGTCCTACGTCATAATCGTCCGCACAGCAAGTCATCGCCAAAGCTCCACTCAGCGAAAAAACTCCAGTGACGTGACGACCGAGCCACAGCGTGACGAGAAAGATTGGCGTCAGGTAGAGGACAGCGTGCGCCGCTTGACGTTTTTCGCAACTAGGGATCCTGGAGGGCAGAACACGAGGTCAAAACGGCTAGTCCCCCTCGACGATTGCCGCTAGCTCAAGCACCACGACAGGTTACCCGGCGGTGCTCGACAACATTGAGCACAAACCTGTAGGAGCTCGAGCATGTGAACGTCAACACTAAAACATAGCGCGAGGTTCGACTGTCAATGATATGATCCAGAGGAAAAGCAACAAAAAAAAGGGTTTCTCAAATTTCAGCCTCCGATCCTACGACGCACGTTCTTCTTCCGCCGTAGACCCAACAATACAAGCTGTCTAATTCGCCAACCTCGAACCGCTAACAACACAAGCACACACAAGAAAAAACACATAAAGATCCGAAGATGTCCATGCAACGCGACGCGCCCACCGTCCCTCGGCGCCGTCGCCGTCGCCGTCGTCGACGCACACATATAGTAGTAGCGATAGTAATAGTCGTAGCAGTACACTAAAAGAACCGTATACCCTAACCTAAATACATGATCAACAACGCCCAACGCCCAACACCCAACCGCCTCCTACCAACCGCCGCTCAACCCGCCGATCCACCCGCGCTTCCTCCCACGAACGGGCCCTCGCACTGTACCGTACTGTACGCTCACCAAACAAACAACGTACTATATCTACATAAAAAGAAAGAATCGCAAGAGATCACTCACGGCGCCGCCAGCAGCCCGCCCGCGCGCGCGCGCGCCGAGGGACCGCTTCACTGCGGCCCCGTCGTGGTATAACTCGGTGGCGGCGGCGACGCCACGTACTGCCGCGCGGGGTACGCGTGGCCCTGGGCGCTGTACGCGCCGAGCCCTGCGACGTTCCCAGACGCCTGGTGCAGTGGTCGCTGCTGCTGCTGCTGCTGGGGAAACGGCGGCGTCGGGAGCGTAGCGGACGCAGATGTTGATACAGACTCGAGTGGGTATGCCGCGTACTGCACCGATGATGGGGTATAGGGCGCCGATGCCGCGGGGGTGTACTGCGCCGGCGCGAACTGCGCGACGGGCGACGAGGAGGTCATGTAGGGGGAGACGGAGACGGGAGCAGGCGCATATGCGGAGGATGCGTATGGCGCTGTCGCGGGTTCCGCAGCCACAAACGGTTGTGGCGAGGCGTACGACGCGTACTGTCCCTGGGATTGGGACTGGGAATGTCCCGGTCCAGGCGGTGACGTCGTCCTCGCGCGCGGGGCATATACCTGGGCTTGGGCTTGGGCTTGGGCTTGGGCCGAAGCCCCAGCCCCAGCCCTCTCCGGCTCCCTTCGGTGTCCAAACGTCACCGAGTCGTTGCTCATCTGCCTCACGGGGATCCTCCCATCTGCCCTCGGACTCGCCGGGTACTGCACGCCCACCTCCTCCGCGCGCGCACCGGGCCGCTCGTATCTCCTCCCGTCCGCGCTATACCCACCACCGCCGTCTGTCCTGAAAGTCGGAATCCGACCGGGCGCGGCCGCCCGCGGGTCGCCCGAGTATCCCACGGCGTGTCCGTGCGCGTCCCACTGCTGGTGCTGCACCTGGGACTCGGGGTCTGCGGAAAAGGTGCGCGCGGAGGGCGCGTGCAGCGGGATGTCGGACTCCGAGCCGCGCGGGTTGAAGGTCGTGCCGGAGGAGGACGCAAAGGCCGAGTTGCCGTAGATTTCGAGCTTGTTCTGCCTGTGTGAGGGAAGAGAGCGTTCATGAGCATCGGATAGCCAGGAATGCAGGTGGCGGAGACGTACCGGGCCTTGCGCCGGTCATGAATGACCACATGCCGGACCTGGCCCATCTTTCGGTAGATATACCACATAGCGACGATGGTGAGGATAAACGTGAGCGCAAGCACGACGTCGCTGATGATCTTCTGCTCTGTTGTCTCAGCTAACCGCAGCGGTAGCAGGTCGCAGCGCGAACCAATAATTTGTCAGTTCCGTTGCGCAAATGCGAGGACGAGAGAGGATACGCACTGCCAGCGCCCTCAAGCAGCACACCGAGGTACACGGTGACGAACTGCTTGGGCAGGGAGAGTATAGCGGCGAATGAGAACGTGATGATGCCCATGCCACACGTGGAGAAGATCGCGGTCGTGACTGCAAGCGGCCCAATTTATTGTCGTGAATCCACATATTTTTGCGATCGCCAAGAAGTCAGAGGTCAGACACGCATACAGACCACAACTCGAGATGGGCACGCACAGTGTCCGGGGATGGCGCTCAGCCGCGCAATAAGCGCGATCTTGAAGCCACCGTCACGCACGACACGCGCGAGACACGCGTACTGTATGTTCGTCTTCTCAAGCTTGTCGCCGCGCGCGCGGCAGCAGTACTTGAATGCGCTGCGTGGCAACGATCGAGAGGATAACATGCGGCACGAAACACGCGGAACCGAGGCGACAAGGCACGGAGAATCAAACAAAGGGGGTTGATCAGCACGATGTGAAATTCGGGAGAGTGAGAAAACAATAAAGTGAAGTCCAATAAAGACAAGGAAAAAATACACAAAACCAAAGATGGGGCAAAGGACAGTACGCACTAGAAGTTACCCACTTCGCCGATGAAGGTACCGGCTGCGACGATGGCGAAGCCGATCCAGAGGCCCCAAACGACGCCGCAGAGGATGGCGACGATTTCGTGGCCGAAGAGCTGTGTGCATACATGAAGTCAGATGTTGATTGTAATCAGGATCGACGCTTTCGGGAGCATCAAAACGGGTAAACGGGTGAAGAAGGTAGAAAAGGGGTCAGCACCCAGCAGTCATCGATCAACGACTAATATTCAACAGATGGGCCGCAAGTGGCATATGCTCGTATGGGGACATCTGTGATGGTGGCTGACGAACGCGAGAGATGCGGCTATGCGCGTGGCTATGCCACCGAAATAGGGGCAGAAGACGAGAAACTCACGGGTGGGAAGGAAATGACGAAGAGGATGGCGATAGGGATTGTCCATCCGGCGGGCAAGCTATGGGCGAAGTCAGAAAAAAGGGGTAAATGGAGATCGGGCGGTGAAGAGAGGCGAATGAACGTTGGGCGGGCGAGCGGATTCTGGTGGCTTAAACAAAGAAGAGACGGACGAGACGGACGGATGAAGAGGTGGCAAGGATGATGGCGATGGAGACAGCCACCGCAGGGGGGAAGGAAGGCAGTCAAAAACGGAAGAAGACGAAAAAGACTCACTCGTGCATCCAGGTGGTCTTGGGTGTGAGCCAGTGTACGATTTGTTTATGATAGATGGTGATGAGGGCGGTGAGAACGCCGATGATGGTCAGACCGATGTAGTACCCTATAGCATCCGGACACAACACACAGTACGAACGCAACGCCGCCCGTCGCCAATTCCAGATCGGTTCCATGCCACAAGGATAAAGAAAGGACGGGGACGCACAAAGCCACTCCCTCCGAATCCAGAATCTCCAGCTCAAGAGCGTCTTCCAGTCGAGGAGACTGTCGCGGGCGAGCTCTGCAGCCTCGCTCGGGGTTGGACTGGGCGTACGCGAAATCCTGCGCGGATCGAGGTCGCCCTCGCCCTTACCCTTGATTGTATTTACGCTGCCACCGCTGAGGCCTTTGTTGTAGTTGGTATTGACATTGACGGTGCTGGAAGAGTTGAGGGCGTATGTAGTGCCGTTACCGTTGGGAGGGTAGAGGTATCCGCTGGAGCTGGGGCCGCCATATGCCGGATATGGGGAGGACATGGTGGTCGTGAAGAGAGAGATGGAAGAGGTTTGAAAGAGAGCGGTGAGGATGAGCCAGGGGGCTCCGGACGAGGGAGGGGAAGGAGAGCAAGGCGTAGTGTGGTGCTCGAGACGCAGTTGCGAGTGTGTTACGTACGAGGGAAGGACCAAACTGTTGTCTTTGCGCAGGCGAGGGGCGTCTTCCCACCGCGACATGCGCACCCTCGCCTCGCGCCTCCTTTTTGTTTTCTCCCGCCACAAAAACACCAAATACTACATCTAGCACTCACCCTAATTTACCTCGACACATCACCTCTTCGCCGCAAATTGAGCACGACCCTGCACTCGAAGTGGCCCCAACTTTTCCTCCGCTCCTTTCCTCGCGACGCGCAACCTCATCATCACCGCTAACCCGACGCTCACCCACGAGGAAGTAGCCCAACAACTGGCAAATGCCTGGACCGAAGAAAACAACGCACGAAAGGCTGAATACGAGCAGCAACAAGGCGAGCTGCAAGCAGCTAGGGACGAAGCTGACAGGCTTGCGCAAGAAGAAGAGGATCGGCGCCAAGAGGAGCAAGCGCAGAAGGAGCAGGCAGAGCAGCTTGAGATAGAGAAGAAGAAGCCAAAGTTGAAGCTGCTGGACAGATCGAGGACGGTGGGTGACCAGATTGATTCACGCCCCTCCGCCTACGCTCTAAATAAGCTTGAGAACCATGAGTACATCGAGCCATGGTATTTCACAACAGAGGGATGCCAGGATGCCGCCGACTACCAGCACACTGTCGCAGACGAGACATTCGGCCTCTCCAAAGTTGACAACTTCCTAGCGCTCCGTGCCGTCTCTGCCTCCAAGGCCTCGCGAAATGCCATCAAAGACATGGACCTCACCTGGAGGCAGATGGAAATGGCCAAGAACCTCCTGCTCTCGTACATGGGAAAGCTCAAATGGCCGGACGAGTACGTACAAAGCCTGGCCGGTTTCTTCATCAACATCGACATGAGCAGTATGCGCTCCCGCCCTAACGGAGAAAGAGCCCTCCTGGTGTACCAAGCCCGGTTTCGTCGTGAATGTGACGCCATCAAACCCAGCGAAGCCTTTGATATTTCGGTCATCAATCAAGAGCTCCTCAGGAACATCAAGGACGAGGTGCACGACACTGTGCGCGCTGAGGCTCTCAAACAGGTCAGCTCATTCCCATTCCCATAACCTCCTCGCAGAACAAGCGCTAACTCATCCCTTTTATAAGTTCCCACCTGTCGCTTCGCGACTTTCACGCAGTGCTTAATGGTATTTCTTGGGGTTAGGGTTGAATCTGAGTTTTGCAGTTTAGTTTTAAATGACTATGAGGATTGAAATATCTTGTGTTAGTTGCAGAATATGCATTGATTATAGGCTACCTACAGTCTGAGTGTGGTCTGTGTGTAGTCTGTGTGTAATCTATTGTTGGCTATATACTTGTGACTTGATTACCTGCTCTCATTTTGTATGCTTTTATTGTATATGCTCTTATTGTGTGTGCTTTTGTCATATGTGCTCTTATTGTGTGTGCTTGAATTAGGTGTGCTCCTATTGGGTATGCTACTATTATATGTGCTCCTATTGTATGTGCTCTTGTTGTATGTGCTCTTGTTGGGTATGCTCTTATTAAGTGTGCTCTTATTAGATATGCTCTTGTTGGATGTGCTCTTATTGTATATGGTGTGCTTTTGTTAGATATGCTCTAGTTGGATGTGCTTCCATCATGTGTGCTCCCATTGTATGTACTCCTATCATATATGTTCCTATCAGATATGCTCTAGTTAGATGTGCTCCTATTATATGTGCTCTCATTATATATAATGTGCTCCCATTATGTGTGCTTCCATTGTGTATATTCCCATTGTGTATACTCCCATCACATGTGCTTCTATTAGATGTGTTTTGGTTAGGTGTGCTTCTATTATGTGTGGTATGCTCTTATTAGATATGCTCTAGTTGTATGTGCTTTGATTATATATGCCCCTATTGCATATGCTCCTATTGCATGTGCTCCTATTGCTTGTACTCTTGTTGTATGTGCTCCCATTGTATATGCTCCTATTGTGTGTGCTTCTATTGTGTATGCTTCTATTGTGTATGCTCCCATACTCCTATCATGTGTGCTCTTATTGTATGTGCTCTTGTTGTATGTGCTCTTGTTGTGTGTGCTCCCATTACATATGTTCCTATTGTGTATACTCTCATTATGTGTGCTCCTGTTGTATGTGCTCCTATTAGTTTTATTGCACTTCCCTTATAGGTTATTGGACATTTTAATCTAACTTGAGTAATGTTCTTGGAGTTTTCTACCACTGTAAATGACATATACACAGAATGCATAGATTTAGCAGGTATTGAGTTGAAAATATAAGGTACATTGATGGTTAGAGTGAGAATATTTTGCCTTGTGCTTTATGGATTTTGTCATATTTTGTCAGGTTCCCTTTTTGGATTTTTGGTACAGAAAATGCTTTAATCAGGAGAAGAGAAATTAATAATTTGGCCAATAAAGTAATTGTTTTAGCCTCGCACTTCGTGCTTGCTGCAGCTATTACTGCAGTTTGTCAGGTTTGGCTCCTTGCGCTTCATGCTTGGGTTCTCACATGGTTTTCATATATTGCCACATGTGATACTGCCCTCCCATTCTTTTTAGATCCACCCCTCCAACCTGCTGCACCCACTATATTTTTGCTGCATATGCTACATGCTGTAAACACTACATGCTGCAAACACTACATGCTGCAAACACGGCACACTACGCGCTACACCCACTACGCATACACCATGCCTCTTCCATGCCCTGTGGCCCAACCTGCCATATGCACATCATGTGCTACATAACCTGCTTTTCCCTATTGTCCTTCCTCCCCTTTGGCCGCTGCATTTCCTTATGCAATCTGCCACTGCTTTGCCTCACCCACTACATGCTGTACATATCTCATTGTTATATACACCTAATCACAAATTTCCTTACTTTGTCCACACATGCCACCCTCGTGCAGGAATATACGAGCACACCCTGGTCACCAGACCATGAGCAAGGGTGCCACTAGCATGGGCATCCACATCCCCCCTCTTTATTCTCACGCCCTTTTAAGTGTTCACGCTCATGTTCCCCTCTGAAAGCTCCCTCTAGCAAAGGGCAGTCGTCCTTTCCACTATCAAAATATTGAGCTTGAGCATCCTCTCCCCTAGACAAATCCTCTTTTCACCATGGCGCAAGCACCCTTGGCCCTTCAGCCTGCACTATCTGCCTTGGCTGACACCAACACAATATTGTGCAATGCAATGCAAGCCTCCTCTGGGATGGCTCTGGCAAGCCACAATGCTATTGCAACAGCAAAGGGTGACTCATCACCCCCACTGGGCAGTAACTTTGCTCCAACTAGCAGCACCCCAATAGCTGCTCTGCTTTTGGGCATGACTCTAAGCATGAGTGCTCAGGATGTATAAAAATGGATTACAGAGCTCAGCTCTGTCCTTGAGCACAGAAGGAGTAGTGCGCACACCCTCCTTCATGCTGATGCTTGGCTCACCACCCTCACAGCCACCAATCTTCTCAGTAAATACCCCCTCCTCCCTTTGCATATCAATTTTGGTTTCAACACTAGCATTCCCCCTATCCTTTGTACCTATGCTCCTTCTAATAACCTGTCTATCCCTGAGCACGCACATGTATTTAATCAAATTATGCAGAAAGAATTCAGTTGTGGATGCTACATCAGTTCCCTCTCAGGGACAGAAGTCGAGCTCCTCTTTGGCCCCTTCCAAACATCCCCTATTTCCATAGTCCCTAAGCCCAGGAAGCCTGGGAAGTTCCAGCTTGTCCAGAACCTCTCATTCCTATGTCACCCACTTGAAAGCATTTCCTTCATTAACTTGGCCATTGACTCTAATCTTTACCCCTATACCTGGGGTACCTTTGCAACTATTTGCCTTCTCATTTGGAGGCTACCCCCAGGCTCACAGGCAGCAGTATGGGATGTCTCTAAAGCCTATCAGTTTATCCTAATTATCCCAAAGCAATGGCTGGGCCTTGTTGTCCACCTCAAAGGGCATGACCACTTTGCAATTGACACATGCAACTGCTTTGGGCTTGCCTCCAGTACTAGTATCTACAATGAAGTTGGTGACACTGGTGCTAACATCTTCTGTGCCACTGGAATTGGCCCACTCTCTAAGTGGGTTGACAATCACATATTCCTCCGAATCCTCCGACAGTACCTCAACTCTTACAATACCCTTTGGGAGTGCACAAGCCTTGCTATCACAGCAAACAGTGGCAAGTGGCATGATGGCGGGTGTCTATGGTACTAGGGCAACACCATGCCTAATGGCAGGCTCAAAGAATTTGATGAGAATATGCAACACCCAATCAGGGACCTGTCAAGTGCTTCCCCTAGATCCTCCACAGACACTTTTTACACCTGCACAATTGCTGATATTGATCATATTTCAATGCCCTTCGGCTACCACTGGGAAGCCTCCAAAGACATCCCCTTTTGCTCCCGCCCCTTGTTTATTGGCTTTGAATGGGATCTTACCGCATGTGAAGTCTCACTGCCTGATAGTAAGAAGCAAAAGTATCTCAATACAATTGAGGCCTGGCTGGACCACAGAGCACATCCCCTGGAGGAGGTTTACAAGCTCTATGGCAAGCTGCTACGTGCCTCACTGGTCCTACCTGTGGGGTGCACTTACCTCACAAAACTGGAGGCCACACTCAGTTTATTCGATGATTGTCCTTTTATGCTATGTACCCCACCCAGAGGCACTTCTGAAGATCTGCTCTGGTGGATCCACAAGCTTAGGCAGCCGACCCTCTCAAGACCCATCCCTGGCCCATATGAGCTCCAAAACACCCTTGCTTTTTCAGATGCTAGCTCAGGGATTGGCATTGGCATTATTATCAGTGGGTGCTGGCATGCCTAGAGGCTCCTACTTAACTGGAACACAGATGGCTGAAACATTGGCTGGGTGGAAGCAGTCAGCCTTAAACTCCTCATCCAAGCTCTCGTCCCATTCTCTACAGCAGGCCTTCACTACAAAGTTTACAGGGACAATTGGGGTATTGTTGAAGGCTGGTGGAAGGGACGCAGCCGCAACAAGCTAACCAACAAAGTTTTCAAGTGACTCCATAAGCTCCTGGAATCCTCTGGCTGCACCTATCATATGTGCTATGTTCTTAGCACTAGCAACCCTGCAGAAGGCCCATCCAGGGGAATCTACCCTCTGCTTCACCTCCTCCTCCCAGCAAACCACATTCCTACCCAGCTTCGCCCTTTCATCATAGATTTTGATGCTGACCTCCTCCCCACTGAGTGTCACCTTCTTCAAGAGGGTACTTCCCCCATGAGGCCCCCCAAATTCCCCCGGGAGCATGCAGCAGACAGAACCGTCAACGATGAGCTTTAGCACTAGGGAGACAAACTCCTTATGGCCTACCAACTCTAGTAACCCATAAAGTAGGTGGAATACACCTTTAGCCAGTCCGTATTCCATGGCCACACCCTCTCGCCTACACCCACTAACCAAACCCCTCTCCCATTGCAAATGATATCCAACCTGAGCCCACCCTCCAAAGCAACAAGCGCCACAACCCTACCATCCTAACCTCACTCTGATCCCTTCAATACTCCGCTCACACATTCTAAACAGCCAGAGGCTGCTCTTCCGGCACCTGCTTCTACAGTTATGATCCACCCTCGACACAAACAGCTGTCCAACAAACCTCAATCAAGCTGACATGTAGCGCATCTAGGATGCCATTATACATGCCTAGTCAGACTCTATGCTAGAAATCTACAACACAGGTCTCCTCACCTTTCATGTCTACTGTGACACAAAAGCCATTCTGGAGCTCCAACGTTGATATGCTAGAGGTGGCTCTAAGTGCTAAGCACAACACTAAAACAACTTCTAATGTAGGGGTGTTGGAGCTAGTATCTGATAAAGGAATTGTCAGTGATGACTTTAGAAATTGAAGGCATACTGAGAAGCAATGGGGAGTGTGAGATTATAGCACCCGAATGGTTTCAGGACTATGCTGAACACCGACCAAATGTTCGATCGGTCGTGTTGGCGATTTAGTCAGTAACGAGAAGGTAGTATTGTGACTGATAACTACGTGCTTCAAGAGCCACATAGGACTCTGACAATATATGAAGGACGATGGGGGGTATAAGCAAAGAGACGAGTATGAACATGAATAAGGCTGAATAATGAGGATGACAAGTTTTTGAAAGTTGATGAAGACAATTTTGATGGTTAAGACGAGTGCAAATGAGCTCTAAACTGTGGGGTGTGAAAGCTGGTTTATTCCAGAGTTGTATGTAGGTTTTTATAGTAAACAAAGCCCCTAAGTAAAATATCAAACAAGAAACGAGAGTAGATGTTGAATGGGCACCAAGCCTTGGCGATCAGAGAAGATAAGAAGGTAGATGAGATGTCCATATAGGTTCTGAAGGTGATAAGGTAAAAGATAATCAGCGATGGCAAAATCCCAAACATTTGGGATCCATTGCTCAAGTGTAGGTAGCAGAAACAGGCATTGGTGAGCCAATGAAAATAAAGAAGACATAATGTATGACCAGGGTGGCCAAGTAATGGTGCAAGATTGTGTTTGACCAACCATGTGAAAGTTGGGAAGATAAGTGATAAGGACTGACTAACTTATGGAGCACATTGGCCAACAAGGAATACTGGCTCTGATCTCATAAACACCTATCGTAATACTCCTATACAGTCATAGTAAGTATGTGAAGCATAGGCAAACTGACCCAAGTGCTGCCAAACATCCTTTAGTGGGCTATGGTCAGTTGGGTGGGGCTGACTGTGTTCGGTGTAAGTCAGCATCTTTAGTACTCATCTAGTGCTGTTTAGTATCTCCCTAAAGCTTCCCAAATACTTCCCTTGGACCCTAGTGCAAGTGTATGCTCATCAATGTGCTTCTGCCAGCCCTGTCCTCATTTCTGCATTCATCTCTACCCTCACAGGCACATATTCCAGCAGCGCCATTAAGAACTATATCTATGGAGTGCGTGTCTGGCACATTCTGCATGGAGCACCATGGAAGCTCAATGATGATGAGATTAATGCTTTAATGACTGGTTCTGCACACACAGCCCCAACCACTTCATGGCACAAGAAGCAAAGACTGTACACACCATAGTACATATCTGCACTCTGAGAAAAATTCAACCTCAGTGACCCTGTTGATGCTATTGCACATGTCTTATGACCATTTTTTATACTGCCACCAGGCTGGGGGAATTCACCATCCCGTGCCTTGGAGGGTTCAACCCACTGGTCCATATCAAGCCCTTGGATGTCAATGACTAATAGGACCTTCAAGGAAAGAAGGTCAAATCCTTTCATATTCTGTGCACCAAGACCACCCCAGCTGGCAAGGATGTCCACTGGGCCAAGCAGCACAGCTCCACAGACCTGAAAGCTACCTTCACAAATTACCTGGCAGTCAACCAACCACCACTGAACGGAGCACTCTTTGCCTATAAATGGAAGAACACCTACTAGCCACTCACTAAGAACAAGCTACTAACACGCATAGCTGAGGCATCCAAAGTGGTGGGGCCAGACCCACTACAAGGACATGGAATCTGCATAGGTGCCACTCTTAAGTACCTGCTATGCAGCCACTCATTTGAGGTTGTGAAGCAGATCGGCCACTGGTCCAGCAAGGCATTCACCGGGCACCTAACCAAACATGCACAGATCCTCGTGCCATACCTGCAGGCAGCCCTTGAAGTTCACGATGCCATGATTTGTTACACCATGCCACCAGTCTGATGACAGAGCATGGTAAGCACTTATCCTCCTCCTACTTGCTGAGATTTACTGTAGCAACAAATGTGCACAAAGGCACAGCTGTATGTTTTGACTTCAAATGGACTATTACATAATATGTTACCAGTTTCCTTTTATGGACTCACTTGGACATGTTACCTTGTGGAGTTGATGCCTTGGTACTATACAGTTCCTGTTCACACTCCGAACATACTATTGTTACCATATGTTCATCATTATCGAGCACCTCAGTCGTTGTCTACATGCACTGAGGTGAGCTACTATACCATTCGCACTTTCGTAGACCCTTTACTGACTTACCATAGTCAAATATTCATTTGCTCATGCTTTTATTAAGTACTTATTATATATATCAGTTGTTGTCTACACGCACTGAGTCATTCATTTGCTCGCGCTTCTATTAGTCGGCCTCGTAAACTCTAACACTACTCCCACGGGAATGCGTGGCTTACTGTATGTGTCGTCGGACTCCTACCGCAGTGGGTTCGCAGCTTGCCCGTTTTCCCCTTGGAGTTCATTTTTAGGGGCCAGAAAGCGTCTGCGCTTTTGCCCACCTACGCATCTGTGATCTACAAATGTATTTCTCATACATTTCCTATCTCACACAGTTACGAGCCCACAGCGTCATCGCAAAGACGTCCAATCCTCCATAGCCGCCAACACCGCCGCAACCCAGAACGGCGATCCGTTCCCACGCCTAAATCATTGCCCCCTCCAATCAGCCAATTGTCTCGCTCTGCCCATCAACGAACACTCGTCCTCCGATGCTCTTCGTGGTTTCTCCACGGCCTCTGTTCCCCGTTCCCTGCCGTGCTCTGGTTCCAATCCCGTCGATGCGCAGCAGCACCTTGTTTTCTCAGCACGTCTCTCCTCGACCTCCTTCCCCATAAGCCCATCTGCACCCGTCTCGCCACTCTGGATCCCATACATATGCCCGTGGCACACCGAACGCTTGTGAGCGTGCTCGATTCGCTTTCTGGGTGTCCATAGGGACCGGAACGCCCCTCCTGCTGCTCTCGTACATCCTGCTTACCATAGCAGGCGACCGCGCCCTCCAACTGGGCTCAAACTGCCAGTCCTGCCCCCTAGCTCCTAGCTATGCGGCCATCTGCATCGTTTATCAGCGCACCGGCGCTCCTGCGTACCGGCCAATAGGAAGATGCAGTGCGCACGCAGCTGCCGAGATCTCGAGGGGCACGTTCCGCGACCATCACGGTTGTGCGTCCGAGTTTCCATTTCGTATTTTCTTTCGATTTTGATTTCTTCGCGCGCTCGATGACTGAGAATTGGGAGCGACAAAAATAGACATCGCTCCCTCGGCCTGATCTTGTGTCTGATTTGTGAGCGCGTTCGGGATCCAGCGCGGCTTGTGCTCGTGTGCAACGTGAACCGCGTAGTCGTTCTTGTGTTTACGCATCTGGCAGTTCGAGGTTTTCCGTAGATCTTGACCCGCCCAATGTGCGTGGAAAAACATCTCGCGCCACGTACACACAATATTTTCCAAGTTCGCACGCAGCATCAGATTTGTATCGGCAAGTATGGTTTCAACTCGTCCACCGCTTCACTTCATCACGACAGATGCATCAACTTACCTCTGAGCAGTACACCTCTCGAAAACCCACATCCTTGACCATCTGCTTGAAGTGAGCGCCGTCGGCCATCTATTTATACCTCGGCTCCCTGTATGCAGTAGGCTATCGGGTTGTGGTAGCGGCCGAGTCAGCATCATCAATTGAACTCGACCTGCGTCTAGATTCGTGCTAGGTACGATTTATTCTTCCTCTCATTGATCAACGCCTACGCAACGCAGCGCGCCGAACTCCTACAACCCATAATGGACGAACGGCACCCAGCGCGCAAAATTTTCGTTGTTGTGGTCCTCACGAAGCTTCTTGACTGCAAGGTGGAGCGCTCGAGCGGCCTGCGTGGTGTCGGGAACTGATCGCTGATGACGACGGCCCCAGGATTGAAGATACGTTTTACGGACATCTCCTCCAGGGCCATGAAGAGAGATCGACCTGTCCCAAGGTCAGATCAGCTCGAGGACACCGGACGAATCGAGAACGATGCATGCTACATGGTAGCCACCACTCCGCAGAACCCAGCGAACAATCCTCGTCGCCGCGAGATGCATGGCTTCGTCGGGAATCTATCCGTCCCCCATGCCCGTTTGGCACGCACTCAGAAATGAGGTTGGCCAACAGGCTCGAACGCATATCGGGATGTGGGCCACCTGGCCTTTCTGATCACATCGCGTTGAAAGCGCATCTGCGAGGCTGTTTAATGAGCTGAAATGATTAGAGCGTTGTGTAGGGCGGAGAATGAGAGTTGAAGCAAAGTTGCCTCCTCGAGGTCATCCACTCGACCTTTCCGTCCAAAGCGCATCAAAATCGCAATTGCCAAATTGTCCAGCGAGCGATATGAATCATAATTGGGGGAGGCCGCATTCACGTATCACGAGCGCATCCGTCACCAATTTATCTTGTTAGAGAATCCAGAAAAGAAGGGCAGGATCGCGCTACTGCATGCTGCGCAGGTGGAAAAGATGAAGAAGGCAAAAGAATGGAGACGGTTGGGCGTGATTGGGCGGAACGAGGTTGTCGAAAAGGGCATGTGGAAGCTCAAGAAGGAACAGGAGAGGTGCGTGTCGATCGCTACGCAGACTGGATTATGCTTATGATCTTTGCTGTAGATGGGACTTGTTTATACCATTGCGTCGTCTGTGGTTAGGATATATGTCCGAGTTATTGGGTCTTGCCTCCCCTCCAGCCTCGGGTATGCCATCGTCTGCGGGTATGCATGCAAAGTTGGTCAAAGCCGACTTCCATGGATCAATCATGACAGGTAAATATCTCATTACAGCTGCACAACCGTATATACCAAATTTAGCTGTCTATAGTAAGGCGAAGCAATAAACCAGCGCTGATCGGCCTCTCGGGAATTGTTGTGCACGAAACAGAGAACGCTTTCAGAGTCGTAACACGCACGAACAAATCGAAACGTAAGTCTTTCGATTGATCGCTCCAAATTATATACGTATCTTTGCCACAGTCATACCGAAGCATGGCTCAGTATTCGCGTTCGCGGTCCCCCTCTACTCCACCCTTGATACACCAAGCTCCTCATCGCCTGCGGCCGGACCTTCCTCGTCACAATCATCGAAAACAAGCAATACTGTGCTGGAAGCACCGCACATAGAGTTCGAGCTGTACGGGAATCAATTTCAGTTCCGTTCTGCGGAGCGAGCATCAAAGAAGTTCAAGCCGAAGGAGACCATTGAGCTATAACATGGTCGTTACCATATGTCCCTCCTTGTCCCACCGAGATCAAAGGATGTGAAGCGTATCTATTTTATAACAGGTTACTCCACGCGATCGGCTAGCGTGGTACAGACATTTATCGCCATACAGCGCTTCATCCCCGTGTGACCGATAGCAACGAGACCTACAAGTCCTTGCTTGAACATACCCGTCAAATTAAAGATCGACTACTACTCTGACCCGTGCTCTGGTGGTAGTAGTATGGACTCAAGGACGTTTGCAAGACAAGATGGGAAGAGCAGGTCGTTAACAAGGATTTTAGAACGAGTCGATGGAGAGCGTTTGGAACTTACCGAGTCTTGCAAGGTATTGGTAGCGCATTGCTAATTTTACTGAACTCGCCCAATACCTTTCAGTACCCTGTCAACAACATTGTCACAGATATTTGGTAGAGATCACATCCAATAATGCGGACGATATGTATGCACGTGACTCTTCGCAACAGCACCAAGTCGCCCTCCGAACATGCCGAAAAGCAAAAGTCTTCTCGATATGGACGTCAGCGAGAGATATCCAGGTTCGGAATCGACGCTCATCAGCATCTGAGGGTCGACCTGCAGAAGCAGAATCAAAACAAAATCAAATTTCTTCAGGAATCTGGAGAGTCTAACGAGAGTATCAGCAGGTTGGAGATCGTTAAAAATATGCGAAGGGACACAAGGTACGTTAGGGAAGGCGCAGACAAGTCTAAAGCAGCGACTTACTCTCTACTGTTGAATCTGTCTCTAGTACTATTTTCACCTTGGTGATCGACCCAATTGCATCTTCGCGTATCGACGATGCCTCCATCTCCCTCTCTGCCGCCAACTGATGTACCGCTTCAAAACATCGGCCCGAGATCAAGGTATATCACAGATTGAGACCCCAATCTGAGACCCTTGTGTTTATGTCGTGTTGTCTCTAGTCCTTCAAGCAACAAAATGCAAAAGCTCCATCTCACACTATGGCATCAGGAAATCGGCCGATGTCTGATCCAGGTCTGAGAGCTTCTGATTGTTCTGAACTCAGATGGCTCAGACCAATCAGAGGTCAGAACAAGACTCTGCCGTCAGGAGGTTACCTTTCTGCATCTGTCTTAGTTCAGACCAGTCAGAGCTCATCCAGAACAATAGTCAGAGATTTGGTCATTAGCTCAGACCCTGTCTGCAGCCTCACACAGGTATTTCATACAACATTATTACCATCAAAATATTATCATTCTACTGTATGCAAAATACTACGAACAAAGGACAGCCCTGCATCTAAAATGAGCACACCAGATTGTGAGTGGCACATAGTCCTCCATCTTGGACTCTATTTGAGGCTCGACAGTCTGCGCATGGCAACGAGAGGGTCAATGAAAGGGTATGGGTGCAGGCAGGGGGGGAAGCAGCAGCAAGAGAACACAAGCCCGCACTCGTCTTGTGCAAGCATGGGTGGCTAGGATTGGCAGCGGCAGCGAGAGGGTACGAGTGCAAGCGAGGTGGGCAGCGGCAGCAAGAGGATATGAGCGCAGGTAAGGTGGGCGGCGACAGCAAGAGAATACGAGCATGCACTTGTCCTGTGCGAGCGCGGGCGGTGAGGATCGGCAGCAGCGGCGAGAGAGCATGAGCGCGGTCGCAGGTGGGTGGCGGCATTGAGAGAAGATGAGACAAAATGAGTGCGGGTGGGGGGAGTGGGCGGTGGTGAGAGCAAGAGGCAGAGCGCAGCGTGCGCAACGACGGTGCATTGACGTGGCGATGGCACGTGCCGCTGCCACATCTTTGCTGCCCTGCTTGCTCTCCCCGCTGCTGTCCACCACCACCTCTGCTCGCGCTTGCCTTATCTCGCCGCTGATGCCGTCCAGTGCCACCCCCTTTGCCCACGCTCATCTTGTACGACGAGCATGTGCATGCCTCCTCTTGTCTTGCCGCCGCTACCATCTCTGCCCGCATTCGTACGAGATGAGCGCGGCCTTATCTTGTCTGATCTCACTGTCTACCAACTCAGATCCTCTCGCTGCTGCCGCCAATCCCTGCCCATGTTTGCACAAGACAAGCTCAGGCTTGTCTTCTTTCAATGCTGCTGCCCACCTGTGCCCACACTTGTACAAGACAAGTGCAGGCTCGTGTGTAATTAGCATCTTTATGATAAGATCACTGGCTTGCATTCTAGTACTTTACAAGTATGCTACTGCCAGTTCTCAATTCCTGTTTATCATTCTGAATAGTTCTGAGTAATGTCTGAGTTCAGAATGCCCAGAGGCGACAGAAGCCCTCAGAACTCTCAGACAGAGATCAGACATCTCAGACCACCTAAGAGATCTGCCAATTTGCTGATGACTGGTTTCATCTGTTTGCATGGTTTCCAGTCTGCGCAGCGAAGGCTTCTCTTATGTCATCTATCACTGCCGAACGTCTGTTCACGGAGACGGACTCATTGGTATGTTTGATGACATCGCCCCGCGGTGTTCTCCTCTGATCCCTTTCTTTTGACCTTCCCTCTAGTCCCCGCGGACGCCCTGGCACCTTCTCGGATGTTACGATTCGTCCTGCCCACAAAGAATGACTTTCTCAGTACTTTCCTCGTCGCGAATTTACGCCCAACAACGATGTTACCTGTTCAGCCAGGAGGTCAAAGTCACTGGCGCCGGTGGAAACTTGGAATCTTTAGAGGAAGAGCAGGCTGATTGTCAGGTGGCCAAGTCAAGTTGGGATATCATGCACCAGAGTCATCCGCCAATTCTGGGCATGTTTTCGAACGTTTTCGAGCTGCTGTGGACCTTGTGGCAGCGTCGGCAACCCCCTTGACCCTCAGCGTATTTTGAGCGTGGCGAGCTACGGTGGTATGAACCGAAGTGATGCACGAATACAATATAGCGGGGATCAAATCTTGCATCGAGCAACGACTGCGTCCAGACGCTGCTGAGCTGGCAAGTCGGGTGTGGAAAGATATGACCGTCGACTGAGTGGGAGGCGTTGACATGTGTGCCACAAGACACTGTGGCAACCAACGAGACTGCTGTGGTGTAGAGACACCGGAGGATTCCACGGATGCTGTGAGGCATGAAGAAAAACAATTCCGTGCAGTACAAGGTGGGTCTCGCCAGGACGATCAGTTTCCTCAAGATCTGAGGCTGGACGTCCTCCGTCCTGTCATTGAGTGTGGTAGCTCACGCGTGTCACTCGCACTGCACAGCCGTGGTGCGGCTTGGACGTCCGTGCGTGACTTGACATCTGTCCCTTTGTATGATGGACATCGTCAAACACCGCCTTATGCTTGCTTCGTCCAGCTTCAGGAGATCCCCTTAGAGGACGCCTTCCGTCTTTCAAAAGTGCGCTTCTCACTATTGTCTGACTAAACTCCGATCGATTTTATTGACCACGTCGACCGCGGTGGCGGGGCACTGCAAGGACTGATTAAGACAGTGCGACTGTTGCATATTTATTATTGCGCTCGCGTCGTCTTTGCAAGACATCGATTATCTTTTGAACAAATGGGTACGACCTACTTTGCCTTGAGGCAATACCGGCAAAGTAAACTGAAGTATGGATACAGGCACACTGGAGCTTCGCTCAAGCGTCCATGGAGTTTTACAGCCTATTGTGTTTGCCACATAGGAGAGTAACATGTTAGATGCAGGGAGCGGATGGGTCTTTTGACGGAAACTGAGTAGTGGTTGATCTCGAAAATGGGATACGAGAACCAGCGAGCTTGGTTTCAAACGGAACGCCATGGATATCAAAGCCGTGAACGCCATGGCCATGGCTGCCACGGAAGATTTAGGGATGCGGATGAAGGTATCGGAAGGAGAAGGTGCTAGAAACAGGTAATAGGGGTTGCAATGAAAGAGTGACCCATTCGCGGGGCTTGAATTATGCGGCGGCGGATCCTCAGGCCTTCAGGGTTTCAATTTCAACGTCCTCGATCTCAGAGCGTCGCAAGACCACTGGGTAAAACGAGCATTGGTTGTTGGACTCAAGCACTAATTATCTCCTGTAAGTTCTCTTCTCATTCCCTTGAAACTCCCTTGACGAATATGTCTACTCTGCTTTCTCAAACCGGCGGCAAACCATAGAAATATAAAGAATCAGCTACTCAACGATTTAGTCTTGCACGTCCTGACAACGCCTCCCATCAATATCCGAAAAACGCCGAAGAAATGCGGGATGAATTCTGTGGGCCTATGCCCGTCGATAAATTCATCGATACTTTCATGCGCACTGAGACCGTTCATGAACTTCCGGAAGGCTATGTCGATGCTTTCAAGGACAAAGCTACCGGTGGTATAGGATTCGAGGGCCGATTTGTGAGTATTCCATAATTCTCCCATCGGACCATACCTCAATCGTTATATATTGTAGATAGCCGCTGTGAATGAAGCCGACATTTGTCCTAATCTCGTCCTCGTCAACACGACTTTCAAAAAGGATTTAAATCGGAAACCCGATATATCTGTATACAATGCGAGCAACGTACCAGAACTCGGTGCGAGTTTCAAGCAGATGGAGGTACCTATCGAGTGTAAACCGTTGGCCGAAGATCCGTTCGTGGATCTGAATACAGATGCGAAGCTTGGAAAGGGGCATTCGTTTCAGCACATGGCTGATAAGGCCATATATAACACAGGTCAAATCATATCGTACACCAACGTCATTTTTCAATCGCAGCCCCGATGCTTCGTCTTCTCGGTCCTCCTTCTCCAAAACTACGCTCGTTTCATTCGCTGGGATCGTGCTGGTGCTGTCGTTACCGAACGCTTCGACTGGCGGACGAACATCGTTCATCTGGCGAGATTCTTCTGGCAATACAACTATCTCTCTGACGAGCAGCGTGGACACGACATCACGGTATCGAGGCCAACAGTGGAGGAAATTGAGATGACAAAGGTGGAATTGGACAAACGGGCCAAAATCCTAGCGCGTCTGAGGGGTGAGGATGAAGTGAACCCACCCAAGCGATACGCTTCGGACGACACGTTTCGGAAGTTCCTTGTGGTAAACAAGAAGGATCAGAGTGAGCACTTCTTGGTGGCATCTCAAGCGCAGTACCTAGGACGGAGCCCGACTGGTAGGGCCACCGGAGGATACGAGGCGTTCGATCTTTCGACGAAGAAGCTTGTATTTCTCAAGGATAGTTGGAGATACGTTGCTGACGGGGTTCATAGAGAGGGAGAGACTTATGAGATTCTGGCGCAGGCACAGGTTCCACACATTCCTCACGTTCTCTACTCGGGAGATGTGAGAAACCAGGCGACGCGAACCCATGAATTTGCACATATAAGAAAGGGCTCGGAGGTCAAGGAGATAGAGAAGCACAGGCATTATCGGATTGTGCTGAAAGAAATCGGTCGTCCATTGTCCGATTTCAATTCGACTTTCGAATTGTGCTCTGTTATTATGCATGCAATCGAAGGTGCGTTTCATATTATAGTTCTTTCTCTGACCTATAGCTAAATATGCGCTATAGCTCATCAAAAAGCATACAATGCTAAGGTGTTCCATCGGGATATCAGTGGCGGGAATATTTTGATCACAGATGAAGGGACTGGACTCCTTATTGATTGGGATTTGGCAACAAATCTGTCTGACGATGGCGAAGTGACGCAGTCTGCGTTGAATTCTATGACGGTGAGTCTTTTCTCCCCGCTTGAGAGACCTCCATGTGATTTGGCATGTAGGGAACATGGCAATATATCTCTGCGGATCTTCTCAGAATGAACAAAATTCATGAATTTCGCGACGATCTTGAATCATTCCTCCACGTCCTTCTCTATTACAGCATCCGATACGTCAAGCATGATGCTTCGCTCTATGATGAGGTTTCTGGCGCAGTCTATCGTCATTTCGATAGCGCATTCAGAGATCGCGCGCTCCAGACTCGTGGAGGACAAGGCAAAAAGGACTTCTTCAACTATGCGCCGCCTACCGAGCTCTCATATGCAACCATTAGCAAATTCCTTCATCCCGCGCACGCCACACTGATCAATGATCTTCGAAGGTTATTCATCCCAATCTACGTCAAGATAGAACCGGACTTCGAAACATTGTTTCCTTCCAAACACGATGCCCTGAAGCAATTGGTTTCCTCAGAGAAGTACCTCCAGATATACAAAAAGCAGCTTGGCGAGGATGGATGGCCGACGAACAACAGAAGCTGTGACATGCTCGATTTTTGGCTTCTCCCTTCTGTTATGCCAGTTCCGCTACGAGCGTTTGAACTACGAGCGACGGAGAAACGCAAGAGTGATGAAGCCGGTCTCAGCACTGAAGGATCTAAGAGCAGGCGGCGGAGAACCGAGCGTGGGGTCGTGACCAGCAAGGGTTCTGGAAGCAAGCACCAGAAGGCGGAAATTGGGGCCCACCACGGCGAAGAATCGAGCAAGTCGCAGACGACGGAGAGTGAGGACCCAGACGGCAAGGACTCCAGGGCGGGAGAAGGTTCCGAGAGAGGAAGTCGGAGGATAGGAACGTTGGCTGTCACGGTGGCTTCGGAGTTGGAAGGGTAAGTCACCTTGGCAGAGCTCGTCGTGTGTTACCATTGTCCCGAATATGTCCTGCGTACTTGTTTCGCCGCTTATTTTTGTCTGGTTCGTTCTCCCAAGCCTTATTCTGCCCCTAGCATGAGTTTGGTATAGAGTTCCTTCTAAAATATATGTCACTGGTGGATAACCTGTGGTTGTGATACTTCTCCAACCGTATCGCGATTTGGCCAAAGCAATATCCGGGAACAAAGGTGTGGTGCGAGAGAAAGATCTCGTCCAAAAGTCGTCACTTATTCTAAACTAGATTGCGCCTTCAGTTCCAAAAAGCGCTTGCCTGTGTCTTCGCTGACTCAAACGTAGACACTGTCAGTAGAGAGTCAGAAAGAGCGATGCGGAGAGATGATTCTCTGGCGGAATACTGGGGATGTTGAGGCAAGACGCAGCAGAGAAAAATAAGGGCACCACCTGGGAGCTTAGTACACGGAATGAGAGATGTTACCGCTCGTGTCGCGAAAGGTCAGGTATGCAAAGGCGGAAAAAAGGCAGCAATAAATACGGACTGTACGTATAACGCGAATCTGAGTCTTGATGACTTCAGAGCTCCGGCAGTGGGCGATACCCAGACAACAGGCTCACGAGAACTTTACAAGTGATGACAAAAAACTTTATAGATCCTTGATGTGCGTAGGGAGTGAACATCGTTTGATGTCCAGCACTGCCAGAGGTAGCAGTCTTCGGGGTCCCTCGTGAACGCGGCCGCGGCGACCCCAGTTCCGTGCCACACTGGCGCGTTCTATCAGTCGACACCTCCAACGTCTGAAATTGCCAATCCACACCATTTACACTACAGTTTACATGTGTGAATTGAGCATCGTAGCCTACAACGGAGTGTACACATCTAGCACCTTCTCCATTCTCACCATATCGTCCACGGTTTCCACAATCGTCTCCTCCCACGTCTTGAACGTGTCCATCCCCAGCACCCTCCGCGCGCTGCCCCCGTCAAACATCGCATACTCCTCTGGGTCTTGCTCGCTCTCTTCCCCTGTCAGCACCGGCAGCCGCGCCCCCAGCTCAGGCCGCGCCGCACGCAGGTGCGCGACGGCTTCGCGCCAGAGCCCGTACCCGCCCATCACGACCACGCGCTTCCTCTTCTCTCCCGGGCGTGCAGGCGGCGCGGAGAGCGCGAGGACGTGCGCGCGCGCGGCGTCCGCGACGTGTGCGAAGCCCGGGTTGACGTTCTGCGCGTGCATGGGTCTGCCGGGCGGGCCCGCGATCAGCGCGTACACGAGCTGGTTGGTTCCGGATTTAAGCGAGCGGACCCACTGCCCGCGCCCGTACGGGCCGTACAGCCAGGGCGGGAGGACTGCCGCGCGGTACATTTCGCGGGTGGGTTATTTTGTTTTATTCCAATCCGTGAGTCGATGGCCTTAATTCGCGCGATCGGACGGCGGGTCACGTACTGGATGTGGCGTCGATCGCGGGGTTTGCATCCGCGAACACCCAGAACTCCTGCTCTGCGAGCTTTTTCGCGACCGCGTAGACCTCGCGCGAGTCGACGCCCGGCTGCGTGGCGTGCTCGTACGTCAGGGGGCTCCAATCTGTGGGTCCCGACGACGGCGCGCGTGAGCGGGGGTGGGCGGGCAGGCAGGGACAGAGAGGCGGGGAGGGGCGGGCGCGTACCGTGTTCGGTGAGCGTCTGTCTTGTCCATTTTGTGCGTGTGTCTAGCAGGTTGATCACGCTGCCCGTGAGGACGATTTTCTTGGTGCCCGAATCTGAGGCGTGCTGGAGGACGCGGCGCGTGCCGGAGATCGTGCTCTGCGAGACCGATGGCGTCGTCTAGAGGACTCTGTTACGCATGCGGTAAACAGATGGCATACCTGTAGGACGACCTCGGCACTACCGGCGCCACCCAAAGGTGTACCGACGTGGATGAGCGCATCGACACCTGTCTCATCGTCGGCCCGGATCGACGACAGCGAAACCCAGGTCCTCCGCGGGACGCACCTTGAAACGCGCTCGTGAGGTCGGACGTCGTCAGGTCTTCCACGACGACGACTTCTAGATTATCCGCGTGTTCGGAGGAAGCATACGCCTGGCGGACATGCTCCGCCTTTTCACTACGCGCAGTCCTGGTGCATAGGCTAGAGAAATGTTCACAAGGGAAGGGGCGAGCACACGCACCCTCTGACACGGTAGTTGGCTTGAAGCAGCTGCTCTACGACATGAGACCCCACAAAGCCAGATGCGCCCGTGACCTAGTCCTCAAACCGCACATAAATTCACCACTCCCACACAGAAAACGAATCGAATGTGCAGTACGTACCAGGACGAGTTCCATGCTCTCAATCGCAAAGATGGGGAGAGTGTCCAGATGGTGTGGAGCCGCCTGCAGCGCCCCCGCGTCTGCTTTTAAGGGCCTTCTTCGAAGAAGCGGCGCGCCCGGCGACTTAACAATTCGCGCTCTCGAACCAGGCCGGTGCTTCTCATGCGCCAAAAACGGGCACGGCACGGGTAAGGCGCCCTGCATCCAGAGATCGCGCTGCGATCAGGTCACTAGAAGGCTTAGCAAGGCAGCTCGGAACTCTCGGATCGATCGTTGCGGGGCTGAGGTGCTCGTGATTCTCGCAGATCTTCCCAGCGGAGGTTGGAGAGCGCAAGCAAGCAACACCGTGCGCGAGCGATAAGCGGCGGTGCAGGGCGACCACAAGCGTCTCATCCTTCTGAAAAGACGCCAACAAGACGCTGGGCCTGACTCACCCTTCCATATACCAGTCAGCGAGAGCGCGGCGTTAACAAAACCTGAGTCGAAGGCTGCTCGACATCCATAACGGTAGCGACGAGGAGCTGCGCAGCATGGAGGCACCAAAGTGAGCGCGCCCAGTTTCGCCCATCCCATCCTATGTGCGTGTTACCCGAGGCCTTAAAATCGGCTGCAGAGCTTGATCTTCACGGATTGCATCGTGTTCCACGTCGTTCGAACGAAACAAACGAGCGAGGCTGACGGTACAGACCTTGCTCGGGCTGATGTCCCTTGTGTATTGCTGCACCGAGCGCTAGCGCTTGAGCCGCGCAGAGTAAAGGAGCATGGTCAGCAACAATCATCTGACAGAAAAGAGACTGCGGATGACCATAGCACAGGAGATTCATGGTACCTTTCCATTCGACTGACCGTCGATTTCGCGGAAGTTTGAATTTTGTACAAAAACCCGCATGTCGAGGCCCGGTGCTGGTGTTCCTTGGACATGCCAGGTCTAATGCCGAGCGCCATTTTCAGCAACCATCTACTTCTGTCTTGTAGTCATCAACTGTCGTTCGCCCCTAGAGAAGTCCGAATTGTCTTGTAAAATGAACAAGTGACTGACAGCCGGATGTGGCCCTTGGCGGCTGCTTCTGACGAGGGTGGACCCTCGAGTGAGTGAGACGCACCTTACTAGGTAGCGATGCTTGCGCGAAAGGTCTGATAAACTATCACACGAGCCGAGACGAGGCTGCACACGTAAAGGGCAAGAGATTGGGCGCACAGACACTTGGTCAAGTCAACGGCGCAGAGTCACGTACATATCCAAGCACGCACGTGCGAAATCCGTCACCGTGCTCACCCTGCTCGGGATTTCAGTCTACCTGTTGGTCCACGAGTGCTCACAAGAGCACGAATACTCACCACGTCAAACGGATGAAAGAGTGACGCACGATGCTTATCACAGATCCTATGGATAACGGGAGAGTGCATCGATTCATGACACCTCGAAAACGGAACGCTTCCAGATAACAGTATGGTGTAATTGGTGCCGCTGAGAACCACGAAGACGACACGAGGGCTGCATGGTGGAGCAGCAAGCCCTCCGCGACGCTCGTCTGGACGACCAGAACACAGGGCCTTCTTGATGAACTGCCGCAACCAGACGACGTCCTACGACGTCCCTGTAGCAGAGTGACCTGGGTGCGAAGCAGACCGACGAGGAGGGTTTGTCATCGGCGATGTGATGTCACGTGCAGCGCTCCTGATAACTTGTCGAGTCTCCACCGACTGCTGCCCTTCCTTACTGTCCGACACTGCGCACACACCCTCTCACTCTCCCGCGCAATGTCTCCCGCCCTCGATCCCGCACATAAAACACGACGTGTCCTCCTCATCGTCGACGCACAACTCGGCCTCCTCTCCGACCCCCCAAAGGGCGTCCCCGCCGCCCCCGCCGTCAAATCTAACATCCTCCGCATCCTCACCGCCGCGCGCGCCGCATCACACCCCCCGCTCATCGTTCACGTCCGCAATTGCGGCGATGCCGGAGAGCCTGACGCGCCGCACACCCCCGGCTGGGAGCTCGTCTACGCCCCGCTGCCGCACGAGCCCGTCATCGACAAGCTCAAGAACAACGCGTTCGCCGGCACGCGCCTGTGCACGCTCGTCCCCGATGACGCGGAGATCGTCGTCGTCGGTCTCCAGAGCGACTTTTGCATTCGCGCCACGTGCAGCGCCGCCCTCGGCCGCGGGAACGAGGTCCTGCTCATCCGCGGCGCGCACGCGACGTATGATCGCCAGGAGGTCTGGGCGGGTGGAGGCGTCACCCAGGCGAGCATGGTCGAACGCGAGATCGAGGCGGAACTCGAGGAGGCCGGCGTCGTGCTCCTCGACATGACCGACGTGCCCGACGTCTTTGCGGATTAGCGGCGTAGCCGCGAGGCCTCGCAGAGGGAGGGGAGGGGGACGCGTCGTCGTCATCGGTCACTATCTTGTTCTTGGGCTTGTGTACAATCAGCTCTGTTTGTATTTTCTTGTCCTGCTTACTTACGCTCTGCACTCTGATCATCACACGCACACGCAGCATTCTCTCTTTCTTTGTTTTGGTATCATCATCGCACGATATACGGCATACGACACACTGCTGAATTGTATGGCTTCGCAGCTTGGGGGGTTTGGGTAGATGCGTGTATAGAAAACATGTCGCAATCTTCATCGCAAACATGTCATCATGTTTAGGTAAATAAAGCCGCTCGTAGGTCCGTCACTCCGTCAGAGCGCAACGCTTCCAGATCGCACGATACCGCATATCATGGCACAGAACAGCACGGCAGAGTATGTTTTGATCACGTCCTGGGGGCATACTCACATTCCGTGGCCTATGGCCGGCTCTGCTGAGGCCGCACGCTCGTCCAGCGCCCAAGCATGGTGGCAATGTAGATCGTCACGCGTCAGTATACATGCGTCGGCGGTCTCGCCGATGCAGACGTACTAGAGGGATATTCGCATTTGTTGGAGTGAGCTAGTCTCTGTGGCTTACTATACACAGAAGACAATCGTTCTGCGTAGAAGAAGTGAGCTCATTTCTCCTGTTGTAGGAGTTTTGGTGCTGACAGGTCAATGGAGTGTCGCATTTCGGAATCATCGATCTTTCTTTGAGCATAGGTTGGTGGAGCCCGGGTTCGGATACTTGTGGCAGCCCCCGTTTGTGGACTCTGATACATTGCGCAGGTGACCGAGCAGACCACTAGAGTGTCCACAGATGAGGGAACGTCCTCTTCTTATTCGATGAAGAGAGCGCTTAGGTTTCATTGCCCTTCATTTCTCGGCATTGATGCGATGCGGGCTGAAGGCTAGCTTGTCGACATTTCTGTTTCGTAGAGAATTTTTGTCTCTCCATGAATTTGTCAGCTCTCCGCACACACCGTGACCACAATTCGATAGTTTGACACTTCTTTCAGGTGTAGTCCGTTGGATCATTATGTTGACTGCGACTCACTCCGAGTCTTCGTTATTTGCCTCTAGTCAAGTCAAATTTATCCATCGCGCATTCTAAATAAGTACTGACCTCTCTCGTATTAGTCATCAGCATTATTTGGTGTTACGTCGGTGGCGATGAAAATGATGGGCTGTCGAGCTTGACATATATGAAGCTCGTTTACAAACCGACAACCCCTATCTCCCCGCATCGCACGCCCACTGCATGCCCATTCTATGGAATCCTTCATGTCTTCGTCCGCACCTCATCCCTCCGACTCCACTTACTTGATTGAAGCGGGCGTAGGTGTCATCATCCAAACGCTATTCTATGGCAAGTATTTCGATTGTACAAGCTGCTGATAAACACTGATCTGGAGACGTTCGGGCAGGTATCTTCATATTTTTCTTTATTTTCTCAACGCGCAGCCTTCTGTAAGTCTAGTCCGCCTCGTATCCTCCATGGCGTTCATTGAGCATTATGACCAGGCGCAAGGGGTTCGAGTCCAGAGTAAACGTGGCCATGTTGGCAACAACTCTCTGTATTTTTGCAGCCTCGAGCGCCGTATGGGCATTGTCCCTAGTTCGCTTCATCATGATAATCAAGACTATTGATTCCTCGAACCCTACACTGTCACCGGAGCACAGGGTTTACACAAATCAAGCATCTGAACATATGGGGATCATAGTCGAGGTTATATCGTCGATCAATGTATGTATTACCTGCACCGTTTATGCTCTCGTTCGTAATGCGTTTACGCCTCCTGATCTAGCCCATGTTAAGTGACGCGGTTGTCACTTGGAGGGCGTGTGTGTTATGGCAGGGAAACAAGCCTGCATTGACTGTCGTGCTCTGTTCTCTTCTAGGGAGCGCCATAGGTGAGTGCTGATATATCTCAATTAAGAATGCACCCAACAAGCTGTCATGCAAGTCTCCTTTTTTATATTCGCAGGATGCGCCGCAAATGATTTTTATACGAACGAGACATTGTGCAGAGACGTACAGTATATCGGTCTGGGACTAATGCTATTGACCAACATCGTTGCGACGTCCTCGATCGCGGTCACTGCATGGTACGATGCAATGAAACCACTATGTTAGCTTTGGGTCCTCATTCTGCGCAGGAGACATCGACGATTCATAATGGCTAATCTTGGACCCAAAAGCAAAAAAACGCATGCCGAGAAGATTCTGGTTCTGCTGATAGAGTCCGGCATGCTCTACTGTTTGATCTGTGTGAGTCGTGAGGTTCTGTACCGTAAGAACAACCATATTAAAGACTCCATAGGCGACTCCCATCTTATTCCTTTTCATCAAGCTTCCTACAGAAGTTTATATGATCCAGTGGATGTGGCCAACAATGACTCACATTTCAGTAAGCTCTTCCTCAGTTAGACGCTTGGAGCATCATCTCAGTAGGCAATCAGGGTATCTATCCCACTGGTGTGCTTCTCATCGTCGCAATCAAGCGAACAATATGGGACTCACTCAGCGAGTTCGAGAATCAGGTCTCACTGCCTGACATCCGGTTTCGCTCGGCACCCGGCGACGTGGAAGATACGGGGACACAGTACCAATTTTCTGATCCCCGACAAATATATCCGAGTGTAGCAGGTCAGGCAGTGGCGAAAGAAGCTGTCGATAGGCTGTCTGCTACCCCATCTATTAATGAATCGGTGGTGATTTGGTAGGCATGGGCACAACCGTGTCGCGGCAGTGATTTATGGTGCTCAAGTTCATCTCCCTACACATTTAGGCATCCCCCAGGCCTTTGAGCCAGTTGTCCCGGCTGAGCTCGACCATCTCTGTGATGAATCCTCCGACTTTTCCTTGGCATCGGGCTCGGATGTGCACACCCGTTGACGATGAGGGATGACTAGGATAATTTTGGACATCTTCGTCAGGACGGATGTATAACGGACCGATCGCGTGTCAGTAGCGTCCGCACTGAAGCGCACCGCAGCTCGGGAGACATATGGAGAATAATATGTTGGAGAAGGATCTATACTGGTATAGTAAGCCCATATAGCTCAACGGACCATCAGAGCGCAGGGATGTAGGGTATCAGTAGTAGCGACCTTGCTGAACGTAAGTTACTAGAGGATCACGCAGAGCGGGATATGCCTGATGCTCTTTTAGGCTGACTTCAAAGCTGACCTTCGGGCATGTCGGATCAAACTCTGAGCCTCTTGAGCCACTGCTTGCATACAGCCCCGCCTCTCTTTTGTCTCTTTTGGAGGAGTTCCGTCGATCCTGACCTGTTGATGCTTGATCGTATTGTAGGGCGATTTTCTCGGTGATGAACGGTAGTGGGTGGTCTGGCAATGTCTGATTTCCCAGGGTGCGCGTTTGTAACAGTAAACTCTTTGGCTCAAGTTGTCGATGCTTCGTGATTTTACTCTGGCTTGACAGGACGGAGTATGCATGCGGTTCGCAGAAGGCTTCCACTGGCGGCATTCTTTCAATGGAGAGAGATTCCACGTCCCGTGTCGCTTAGCACCAATGCGACAGCATCCCGAGCTGAAGGACAGCATCCCGAGATGAAGGACAGCTGTTTGTATCATAGAGAAGATGTTATAGTTCATCTTGTCATTTATCTGACAGGCGGTAAGTACGTGCTCCCGCACACCACGCGTTTTCTGGGTGTATTCCATCCATCATCAATCATATTGAGGCTCTGACATCGGGGAATATTATTCACGACATCTGTGTGTTGGCCATGACGAAGATTGGAATGATATCAGTTGTTATCATCAACAGCGTGAGCATTCTAGGACGGTCCCCGAACCTATTATATATCAGCTTCGTGTCCAGAAACCAAAACCTCCCCGCTTCCCAGACCGACTACTTGTCACCTTATTAATCCAATCACCGAATCTGCTGGACGTATTCAACCAATCTCGCACTTCATCCCTCCAACTCCACTTTATTGATTCAAGAAGGTGTGAGTGTCATAATCCAAACCCTGTTTTATGGCAAGTGTCTTGATCTCACATACTAATGCTGATCCCGAGACGTCCGAGTAGACATCTTCATAGTCTTCATTCTTTTCTCACCGCGCAGCCTTCTGTAATACCAGTCCGTCTCGTGTTCTCCACCATGCTGATCGAAGATTATGACCAGGCAGAAGGGATTCGGGTCCAAAGCAAACGTGGCCATGTTGGCAACAACTCTCTGCATATTTGCAACCTCGAGCGTCATATGGGCACTGTCCCTAGTTCACTTCATCGTGATAATCGAGACTATTGATTCCTCGGACCCTATATCGTCACTAGACACATGCTTTACGCGAACCAAGCATCTGAACATATAGGGGCCACAGTCGACATTATATCGTTAATAAATGTATGATGGTATTATCTGTATGGTCTCATTCGGAACGCATTGACACGTCCATATCCAGCCCTTGCTAAGTGACGGGGTTGTCATTTGGAGGGCGTGCGTGTTATGACAGGGAAACAAGCCTGCATTGGCTGCTGTGCTCTGTTCTCTCTTAAGGGGTGCGATGGGTGAGTGTCGTTATATGCATTTTTCCAATGGGGATAAAACCAACAAATCGGCGTCGAGTCTTTTTTTTTATATTCACAAGATGTGCCGCAAATGAATTTTACCCAAATAAAGGATTGTGCAGAGACGTACAATCTATCGGGACTAATCCCGTCGACCAACACCGTTGCAACGTCCCCGACCGCGCCCACCGCCTGATACGATGCAAGAGACCATTTTGCTGGTTTTTGGCCCTCATTCTGCTCAGGAGACATCGACGATTCATCATGGCCAACCTTGGACACAGAAGCAAGAAAACGCATGCCAAGAAGATTCTGGTTCTGTTAATTGAGTCCGGCGTGCTCTACTGTTTGATCTGTGTAGGTCGAAGATTCTATTACCCGAGAAGAGTAATATGAATGACTCAATAGGTGACGCCTATCCTATTCGGTTTCGTCTAGCTTTCTGGAAAAGTATATATGGACCAATGGACGTGGCGAATAATGACTCACATCGCGGTCAACTCTTTCTTGGCTGAATACTCTGAAGCTTACCTTAGTAGGCAACCAGGGTATCTATCCCGCTGCCATAATTCTCCTCGTCACATTCAAGCGCACAATATAGGACTCACTCAGCGAGTTCGAGAATCACATCCGATTTCATTCCGCATCCAGCGCCGTGGAAGATACGGGAGAACATCTCCAACTTTCTGTCCTTTGACAAACGTATCCGAGTGTAGGAGGTCCAGTAGTGGCGAAAGAGGCTGACAAGACATCTGCTGCATTATCTATCTGGTAATCAGCGATGATTTGGTAGGCCTGGGTGCAACCGCGCTGCAGCAGTATTTCCCAGTGTTCAGGTTTCTGCACATACAGGCATCGAGTCTTGGAGCCAGCTGCGCTTTGACATTACTACAACGTTCGATCGTGTATCAGCAGCGTCCGCATTGGATTGCCTCGCAGCTCGGGAGACAGATAGAGGGAAGGTGAACAAGAATATGTAGGAGGGTATGTGCCTAGAAAGACATCCCAAATACATTGTCGGTGCCCTTACTCTCGTTTTCGTCAATGAAGATCGTCAAAGTCAACTTTTCACGAGTCCGTCGAAGTGCAGCTTCATAGTCGTTTCTGAGCTTGATCAGCGGCGTGCGAGGAACAGCACTATGACATGCCATGCCATGCGATGCCATGCGGCTTGTCCTGACCGTATCCTGGGGCATACGCAACTCTGCTTCCCCAGCTTCGCGATCAGGTAGAAGACTTGAGCCGGAGCACGGTCAGTCATCGAGCACGGCCGGAATGTAGAATGTCAGTACGCCGCCCGCATCGGCGACCTCGCCAATATAGACGTAGAGAATCATACAGTGCGCGTGGCATATGCCTACGAGAAGGAAGTGCGTCAGCGTGGGATCAACCAAGAGACTTGCCCATGACGAGCCACATGTAGAAAATGGCATGTTCCTGTTTCAATGAATGACGGACGCACAGGCGATGGTCGTAGTCGATACGACGTGGGCGTTCAGGAACTTGAGCAGGCTCCGCACGTGCACGAGCACGCCGTACATTTGGGACGGATCGGATTTGTCCTCATCCGCGTCGTCTCCATCATGCACATCCGCATGCCCATCTTGCACGGCGTCGCCGGCGAGCGGTCCATCACCATTAGCGGGAGCAGGCTGATGCCGACGTTGCGACGGCGCATCTTGTGCTACAGAACAGAGAGATCAGCGCCTGTCCGGGGTGACAGAGCAATTATGCCAAATTGAAAGAGGACCACTGACCCATGCGTGGATTTGTGCAACCTTCCCATACAAGGTCGAGCTTGACCTCGTCCGTGCCCGCAGAGATCTGGAGTCGACCAGCGCCATTGGCGCGCACGGCAACGATGTCGGCCATCGGGCGGAGGCGGTCAACGAGTGTGCGCAGCTTGAGTAGTGGTGGGAGGAGGATGTGGATCTGTGCGCGCGTGAGCGTAGGCACGCATACATGAGGCGAGGACGGAAGAGCAAGAACGAGCGCGCACGTCGGGTTCGGGGCACAGCGGTTCGCGGAGTCGCTCGACCTCTGCGGGCTTGAGAACCTCTATCCGCACGTCGTGTGTCACCTTCATCCCACCGCCCGTGCTCGCGCCGGCACCTGCCGCGGCGCCCGTGCCCGCGCCGAGGATCTCGAAGCTGAGCACGGCGACGTCGCGCTTCTTCGCGAGCTTCATGACGATGTCGTCGGCATTGGAGGAGGACTCAGAAGAGCGCAGCGCGTGGAGGAGCGCTTCTGTGCTGAGGAGGAGCGAGATCTGGTTGTCGGCATTTGACTGGATGCGGTAGTCTGTGAAGAGTGCGATCGTACGAATTTGGCTGCGCGTGCGAGAAATTAAGGTCATTCAAAGCCGCTGGAAGTTTAAAAAAGTCATGGTATGTGGATGGCATGGGAGAGTAGGGAGGTTCATGCAAGAAAAGAAAACGGGCACATACGACCAGACTTGGACACCGCTCTCGTCCGTGTTGCAGATGATATGCATCTCCGTCTCGTTGAACTTGATGATGCACTTTTTCTGCAGCTTCTCCACTGTCTGGATAATTCCTGAGATTCAGCCCCGTCACCGTCAAGCAAACTCGTTCAGGCCAGCGCAAACCGCGCGGGCAAATGAGGGACGTACGGCGGAAGGTGGCCACATTTTGGATGGAGGCGCGGAATCGCATTGTGACGTGTAATGCGCGAGTGTATGGATTATTCGGTAATTACGACGTGTCGAGATGTGCGTTGTGGTTGACGACAACGATGGCGACGTCGAAGTGGGCGTCGTGGGTGGTCGCGACGAAGAGAGTGCGACGCGTCTGTGGCGCAGATTGGACGCATCTCGGCTGTTCGCAACACCGGACATTGCCCCTAAATATCCCCAAGGGATATCCATGGTATATTGGGAATATACCACGGATATACCGCAAATATCCCTGGCAGGGAATATACCCCTAATACTATCCTTCCGGCAGCGTTCGGCCAGAAAACCGTAAAGATATTCTATAGCTTTGAAATAGGATTCTGAGCGGGTGAGACCTGGCATGTATACTGGCAAACACTCACACTACTGTCCTGTTTAATTAAATATACCGGAGGGCTAGTATGTCATTGAGCGGAACGTTTCCGGTGGTTTTGAGGGGTGTTCGGTAACTTCTATGCACGATGGTCACGACGATGTCACAGAGCCGTGATTGCCGCATTCCAACTCCGCTTCCAGGAGGCCTGGATCATGTTGCTTTTTCTAGATATTTCCAAATGGGCCGCTCACTGCGTGCACCGCAGGGTTTTTCCCAGGATAAACCATGGATAAAACTATGGATAATGATAAAGTTCTTGTTTAGGTTTGTTTGAGGAAATTACCTAAACAAAAACTTAAAGTTTATCCAAAGTTTTATTTCAAGATAAAACTGTAACATAACATTAGGTTTAAGCTCAGACATTTTCTTTAAGTTTGTCCTACAGTAAATCCCGGGATAAAACTCTGAATGATCTTTAACTCTTATGTCACAGGACTCTTGTCACACACAATAAAATACAAAAAATGCCACATAAATTCAATGAATGCCTCAGTGGTCATTGCAGTTATCAAGAGTGTACAAGGGCTGGCTTAAATCAAAATTCATGATAATATGTTGGAAAACAAGTCAAACGTCCCACCTCCGATCACTTACCTGAATGCCCTTCGAGATGACCATGGACACGTGGAGAGGTCGAGCAAGGGAGCGAGAAAGCGGGTTATGGAGGCTAGCAAGGATTCAAGAGCCATCTGGTGTCGAGCACAGAGGGACAAGCCTACATAACGGTTGTTTCCGAACCTTTGAGGCAATCGACCTTCCGACGCTACTTCCAATCTTATTTCACCTTTAAATGCACTCCTCTGAAGAGACCACTGATAGAGAGAGAAAGTCTAGTCGCCCGAAAAGATCTGTCAAGGTGTTGGCAGATATGGTTCTTGAAATACCGCAAGAAAACCTCTGAAAGAATAGTCAAGATGTTGATCCAATCTACATTTCGATTCCCAATCGAACCCCAGAAAAAGTACAATACACTCCATTCCGCTAGTAACTATGTCAACAACTGATATCTATGATGTCCATCGAGTATCGTGCGTCGTCAACGAGACGGACGACGGACGAGCGTCGAGCGAGCAAGGTTTTTACAGGCCAGCCGCCGTCCGGAGCGCAGCATAGTTGGGGACACCGAGGCCGGTGACCTATTGCAACAACCATGAGCACGTCATCGTAGATGGAAAGGATCAGATGAACTTACAGGGTCCCATCCGGCCTTCGCTGGGAATCCGTTGGTGCTGCAGCCAGGGTTGTCACCTGCGCAATAGAAAGTCAGTCGTCGTTTCGTGCGAGGTGCGTATGATTCGGGCTTACCAGTTGTGATGTCGGACAGCGCGCTAAGACCAGTGGAGTACAAGAAGGGGTTCAAGAACCCAAGCGGGCTGTCGCCGGCGGCCACCAACTCGTCGTTGAGCAGCGTGATGATGCTCGCGAAGATCGGACTGGAGCAGCTCGTGCCGTCAACGGTTGCGGCGGAGCCCTGGTGGTAGATCTCGACGGAGTGGCCTGCTGCGGCGATATCGGGGAAGCCGCGGCCAGAGGCGTTGTACTTTCCGCTGTTAGTGCTGCCGAGCGCGGAGAGGTAGGTCGAGTGCGCGGAGGTCTGGTAGGAGGGGACACCCCAGTAGTTAGAGAACCCGCCGGATGAGAAGGCGGCCGAGGTCTCTGGGTAGCCGGAGGTGGCGCCGACAGAGGTCACGCTAGAAAGAGGTCATGTCATTAGTTATGAAGAATTGTCTGAGGGACGCGAGGTGTACGTACTACGGGCAGCCTGACGGGAAGGTGGGGACGAAGGTAGTGCAGCTCTGGCTCTGTGAGCCGGAGACACCCCCATCGCCGGACGAGAAGAAGACAGACGTGCCACGGGCGCCGAGCTGAGCGTAGGCGTTGCATAAGTTGCTGTGGTTAGGCGCAAGAAGGCGTTATTAGAACTGAATTGATTGAAATAGGTCAGTCTGATTCGAAACTTACTTGGCGAGCGAGCGCGAGATGTCGCTCTCGTCAGAGCCATAAGAGGTCGTCATGACATGAGGAGGCGTAGTTTCGGCGAGAAGGTGGTTGGCGGTGTCAAGGAAACCGAAGATTCCATCGTTGGAGTCGTCGCCTACAGAGATGAAGACAGTGGGCACACCCGAGGCGACACCGATCGTGTACTGGACGTCGAGGTTCTGAAGTCGGCAGTCATACTTTAGTTCAAATACCTGATGTTCGAAAGGTCAAATAAGACGCACAGCTTCAAGGCCGGCGTCGCTCGAGCTCTGGGGGTCCGATCCATCATCGAGTGTCTCAAGAGTGAAAGTCGTAGATGAGGACAAGTCCTTGCGCAGCGAGGCCAAGAAGCTCTTAAGGTCAGACTGTGATGGTCCAATAGTCAGGATACGATTGCATAAACAGGCGAGAAAGTCACATTACCTTTTGCGGGTATTGATCAATATAGCCGGTGACGGCAATTTTGTTCGAAGACTGCGTAGCGAGGGTCGTGGGGATGCCGTACATCGCCTGGAGACAGGCAGGAGTCACGGTCGTGCTGCAGGACGACGGGACTGCGTTGCTGGTCAAGTTGGCGTCCGCGACAACGGATTTGACCTTAGGCAAAGGAATAGCCACAACGGGCTTGCGGTTAAGCGACGTTGGGAAGCTGAGTAAATATTTAAAATACATTTCTTTGTCACGTGCGATGGGGAATGTGGGAGACATACATGATTGTGGGGTGCACGAAGTCAAGGTGACCCTGGAGGGAAGCAGGGATAGAGTACTCGAGAGTGCGGACGGTGTCTGTGTCAGTCGACAAGTGCTTGAACGTAGCGAACTCGGCATCGAAGAGAGAGTTGGCTTTCTCGACAGTGACATTGACCTGAAGCCAGTCGCCTGCGGGCGAAGCCTTCGTGGCAGTCAAGCCGTTCTGGGATAGCCACTCGTTGACCAAATCGAGACTCTCCTGCTTGGGGGCGACGAAGGCTTCAACCTATGCACCATCAAAGCAACAATCAGTCAGCGATTCATGAGGTTTTAAAGCGAAAGACCGTATGCACCTCCTCCTTGGACAGGTACTGCTTGTACTTCGGGCTGCTGGGAGTGCTAACGGAGTACAGAGCATCCTCGAGTCCCTGAGGGTTGTTCTGCACGAGCGCCAGACGCAAGCTCAAAACTTGGCTCGAGGGTGCCGTGTCGGTCTTGACGAACCCCTGCGGGACGTTCTCACGCTTCTCGTGCACACGCATGCGCGGGGAAGGCCCAGCCGCAGCGAGCGCAACGAGGGAGGCGAGGAGGGCGAACTTGACGTTGAAGAACATCGCAAGCAAGAGCCGAGCAGGGAGCAAGCGCGAGCTGTATCAAGAGACAGAATCCCTTGAGTTCTGTGCTGCAAACAAGAGGGAGCCTTTATAGTCGGGCAAAGCGGGGACGACCCGATAGCGCTTTAGCGGCGCTAGTTGTGACACGCTGCGCTACGAAGAGGAACCTATTGATTATGCCGATGTAGAGCACAAGAGTCTAGAAGAGACCACATGCTCATGGAAGGCGCAGACCTGTGGAGAAGCCTACGGGTGCCGGTGTACCATCAGGCTTCAACGTCATGATAGACTTCTCCTATTGGATTTGCGAAGATTTACAGCGGATTTGCAGTGAATTTACCCAGCACGAAAGATACAGAGCGGGATGAGTGAGATCGCATTTAACGCAGACCACGAGGTGCCCCGGTGGTAGTCGACGATGTGCATATGGACAGCTGGAACATTGTCTCTGGTGGCCAGTGGTGGCCGTTGGCCTGGGGGAGAAAAGCTGGTTCCATCAGAGGCGGCAGGCGAAGGCACGCGGCACTTCGTAGGGGCATGCATGGCGAAAGAATTCTCGGCTGTGGTCGTCATGTGCAGACATGATAGTGATAGCGAACCCGGGCACCGAAAATCGACGACTGACACCTGTTGGATGAGGGGCGTACATGCCCTTATATGGTTGCAGTTTATATACCTTTCGTCTGCCAAGCTGCCAAGAACTCACACCGTGTCTGTCGTTGTCTTGTCAGGTTGGCTGGAACATCTGGAAAACACCTCCTAATGATATTCCTGTGCCCGTTTGAAGTGGAACTGAGTTGAGGCTCATTGACGTTGAAGCAGGAGCATGGCAACGATCCGCAGCGCCGGCTGATAGGAGCAGCCCGGCGCCATGATCATGCCATCCCGTCCGGCCCCGAAACTATTTTCTATACGTTGGCATGCTGCCGCACAAGGCTCAAGCACAAGGTTGTCAACAGCCCGGCCTCAAACCTCTGTGCAGTCTGAATCTGACGCTCTGAAGGTGTATTCTCTACTTTCCTTATGTTTTCATCTTCGTTGGGAAATCACCAATGTCGATTTCGGCAAAGGACACCCGGTTGAGCCTTCTTGTAGCTTCCTGTGGAACTTGCGACACGGATTTGCGTTCTCTGTGTCTTGGATAGGATTCTCGTATAAATTGCAGTGAAAGTGAGTGAGACTGACAGTGACATCCATGATCCTACCGCACATTCTCGAATAACTGTCACCTCGATATAAGTACTCAATGGGCATTGCCCGCATCGATCCGAGACACGAGTTCTGCATGATATAAAGGACATTGGGAGGGCTGCGAGCGGGAACAAGAGAATGGGCATCGTATATCGAACTGAAAATGTACACGGTGCGTAGAATGATTCAGTGGAACTGTTCCAACAGGTGTTCATTGTTCAGACTCAATAGCGACGCACACTTTCACTTCCCTCTTCGCACGACAATGGCTGACCGGGCTGCTCCTCGTCCCCCCTCCTGACGGATCCAAGCTCTCACTTCATCCGTATCTACACACGTGAGCGAGGACTTACCCATAGATCGCGACCGTGTCAGCAACATTCTCGCCTCGCGTCTTACCTACTTATAGCCGCCTCGCTCAGTGTGTTCGCGATGCTTGAGATGTGATCTCCACACTCTTACGCTCCACTGATCGTCTCTTGTAGCATTCATCAAGTCGATAATTGCCCATGGGTGTTTATCAGCATATTTTAATAGATTCATTAGCATCACGATCAAAGGTCTTGCGCTCATCGCGTGCACGGCCGTCGAGGTTTCGTTCCCGTTCCTCGCTGTGTAATTTTGTCTGATGACAACGATTTTCAAATGGTCGGCCTAGCTGATCGACATCGTACGTTCGATAGGGCATCGAGACGCGGCCGGAGGTCGGTATCGCCTAATCCATCGGTAGACATGATCTAAACTCACGGATAAAGGTCAGGATGATATCAGCGCCCTCCGTCGACACTTTCTCGATCAAAATTATTGGTGACTCTTTGGCGCAGAATAAGTAAATCGCGATCTTCATTGGTGGACGTGCGTTAATCGTGTCATTTCATCTCACATACTCTCGTTTCAACATGTCAAGTGCATTCTATTGATGTCGCACTGCAATATTCCTAGTATTCGAAGTATATTCACGTCAGTCCAATTCGACTGTCTCGCGCTCGTGATGCTCCTTCCTCTAGCGCTCGTGATTTGATGTCGCAGACATGGGACATATGAGGATGCGGACAGCGATGTGTTAGGATAGAGGTATACAGAAGAATGAAGGGGCGGGGGCGACTATCGTACGGAAACTCACATACCGCCTCTTCAAACTAGAGCTCGTTTCCTCGCCCTCGCCCTCGCGCCCGTCCCTGCCCTCGTCCCGACACTGATCTCTTCCCTCGCCCTCGCGCCTGTCCTCTCCCCGAACCCCGTCCTCGCCCTCTTCCTGACCCTCGCTCGGTTTCCTGTCCCGTCTCATCACGCACTAGTTCCTCATCGATGTCATGCCTGTTCTCCTTGTGGCGCTTGAGGGAGTTCCCGCGCGAGAGCGCGTTGCCGCATGAGTCACGGAAGGCCCTCTTTGATTTGTGACCTTTGGCCGTTGCCTCGTGCAACTCCATGTCTGCCTTGCTGCCAAACATTGACTGACACTTTTTGCAGCACCATATAGTGTCCTCGGAGGTCTTCTGTACCTGACTTTGGCTCCCCGAGGCTGTTAGATACGAGGGGGAAGGCCCTCCTCCTGCCGCTTGTGAGACTTCGGGTTGAAATCCGTCGATGTAGATGTCTTCGTCGGCGGATGCACCTGATGCATAGGTTGTATGTGAGAGGGCATAGTCCTCGTCGTCAACAGATATATTCTCGTCGCTGCTGAAGTTGGCTGTGGCCTGCATCTTATGCGTGTCTGGCCTTGACGCCGAGAATTGGGATATGAGGTCCGAGCGAGAGGCCTCATGGGTCTGTAACAATGGGCTCGAAGACGCGCTTGGCAGCTGCTGAGGAGCAGGCTTCTCATGGTAGCCTGACGGCGGATTCAGCGCATGAGCATTGGGCCACACATGTAGGAGGTTCTTGACTTACCGTGCTGGCTTCGCTGGTCCCCGAGTGGCGGCGATGCCTGATATGATGAGGACGCCGTGTGGCCTGGCGGATATGATACGCTCCCCACTGGAGCCCAGGTTATGCGCTCAGCGTAGTGCTGTTTATGCAGTTTATAGCCAGGCCTGTTGACCTTGATCACGGTCTTCTGCAAGGATAAAGACATAGACAATGTGAGTGATATCTCGTATCTGTAGGGGAATCGAGCTGCGCATGCCAACGCTAAACAAGGAGGTTGACTCACATCTCTGTTGAGTTCTAAGGTATCCGTCGCTGAATTGAATATGTCGTCGTCTACATATTCCAGTAAATCCCGAACTTTCGTGTAGAACGATCCGGCGTCGTCGGTGGGTCTGTTTGTGAGACTCATGGGAATGAGTATGAGTGGGTATATGAGTATGAGTGGGTAGATGAGTATGAGTGGGTAGATGAGTATGAGTGGGTAGTGGTGTGTGGTGTGTGGGTGAGGGTGATGTTCGAACACAAAGGTAGAGTTGGCGGTCTTCTTGTTCGCCCTTTTATACTACAGGACAACAACGATGTGGCAGGACCCGCTGTGTCTTTCATCTGAGGCGAATCTTGCCATCCATTGGGTGGCGACCAATCCTGTCCAGCGGCGATACAATTTCTTCTCAGAAGTCGCCACTAGGACCTCGTGCCCCAGATATCTCGGATCGATAGAGAACTCGCGTTATAAGAATTGTGGGTCCAAGCTTGGCACCGATTATCGGTGATGGCGGCGGTGTTGATTGGAGTACAAGGGAAACTTCGCTTGTGCCGAGTGACCCTCCAGGTTCAACCGGGCATGTGAACTGATGGCTGCCATCGACTTCGCGCACGTATTCTACTGCGGAAATTTTGGCGTCGCAAAGCGTTCATAGAATTGTCTAAGTCTTTGTGGTTACATCAAGTGAAAAGCCTTCATTCACGAAGTTGTGGGAGCGGCTATATAGCCGGGCTCGCTGTGAGCTAGCTTGAGACGATGGATTGTACAGGAGTATCTGCAGAGATATTTTGGAGCGATCGCAATCGATCGGCTCCTAAAAAGTGCGAACAACCCAGCTGAGAGCAGACTTCGACCTTGTCCTCAGAGTTACAGATGCAGTGCTACTAAACAAAAAAAAACTCGAGCCTGAACAAACTCGAGCCTGGTCAAGCTACGATATACGATACCCAGGCTTGCCGCATGGATGGCAGACGATATAGGATTTTGAGGTACAGAATTGGCTGTGAAGTTCATCAGATAATACGCTGTGCACGCCACACAATAAGAAGTGCACGCCACACGCCCCTAGAAGAACTCGGTGACAGGAGTGACGCCACGCCGTTTTTGAAGCTATCGTAGCCTGACGTGTGTTCAAATGAAGTAGCGCTAAGAGGGCCTGAATAATGAGGCGCCATTGGGAATTGGTGGTTCATGACGATGGGATCAAGGACACGGCTATTTCAGACATTCAAGAGGGCGGAGAATGAACAGGGTGAGCGGTGAGCCCAGAGCTGAGAGAAACCAATGTCGAAGTCCGAGCTACACAAGACAGAATGGCGCTTATACAATAGCAATCTGATGGGCACATACCCATCGCATCACCTTCACAATTTCTAAACGTATGGTATGGCTCTAAAACCATATAAACCTTGGGAGGATGGCTTGAGAAGAACTATTGAGCGAGAGAATGGCGCATAGCTAGTAGCGTGCAGATGTAGATAGGGATGAAGTCACCGGGAAAAGCCGGCGCGGTCAACTCTAGGACCTTATCGGGCGCTCTCGGACGACTCAACTTCGTCGACTCATGTTGACGCAAGCGTCGACCAACGCGAGCACCTTTCGATGCTTCGGGTGGGCCGATGAACGTTCCACATACTGAGCGGTGACGCTTTGGCTTACTCGTTCGGCGTGATCAGTCTCCCCGCCAATCTTGTCTCATGGACAGTGTCCCTCGCCCTTCGCCTGGAAGTTTCGTGCTGATACCACTGATCCTAGTCAACCTTCTACCTGTTTAACTCGATTTTAATCGCATTCAATGGTCTGACTTGCTTCGTGGATCGCGTCAGCGTATTCGTAAAAATTCACGGTCTGTTCAATCATTTGGAATCTTTTGCAAGTGTTTGCGTTGCTCCTCGAGCATTCGAAAGGGTTAGGAATGCTGTTCATCGAATTTCAAAGCGTCTGGTTACCTTGCCTCTGAGGCTTGAGCTCGAGCCTTCAGTGACAGCATATTAAGGGTGCATATGATCCGGTCGGCAGTGGACCAAGGTGAGTCATCATGTCGGTATATTTCGATCCTCTTTAGTCCTCACAGGACTCTCTCCACATTTCAACACTTTTGATGCTCACGTCTCCTAGATAATCCGATGTTACTGGACTTTAGGACAAGAGACCGCAAAACGCGATCACGTGAGGCTGCTTTCGCGGAGTTCATATCTTGTAGCCTTGTTCGCGCAGACAATGGGATCGCGTCGGGATAAAACCAGTGCACTTTACTCTGCATGCCATTGAACATTCTCCTCAATTTATTTTCAAACCAGTCTCTCAATCACATCTCCCCCAAGTCTCTATTCCAGTGTCATGCCTTTACATGCAACGGACACCTCAGAAAGAAAGAGCAAAAGGGCCTGGACGAAGCCACTACTGGCCGAATCGGTGGATCAAGCCACTCCCCAGCAAATACAGCTCGCGAACGACATGTCATACGAGTTTGTCGGACCTATGCCAGTTGGCTTATTCTTGAAATCGTTCCTGGACCGAGCATCGCAACCTATTCCCAGGAACTTCAAACGGAAATTTCAGGAAAACTTGTGCAAGATGAGTGGCACAGACTTTGTGACGAATTTTGTACGTGTTATTCATCCAACCTACCATCAATTCCAATGACACGGTGACACGGTGATAGATTAAGGCCATAGGCGAGGCTGGCTTATGTTCCAACTTTTCTCTCCATGACACACGAAGCAGGCGGTACTACACCCGTAATCCTGAGATCACACTCTACAAACTCAATGACGCCGTGACAGGAAGAATTGACTTGACACGCATGGAGATGCCAATCGCGTGCCTGTCTCTCGATGACGATCCTTTCATCGACATGGTCACTCAACCAGAGTCCCATCGAAACAAGATGTCTTTCGAGCGCTATCCAAAGCGGTCTATTCGTGGACAGATAATCTCTCACACTACTTGGCAATTCGCGAACCAGCATCGTTGCTTCGCATTCTCGGTGATATTTCTTGACGACTATGCGAGATTCGTGCGGTGGGACCGTTCGGGCGCGGTTGTGACTGAGCTGTTCAAGTGGAAGGAAGACCTGGCGCACCTAGCACTGTTCTTTTGGAGGTTCAACTGTACATCAGATGAAGGGCGCGGGTATGACCTGACAGTCACGAAGCCAACTACTAAAGAAATAGAACTGGCGAAGGCGAAGTTGGATGAGTGGGCGGCGAGGTCAGCGAAGGCCTGGGAGAGGAGCAACGGAAAGGAGCAAGAGCAAGCATGTGCCCCAGATTCCTCTTACAAAGCTGACGAGACATTCCGGAAATTTTACATGATAGACGACATCTCTGGCGATGTACGATGCTTAATAACTTCCCACCCTCAATGGCCTGCACACACACTCACTGGGCGTAGTACACGCGGGTATATGGCATTCGATGCTCAGACGCAGCAGGTTGTGTATTTCAAGGATACCTGGCGCCAGCATCACATGAATCCTGAAGGAGAGACGCACAGATATCTAGAGGAGAGAGGTATTCAAGGAATTGCGCCTCTCGTATGTACAGGTGACATTGCGGATCACACGACACAGACGGATAGGTTTATGCACAGACAGTGGTGCTGCGCAGTTCCCGACATGGTGGGGCACCAGCACTACAGGCTCGTTTGGGGGGAGATATTGCGGCCTATAGATCAGTGCAGATCGACAAAGGAGATGTGCATGGCAATCTTTAATGCAGTCAAAAGTATGTGGGAAACCGTATGAATAACGGTCCTTGAGGGCTGACAACTTTGCTTGGCCTAGCACACGGAGAAGCATACTCTGTAGGCATATTACATTCAGATATCAGCGACACGAACATCATGATCACGGATGAAGGCCACGGAGTTCTCATCGACTGGGACTTGTCGAAGAGGTTGTTTGATGAAGAAAACAACAAACACAGATCAATGGTCGTGCGTTGCAACTTTTTCCAGGTTTAATGCGCATTCAAACACAGCCTCCACATCACCAGGGAACTTGGCAATACATGTCCATCGCTGGGATGCAAGAACATGACAAACAGCAAGTGTTGTCTGATGACCTGGAATCATTCCTACACGTCTTGCTCTACTGCAGCCTCGAACGCCTCATAGACGAACACTCCTTTCTCTCAAATTTCATGAACGGCTACTTTAGGAAGCCATTCCGCCTCGCCGATGGCTCCATCTGCGGATTAGATGGGAAGCAGGATTTCTTATCCGCGACACGAACATTATTTCCACAACTTGATAAGATATTTTGCGCTCCACTTGCGGACCTCATCGAAGATCTGCGCGTGTTGTTCGTTCCTCTCTACGCGTGCCGGGACAGACGTGATGTGGAGGGCATCGAGAGCGCGCTTGACAACTTGACAATCGAAAAGTTCGTCGATATCTTCGAGCGGCACCTCGCAAGGTCAGATGAAGAATGGAAATGTGAGCCATTAGAGCGCGCAAAGGAGGAGAGGAGAAAACGCAGCGTGGACGAGGCTGATCTGGACCATGAAGGACGGTTCAGCAAGCGGAGGAAAAGCTCCCGATGATCGCTTACCGTTTTCTCATGGCTCAGCTACCAGTCCGGGTCGTAGAATATGAAATGTGGGGGTATAAATACGAAGTGCATTCAGTGGCAGACCTGAGAGGGATGTATTACACGAATTTGTTTTCATTCGGTATGGCGAGATCAAAGAAAAAGGCACAATGCGGCGAGGATGTATTGTTGACTCACCAGCACCTGCTGGTTGCCTACCCCCTCCCTTATCTGTGCCCCACACCGTTGTGCATCTTGTACGCTTCATCACTCATGTTCGTCTTCAAACTTGAGACGATAGGTGTCGCAATCTCACTTGTTGATCCAGAGTTTCGACCGCTCGGTACATCATGGATGAAGCTCTTTTTACCGCTTAGACAGTGTCGGCTGTCTGCCCGTTTTCGAGGAACACACTGGAGACTGACGGGTTGTAGGTGATGTGAGGTATAGACAAAGGAGCTGCATCCAGTAATTGAGTAACATGTGCAATACATGGCTCCTATGAAGAAAAGAAATCGGATCTGTCGTTCCCATCGTCCCATATGAGTGTCGAGGCGGAAATATCAGATGTGAGAGCACTAGATAGCCTCAATTTCTTCGTCTCGGAGTTACTCTTGCTGCTATCATTCGTGCTTGCAGGGTGAGCCTTGCGTTTGTTACTCCGCTTCGTCTTGAAGTCGAGAGGCTGCTTTCCAAGTAGACAATCGCTTCTGTCGTCAACCCAGTCCTGTTGGTCAATATGTGAAAATATATCTCTGAGTGGTTTTGACGATTTCAGACTGTCCTGAGCGTCTTCTTTAGAAGGAAGCTTCGTGGTATAGAGTTTAGAAGGCTTTGTGGAACGAGGCGCGTAGAGCGGAACGAAAAGTTCCCGGAGGTCGGAGATGATGTCGACGGCTGTGGAGCAAAGGAGCGTTGAAAGATACTCTGAGCTGAACTTGGCAGGGATGAGTAGCATGAAGCCGTTCTTTCCATCTCCACCGATGTCTCTGCCGCTGGCGTCCTGTACAGCGTAATCAAAGACCGCGTGGATATCCCGAAGTAAAGCAAACCGGTCGTTTTCGGACAGCGCGCGCATCTGATATCGGATGCAGTGATAGAGGTACACGTAAAGAAATGATTCAAGATCATGGCGAAGTTCGTGTGGTTCTTTTCCATGATGGCGAAGAAGACCTAATGACATGAACTGCCAAGTACCCTGTCACTCTCTTGAGATCATGGTACTACAGTAAGGGGCATATGCAAGGACAAACTCACCGTCCTCATCTTCAGTCTGGCCCCCGAAATCTTGGAATCTGTCCTTCGAGACAGGTCCCAGTCAATCAACAGACCGCGACCGTCATTGGTGATCAGAATATTTCCGCCACTGATGTCTTGATGCAGAACTCCAGCGTCGTAAGCCTGTTGATGGGCTAGATTCGCAGATCATCAGTATTAGGAGAAAGTATCACGATACAGTCGATGTACCTTCAATCGAATCCAGAATGACTTGGGAGAGCTCCTTCGTGGAATTGTACTGTCTCAAAGGGCGTCCCAAGTCCCGAAGCACCAATCGGTGGTGCTGGTGATGCTTCACCGCTGATACTCGAGAACACCATGGTTCCCCGTAGAACTGGTGAGTCCGCGTCTCCTGTCCATCGATATCGCTGGAGCAAAGAAGACGCGGAATCCTCTGAACGTTCGCCTTGAGGAGATCACGATAGGTCTCTCCCTCCTTTTTGTAGCCCTCTGCGACGTAGCGCCAGCTATCCTTGAGGTACACCACCTTCCCCGTAGCAATGTCGTAGGCTACGTACCCTTTTGTTCCCCTGCCAGTTGGGCTGTTGGTATACCACTCTGGATGAGACGCGACAAAGAAATGCTCGCGCCTGTCCTCGTCATCGAGCACCCGGAATTTACGGAAGGAGTCATCGGATGAGAATGGTGCCTTGAGGATGTCGCTCTCACTTCCACCCTGAGCCATGGTAACCTCAAGGGCATATTGCTTGAGAGCGACCTTGGCACACGTGATCTCATCTGATGTCGGAATAGATACAGTGGTGTCATGGCCGCGTGCCGAATCGGAGGAATGGGAAAACCTCCACAGAAACATCGCCAGGCGCGAAGGATCATCTTTCCAGTTGACCCGCTCTGTGACTATGGCTCCAGCTCTATCCCAACGAATAAAGCGAACGAAGTTGTCAATGAAGATGATGGAGAACAGAAATGTCCGGCATTGAGCACCAAGCTGGGCTGCTGCATACGATGTGATTTGCCCGCGAGACTTGTTTCCGGCATTAGAATTATGTTCGAAAACATGCAGCTTGGACTCTTTCGCGCTATATTTGCGAATCTTCTCCTTGCGCGGTTGGGTGGGCTCGGGTGTTGGCAGTTTGGAAGGCTTCTCTGGGAATGACTTTGGATCTACAAATGGATCCTCAGATAATCGCTTGCGCTCAATATGGAGTTCCATCAGGAAAAAATTGGCGCTCGACTCATTCTTGTCTCTTTCCTTGTAGATGGAGATATCAGGCTTGCGCTTGTATCCTGTATCTTCGCGCATGGTCGTGTCGACAAGGAACAAGTCAGGGCAAAGCCCTGTGTCCTTCACAGCTTGTATCTGCAGGACGTTAAAAGCAGTCAAGAGATGCATCAAGGTTCCAAAAAAATAAAATTCTACAAAATTTGTTTCAAAATCTGTTTCGATTGTGAGAGCCTTGAAGCATTGTTGGTAATCCTTGGGAAGCATCGTCCAGTCGTCGGGCATGAATGCATTGAAAAATGCGTCGATGGGCATAGGCCCAATGAATTGGTTCCTCATCTCTTTCACTAGAGCTTTATAGTCTCCGGATGCCTTCGAGTCTTCCTCTCTGGTTTGAAAACGCTCTGTGGAAGATTTCTTGTTAGAGACCGGGGTGCTCTGAAGAAGTTGGAGCTGTTGGGACATTTTGAGAATTTTGAGTAGATGGTCACGGAGTAGGATGAAAGACACACGCTCACCAATGAGCTTGGACTGGGTTAAGTACAGAAAAACAGGGGCTCCTGTGACTTAGCCACGCATAGCAGGTGCCACCGTCGTTGAAATTGGAAGGTGTTGTCAAGGCGTGGTCCCTTTGCCATGTGATGTTTAAACTCCGCGGCCGCCTCTAGTTTGCGGATGGCGGGCTTCCATCAGGACGTGCCATGAGGAGCTGGCAAGCTTGACATTGCTCTCAATTATTTATGAATCGTCTTCCAGAGAGAACCATATGTACGCTCCAATAGCCCAATATGAGTGAGGAAATTTCTCCGCGATATAGTACGAAACAGTCCGCGCTGAACTTTCACTTTTACTACGCGATAATTTTCTCACCTTCCTGCATACACTTTTGGGTCATTGTCCCCAGGAAGCGATGCACTGATGATCGATGATAAAACGAATCTTGCCAATGTGTGTTTTTTCAATCCCTGATGTGCCCTCACGCTGCCGACAGGTCAACAATGAGGTCACTCATATGGGCTCTTGGGAATGAGACCATAGAGCGTGGAAGGACGAGACCACACATCTGATCCTGCCAGGCATCATCCCGTTTCCCTATCCCATCGAATTTTTCTTTGCTATTTTCTAAAAGGCTTGAACCAATGTGCAAATGGTCTGTTGCCACAGCACGCAGTTATGAGGCGCAAACCAGTGCGAAGGGCCGAAGCAAGAGACGAAAATGGACGCAAGGGGATCAGAGCCGGATGAAAGCTGGTTTTTTCACGCTCGGCAGGCTCGGCAGGCCTCTTGCAGGTCACGCGTCTTCCTCACCCTTCGCATCAGCAGCCAGTTTCTGTCGAACAGCCATTCGAACAGCCAATGACCTGCAGATTGCTGCTGACGATTGCTAGTTAGGAACACGGATATAATACGATGGCCGGTGAATGGAAGAGAACGGAGCTGGGGCGCAGAGTCGATGCACAGCTCAATACCATACTAGTGAGTGTATATCCTAGTTTTGGCTATTGTCCATATACTTTCGTACTCCTCACGCTATGTCTCGCAATGGCACAGCTTCACGACAAGGGAAGTCACTGGAGAGACGATGTGTAGGTGCCTATGAGAGGCCTTCCAACGCGTTCAAAATACATCTGAAAATCAGATTCGACGAGGCAGGCGCATCATCGTCCCGAGTCGACAAATATGTACGATCAAGGTTCAACCATGCCATTCCATTCTGATGTCTATACATGCATATACAGGCTTCGAGGTGCGTCGAGGTTATTTTTCATACGATTTGTAGGAATATATGCAGGTACCCTTAGGTGCACCCGTCTCGCCACTTACGTCCTTTTCGTTCGCCTGTTCGCCTGCGCCTTGCCCTGCCAGCCTACCACTTTACTTTTCGAATGTCTTCCTGGTCGTCTCTTCGTCGTAAGTGGGGGCGCTTTTTGTGCTTTTGCATCTGCATGGATGTTATTGGATGGAATCATGCCCATTTTTGTATTGTGCGCCTGCTCAATCTTCTTGTTCGCGAGTACTGAGGCTACTGGACTGTTGACGTTCATACAGCCTAAATGTCCACGAGAAGCGATCTGAATACACAAACAGCGCGCGCGCACTCCCAACAATGAACACTCTGCGCAACGCCTTGTAGGGACTCAAGAAGCTTTTGGCGCGCGAAAGTAGATGTTCACCCCCATGAAGACATTCTCTAATAAAACTACACTTCTTCCCTCCTCGCTTCTACCTCAGATATATGGGGTCTCTCGTCGACAGATAGTGTCGGGTGATGGTGGCCGTTTTGAATTGTCGACGTGCCAGAACGAGTGTTCCTTGTCACGAGGCGCATTTCGGCGTGAGGTGTGTTCTGAGATATATTTTTCCCAATGGTCATGTCCCAAGTGGTCCTCTGAAGCCCTGTGAGGGAGATAATCGCGGTCGGATAAATGCCCTGTTCATAGTAAAATGAACAACTATCGTTGAGAGGGACATGTGCAACGCACAGATACTTGAATCGCGATCCCTGGGAGGATTTCATTTATAGCTTGGGTGGTAATGTCGAATGTGATGGAAGCACAGACCCAGCTCACGAGGAAGATGATCTATCCATGCGTCATGTGAAGAGTGCACACAGGTAGAGCATCGCTCACCCATATCGCACAGTAAATAACTCCGGATTCGACAAGCAAAACGAGAATAGATCCGGCCTGGGATTTCCATTCTACGTTTCTGAGTTGGGCTTTGATCAATCGACGATGTTGCCTGTGTACACGCTTATTCAATCGATAGGCGCTGATCTTATATGCGCACTGACCACGCCTTCACCGCCATAAGCATAGTTGCAATAGCATTGATAGCCAGTGTTGAGGAATAAATGATGATGATGTTGTTACTTCCGAGTCCTCCGAAGGGAACCCATATGGCAGTAGCCACTAGTGTGAAGGGTTACGCATCGATGGCGGAGAGCTGAAACAGGGTCGCTCACGGATGGAACCAAAAGAAAGGGACCCGAGCACTATCAGGACTTTCGCGCTGCGTCCCCACATGATCCATACCCTCCAGATTACAATTGCATCGCTCAATACGTACTGCGAAATGTTTAATAGAGTGTCAAAACCAACCCGACCAGGAGACTTACGTTGATGATAGATAAGTAAACATCCGTATAGGATGCGACCGTTTCTGCTTCTGAAAAGCCATCCTCAGTGGAATAATATGACGCTGTGCAATTACGAGGGTCCAAATCCCAGAGCTCTGACAGGACCATGTCCATGTCACCTATCCACTGCAAAACCAGATGGCAGGTCGAGACCGTGAACATGAAGAACGTTGCTAGCCACATGACTAGGATTGCTCTTGTTTTGAGGCCTTTACAACTGTGACCGCGTCGATTAACTTAGTCGTGGTATGCATTCTTCACATGTGCGACTCACGCTAGGATGTAGGTCGAAAGTGCGAATGTTACTATCGAAAGCACTATGGACCGAACTTAATGTTTTGCATAACACATGATAAGCCTACGCACCGTAAAAGCCCGTTTCACAAGCAAGAGCGACAATGTAGGGCTTGAGCGTTGTATAAACATCTGGCGCAGAGAGAGATATCTCTGGGATTCCCAAAGGCACAGAGAGGGGATTTTGTTTGCACATGAAAGGGTAGGTCGTCCTGCGGCGGTGTATAGATGGGGTGCAGTCAGAGACGATGATACTATTGCCATGTCGCAGATGTTCCAGATTTCAGGATTTGAAGGTATCGAAGCGTTGAAGGATTCCCATCGTAGGACAGAGACAAAGATATCATCTGTCCTCCATGATGCACGGAGCGGAAGCTGTTCCAATCGATCTGTCAAAGTTGACGGCACCCATCAAGCACAGCCAAAAGCGACTGCTATGGTCAAATCAACCCAGGCTGTCAGCGCAATGCTCGCTCAATCGCTTCATTGTACTGTGTGTTCCCTCTCTGGGATCACTAGAATGCGGCTAACGCCCCTTCAGTTCCCTTGCCGAGGTTTCTGCGGGGAAGACAAGGACCAAAGGCAGACGTGCTGATGGGACAAGTTCACGTACGTAAGATCTTGCAATACAGCGGCAGAAGCCAGAAGACAATATAGACAGATGTATGTGACTATGGCGGCATATATTCTACACGATGAGAAGGAAGGATGATGAGCAGCACTGAAAATCGCGTTCCTAAATCTCAGTACGACTCACCCTCGACCTGTCCAATTTCTCAACGATTCCCTACAAATGAGTCATCTGATATGTTCCAGAGCGCGTTGGATGATGAAACAATGCATTGATGTATCTTCAAGGAGACAAAGTATCATACAAACAGGGCTGAGGCCGAAGGAAAACAGTGAACACATGTCTACTATGGAAGACGAACTAAGTAAAAAACCCGGGGTCGAAAAGTCGAGAGGTGAAAAGGGTGCTCACAGTGATAATTTGTAGCCATACGCAGGTCCTTATCACTTAACCATCGCGCACTCGATCGGGTCGATCCTCAAATCTGCCTTGGTGGTCGTCTTGAGACTTGAAGCTTGGCGTGACAAAGTGTTCAAGGGGTGCCATGGGAATCGGAGCTGATCGGCGTATTCACGTCGCCTTCACGAACCTTCACGAACCCACTGCGAAAACACGATCCTCTCAAACTTCCTCCACCACTGAATGACCAACTGCCTATCTCGAGACATAGAAATGCTAGCATGCCCGGGATCATCATAGAAAGGAGAAGGGTGAATGAGTCTCTTTGGAAGCCTAGCTCGTTTTCCTAATATTATTGGCCTTCTTTCTGCATTCGCATTGACAGATATTCAATAAGGGCAGACGCCGTGCATGTGGGTGTACGGTAGGTCCAGTCGAGAAAATATCAAAGACCCTGGAAATCTGTGCTCCGTGCTCCTGTCCGTTTTATTCTTCGTTTTCGTCCCTTCTCTTCTCCATTATCTTTCATATTGCCTCTGACTTCTCCTTATTACGTCTAGCAAATAGAACAGGATTTCTGGACTCAACTGGTACGCTGATACGAGTAGAAGATTTAGAAAATTCGTCGCCTCTATGCCTCGGGCATCATCATCAACCATCCAGGAACGCTTTTGCTTAACCCTCGGCGTACGGTGCTGACATGTATACATTTCTGACTTTGTAGAGTGATTCGTGATTCTTCATTGGACTGACAGGCAGCCTCGAAATATGGCGGCCGGCATTCAAGTTTTCCAAAGGCGGTAACAATGCGATCTGTCTTCTTTCGGCTCCGAGTCGACGTACGCGTCCCTCGACGACCCCACGACGAAAAGCGGGGGCGCTTGCCGGCGCCTATCCTGCAGCGCTGGCCGTCCCTCCCCCCTCTCGGCCTCGCCGGCGCTGAAGTCGGCGAGCATGGGCTCATGCGCCGCGCTTCGGCGGCTCGCCTTGCCATAGCCCCGCACGCTGCCATCCCAGTTCCCGCGCCCGTCCCGAGTGCCAGCCTCGAGCTGCGCTTTGAGAGCAAAATAGTTCGGCGAGCGTGTATTAGTCGCGCTCTCCGGAGACGCCGGCGCGTCGCCCTGCCGCTGCCCAGAAGTGCGAGTGCGGCGGCTTTTGGGCGGCGGCTCTTCCGTCGATAGTGGGTGCAGGTGGACCGGGGTCGATGCTGGCGCCGGGGAAGCCGTCAGCGTCGTCATACAGTGCGTTGAGGTCAGCCAGGGTCAGGAAAAGCACGCTCGATGCTGGAGGTGAGTTGTGGAGAGGAGCAGCAGCAGACGGGTCGACGCGCTCATGAACCGCGGGGGCCACGTGGGAAACACGCGCGTTTCCAAATTCACCGTCGCGGTCGTCGTCCGTTCCTCTCTCCCCCTCCCCTTCTCGACCTCCCTCAGCTTCGAAAATTAATGGGCTGGTTCACACGCGCTGAGCCCGAGAAGCCCAACGCCGCCTCGCGCGACGACCGCAAAAAATGCTGGGAGTCAAGAGACCTCTATTTCTCTGCTTGGACGTGGCGCAGGTGGTCGTCCCTGGCAGCGAAGGCGACAGATGCAACGCGCAGAATAAAGCTTTCCAACAGAACTGCGCGAAGAGCTGGGTACGCGTCGCCACGCGTCTCTCCGTCTGCCCATCGAGGCACAGCCATAACGATGCCTGCTTTTCTAATTTCGCAGGTGGACTACTTTAACAAGCGTCGGGTCCTCGCCGAGCAGCAGAAACCCATCCTCGTGCAGGCGAATATGCAGGCCGAGGAGGCCAAGCGGAAGGCTTCTTGATTTTCATTCATTTCCGTTTACGACCCTGCACCGCGACCGGCAATATATCTGTATCCCTCCCGCATCTCATCCGTTCTCTTCCGATCTCTATGCGTCGTCGTCAAGTTCTCTTGATCTCTCTATGTTAGTATCAGAGCAGGGCTCGCCTCTTCGCCGGACCATCGCACTACGAATCAAGAAGGGAAGAGTCAAGGGAATGGTCGACAAATGGGAGCGCGAGAGTGCGGGCAGCGTCGACGGGAGTGACGCGTAAGAGGACCCGGTGTCATCCTCTCCGCTGGAAATGGACACTTCCCGATCTTTCGGACGGCGTGGATGCTAGCACGTCCACGCATGCTGTGCCGCTGCCGCCGACAGCTACGGAGCTGAAGAGCGAGAAAGAGCCAAGTATTGAAGATCTTCTCGCCGAGCATTCGAACCTGCCATCGGGCTCGTGGGGCGCACGTGCTTGGGAGGACCTGGACATCGGCGTGACCGTCAAGAGGCTCAGCAACTCCGAAGGCTTAGACAAGGAGGGCAGTGGAAGTGGAAGTGGAAGTGGGCGCGGCAGTGGTGAAAGGGTCAAGGCAGGTGGTGCGAAGGACGAACGAAGAGTTATCACTGCCATATTCGAGCCTGCGCTCGAAGAGACGAGCCAGGAGGAACACGCGTTAGATGAAGACGTGAAGATTGAAGACCTTGCCAATGGGGATGACGATGACGACGGCAATGCGAAGGTCCAGGAGATGGTGCAAGAGGTCAAAGAAACCAGGGACCTATTGGAGGAATTCAGACGTCGATTGGAGGAGGTGGAAAGCAAGGTGCGGGAGATGGAAGAAAGAGAGGCAACGAGAGACGCAGAGTTGGTGACCCTGAGAGAGCTTGAGACCCGACGGAAGATCGAGACAGCACAGAGAGAAGCGAACAGTGTCGTTGCAGAAGTCGAGAGAGCGGAGCGCGAAGCGCAACTGGATCTAGAGCTCGCGCGGCTTCGCGAGGTCGAGAAACGGGCCCAGGAGCTCGAAGCATTGGCTGCATCCCCCTCCCCGTTGGCCACCGCCTATTTACCCGAAATACGACCTGAGCCTCAATCTTTCCCCGCAGAATCAGCGAAACCTGTCCCTGGCCCTGCTGCGGTGCTCTCTCGCGTCGTCTCGCGTGTACACAAGCGACGTCGCCCTCAACCTGACACGACCTCGTCTGCGGCTGATATTTTTGAACCCGACTCGTTCTCTGCGTTACCTTCGTATGTGCTGTTCGTTGGATTAGGTGTATGTGCTGTCGTCCTGCGGGTCGTGCTGAAGCGTACGGCTGGCCGACAGCTCAGGTCTTGACAGTTGGCTTTCTTTTGGGCTCGCTGGCCGGTCTCGCTGTTATGGGTTCTCCAAGCCTTTTCAAGCTTTGAAACGGTCTTTCTCTTGATCTCGGTCTTTGTCTTCATTCGCAGCTTCTCTTCGTCGGGCGTTTGGACTTCCACGATTTTTTTTCCATCTCAATTGCGATACCCAAGCCTAACACTCATTTTCTTGCCGGTCGACCTCTGCTTATGTTGAATCACCTATCTCCCCGCCCCCAACTAAATATTTATATATACTGTGTTAAGCTCGATTTATCACGATACGATGACCCTATGACCATTCACGTCTACTTACGCTTTTTGTTCAAATACCTTGTTGTGGCTCTCTGTTTATTCTCTCAATTTTTTGTCTGCCTCATTATCTTGCTCTATGCGTGAACAATAAACCCTTTCGTTGAATTCTCCCGCCACTGTATTTCGTCGATCAGTAATGTGAAGCACGGGCCACGCCCTTGACGCGGTCTCCGGTCTGCCCACACTCTGTAAGTCTCCTGCCTTCCCAGGCATGCAAGCTGGAAAGCATCCTGCTTCCACTCTCCATTCAGCTGAAACCTCACAAGAATGAAGGAGAAAAGGATGCCTCACGTCCGACTTGTAGCTTGACATCTTGATGGGAAGTTCGAGACGATTGCGCGGTACATGAGGGCAGTCATCACACTGATTCTGATCAGTGCCATCGTGCCTCTGAACGTTTATCATCCTCCTATTTTACTCTAGGGTTATGCTTGAGACGGTAGAGGCAAGTTTAGATGAGATCTAGAGGAATTTTACTTTGGAGTTCTCCATTCGCCACATCGCATCGCATCTTTAGCCACCAAAATCATATCACTCCAACAATCGATCAATTAGGTTAGATATGAGATCCAGCATACAAACGAGTCGAATCGAATGTGAAGGGGATGATTAGTATTTCGCCGTAGAGAGGTTCATGGATTAAATATATCGAGGACAAGAGAAGATACAACAATCTCGGACGCATCCTGAGATACCCGGGATTTCTTCTTCTTCTGATCGGGTTTGTTGTCCAGGTCGGTATCCTTGCCCTTGCGTTTGGCGGGCCGCTTGATCTTTTTCTGAACAGGCGGTTTTCCGAAAAGACCGTCACTTCTATCGTCGGTCCAGCCTTGACCCTGAAGCCTTGACTTCAAGATATCGGTTAGCGGCTTAGAACATTTGAGACGATCCCTCGCCTCTTGAAGGGAGGGTAGGAACGCGTCCATGTTTCTGAAGTTCGTCATAGCCCTACGAACAGCGTAGAGAGGGACAAACAGATCCCGAAGATCGAAAATGGTGCCAAGTGTTGTCTCGTGGAGGAACTTTGAAAGGTCTGATTCTTGAAAGTCCGTGGCAAATGGCTGGAAAAAATTCAATTTGGTTTTACCCCCAGAATCCGAGGCATCGAGACGATTGATTGAGGAGTCGAAATATTGCTCCATTTGTGTCAAAATCGTCAGACGATCTTTTATGGAAATCCTGCTGGCCTGATAGAGGATGGTGTAGTACAGGAAAACATGGAAGAATGACTCGAGGTCATGCCAAAATTCATGCGTCTTGTTTCCAGGATCAAGAAGACGAGCGCATGCCATGAATTGCCATGTACCCTAAAGATGCCAACCAATTCGAATGCGCGAGCACTCAACTTAGATTGTATCAGAGACTTACCGTCCTCGATTTCAACCTGGCTGCGGGCACAGCCAGCTCCGTTCTTCGAGACAGATCCCAGTCAATGAGGAGGCCACGGCCATCGTCTGTTATCAGGATGTTGCCACCGCTGATATCCTGATGCAGCACCCCGGCATTGAATGCTTGCTGATGGGCTAAATCATGCCCCAAATGAAGTAAATAGACGAACACGTACAGCAGAATGTATCTCACCTTCAATCGTGTCCAGCATCACTTGGGAAAGCTCCTTTGTAGAGGTATACTGACTCAACGGGCGTCCCAAATCTCCGAGGACTAGTCGATAGTGATGGTGGCGCTGTATAACTACACGACAGCACCATTTTTGCTTGATAAACTCGTGAGTGCGTGTCTCCTGCCCCTCGATATCACCAGAGCAAACTCGGTGAGGAATCCTTTGCACTTTCTTCTCTTCGAGCAATCGGTAAGTGTCTCCCTCCTTTTCGAATCCCAGCGCGACATAGCGCCAAGTATCCTTCAGATAAACCATTTTCCCCGTAGCAACATCCAGTGCCTCGTACCCTTTAGTTCCTCTTCCTGTGGGACTGCTCGTATACCACTGTGGAACAGATGCGACGAAAAAGTGCTCTTGCCTGTCCGGACCATCATCGACCACACGGAATTTTCGAAACGTGTCGTCTGACGAGTAAATGGACGTCAATATATCCTTTTCACTTCCGCCCTGTGCCACAGCAACATCTATCGCCCGCTGCCTGAGGGCAGCTTTCGTGCGCAGAATCTCGTCTTGGGTCGGAATTGACACCGAAGTATCATATCCTCGGTCGTTATCAGAGGAATGACCGAACCTCCACAAGAACGACGCTAGGCACCAAGGTTTTTCCCTCCAATCTATACGGCTGGTAACCACGGCTCCCGCTCGGTCCCAACGGATGAATCGAACAAACTTGCCGACGAAGAGGAGAGAAAATGTGAATGCTCGAGATTGGACACTGAATTGTGAAGCTGCATATGAGGAAATTTGTTCACGAGAATGATCGCCGTTGACAGTATTATGTTCGAAAGGGTATTTTTCGCGAAGCGATCTCTTCATGTCCTGCGGTGGATCGTGAAACGGATCGTATGAGTCGGGCTTGCGCTCAATATGAAACTCCATCAGCGGGAAGTTGGTCTTCGCCCATTCATGGTCCGACTTGTAGACACAGATGCCTGGCTTTCGGTTGAAGTTCCCATCTACCTGGTCGTTTGTGTCGACGAAGAGCAAACCGGAGCAAAGCCCTGACTCTCGGACGGCCTGTATCTGTAGCATACTTCGATGGGTCAAATGGAGGATGAAGTTCGAAATTGGTGGAGCACGTACAAAGTTCTTCTCAAACCCCTTCTCGATCTTGAGGTCGGCGAACAAGGCGTGGTAGCCCTTAGGTAGCCTATTCCCTTCGGACTTGGGCATAAAAGTTCTGAGAAACGTGTTGGGGGGCATAGGGCCCACAAATTGACTCCTCATCTCTTTGATAAGCTGTATGTAGTCTTCGTTGGCTGGGACAGTCCGCGTTGCAGTTGAGAATCGCTCTGTCGATGACTTCTTGTTATTGACCGGTGAGCTCTTTAGCTGAGGAAGTTGAGACATTTCAAGGGATGAGTGGTGAAAAGCAGGATGGAGCGAGCAGGGAGCTTACCAGGCAGGAAGTTTGCCCTAAATACCTGAACCGCCTTTGTGCCGCCGTTGTTGAAATGGTCAAGGCATGAGCGTGTTCCGTTTGCCACATTCCATATTTAGACTCCGCGGCCATGTGCACAGCGCTTATCGGACAATGACTTTCCCGCATGTTGCAGTCTCCTACTATTAGCCTCCATTCTTAATCGATCAATTTGTCTCGGTCCTTCATGGACCTGATCAATTGTGAATAGTTGAGTGCCAAAATCTCGACCTTTCATCATGCATTTGGCCAGGCAGAGCATGATGGAGACTTTGCCACCATAGGCATGCCTATTATGAACTACTTACTATACTTCTACCATGATCCACATAGGGACACATAGGACCCTTCTCTCATCTGTGTGTGTGTGTGTGTGAAGTCATGTATTAATGTCTAGTGGTGGCGCACCGCATGTCTAGACGTGTAGCTGTATGTACTCTATGGTAATGTGGATGTATGTAAGCCTGATCCAACTCTATGCTCTGCATTGGCCCTCAAGGGGCATGTGTTTACCTCAGGGAGGTTGGGTCGCATGGCGAGAATTATGGTGGTATAGTAAGGTATCGTACTTAACTGTTGTTTGGTCCAGTAGCAGGTGCTGTGTTTAACCGGCTGTGTAACGTGGCTGCCATCTGTCTCTGTTCTGTGGTTCAAATCTGCACGCGTCTCGTCGCTCCTCTATGTCCGCCTCCTCCTTGTGCTTGGGGTGTGGTTGCTTGTGTTTGTCGCTCGTTTTGGCTCCTAGGTCCATCCAGCTCTGTCTCCATGGTCTTTGGCAGGTTCAGGTCTCCGAATGTCTTCTTGAAGCACTGGGTTTTGTGTATGAACTTGAGTAGGTGTTTGAATGTCGATGGGTTGGATAATAGTTTGGAAAGGTTACAGCTTGCTCACCCTACTGCTTGCTCAAGGCGGTGTTGAATATCGGTAAAGCTTCGGCATTTGAGAAGGAAGTGGGCCACTGTCTCGTCACGCTGCCCACATGCAGGATAGGTGGGGTTCTCGAACTCGTCTGGACATATATGGTGTAGATGACATTGTAATGGTGCGTGGCCAGTGTGTAGTTGCATAAGGGTAGCGGCATGTCGATGTGGGAGAGAAGAGGTGATTTTCCGAAATCTGTTCGAAGGTGCTGTGGGATCTATCCTCTGCAGCTTTTGCCATCTCGGTGACTGTTCCATGAGTTTTTTCCAGCACTTCTTGAGTCCATCCTTGAACCTTTGCCTTGCTGCCAACCAGCTGAAGGGAAGATGTCCCCTGATTGCCTTTGGTAGTACTGTGTCCATGCTTGTGAGTCCTCTCACTGCCGCCTTCACTTCCTTGTCACTTCTCTTGTTTCCTATAATATCAATGTGCCCTAGTACCCATTGTAGGGTTAGTCATCCTCTGCCTCTGCCTCCGAACTCCTTCTCTACTTTGTCGTGAATTGCGTCGACAAGATACGATCCTGGGGTGCTCCTGGCTATCTTAGTGGCCTGTATTACAGCAACATTGTCCAGTGCTATCGATGCCGAGCGATGCGGTGGTTCATTTTGTATGAGCTGTAAAGCAAGAAGGATGCTGGTAAGTTCTGCTTTGTATACGGAGTGATGTTCTGCTCTGCCAAGGTGCTTGTGCAGCCTCGCTTTTTCGATACCGTGTCTGAACAGGACCGCCACTACCCCTACTCCCCCTTCTATTAGAGATCCATCTGAATATACCTGTATTTCGTCTCTGTTTTGTTTCTCAGCTTTGATGGCTCCATCTTTGTTGGGTGCAATGCTCATTTGGATGGCTGACTGCCACTTTGGATCGAGTTGCATGGCTTTGATGTCTTCAAATTGGCTCGGAAAGATGGCGTAGGCTTCGTTTAGGAGCTATGGAGAGGGGAGCGATCTAGTGTATGGGTTGTCATGTCTGTGGCCACTATGGTATGTCTGTAGAGGGGATGCTCGTCGGCTAGTGTTGCCAGTCTGGTGGCTTCATCATGGCACTTTTTGTCGGCCAATAGGCTGAATGGTAAAAGATCTGCATGTGCATCAAGAATATCAGTAGTGGTGGCGCATGGCACTGGTTATGTGTATGGCTGCCTGTCTCTGGACTCTGGCTAGCTTCTCTATCATGCCTTTGGAGCCTTTGCCCTTATGCGATGGTGGGGACAAGAAAATGTCCACCCCATACAGCATTCCCGGCAGCGCAATGCTGGTGTAAAATTGTCTCATGTATCTTGTAGAGACGCCTTTAGAAGGGCGCGCCAGCCGTCTATAGTGTGTCACCCACTTTGTGCCTTTGGCTAGTGCAGACGTGGCGTGCTCCTTGAAATTTAGCTCCTGATCGATTATAATGCCGAGGAATTTGTGAGATTTTGATGGGCAGATGTGTGTACCTCTCAGAGTGATGCTTGGTCTTTCCAGCGCCCTGTACTTGAACTTCTTATCTTTCTTTCCCCTGTTGCATGCCTCCTCTCTCGTGCGAACACGATGTCTCGCTTTCACCTTCTCTTTTTTCCTCGTGAACCCCACCAATGCAAACTTATCGACAGCGAAACTGCAGTTGTGTGTGTCAGCCCAGTCGAAGGCTCTGCCTGCTCATTCCATCATATCCTGCAGCTTGTCAGCCGCCTCTGCCATTGTCTCAGCTGTTGCGATGTATGCGGTATCATCTACAAAAGCCACTCTATCTTCTCGATTGGCCCTGTTTGGGACATCTAGCAGGTCAGCATTGTAAAACTGAAATAAAATTCTGGACAGTGGGCACCCCTGGTCCACGCCACATGGGAATGTGAGCCAGTCTGATGTGTATCCATCAAAGATGAGTTTTATGCATCTGTGTCCTGTCTTGATATGAATCCACTCCATGTACTCCTTTGGGATGCCTTATTTTTGCATATTGTGGATGAGACAATCTAAGTTAATGCTTGGAAATGCTCCCTTTATGTCCAAGAAAAAGACACATGCCGCTTCTTTGTTGTCCATGGCGTTGTGTAGTTTTCACGTGACATAGTGAAGTGAGTCTGTTGTCTTCTGGCCGGCTCTGCAGCCAAAATGTGTGTCAGGAAGGAGGTGATGGAGTTCGGCTAGTTGCATTAGTTCAGACGCGATGCAGGCTGAAAGAATTTTGGTGATAGTGCGGAGTAGGGCGGTTGGCCTGTATGCATTAGGATTGGAGTAGTCTAGTTTGCCAAGTTTTTGTAGTACAAGCGTCTGCGAGTCTTTCCAGTCCTGAGGGTAGATGCCAAGTGAGAATGTGGTGTGGAAGATAGGTCCAAGAAATGGGACTAGGATGCTTGCGCAGTTTTTGTAGACAATATTTGGGATGCCGTTGTTGCCGGGGGCTTTGAGGCCATGGAGTCTCTCTATAGCTCTGTAGATTTGAGCATTGGTTATAGAACGGAAGGGAAATGCTAGTTCAGGATAGCTGTGGTCCATCGGGCTGGGTGTCTGAGTCTCGTCCTGTGAAAAGAAGCTTTTAAATAAAAATGGCTCTTGGCCTTGTTAGTCTCCACTTCTACTACTGTGCCATTCTCTTTTTTGTGCTTGAGCATCGGAACATGCACCTGAGCCTCATCTGATGAGGTTTTATCCACATACTTATTTGCTATCCATATTTCTTCACCTTGCAGGTTCCCTAACCATTCCTCCTCTCGTCTGTCCCTCACATTCCCATCTCATTGATACTTAGTCTGTGCTCTTGCCTATACATATTTATAGCTGCTATGGCATAGTAGGGAAGCCTCAGGCTATCCACTCCTGTCCAATCTAAGAACTACTGTTTACCAGTCTTCCCTGATTCAAAGGCACTAGTCTGATCAGCCCCAAACCTTCTTGCTTTATCCTAATATATCTCTCATCATCCAAGTTGTTGTTTGTGGCCTAGGATCTCCTTGCCCCAAACAGCCATTTGTGACATCTGGATAGCCTATCCCAAGTCCTACTCCACACCCTATTTCTGTTTTTTTCACAGCAGAACACCGACTACTTATATATGGTGCTAGGCAGTCCCAAAAAACAAGCAATCATTGACCATAGTAGTTACAATACACTTTGAGTGAATGATTGGGTGATTCTACTTTAGTGTAAGTCATTTTAGGTTGTAGAATATCTCTATCTTGTAGTCAACCCAGGGAAGGTACAACCAAAACAATTGTGCTTGATATTATATACCATACAATATTATACTATACCATGCCAGGAAGAGCTGCTGTTGCCTTGACCCTTGACCCTTAATCAGGTCAAAACAAGCATAGGCTTTTTTGATCAAATCACTATGACTTCCAAAGAAAAAGAAAGAGAAGTAGGGCAAGTTCCATATAGAACTGACTACCTGGAACACTCAAACTCATATGTCTACCTTGGATGAACCATCAAAAGGAATTTGAAAGGAATCTGGCTTTATATAGGAGGACAAGATAGTGGAAAACCTGTTGATGCTTCTCTAGTCACCTGGGAAGATAAGAAAGCACTACTAAGAACAGTAACCATTCTAACATCTGGAAAACCACCCCCTTATATTAAGCTCTAATTAGCTATAATTAATGCTTAACTATACTAAATTATGAAAGATTAGGATTAGACATTTTTAGCTTACCCCCCCTCTAAAATTATTCTAATTAGACATAATTTTCCTAAATTAGGAATTATTAGGATGGATTATAACTTGAAATTTCGGAAAAATAATAATAAATCAAGCATCACAGTTTTCATAGCCTTCTTATAGAGTCATGTCTATTAGAGCACTAGTTAAATACCTAAACACAGAATATACCTTATAACAAACTTGCCTTTTGCCAGAGTTGAACCAACAACCTCATGTATGCAAGCACCCAGGACAGATGCTCTAAGCCACTAAGCCACAAGATCTAATATATAAACTTGGTAATCTAAATAAGTAGACATAATATAGGCAACCTCAACATCTCAAATTTTATTCAACATTTATCTTTCCTCTCTCTTATAAATAAACAGGTCAATAAATAACTAAAAAGTTAGGTCTTTCAGAATTTAGGTTAGACACCAGCTAAGAAAATAATAAACCAATGGAAAATAAATAATACACTTTATATAGGGTAAATCCAAATTGTGGCACTGACACAATTTGGATTTAGAATGTGTAAAACCATGATTGAGTATAACATTCAATGGGACTCTACTAGTATAGACAATGCTACCTTAATTTGCAAATTTGATCAAAAAAATGATTATGAATAATTGGCCATAATTAGCTCAAATTAGTATCATTAATGATTATGAATAATTAAGATCCAATAAGAGAGAGGGGTTTTCCAAATGGCCACTATTGAGGTGGAGGGTGGGGAAAAGGGTATATATATAGCATGCCTATGTATAGATAAGCACAAGATTGTTAGAGATAATCTTAATATGCTTAGTGCACATATTTTTTACATAGCAGGCAAATATATTATTCTGGCACTACATACCAATATGACTGTCTTTTCCATAGCCCAATAGCTAGAGGAAAACGCCAAATTTGAGCACCTTTGATATAACAAGGCAATAGACAATCTGGGTGGCACCAAAAATTATAATATCAATGACAATGATTGTGTGCTGTATAAGATAGTATTGACCACTGCACTAATAGACAAGGTCTGGCAAGCTATACATAGCATGTCCCTAAGCCCAACCTATATGTTGTGTCCTATATTGACCAGTATTATGTTAAGCTGCTAAGCTTATCACGTGCACTTGATGCACTAAAAGGGATTCCCTAGGATAACCATGATGGCCCAATGAATAAAGACTATTGCACATCTTTGGGCTTGTACTAGAAAGTCTTGGTTACTGTCGGTCTGATCCTCAAATAGGTAGAGGAGATGTTGATTGATAATGGGATAATGTTTGTTGGGCACCAGGAGGTCTTCTCTGATGCAATAGATGACTTCTGAGGGATTCCAATAAATGACTCAATAGGCAGTGAGTCCTTGATAGGTTACAGGTAGTAGAGGATAATAAGAGCTTTGAGACAAGTCTAGTGCTCCATCAGACTAAGTATGGTTCTATGGATCTGGCAGAGTTCACAAAGCATAGGCTGAAGGGGCCAGACGCTGGGCACAGTGCAGAGATCAAGATGTATACAAAGTGAACAAGCTGATCTTTTAAGAAGCTCAGCTTTCCTATTTATAATATAAGCAATTTAGGGCTGGACAGAGACATGGCCCATGCTTCTAAATACTAAGTAAGCTAAATGATTGGAATCCATAATCCACAGTCATAGTTCAAACTCCGTGGCTCCTTGATGTAATCATATATAGTAAGTATATCAAATGTCTGTCCATAGCAATATCAAATGGAACTCAATCATGATTGACATCAGTAAACCACATAGAGGAAAGAGAAAAGGATAAGTTATAATGTCATAAGCATTCATGCACCAACATATAAATGGTAAACAGTCCAAGTCCAAGTCATGTGTGTAGCTCATGACTATGTCCTGAGTCACATGCCTAGATGCGTGTCAAGTCACAGTCCTAGTCATCAATGTCTAAGTCTAAAGAGACACCTGACCTTCCTTCTGTCCATGTGCAAAGCATGTGTTAGGATGTGGTCCTAACATATCAAGCATCAGCTGACAATAACAACTTCAATGATCCTGTATGCAAGGGCAAGATACCAAGGTCTTTACAGCCTTTTATGGCAGCTGCCAAGCTACTAACAAAGTGGCTGGGAACATCAATAGCCATCAGGGAAAAGCTTCATATCAAATTAACCATAGTTAAGCATAAATATAGCTATATTTTTGCCAATTAATATTAAGGATTTTTAGCTTACCCCCTTCTAATCCTCAAATTATATGATCTAATTAGAGCTAATTAAACCTAATTTATTATACGGATTCTCAGAAAAATATTAACCAACCCAGTCTTATAGTTTCTCTACTATTACTACACCTTCAATCATAGAGTATCTATAGAGCTTACTAATCAAACTAAAGTCACATCTTATGGTAAACTTGCCTATTACCAGAATTAAACCAACAACCTGATGCTTGCACACCCCAAACCAGTGCTCTAAACCACTAAGCCACAAGGTCTAAACTATTTGCCTAGTAACCTAAATATGTTGATATAAATAAGGCAATCTCAATATTTCTGATTTTCTTACATATTTATCTTTCATCTATTCTATGTATAAAAAGATAAATAAATACTCTAAAAATCAGGGATTTTGAATTTAGGCACCAGACAATAATATATTAAACCAATTGAAAATAAATAATATGCTAAAAATAAGATTGTAGCACTTACACAATTTGGATTTGAAATGTGTAAAATTGTAAAAAGGGTTGTAGATTCCAATGGGACTATGGTAGTATATACAATGTCACCTTTACTTTCAGATTTGATTATAAAGTTGATTATGAATAATATATTCTAATTAGCTTAGATTAGCATTTTGAATAATTAGATCTTATTAAGAGAGAAGGTTTTTCCAGATGATGCACACTCTTTTCTTTCCATGTCCCCTGTAAATGCAGCTGGAAAGTTAGCAAAAAAGCTACAAGATAACAGTGCAGGCATATATGAAGGAGAGCAATGTGCTGAAGCAGCATAGAATGTGCCACATCTTTACCTTCTCACTGATAAAGCAGTAGTACTTACTATTTCCTGCTAATTAAAGACTTCTTGGTATGGAATTAGTGCTAATATCATAACATTAGAAACCATCACTTTAGCTATAGAAAGAGGTAGTTCCCAATTTGGAAATCCAATCCAATGCTCACAATGTATTGCCCCTAATTAGGAAATTAGACACTTTTAGATGCTATTAATACTTTTAGATACTTTTAGACACTATTAGATATAATCCAGAGCTAATACAAGGGGGTATTTTTCTAGATGCACAGTGTGCCTCGCATCTCCAGGACCCAATCACCACCTTCACTACTAAATAATCAGCTTTACCAATTGGATCCAGAGATACCTGGCAGCCCATACAATGAATCATTGCTTTGGCATGGAGGAAATTGGCTGCAGGGGCTTGAGACAAGGTCTATGAGGAGCTGTGTATAATATACTACTGTATTCTGCAAATTTCCCAAAAAATACTGATTATATTGATCTACCCAATACTTTGTGAAAGCATTCTGAGAGTTTCTGAGAGCACAGCTGCATTCATTATGACATTGAGCTTATATCAAGATAGCTACTATAAGCAAGTCATCGGAAAGACAAGAATTTTTGGGCCTTTTCACTCAGTCTTACAGCTTATTTTGATATCTTTCAGCTTATGCTCTATCTTGATGATATAAACCTGTTGTCCACAACACAGCTTCCTTATCATTTTTCATGTCTTATACTGTCTTATTTTACTTATCGAGCCATATAAGACAGAAAACGCAACTTGTGTATTTCCTGATGGAACCGCTATGCGGGTGTGGCAGTCGCAATAGGTACATGGGACTCAAAAATGTGGTGGCCTTCCAGATTTAAGAATGGCGATGGGCGGCCTTCCGGCATCTTCTGCGGCGACTTGCGACTTGCAAATGCAGTCCCCACCATAAGAAGACTGGTAATCTCATTCGCTTGTCTCCCATGTTTCATGCACAAGCCCGAAGTACAGTGTGGATGGATCTGCAGCAGTTACAGTGGATAATGCTATTTTTGGCCGAGTCCGCACATACGAAACAGTCAGCAGTTCGTTATCGACCATCTGACGACACGCTTTCGCCATTAACCAGTTGTTTACACGGTAGCATCGGCAAGCATTTTCTCCGGCAACTGTCTTATAACAGCATAGCCACATGAGGCTCGCTTGATCGCTCCACTATTGCTTTGTCTCCTGCTTCTCATACCATTGTCCTCTTCATGAAGAAGCTCGTTAGACGGTGCTCTAGGCCTTTGCCATGCTCAACCAACACTGCAATTGCTGGCATTCGAGACACTCAATGAATCTTCGAAAAGAACGGGTTTAAGGTACTACCACATATGAGTTGGTCATGAAGTCGAATCGCATATCCGGCGTTAGAGCACCAACCGGCGGCTAGAAAAGGCTGTGGCTTTCAGCATTTCGAGCAAAGCAATGGGTGCACTGTATCACTGTAACTAAACATGTGCCAGCCCAATGCGGCTTCTGCATCGTTGGTAACTTTACCCGCGTGGTTCATCTGCTTCATCTGGTCTGTTTGTTTCGGACCCACCTCCCGGAATGTTGTGTATATGCACCTTGTGAATTGTACAGACGGATCTCGGTTGCCATAGTAGACAAAATTTGGTGTCTCCACATTGGGTTAGCGGACCTCGGTCCGTCACCAACATTTGAGAATGATCGATTAAGTTCTTGCCAAACTTTCATTCGGGTGCAAACCCCTTGAAACGTCAGTATACACGAGGCTTGCGTGTCTTTAACTTTGCTTTGTTTTCTGTAGATACGGCAATGAGAAAATTTACGTAGAAGTAATTCGATCAGTCCAGATGAATGTATGCAGGCTGCCTCATCGGCAAGCCACGTTGGACGACTCAGGGCGCTCCAGCTGTGCATGGTACCGCGGAGTTTAAACCACGATGTGGCAAAGCGAACACGCCTCGGTCACGACTTCAACGTTGGTGGCAGTCAGCGTGATTAACGAATACTGCGGCCCTCCAGTGAGTATTTAAACTAGGGTCACTTGCCTAGTGAGTATCCTTCTCATCATCCCTCGCTATCTGCCACTCACGGAATGTCACAACTCCCCCATCTACAGAGCTCGCCAGTCAATAACAAAAAGTCGTCAACAGAGCATTTCTCGAGTGCAGAACCCCTCTTGGCTGCATTCGACTATAAAGTACTTGTTCGGGAGATGAGGAATCAATTCATTGGATCTATGCCCCCTAGCTCTTTCCTGAAAGAGTTCTTGCCGAGGCTTGAACAAGAACCGGCCCTGCCCAAGGGTTACTACACTCTGTTTGCCAATCTTGAGGTCGGAGACGGTTTCGAAGAGAGATTTGTACGTGTTACAAAATATCCATGGTTTTGTGCGTCTGTTGACTTGCTCCTGCACACCGTAGGTACAAATGGTCGAGACAGCGGGGCTGTGCCCTGGTCTGGTCCTCGTCGACACACATGAGAATTACGACGCGAAGTACAAGCGGGCACCTGACATCTCAGTCTACAAGGATGTTCATGGCCAACCCAAAACCGACTTCCGGCTGATGGAGCTCCATATCGAGCGCAAAACGTTACATCAAGACCCGTTCAACGATTTACCGCCGCGTGCAAAGAAGGCGCTTCGCGACAAACACGTCTTTGAACACAACACCTCCAAGTCCAATCATTCCCGTGGCCAGATCGCTTCTTACACAGCCGCGCAATTCAACTCTCAAGCTAGGACCTTCTCATTTTCTATCATCTTCATAGATCAGTTCGTTCGGTTGATTCGCTGGGATCGAGCGGGAGCTGTCGTTACCAGCCGTTTCGACTGGAAGAGCAAGCCTCGAGATTTGGCGTTGTTTCTGTGGAGATTCACGCGTTCTTCCGATTCTGTTCGTGGATATGACACCTCGGTGTCAATTCCGACAGAAGACGAGATTCAACGTGCCAAAGTTGCTTTAAAGCAGCGGGCTCTTGAAGTTGCAATGGCTCAAGGTGGAACCGAAAAAGATATTCTGAACCCTCCGTATTCGTCAGACGAGACGTTTCAAAAATTTTGTGTCGTCGATGATGGCCCCGACCGGAAGGATCATTTCTTTGTGGCTTCTTCTCCACAGTGGTGTACCAACAGTCCCACCGGTAGGGGCACGAAAGGATACGAGGCACTAGACGTCGACACGGGTAAAGTGGTGTATCTCAAAGATAGCTGGCGCTACATCGCGGAGGGATATGAGAAGGAGGGCGATACTTATCGGCATCTCATAGACAGCAAGGTCGAAAGAATTCCGCGTCTAGTTTGTGCTAGTGACGTCGAGGGACATGAGACACGCACTCACGAGTTCCTTAGGAAAAGATGGTGCTGTCGTACATCTGCAGTGAAGCATCATGGACACCATCGTTTGGTGCTTGCGGATTTGGGACGTCCTCTGAGTCAGTACATTTCGACGAAAGAGCTTTCCCAGGTCATGTCAGATGCTATCGAAGGTGAGTACACATTCGATATCGCGCTTTCTTTCGATTGATCGTGGTATGAAATTGTAGCCCATCAACAGGCGTATGACGCGAAAGTATTACATCAAGATATTAGCGGTGGTAACATCTTGATCACGAACGAGGGTCGTGGCCTTCTTATCGACTGGGACCTGTCTCGGAGACAAGTAGGCGACGCGCCTGTGGCCAGATTGAGGACGAGGACTGTGAGTCTCCATTCGTTCATTGTGCTCTTGTGCCGCATTTACTAATCGATCTCTCAGGGTACTTGGCAATTTATGTCTTGTGCCCGTCTTTTTAACCCTGGAAAGCATATTCACTATTTCTGGCATGACCTCGAATCCTTTCTTCACGTTTATCTCTACCACACTATTCTTTATCAAGCAAGCAAGATTCCTGAAGAAGATTACCTATGGATTATCCCCCAGTTCGGGAAATTTTTTGACGGGTTCATTGCTGCACTGACAGGACCAGACATCGGGGGAGAGCTCAAGCTTGCGTACTTCCAACCCTCTACTACATGTTTTCCTCAAGACACCTTATCGAAATTCCTCAATAAACTTGTGGTCGACATCATCTCCGATCTTCGGCATCTTTTTATTCCAATCTATGCGCTTCGAGCGGCAAGCGATAGGTACCTCTCCGCAACGCTTCCCTCCGTGAAGGAGGCTCAAGAAAGCCTCAGGTCATCGAAATTGCTCCTCGATATCTTCAAATCCAAGTTCCCAGAAAAGGGCTGGACTGACGACAGAAGCGACGGCTTGTTCGGGAAACCGCCCGTGATTAAGAATGCCAAGCATCTCAGCAAACGAAAGGGCGGAGATGCGGAATTGGACGGCAACAAAGGTGGGCGAAAAAAAAAGTCTCGACAATCCCAAAATGTATCACGCGAAGCGTCTACTCTCATCTTCTCTACCATTGACGAAGCATCCGATGTCTTTGATTGATAAAGCATACTTGCGCTATGAATTACATCCCTTTCCCATCTCAAGTCAACCTTATGCATCGCTCATCTGTACCATACCTTGCTTCGATCCGGACTCAATGAATGTAACATCCTTCATATATGTAATAAATAACCATGCAATGAAAGGCAGACTTCTAACCTAAATAATTGATTGTCGGAGTCATATAATCGGTGGGGTAACGATGTGATGTGGGCGAATGGAGAACTCCTGCGACGAATCAGCCCTAACGAGGTTAGGAGTGGCAAGTCAAAGTGAAAGTCTTCTAGAATCTCATCTAAACTTGCCTCTGCCGCCTCGAGAGTCAAGCTAGCCCTAGAATAAAATAAGAGGATGATAAATGTTCAAAGGCACGATGGCTCTGAATCAGAATCAGTGTGATGACTGCCCTCATGTACCGCGCAATCGTTCCGAACTTCCCATCGAGATGTCAAGCTGCAAGTCAGACGTGAGTCATCCTTTTCTCCATTATTCTTGTTAGGTTTCAGATGAATGGAGAGTGGAAGCAGGGCACTTTATACTTAAATCTCCCGCCTTCCCAGGCATGCAAGCTACAGAGTGTGGGCAGACCAGAGACCGCGTCGAGGGCGTGTCCCGTGCTTCATATTACTGATCGACGAAACACGGCGGCGGGGGAAGTCAACGAGAGGGTTGATTGTTCACGCACAGAGCAAGATAACAAAATAGACAAAAAATGAGGGAATAAACAGAGAGTCACAACGAGGTATCCGAACAAAAAGCGTAAGTGGACGTGAATGGTCATAAGGTCATCGTATCGTGAAAATCGAGTTTAACACAGTATATATGGATATTTAGTTGAGAGCGAAAAGATAGATTATTCAACATAAGCAGAGGTCGACCGGCAAGGAAATGAGTGTTAGGCTTGGGTGTCGCAATCAAGGTGAAAAAAAAAATCAAATAGGTGGAGTTGAAGTCCAAACGCCCGACGAAGAGAAGCTGCGAATGAAGACAAAGACCGAGATCAAGAGAAAGACCGTTTCAAAGCTTGAAAAGGCTTGGAGAACCCATAACAGCGAGACCGGCCAGCGAGCCCAAAAGAAAGCCAACTGTCAAGACCTGAGCTGTCGGCCAGCCGTACGCTTCAGCACGACCCGCAGGACGACAGCACATACACCTAATCCAACGAACAGCACATACGAAGGTAACGCAGAGAACGAGTCGGGTTCAAAAATATCAGCCGCAGACGAGGTCGTGTCAGGTTGAGGGCGACGTCGCTTGTGTACACGCGAGACGACGCGAGAGAGCACCGCAGCAGGGCCAGGGACAGGTTTCGCTGATTCTGCGGGGAAAGATTGAGGCTCAGGTCGTATTTCGGGTAAATAGGCGGTGGCCAACGGGGAGGGGGATGCAGCCAATGCTTCGAGCTCCTGGGCCCGTTTCTCGACCTCGCGAAGCCGCGCGAGCTCTAGATCCAGTTGCGCTTCGCGCTCCGCTCTCTCGACTTCTGCAACGACACTGTTCGCTTCTCTCTGTGCTGTCTCGATCTTCCGTCGGGTCTCAAGCTCTCTCAGGGTCACCAACTCTGCGTCTCTCGTTGCCTCTCTTTCTTCCATCTCCCGCACCTTGCTTTCCACCTCCTCCAATCGACGTCTGAATTCCTCCAATAGGTCCCTGGTTTCTTTGACCTCTTGCACCATCTCCTGGACCTTCGCATTGCCGTCGTCATCGTCATCCCCATTGGCAAGGTCTTCAATCTTCACGTCTTCATCTAACGCGTGTTCCTCCTGGCTCGTCTCTTCGAGCGCAGGCTCGAATATGGCAGTGATAACTCTTCGTTCGTCCTTCGCACCACCTGCCTTGACCCTCCCACCACTACTGCTCCCAGAGCTACATACGCTTCCACTTCCACTACCTTCCTTGCGCACGGTTTCAAAGCCCTCAGAGTCCCCGATCTTCTTAACGGTCACGCCGATGTCCAGGTCCTCCCAAGCACGTGCGCCCCACGAGCCCGATGGCAGGTCCGAATGCTCGGCGAGCAGATCCTCGATACTTGGCTCTTCCTCGCTCTTCAGCCCAGTGGTTGTCGTTGTCGCCGCCACCTCAGCATGCGTGGACCCACTAGCTTCTACGCCATCCGAAAGATCAGGAAGGGCAGTGTTCATTTTCAGCGGAGAGGACGACACCGGGTCGTCTTCCACATCACTCCCGTCGATGCTGCCCGCACTTTCGCGCTCCCATTTATCAACCATTCCCTTGACTCTTCCTTTCTTGATTCGTAGTGCGATGGTCCGGCAAAGAGGCGAGCCCTGCTCTGATTCTGACATAGAGAGATCAAGAGAACTTGACGACGACGCATAGAGATTGGAAGAGAACGGATGAGACGCGGGAGGCTGGCCGGGCGTCGGCGAGGTCTCGCCGTCGGGAGAGCCCCAAATCCGGCCGCGCAGGACGTTCTGGCGGAGGTTGCGCGAGGCATTGAGTAGCGCCCTTCGCCAGAGCAGGCTCACACCCAACCTATCCGCGCAGCATGTCAGGAGAAATGATTCAAAGATACATCGTCACATCGTAGAATGGAACGTACGCTTCAAGGTCCTCCTCGCCCCAACGCAGGAAAACGCGCCCTGAGATCTTCATGTCGCGTACCCACGCCGCGATATCACGCGCGACGGGCTCCGGCACGGCAGGTGTCGTCGAAGAACGCACGCGCAGTGCGGAAGCGAGATACGCCGCGAGTTGCGCGGGGGCCCACAGCTTGGGATTGGGCTGGGACAGATCTTCGAGGGCAAGGCCCGCGGTGCTCGCCTCACGCTCTGCGGGATGGAGCGAAGGGAGCGTCTCAGAGCGCTTGAGGCGCCGCGGCGGGGTGTTCACATCGTCAGACGCGCTGCGTTGAAGGTGGGCGATTGAGTCTGGGAAAGGAATCGGCGCAGGCGCAGGAGAGGAGATGGAGACGCTGGTTTCGCTGCCAGACAAGCTCGTGGAGTAGCGATGGCCGCGATATTCTGACTTTCTCCGTGTTGAGCTGCGGGTCGGGCTAGTGCTCGGATGCGGAGGTATGTAGAAGTGTGCTATCTGCGTGCTGTGTCCGGACGAGTTGGACCGCGAGAGCAGAGCGGTGGATGTTGTTTTGATGGCATATGGGTGGGGATTTGGTTTGAGAGGGGATTCATGCCGCGTAGGTGACTTGAGTAGGAAAGGGGAGCCTGGTGGGGTTGCTGTCGCAGCGCTCATGTCGATCGTTGATGGTCGATGTGCAGGCGAAAATTTGGAAGTTCGGTCAGTCTATCACAATGGGTTTAGCACAAGGAGATCAAAATTCACCCTCACTTACTTTATATCCTGGAAAGAAACTATCATTGATAGGAAGCGAGGGGATGCGGATACGAGCACTCACTCAAGCACAGCTTAGATGGTACAGTTTGTTTCTTATTTGACTGCTTTCAACGTCTCGTCTGCAGTGGGTTCTCTAGGATATTGTGTTCAAGTCCGCACCGCGGTGATTGAAGGTGAGAAACAAGATACAGCCTGCGAGCGACGACGCTGGAGACGACGGACGGGAACAACTTGAAAGAGGACTGAGTTTAATTGGCACTACTTACCGGCAGGTATTACGTCATCGTATATTTATGTCGCGACACGTCGCAACACAGGCTCAACCACAACACTCACGTCCGATGAAGAATTTCACTCCCGAACTAATCGACTGTGTCTTAAACAATGGGCTAACCCATGCTGACCTCCTCGTCATGAGAGCGATCAACAAGGATATTTGTCATTTCTTAACACCTCGCATTTTTCGACAAGTGCGGTTCAGAGATACCTGGAAGAGTGCTGCAGCATTCGAGGAGTTGCCACTATGTCAAGATCCGGCTCAGCATATGAAGGAAATTAGTTTCCAGTCTATAGACGCAGATGATGAAGGAGAAGAGGTTTATATTGCAGAATTACAACCGGATGGTGGTAGGCATTCATCCATTTCCTTCGAATCCAACCACTATGACCTTCTCATCACTGCTCACAGACTCCTTCGAGGATATGCCACAGGAACGGGATCGGCCTTTAACGGCCGTCGAGGAGCAATCTCACTCGGCTTTTTCCAATCTTAACATGCTCCCGAATCTCAAATCTCTAGCACTGACATTCGACCCAAATTTGGAGTACATACCAAACCTACGTCGCCAAACCATCATTTTTGAGGCCATTGCACACCAATACCTACGCTCTCTCGAATCCATCATCATCAATAACTTTATGGCTGTATTCGCCCCGGTTTACAAAAGCCCTTCCTTCCTTGCCCTCTTCAACTCAGTGTCACATCTGCGCCTCATGATCTTGCCTCAGACTGATGGTGCGGTGGACAATCGCACTGATTTCTGGCTCCAGATAATCCAACGTCAAATTCTCAAGCCACGTGCATCCCTCCCCCAGTCCTTGGTATCACTCACATTCCATGGCCAAGCTTTCGACTCCGCGGATCCCGTTGGCTTCGATTCTTCGTTCAGCTTCCGCTCGCTCAAATTTTCTTTCCTCACATTTTTGTCATTGAAGTATTTTTTGTTCGGTGAGAAAGCCTCTGACGGAGTCGATTTTATCATCCGACACAAGGAGACACTTAGGACCCTCGAGCTCAAATCGTGCATAATCCTGCTGCCCTCGGCAGGACCGCGACGCTTCTGGTCGCGCGTCTGGACATGTTTCTCGAAGGAGCTGCAAGCTTTGACGTCGCTGCATGTAGAAGAGGAAAAAAATCATGTGAGGTATGGCATTGACGACGGCGTGCTATTCGAGCCCTTCACTTACGGGGAAGAGTTCGAGGATCTCATAGAGCTCCCTGATCAGAAGGAGGACGATCGGGCTCTTCAGTCCTTTCGCTTCGTCACGCGTCCTCTATCTTCACCCGCATACACTAATTCTCCCCGTCGTTCACCGTTGCTGACCGACGCTCAATTTTCATGTTAAGCTTTTTTCTCAAACTGCTTCCCCAAACGTTATATTTTGATGTGATTGTTGACTCGCGTTCTAGGTATGTACCTTTTAAATCGATCCATCCTACGTACCCCGATGCAGTATGCTCGCAATTTGGATTTGACTTGTCGATTTGATCGACGAGAAGTCTATACGCGGCTATCAGCCTCCAAGTGGCGTGATCATGTGGTCTTGGGGTTTTTCTGCTCCCGCGACGACTGAGCTATTTTCATTCCGCGACCCCAGCCTTCAAAACTTCACTGACAGCGATGGACTCAATGCCCCTCGAACTCCTTGACTATGTTCTCGATAATTTCCACGACTACTGGGGTCTTCTACCAATGAGAAGGATAAGCAGAGTCTTCTGTTATTTGGTAACGCCCCGCGTTTTCCGCCAAGTACGGTTCAGAAATACATTCGAGAGCATCGCAAAATTCAACGAGATATCTCAATGCCGAAATCTGGCGCCATTTGTAAAGGAAGTCCGTTCTCGAATAGCGGGTACATCTTGGGATGGGTACCTCTTATGAACAGCGATCGAAAGATGGTACGTGACCGCTCTTTGCATTTGAGATCCGAGAAGATGAGCTCATAGACATCCAGACTACCCCATCACACCTCAGGGCTTATTCGAGCCTATAACAGCTATGGAAACGCAACTGGCCCTTGCCTTCCTTGATATTGACACCTTCCAGAACCTTAGAGCTCTGTTCATAGTGTTTCCTCCAGTGGAGGATGATTACTTGTCAAATCTACGGCGACAACTTTTTGTTTTTTCTGTGTTATACGGTGTCGAACTGCATTCGCTCAAATTACTCACAATCAACAACTACATTGTCTTACTAGCCCAACACTACTGGGACCTTGACTTCTATTGCCTGTTTAACTCATTGTCACATCTACACCCTAGTGTCTTGCCTCAGTGCGACGACGGACTGGAACACTATGGCGACTTCTGGGTCGACGCGGTCCAGCTTCGGATACTGCGGCATGTCTCTCTTTCTCGATGCCTAGCATCCCTCTCGCTCCGTTCGGTATCCAACAACTACGATGATCCCATGGGTTCGCAATCTCGTTTAGTTTTGAAAACATTGGTTTTCCTTTGCTCGAGTCCTTTTCCTTACAGTATTTCTCGCTCGGTGATGAGATCTGTGATGGCATCGGCTTCATCAGGCAGCATCCTTCTATACTCTGGACTCTTGGACTCAATTCGTGCCCACTTTTGTTACCTTCCACGGGACCGCTACGCTTCTGGTCGGGCATCTGGAACTGCTCTGCCGAGGAACTGAAAGCATTGACGTCCCTGTATGGCAACCTGCTATGAAAACGTAAGCAGAAGATCACATTTTGCATACAGGATTCCTGGAACAGTTCTCAGATACTCAATTATATATCATCGTCTAGTATCCGATACTCGAGGGCAGACTTGACGAGAGACAATTCAGGGGCAGCAAGCATCAAATTATAGATTAGATGTTTGTTTATTGATCCTCAATTTCAAACCAATAAGCTATTACATTGGTCGAGGATGAGCTCAAAGATATGATCAACACCCGGTAGACACGTAGACTCGTACACAAGCTCGGCGATGTCGCGCGCAGACGCGACCACAGTGATGCACTGGTCGACCATATGGTCCGGGCACGCGGAGAGGTAGAGCACGTTGTGGGCGGCGGTGCGGCAGCGGCGCCTGACACGGATGAGGGCGGAGAGGTCGTGCGGGGCGACGTGCATGTAGACGAGGCTGAGCGGGATGGGGAACATTTTGCGCATGTTGCGGAGGATTGAGGGGAGAGAGCGTGCAGGGGCGGTTCCGGCTGGACATCGCCGAGCTCGTGCACGAGTCTACATGTCTACCGGGTGTTGATCATATCTTTGAGCTCATCCTCGACCAATGTAATAGCTTATTGGTTTGAAATTGAGGATCAATAAACAAACATCTAATCTATAATTTAATGCTTGCTGCCCCTGGATTGTCTCTCGTCAAGTCTGCCCTCGAGTATTGGATACTAGATGATGATATATATGATTGAGTATCTGAGAACTGTTCCAGGGGTCCTGTATGCAAAATGTGATCTTCTGCTTACGTTTTCATAGCAGATCACTCACGGTTGCCATATCCCTGCAAGTAGACGACGACGAAAGTTTTGATATGTATGGGCTTGAGAAAGATTCATGGTATGAGATATTCCGGTACGGGAGCTCCGAGTTCACTGAAGATCTACCGGAGCTCCCTGATCAGAAGGAGGACGATCGGGCTTTGGAGGGATTGAAGGCGTTGGTGCTTTCTAGGCGATTCCCATGACTGATATCGTGAGTGAGCAATATTTCAGATCTGTTTCTATCACGAATTCTCACTTCCCCGTTGGCCTGTAGCCGATGCTCCATCGTGTTGATGCTACTCGATTATGCTCGCTCGTGTTTTCACCCTTGTCGCATCTCTTGCGGACATATCATTCCAGTGAGTGTAACTTCCATTTTCAAATCGTTACCAAGGACATTAGGTTGTGTCGAAATTCTTCACAATTTTGAACACAACTTGCTGTATAGCTTGCAGAACCGGAAATCTTTTTGAGCCTTGACGCTGCACTATACATTCAGCGCCCAGCTCCCTTCGTTCGTACATACACCTCTACTTCATAAATACAGTCAAAAACGATTGCACACTGATCGTAGATCTGACCCATGTCGATGAGAAATGATCTCATCCGAACAAGATACAATGAGACAGGAGATACGACAGACTTATGATTCGCGATGCGGTTTGAAAAAGGAATGATCGCGGAAGGTCAGCGCTCAGCCTCCACCAAGAATATTTGACATGCACACTCACATCGCCGCCTCAAATTTCAGCCGGAATAGACAAACAACAACGATATCGCCGTCATCAGGAACTGCAAAGACCCGATGGTCAGACACGCCCTTCCCGCGAACGAACTACAGAGCGACAGCCACATACCACGTAAAAATACATATAATCGCCCTCTACCGCACTGCAACCCCAAGCCCCAGGCTCTCAGAAAGATCTGTTCGATACGGGCGCGGATTGTGGATGACGAGAGGGACGCGTCAAGAAGCCAATTAGGACGGCCGCGATGGCCGTAGTGATGATGTCGACCCCGAGCAGAGTGAGGTTGCGGGGGTCGAAGGTTGCTGGGGGGTTCATGGCGTAAGGTGCGGGGGCTTGTGGGGGCTGCGAGCTTGAGCCCCTTGCATCTGCGGCGTGCAGAATTTTATACCTAAATCAGTGGGGGACCATTGCTTCGCAGACGGCGTTGGGGTATGGGGAACTGTGGGGTTGCTCCCTGAAGCTGCACGCTTCGGTCCGGATCAGAGCAGCCCGGAGCATGAGCTGGGGCACTTATCAGCTCAGCAACGAAGATGGCGGATGCATTTACAATCGTGAAGATTGCAGGCACGGCATGGGGAGGGCTCTTGGAATAGACCTTCCACGCCCTTCTATGATCTCTAAGATCAAGCAAGAACGAAAAGTCTCCGAGACCTAACTATGGATGGGACGCACCCAGTTGATTCTCTGTTGAGGACACGCAGGCTTACGGCATCGCACGTAACCATGCATCTCGACAGCGATGCTCAGTCGAGGTGCCCGGTTCAAAGGATGAAAAACGTAACCTCTGAATCTGAAGGATGATGTAGATGAGATGTCAGCCCGTATAGGAAGATCTCTTGCGCCGATAAGCCCAGCCACTTCTAGCCTCTTTGCGCTGCACGCTCTTAAACGGAGTTAGGCTGCGAACCGCAGAAACGAACTTCATTGTGATACAGAGAGCTCAGCTAGTGCACGATCGATGCTCTGCTCGAAACTACAGCAACACCAACACGATCGTGCCAATGGCCGTCGCACCCAACACGGCGTATCCCGACTTGTATGCGCCGCTGAGCGACAAGACTGTAAAGAAGACGCGATTCGGGTTGAAGTTAACAGAGAAGAGACGAAGGAAGGCGTACGTTTTCCAGAATCCCACGCCAGATGCCGGAGACCGTTGAAGGAGTGGAATGCAAAAGGCGCGGCGAGGATTGTCTTGGCTGCAATCTTGACGGATTCAGGAAGAGCCTGGACGGTCTCGACAATGTTAGCGGTGCTGAAGGTGGAAGGCGCAATAAGGTATGCAAGGGAGAAGCCGTAAAGTACTGTATGACGAGAGTTGAAAGAAAGCGGATGTAAGGTCAGGGTGAGTAACACATAAGTTGTGCAGGTCACGCACAAACGCTCAATCCAGTTCCCGTCACGCGGTTCGCAATGGATCCAAGCCAGGTAAGTTGTGGTTGGTAGATGGTGAAGTGAGGGCTGGAGGGGCGTTTGATGCGTTGGGCGTTCAAGATTTGTTCGGAAGCCGAGGGTAGGAGCGATTGTGTCTGCACAGTGCTATGCGCGATTGAGACACGGTTTGAGTGGTGGAGATTGGTACGAGAATTGACACACTCACCGCTTAGGGAATGTGGAACGCAGAGCAACCTGGTTTCTCGCTGATTCTGATTCAAATTCTGTCGGAAGGTGACAAGCAGCGACACGACACACCAATTTTCGGTGAGAAAGCAGCACGCCGCAGCGCAGAGCCCAAACCGACGCGTGTGCAGTTCATAGTGGTAGAGAGTAACGTTGGCGGCTTTGACGATGGGAGAGAGCGGGACAGGCAACGCCTGTTCAAACTCCGATCGCGCCGTTCCGGGCTTTACATTTCACGTGCTCTCGCCCACACCCGACCCGTGGGTCCAACTTTTCCGTCCATCACCACACAGTACTTTCTTCCAGCCTCGCGGACGATCATAATAATAATTCTCTCTACGAGAAATTATCACTACTTTCTGCCTCCTCCTGTGTCTCACTTATGGACCTACAGACTTCTATGAGGACCGCGCGGACACGTCGCAATTGAACTTCGCAGCGGCGGTAGAAGAAACTAGAGATTTCCGCCGCACGCGGTAGTTGGACATGGAGCGACAATTTGAGTACGGTAGTATCTCTCCGTTCCTGTCGAATCCAAGCCAGAAATTCTACAGGCAACGACTGCAGTCCCACATCTGGGTTGGTACACTGCAAGAACATGTGAACTATTGCGTTGGACGCCGTACCCTCTGTGGATATCTCCACCCCACCTATGAGTCCAAGATGCAAATGGGACGGCTCAGCGGATCATACTCCACGACCATGATTAACAGGTGATGGCTATTCCTGGCAACTGTACAAGAAAGCAACGGATACTGCCGGGTATCTGATGCTCAGGTGCGTCCCATGGAAATACAGAGGGGTATCGGTTGGCAGTTGGCATTCTCTGAAGGACTCAGTATGGGGTAAGTAGGTCTACGCCTCTGTCAAATGTTTTTTTCTCTTCTCAAAGCTCTGACCATCCTTGATTTTCCAAAGTATGTTTGTCTTATAACTATCCGTGAAGCTTTTCGACTTCTCTTCACCTTGTGTCATAGCGCTGACCCAATCCTTTCCTTTGAGCCTTGGCTTATCACGTATTGCTTTCGCCAACACACACACGTGTTTCTTGAGTTTTGTTCCATAATATCGCTATCCAAGTAAACCGTCTGATATTGTATGACATCCCAACGGTCTAACAGTCATTCGGATGTGCTTGTAAGTTCGTCGTAGAAATCGTGAACCAGCAGATTTACCAGATTTACTTCCCAGGATTGGTGGCGGTCACAAGACCTGACTGTATCTTTCACGTACGTCTTGCTATTGTCCTCACATAATATGCCGTGCCAAGCGGTTCTATGCGCCTCGTGTGTGCTGGTCGAGTGATGTCCACAGAAAACTGGCTAAGGGCGAGGACAAGGAGGTGAAATTCAATTGCCTTTTCCGTCCACACCATCCTTCTCCAAGTCACGCTGTTCTTATAGCGAAAGGTAACTTTCGTCGAAGGCCTCTGCTCGCTGTGCAGGACGTCGACGGGACATTCGTATAAAAAGGTGCGCAAAATGAGGCTTTATCCTCACCAAAGCGCGCCATGTCCTCCCCATCGCCCGCAGACTCCTTCCCACTCGGATTCCAAGTCGATTTCGACGCTCAGTACGCTGGTATTGAGACCCTCACCTATGACGTCAATCATACTTTCACCTCTCCTGCCTCACCCGACCTCTCCCATACCTTCACAGGCCTCCAGGTCTCCTCGTCCCCAGAGCTATATTCCCACGGCCTCAATCCCCCTTTCCCTTTCCCATCTCCTACCACTTCAGAGACTTCCACTTTTGTCGCCTCGCCCTCATCCACCACATTCAATGTCCCCTCACCTTCACCCTCCCCACCGCGCAAGGCCACCAAGGCAACGCGCACGCCGAGGAAGGCTGCCCACAAAGCCTTGCCCCGTAACGACCCTGACCGTATCAAGCGCTCCCTGAACGCGTTCATGCTTTTTCGCCGTCATGTCACCTCTCAGAGGAAGTCGATGTTCGAGAAGATAGAGAAGGATCACAGCAATATCAGCAAGCTCGTGGGGTCCATGTGGCAGGAGATGACCATGATGGAACGTGATCCGTGGTTCGCCGCCGCCGCCACCGAGAAGCGCTTGCACCAGAAGAGACATCCTGACTACAAGTTCACGCCCGTTGCGCGCGACCGCAAGAAGCGCAGGACGAGGCGCAATGGGAAGGCGGAGGCTGACAGGATCAATGAGCTTGCGCGTCTGATCAATGAGGACAGGCCGGAGGAGGAGATCATCGCCATCGCAGCCTTGCACGCGAGCTACATCGCGAGCTTGTCTCAGACCGAGCGCGACGAGCGGCGCGAAGGCAAGGAGCAGGTGGTGAAGGAGCCAGTGGCGGAGCAGACCGAAGCATCGGCTTCAAGCACGTTCGTATGGGTGCCGGAGAACGCAGAGTTGCCTGCTGTTAGTGTTGAGGTCGACATCGAGCCTGCCGCCTTCGCCGATCCCATTCTCACTCCTGATCTGCTCGCTTCCATGTCATGGCCATGTGATATCTCCGTGGTATGTCTCTTTTACATCTGTCCCCTCTGTCTATTTTTTGATACGACCTTCGCATGGTTAGACTACCACAGACTCGGCTTTCCCTGAGGACCCTGAGTACTCCAACGCCTCAGCCGAGCTGGCGTATTTGTATCCCCCGACCATGATGGTCGTGCAGCCTCATGATGATACATCGTTCCTTGCTCAGTACACGGACACGCAGCATACCTACGATCTGTTCACTCCGGCGGCGTCTTTCTCTGAGCTCGAGCTCGCAAATTTGGCCGTCCAGGGCTACTCGCCCCAATTCACTGCACAAGGACAGTTGCATAATTCGTCCGAATACTACGACTTGCAGGCGGTGTCGATGATGAACACCGTAGAATCTTCGACTCCGACGCTCACCCAGCTGCCGCAGCCTAACGGCGGATGGGATAGCGGCGCTTGGTACTGATGTCCCCCTTCCCCATTCCAATCATGAATCTTTCTTTTCCCCATCTCTTCTCTTCCATTGTAATTCCCCTGCATTCCACACGGACACCCGTAGCTACTGTAGCCCTATGCCTTCCCCTATATTCCCGCCACTTCCTTGGTGCTTTATTCTGTATCGGTATCGGTTTTCCAAACGCTGGTGGCGAATTTTTCTCGGCTGGTTGGACGTGTCTTTCCTTTCAAGTCAATCTATAACGATGAAAACAAAACTGTTCTAACTACCGAAATCGCTGTGCACGCTGCAAACTTGCGAGCCCAGGAGATGTCAACGGCATAGCGGCACGGTGGATGCGCGCTTCACTTGGTCGGCCCGCCACCCGAACTGGCTTCCATTCCCACGGTACGAGGACGAGTTGTTGTTTTCCCAACAGCCGCCTGGACTTTCCTTTGCACTGTCTCTCCGTCGAGATACAGAAATGTCTCATCATATAGACATGAATCAACTTAGAATCTAGACTGAACTAGTCATTTGTGTGCGGCTTTCCAGGAATTGCGTAGACTCAAGGTGAGTCGTGACGTCGTCCGACCGGGATTCGGGACTTACTTTAAGTTTTCCTAATGCTGTTGATCTTTATGTCGCGCAGCACGTATGACAAGCACTGAGCAATACAATGATCTTGTCAATGGTTTCTCTTGGCACGTGAAGGGTCCGGGAGTCCTCGTCCTCGTCTACCCAATAACTCGGCAAAAGGATTTCAGATTCAAATCATAGAATTATTCGAGAAATCGGCCACATTTACGATATCTGAGCGTTAAAGAGAGCACAACGAGAAGAAACTGTGGTCCATGTTGAGAGGCATGATGCCAAAAGTTGAAATGCGACTGACGGCGTCCACCAAGCTCACGATCTTCATGAATCTTTTGCGGGCCCGCCCGAGGAGTACCCTGTGAGTAGCACTATTGCTTGTATACGTACACTGATAGCACTCCAATAGCCTTATTTTCTGTGGTGCGCAAAGGAGAGGCTAACCTGACAATGTGCACCAACGTGACTCTCTAACTTGTATGGACCATCTTTCCCTCACGCGCGTGACTTTGCATCTTGTAATCCGTCAATTTTGGCGGATCCCATCACCGCCGTCGAAATATTTCTCCCGAAACAGAACACAATCGGCCACTCACAAGATGCGATGTCCACGAAACAGCCTCCTTGTTGTGTATGTACCGTAAATTCTCTTCTTGAGTGGAACACGAGATCACATGGAGGGACTGATGCTCTGTTTTTTTCCGATGTATTTGTCGTCTTCAGGCAAGCTCTTTGCTAGATTGAGCTCCTCAAGTCCTGCATCAGGACGCATAGCCGCTGGCGCGGATGCTGTTTGCTGAAAGGGTGACTTCCGTGTCTCTTTTAGGTGCTCCAGTTGCAGCTCAAACGTTGACGAAGCGAGCGCCAGAGCTCCGAACATGTGGACATCGACTGCTCGTCGTGCCACATTATTGATTGGTCGGACGCCATTTACACATTGCTGCAGAACCCTCTCACATGCTAGCGGCTCCCCTTTCCATGACCAGTCATGTCTTCTGATGATGCACAATATACATACGCAACACTCAAGCCCCTCATCATCGCTCTTGCTTGTGAGACTGGCTTTTACGGTTTTTAGGCTCATCATTGCGTGTTGCCCATGATTCCAATTTGGTCCACAGTACTCTCCATACTATCGTTCGCAGTTTCGACCTACATTCTCGTGTGAGTCGCTCCTTTGAGAAGGGCATATAATGATATCTGACGTCTTCAAAGCCGGAAAGGTTTCAAAATAAGAGCAATTTTCGTCCTGTGGATCACAGCGTTCATCATGTTCGCAGTCTCGACCTGTCATCTGGTTCTGCAGTGGGTAGACGACACGGACAAGATCTCAGCCCAGCTCAGCCCGGATTTCATCTATAGTTCCTTGAAAGGAGTGATGCCCTCTGTGATTTTACTCATACTTATTGTCAATGTAAGTCGTTTGGTCTCGTACTGGTCTCTCCTGATCATTTCGCAGTATTTATTAAGCGACGCAATCGTACTCTGGGGGGTCTGGGTTATGTGGGAACGTAGCGTGAAAGTCTTGATCTTCTCTGTGCTATTTTCGTTGTCAAGCCGCAAGTGGCCGTTTCAATTCCGAATTATTCACGGATGACCTGTATATCAGTGGGTGCCGGTGTATATATTTCCTCCGGCAAGACCAGTACCGTGGAATCGGTTAGCGTCTCTGTTTCGACACTGGGTATCAATCTTATCACTACCATGCTCATGGCGTGGTCAGTGTGTAGATCGAATGATATCCCGTTGCTCGAATCAACGTAGTCACAGGCAATACCGTCGGCAACTCAAATCTCACCTAAACGGTACGGAATATAGATCTCAAGTCGGATCTGTTCTTGCTCTCCTTGTCGAATCCGGGACCCCTTACTGTGTGATATGGGTGAGCGGCATTGTACTCGGCGGCGTGTGTGCCTCTCACACGACGCACTGTGATGTGACAGATCATCTTCCTCGTGACCTAGTGCTCTGTTAGCAGTAAATTCAATAGCACTACCGCGTCTGTACTCGAGATCCTCCCGGCCATCGCAGTACAAGTATCTCTGCGTTTCCCATCCCTCTTTGATTGATAAATTTCAACTTACCTCGAGCAGGGGATCTATCCAACCGCGGTGATCGCCTTGGCAGCGCGCCAGAGGACCACTTGGGACATGAGCATCGGGAAAGATATGTCTTAGAACGCGCCTCACACAGAGATGCGCTTGGCGACAAGAGCTACTCGTTCCGGCGTATCGACAGCTGAGATTGGTTACCATCACCTGATACCGTTTGTTGGTCAGGGACCCCATCCCCATGCGTCCGAGATTGCAGCGAGAGATGGAGAAGTGCAGTCTTATTGGACCATGTATTCACAAAGGTGAACATACATTATCAATCCTCGCTCGACGAAAGCTGCTCTCTTCTTCAGAAGCGCACCAAGGGGCTGCTTCTTATGGTGTCTCAGGCCGCGAACAACAGTCCAACAGTGTCGTGCTTCGCGATGGGAGCAATGCACACCGGACGGACAATACAAAGGGGGTATGATTTCGTTCAAGAATGTTGTCAGATGCGAATGCACACGATATGCTACTACTTGCGACGACCAAAAAAGTCAGATGGGGAATGGGTTTTAGCAGAACGAAGCGCAGGACTAGGAAGGCATCAATTTCGACGAGACGGGCGCATCCAGGGCGATGCTGCATGCGTCTCTGACTTGTATCAAAAACGACCTCGACGTACGTATCCTAGCACCTGTATACACAGACATCAAACAGATCTGACCTGGTCTGCAGCGAAGCATTGAAGAAAGCACATCGGGGAAGCAACCGTGATCCACGTCGAGAGACGCGATGTTATCCTCGATTTGTGCGCCAACCATTCAACTCCTACCAGTCATCTTTCTCTCACGCGCGAAGCATCATTCGATCTGTCAATTTCAGTGGGCCATTATCATCGCTGTTGCCATCAGCCATCGAACAAAACACAGGTTATCACCGACTTCAGTGCAACGTCCATGAAACACCGTCTTTGCACCGGGCGTATCCTTTCTGAGTGCAAGGGTTCATTTAGAGCGGCAGCATGCAGCCGGGGTCTTTGCCGAATTGAGCAACTCTAGACCAGCCTGCATCAGGTCGCATGGCTGCTGGCGCGGCTGTTCGAGTACTTTACTAAAGAGGCGATGCGGCGTCTTCCTTGCCTCTTTAGGTGCTCCAATTGCAGCTTCAGCATTGAAGAAGCGAGCGCCAGTGCTCCGACTATGTGGACATCACCTATTCATCATGCCACGGCATCGGTTGGTCGGACGCCTTTTATACACCGCTGCAGAACCTTTACGCTGATTAGCTCCCCTCTTTGTGACTAGTCATGTCCTCCCAAGCGCAAGACGCATACGCAACACTCAAATTCCTCGTCATCGCTTTTGCCTGCGAGACCGGCTTTTACGGTGCGTGAGCTTCTGATCGCGCGCTGCCCATGATTTGAATTCGGTCCATAGTGCTTTCCATACTATCGTTCGCAGGTTCGACCTACTACCTTCTCGCGTGAGTCGTCCCTCCGCAGAACGCATATCAGGATTCATTGACGTCGTAAAAGTCGTAAAGGCCTCAAAACAAGGGCAATCCTCATCATGTGGATAACAACGTTCATCATGTTCGCGGTCTCGACCTGTCATTTCCTTTTGCAGTGGGTGGGTGGCATGGACAAGATCCGGACCGGGCTCGCCAGCAGTTTCCTAGAGGATTACTATGGAGAACAGTTGCTATCCATTGCCGATATATACCTACCCATCGTTAATGTGAGTCCTTGGGATTCATGGTTTTCGACACTGATTGCTCATTTCGCAGTATTCGTTGAGTGATGGAATCGTACTCTGGAGGGTATGGGTCATGTGGGAACGCAGCGTGAAAGTCTTGATATTTCCTGTCCTGTTTTACTGTACTCGTAAGTGGCTCGTTTCAGTTCACCGCCATATACGTATCACCTTGATATTAGTGGCTGCTGGTCTATATATGTCCTTCAGCAGGCTCGGTATTGGCTTAATCTATGCCTCGACGCTGACTACCAACATAATCGCTACTACACTGATGGCGGTGAAGGCATGGTCAGTGCGTTGATAGAATCAAGTCGTACTGCTCGAACCAACACACTCACAGGCAACACCGTCGGCTGCTCAAATCTCACCTCAACAACACGGAATATAGATCCTGGGCTCTATCTGTTCTCGTTCTCTTGGTCGAATCCGGGACTCTTTACTGTGTGATATGGGTGAGCGGCGCTGTGCTCATTGACGGCGTGTGTGCCTCTCACGCGACGCATGATGCGACAGACCATCTTCTTCTTGACCTGGTGTTTTGTCTCCAGCAACTTCAACGTCACTTCTGCGTCTGTGATGGAGATCCTCCCGGGCATCACGGTCCAAGTATCTGTGCGTTCTTCATCTCTCCTTAATTGATAAACATCTCAACTCATCTCGAGCAGGGGATCTATCCAACCGCGGTGATCGCCCTGGCAGCGCTCCAGAGGACCACTTGGGACATGAGCGTTGGAAGGGACATGTTTCATAACGCACCGCACGTCGAGATGCGCTTCGCGACCAGGGATACTCGGTCCGTCTCATCGACAATCCAGAGTGACCACCGCCCGACACCATCTGATGACGAGGAACTCCACGCGTCCGAGATGCGAGCGATGAATGAAGAGGCGTAATCTTATTGGACATCTGTTCCTGCGGACGAACGTACACTCGCGCGCGACATGAACACTTGCTTCATGTCTTCGAGACGGAGCACACAGCGTTCATCGCAGAGCGTGCCAAGGGACCGTACATTTCTTCAGGGCCTCAGGCCGCGTCTCGCATTCGTCCGACACCATTAGGCCTCCCGACCTGTAGACATCGAAGCGGAGCTGACATGGTCAGGCTGCAGCGTAATTATATCCAACTTATGAAACCAACCGTGTCGCTTTGAAGACCGGCAGCCGGGATCAAAATCGGGCGTGTCTGAACTCTCTCTGATGACTTTCTTGACAACAGGACAGGCTACTGACTCCCTCAGGCTCCCTGGGTCTCTCTACGTGCGTGCTCGCCTCCAGCTACATCTTCTATCAGCTTTGGTCGCCCCTCTGTCTCTATCACTCGCGCTTCGACACCGCTTTCTCCTCTGGAAGATGTACCAGGAAGTCTCCAACGCAGAACAAGCTGTATACAAGACGATCTCTACGGCCAACCCTCCTGCGAGGCGCCGCGCTCTGGCGAACGTCGGCAATGCGCTCTCCTTGGAACAGCCTCGAGTCAGAGCCTGCATCGGCCGACAAAAGCGCCATACTCTCCTCCCCTCCAGCACGCGTACCGCGCCCTCGCATCCCACCGCACACTCAACGACTCGAAAAGCTCCCACCCCCATCCCTCTAAAACCGCGCCTCACTCGCGTCCCTACCGCTTCCAACCCGCCCTCACACCCCGCTCCCATCCGCGCTGCTGGCGGTCCTACTCGGACCACGCAGCCGAATCGACAGCAGGACGGAAGCGACGCGCAAGCCCTAGAAAACCGCACGGGCGCCCTCAAGCCCGAACGGAACGCCCCCCGTCTCATCGTCCAGCGCGGCCGCGGGGCGCCCTACACCACCACACACCCTGCGCGCACGTCCGCGCGCCGACTGTCGCTTCCACACAACGCCGCCCTCCCGCTCCCGCTCCGCGAGCAGCGCCCCGTCGACCGCGCGCTCGCTGCGCGGGACATGTGGCCTGCAGGGCCAGCGAGACGCGCGCAGGGCGAGCTCGATCGGCTATCCGTCGAGCAGCAGCTCCCGACGCCTCCGTCCTCTATGCGCGTGCGCGGACCCGGCGTGCACGCCCTACTGTCCGGCGCTGCAGCCTCTCAGCCTGTCTCGCTATCGTCTCCGCCGCTGCCGCCGCCGCCGCCGCCGCCGCCGCCGCCATCTGCGGGTATGGCCACCAGCCTCGTGTCGCTGATGCGCAGCCTCTCGGGTCAGAGGAACAGCGCGCGCGGGGGGACGGAGGATGGGTGGAATGCGGAGGGCGCTGGCTGCAGCTTCACGATGGAGCTGGACGAGACTAATAAAGAGACGCTGCTCGGCCTGACGCTATCGGGGCTCGGCGCGCCGGCGTATCCTGCGTCGCCCGATGTGGACTCTGATTTCACGCCTCTCGCGGGGGACCGCGGGACAGAGTGGAGCGCTGGGAAACTGGAGGCAGTAAGAAGGATCGAGGCGGTGGGGGTAGGCGGTGGGGCGGCGTTCGCGGCGCGGGACGAGGTGGAGAGGGCGATGGAGAAGGTGTGCGAGGCGTGCTTGAGGCTGTGCAAGGAGTGGGAGGCACTGGACGCTCTGCTAGGACGGGCTGATGTCGCGTGATGAGGGACGTACCGTGCTCGGTAGCGATCAAGCGTGCTGCAAAAATGTATTATCTTGCCCGAAAGCGAGCGCGTTCTCGTCCCGTGACCGCTGCGCCCCGTCCCGTGACCGTACCCAGTCGACTGCTTATTTGGCTTTCCCCTCTCTGCTCCCTCCACATGGTTCGCTTCAAAGTACGCCCTGCTTTCTCCTCTGCACAATCACCAAACGCTCACGCCCACGAATAACTCGCGCAGAACCGCTGGATCCTCGTCGAGTTCCTGCCGGCCCCAGGCGATCCAGAGCCTACGCGCGGCGCCGTCGAGCTCACCGGGAAGCACGTCTGGGCGGCCCTGCGCCAGAGCGTGATCGCGCACTTCGGAGACACGGGCTGGGGCGCGGTGGGTGCGTCCCTCAGCGGTACGTCGTGCTTCCCACAGCGGTCGAAGGAGATGGCAGGATCTGACGGCTCTCGCGCGCGCGCGCGCACAGTGAAGTACTTCTCGCCGACGACGAACCTCTGCATCGTGCGCGTCGCGCGCGAGCCGTATCGCATCGCGTGGGCCGCGGCGACACTTCTGTCCTCTATCGAGGGCAGGCCTTGCATCCCCAACGTCGTGCACGTCTCCGGTGCGCACTTCTTCGTGTGTGATTTTGTTGTCTTTTTCTTAACTGTGCGTAGGCACCATTAAACATGCCCAGCTGGCTGCCATCGAGCATAACAGGACCGTGATCGCGCGGTACAGGGCCAAAGCGAACACACCCGGTGCGTGATCCCTCCTTCGTTTCCACTCTCTTCACCGCCGGGCTCACGCGCCCCGCCCCGCAGCCGCCTACCAAGACTCGTACGCCTCGTACCTCGAAACGAGCACCCAGGAAATCGAAAGTCTACAGGACTGACGCATGCCCACGTCGGGGTTCTACATTTACATAAGTTATGAAGAGGCGCGCTACAGCTTGGACTCGAGCAGCCCCCCGACGGCGCTGCCCATGATGCGCCGCGTGCCGTCTCTCCGCGCGCGGCGGCGCTCCTCCTCGACGGCGCGCGCCCACTCGACGACGGCGCGCGCGAGCGCGAGCACGTCCGCGCGCGTCGCGCCGGCGTTGAGGCAGATGCGCACGCGGTCCTTGCCCTTGGGGACGGTGGGCCAGGTGATCGGGCGCGCGTTGATGCCGCGCGCGAGGAGGAAGGCGGAGAGCGGGCGCGGGAGGCGCGTGAGGAGGGGGATGATGGGCGTGGGGAGGCTCGTGGGGGACGTTGCGGGGTCGGTGGAGAGCGGGCTTTGGAGGTGTGGGGGGAGCGAGAGGATGGAGGGGTCGATGGTGGCGAGCTCGGCGCGGAGGAGGTGGAGGAAGTAGGCGCAGAGGTCGAGGAGGTGCTTGGAGAGCTGTAGAGCGGGTTTATTTTATTTTTATTTTTGTTGCTGTGTGCATGCATGTATATGCGTGCGCACCTTTTCTGCGGTGCCGTTCTCAAGCATGTCGAAGGAGCAGCCAGCGGCGATGATGTTCGCATGGCTGAGCGACGTCGTGTAGATGAGCGGGCGGGCGTAATTGAGCAGATAATCGCGAACGAGAACGCTGGTGAGCACGACGGCTGCAATGTGCCCGTCAGTATTGCGCTTCCCCGGGTGAGCCGCATCAACCGCGCACCTCCGCTGGCGGCGAGGGCCTTCCCAAACGTGTGCAGCCTCGCGAGCACCTTGTCCTCGAGCCCGAGCATGGCGACGACCCCGCGCCCCTGCGGGCCATAGATCCCCGTCGCGTGCGCCTCGTCCACGACGACGTGCGCATTCCCCCGCGGCAGCAGCTCCTCCGCCAGCGCCACGATCTCCCGCAGCGGCGCGATCGTCCCGTCCATGCTGTACACCGTCTCCACCGCGATGAACACGCTCCCCCGGCCCTCGCGCAGCCCGCGGTGCTCCGCGAGCAGGCGCCGCAGCACACCGCGCAGCGCCGCGACGTCGTTGTGCGCGAACGACAGGTGCGCCGCGCGCCCCGCGCGCACGCCGTCGTGCACGGACGCGTGGATGTGCTCGTCGTGCACGACGGCGTCGCCGCGCTGCGGGACGCACGCGAAGAAGCCCGCGTTGGCGTCGAAGCCCGAGTTGAAGAGCAGCGCGGCGGGCGCGCGGAAGAAGGCGGCGAGGCGCGCTTCGAGCGCTGCGTGCGGCGCGCCGTTGACGAGCAGGCGCGAGCCGCCGGAGCCGAGGATCGCGGGGGCCGCGGCGAGGCGGGCGAGCAGGTGTGTGCGGAGGGTGGGGGAGCGCGCGAGCGCGAGGTAGTCGTTCGAGGCGTAGTCGGCGTACGGGGGCGCGGTGGGGTCGGTTGGGGCGGGGAGGCGGCGGCGGATGTGGCGGTCGTCGCGGGAGGCGAGGGCGGCGGCGAGCTGGGCGTCGAGCGAGGACATCGTGGTTGTCGTTGCGGCTGTTGTTGAGCGTGCGCATCGGCGACGGGCGACGCTGCTGCGTGCGTGGCCGCCGGCGCCGCGCTTGGCGACTCTGCGCGCATTTTTTTTTCTCGGCGGCGTCGGAATCGGATCCAGCACGATTTTCATATTACGGAAAAAAAAAATACAAAGTACGGCTACCGTCTGTCATATATAAGTCTAGACGTACATGTAATAAGTAAACAGGACGGATCGCGGGCGTAAGTGAGTAATGGCGATGGAGCTATCAAAGATTGCAGCCGTGAAATGAAGCCTGATATGATGATCGTACAGCATAGCAGTCCGTGTCCGCGGGCGGATCCACCCAGAAAATAAGTGTGTATGTAGAGATCACTCGCAGAGCCCGCGTCTCTGCTGATCAGCCATCTTCACCAGTATCATGATGCAAGCCTGATCCCCGCTCCGTCTCACACCCAATCGGCGCGACCCTGGGCGCCTCCTCCTCTGCCGCCTCCTCCCGGTGCGTCTCCGCGTCTCGCACTAGCACTCGCTCGCTCCCGCCCGCGCTCACGCGAGGGGCACCATCTCGCGCCCGATCCACTCCACGTGGAACTGGCGCCAGTCGTCCGTGTTGGCGAGCTCGCAGGAGATCGCGTCCGCCGAGTCGGTGCTGTCCGAGTACTTGTGCTCGCTCATGCGGTACGGGTGCGACGGCAGGCAGATCGGCACGGGCAGCGACACCGGGCGCTCGCGCAGGCGGCGCGGCGAGTCGTGCGTCGAGGACGCAGAGAAGGAGAGGAAGTCGTCGTCTTTGGCAAGGGCGGGGATAGGGGGGTGCTGCTCCGTGAGCGTGATCACGAACGAGCGAGAAGGCGAGGACGGGTCCAGGGCGCCCGTCTTTGGCCGGGGGTCCTCTTCCTCGCTAATAGCAGAAGGGGCAGGCGGTCAGCAAGTGGTGGCGCGCGGAGCGTGGGTAGGACGGCGCGCGCGACGTACATATGGGTGTGCAGGACCGCCGCGGTCGAGCCCTGCGCGAGCGGGCTCTTCTCCCCGATCCAGACGCTGAACACGTCCGCGGGCGCGGCAGTCGCTGCGGGCAGCGTGCGCCGCCGCGCTGCCTTTTTCTCGTGCAGGCTGGGCTCCGCCGCGCCGGGGCCGTGGGTACTGGTGGGCGCCTTGCTCGGCGTGCGGCGCATCGACTGGAAGAGCGACTTGAGGGCGCGCACCCTGAACGAGCTGCTCGCGGGATCTGTCTCTGGCGAGGACGGGATCGAGCTCAAGCTCGATGCGCTCGGTGCGCTCGGGATGGAGGGCACTCGGCGGCGGGTGTGGGCCATGACGCGCAGGCCGGAGAAGAAGAGGTTTGAGTAGTCGCCTGGAATCATGTCTGGGGGTCGTGTGGAAAGGGTCGTACGACGCGGCAGTCGATCTTGTTTCAGACGTGAGAGGCGGTGCGATCGTGGTTCCTGGGAATCCTAGCTGGCGCGCGTTTCCGATGCCTGCGGGGGGTGTATTAGGGACGGGGGTGTATGGCGGGCTGGGGACGCACGAGCCCTCGGTCTATTATACAGAGGCCAGCTGAGCGTCTGCGCGGAAGCGACGAGCTTGATAACAACGCACCTTGCCACCGCCTGCCCCGAAATAGAAGGCAGGGATCAGCCCGGAGATGCGACACCAACAAGTATGGGGATCAGGATATGATTTTAGCCGTGCAACCCGGCCGCGATCAAGACAACGATGCCCCAAACAGCACAAGGCGGTGTGGGCCCAACACGCTCTGACCTGGGCTCACTTCCGGCGGGGGCGATGTCACGGCACGATTGGAGATCCACGCACAACGCAAGGGCGGAGAGGCGCCGAGGCAGGTGTTGTCGTTCGTCGGTGACAAGACGTCTCAGAGGCGAGGCGGGACCAGTACATATACGCACCTGGGCCTTTTGTGTCGGAGCTTGGATTGGACAGGAGAAGGTGGGCTTCGCCGAAGAGAAGGTGATCCGTCGAGATTCCTGCAGGTGGGCCCCAAGGAACCTCAGGCCAGCGGGATCGCGCCGACTGAGCGTCAAGCACGGGCAGGCGGCGAGAATCACGAGCTAGCCAAGGCGAGCCATTTCCTGTGTCGCGAACAGTTTGTTGTCCTTTCGATGCGCACAGGGGGTGGGAGGGCGATGGAAACAGATGCGGCGAGGCAGCGTACGGCAGGCGTGCTACGCACGACGCCCAGCCCCAGCCAACGACAGATGAGGTGACAGAAGCGGGCGACGGCGTGTATAGCCGCATCCCTACAGCGCATCCGGTCAGACGCGAAAGATGACACTCCCGGGTGGCACTGTGGCACATCGTCACACGCGATCTGATGACTGAGAAGACGAGGGAGAAACCGCCGCCATATGGAGATGCGGAGGGGCCTGTTGGCGCTCGCTGCGTGGACAGCTGCGCCACGCCACGACCGATCGCAGAATTTGGGTTGCTTAGGTGCGTCGGACCTGTTCTGGTCTTCAGCAGGCCGTCATCATGTGGGAGGGCGTCGGTGGCCAAGAAAAACAACAAACGGTGACACGCTTCCCGCAGTCGAGCGTAGACGCCCCGATGATCGAAAAACCGCGCCGCGGAGCCTATATATGTCATGACCAGAAAAGCATGAATGGAGCATGAATGGAATCCAACACACACCAAGAACAAAGCAGATCATGATGCTGTGAATCCCTTGCGCACGAATCAAGGTCATCTTCAGAGACGCCGCGCGATGGCAACAATCATACCGTGCCTCATTCAGCTGGCGCGATGTCGTGAATAGAGTCGGTCACATGGGTCAGTCAACACATCGTGGACGACATTGGCGGGAAGCAGGCATCTGAGAAGAGCGGATACGCCGCCACGCGGGCTCATCATGCGGGGAGGGTAAGTAGCGCTTAGGCCCAGATGTCATTCATTCATTGCAGCGGTTACAAGCGTGCTCGACGCATGCTGTATAGCCATTGTGCGCTAACAGGATCTGATGAGAATAGCACTGAATGATCGACTGAAGTGAACGGAGGTGTCACGTTCACGGGTAAGACGGGGTGGCTATAGGGGGAAAAGGCAGAGTGATATGATACATAATCTTGGAATAAGAGTGGAGATGCTGATGCACTGGGACTTGGAAAGATGGAGGTGAGCCAAGACATGGACGACTGAATGTGGGGACGCACAGGACGTTGGAAAATGGGATACAGATATATTGCCGGTCGCGGTGCAGGGTCGTAAACGGAAATGAATGAAAATCAAGAAGCCTTCCGCTTGGCCTCCTCGGCCTGCATATTCGCCTGCGCGAGGATGGGTTTCTGCTGCTCGGCGAGGACCCGACGCTTGTTAAAGTAATCCACCTGCGAAATTAGAAAAGCAGGCATCGTCATGGCTGTGCCTCGATGGACAGACGGAGAGACGCGTGGCAACGCGTACCCAGCTCTTCGCGCAGTTCTGTTGGAAAGCCTGATTCTGCGCGTTGCATCTGTCGCCTTCGCTGCCAGGGACGACCACCTGCGCCGCGTCCAAGCAGGAGAAATAGAGGTCTCTTGACTCCCAGCATTTTTTGCGGTCGTCGCGCGAGGCGGCATTGGGCTTCTCGGGCTCAGCGCGTGTGAACCAGCCCATTGATTTTCGAAGCTGAGGGAGGTCGAGAAGGGGAGGGGGAGAGAGGAACGGACGACGGCCGCGACGGTGAATTTGGAAACGCGCGTGTTTCCCACGTGGCCCCCGCGGTTCATGAGCGCGTCGACCCGTCTGCTGCTGCTCCTCTCCACAACTCACCTCCAGCATCGAGCGTGCTTTTCCTGGCCCTGGCTGACCTCAACGCACTGTATGACGACGCCGACGGCTTCCCCGGCGCCAGCATCGACCCCGGTCCACCTGCACCCACTATCGACGGAAGAGCCGCCGCCCAAAAGCCGCCGCACTCGCACTTCTGGGCAGCGGCAGGGCGACGCGCCGGCGTCTCCGGAGAGCGCGACTAATACACGCTCGCCGAACTATTTTGCTCTCAAAGCGCAGCTCGAGGCTGGCACTCGGGACGGGCGCGGGAACTGGGATGGCAGCGTGCGGGGCTATGGCAAGGCGAGCAGCCGAAGCGCGGCGCATGAGCCCATGCTCGCCGACTTCAGCGCGGGCGAGGCCGAGAGGGGGGAGGGACGGCCAGCGCTGCAGGATAGGCGCCGGCAAGCGCCCCCGCTTTTCGTCGTGGGGTCGTCGAGGGACGCGTACGTCGAATCGGAGCTGAACTTGGGAGAGGTGGACAATCACGATTTGAGTCCCGAGGCGACTGCACAGATCCTGGCGACGCGCTGGCACGACTATTCTGACGAGGCGATCCAGTCTTCCATCTCTGGCTTCAGCATTTCCTCATCCCCTGCTTATGCGTCGGCGCACCCGTATCACTCCGCCCTGCGCGTCTTGTCGTCGGCGTATCAGAACCTCACGCGAGTGCGCAGGAGGCTGGAGGAGGAGCGGAAGCTCCTTCGGGAAAAGGAGGACGCGCGGCGTCAGCGCGCAGACGAGCTCATGAAGGAGCTGCAGCCTTCAGAACAAGACGTCGCCAGGCGCGTGCTCCAGTCCCTCTTCACCGATGACGACGAAGGAGAACACAGGATACAAAGAAAGCAGAGCCACATGGTGAGCCGCACGCTCTCGCCTCGCACCCACGAAGCTGATGTACCCCCAAGTCTCTCACCGAAACCCTTTCGGAGGCCATCTTGGACGAGGTCACGCTCATGCGTCCAGAAGACCCCGACGAAACGATCACACCCATGAATTCGAAGATCACAGTGACACCTCCTGCCGAAGACGGATCGCTGCCCATCAACGGACTCGATGCCGTAGACGGACGATCCATCACCTCTCCTGCCGATCCCGTTCTACCAGACGACAGCAGCTCTTATTCTGTTGGCACCACGAGCGTCAATGCCCCGAGCTTCGAGACAGTGGGAAGCTCGAGGTCCGACAAGTCGTCTATCGGCGATTGGATGGGCTCGTGGTGGAGCAGACCTCGGACCAAGAGTGGGCGCGTGACCTTGACCGCGCCCGAGGAGAATGTCGAACAGCAAGGAACCGCAGATCTCGCCGTGCCATCCCCAGCTGAATCTGAGGCCAGTTCTCTGCCGGACGTGACAGCTGCTGCGGCCAAGCCCGCGAGGCGCAAGAACAAGAGCGTTTTCGGCACCCTCGGATTCTCCATCCTCAATCCGACGCTCACGTCTTCCACCAAGAAACGACGCAATCTGTCCGTTTCCGACGCCTCGTCCTTCCAAGCTTCCCCGAGCCTCGATCGTGCCCCGCCCTTGGTGCTCAATTCTCCAGTCCAGGCCGCGTTTACGGCGCCTGCCCCTGTGGCACCCGCCCTAACGACCGAGCTGCAGACGTCCGTCGTCAACTCCCCGGCGCCTTCCACCGTATCCCCATATAGTCCAGGTGAGAGGCCCCCTCAGGGTTCGTCATTACGAGCCATCGTGCAAGCTACGCGTGTCATGACCTCCGATCCGAGCAGCGTGCTTGCGGACCAGGGAATCGAAACAAGTCCGTTCATCGCTAGCCTGGCCCTCCGGCTCGTCCGGGAGGCGCGAGAGGAAGGCCTTGAGATCCGTGAGGTGCCCAAGGAAAGGAAGGAGAAGAAACAGGACAGGGACGCCGCGGGTGAACATGGAAAGCCTACGGCCACTCTATCCAAGTCGAGCGAAAGCGATGTGACAAGCAGCCTCAACCGCGCCCTTGCCGCGGAGGAGACCACTGCGCGGAAGGCAACAAAGGCACGGATGCCCTCGTTCACTAGCCCCATGCTGGGCTCGCCGCTGTTCGGCTCCTTCTTAACCCAGCAGCAGCGTAAACCGGTGTCAGGCCTCGACGCCGCACAGAAGCTGCCTCCGGGGCCGCAGGATTCTCCTCTCCAGGGAGGTGCGCCCGCCGCTGTACCTGCTCAGGCTGTCACTCGGACGGCGGCCTCCGTGCCCCTCGAGTCTATCATCCCGCACACCGCGAAGCCGCCCACCGAATATTTGTCACGCACGTACACCCCACTTACGGCACGCGACTTTAGGGCCTCTATTCCGCTGCCGCACTCGGCCTCGCGGTTCTCGGTGTACCACGGCGACACTGACCAGGAGCCTCTGACGGACAGGTTCGGGTTCATGTACGACGTCTCGCAGTACGACGTCCTGCTCCTCGTGCGCGCCAAAGAATGCGGCAACGCGGCGCCCGCGTGTCTGACGGGCGTCAAGATCGCGGACCGGACGGAGGACAATGACTGGTCGGACGACGAGGTCGAGGTCGAGGTCGCGATGGAGGTGGTCAAGGAGGCGTGTGACTGCGACGGCGAGCTCGCGGTTGCGGAGTCGCGCGGCAGGCACCTGTCCCTCCGGAGCGTGCCCACGACAGACTCGTCCGGCGCGTCGCTGGCCTCCCGCGGGGTCTCGCCGTCCTCGTCCCGTGCGGGCCGCCCGCGCTCGTCGACCGTGACGTCCTCCGCCACCGCCGCCGCCTCGTCCGCCGGTCAGAGCCAGGCGCGGGCGCGGTCGTCGATCCTGGCCTTTGACGCGGACGCGCCGCGCCACGTGTGCGCGAACGTGATCCGGCGGCTGCTGGAGGACCTCACGAGGGTGCACGACCAGCGGCAGGCCGCGCAGCGCAAGGAGTGGGACGCGTTCGTGCGGCTCCGGCGCAGAGCGCGCGCGGCGCCCGTAGCGAAGGCGTCGACGTCGGCGTCGGTGTCTGCTGCCGCCGTGGCGGGCGGGGCGGCGGCGATCCTGGGGCTCGGGACGGCGGTCGCGGAGGACGAGCTGTCGCATAGCGAGGGCCTGATCGGGTTCGCGCAGCTCGGGCTGTCCGCGAACAAGGACGAGCGGCGGGAGCTCGGGCGGCTCGTGCAGAGCGGGATTCCGCTGGTGTACCGCGCGAAGGTGTGGCTGGAGTGCAGTGGCGGGCTGGAGATGCGCGAGCCGGGGCTGTTTAGGGACCTGCTGGCGGAGGTGGGCGCGGACGAGGGCGTGCTGCGGGAGATTGAGAAGGATGTGGGGCGGACGATGCCGTTGAATGTGTTTTTTGGTGGGGATGGGGCGGGCGTGGACAAGCTGCGGCGGGTGCTGACCGCATATAGCAGGTGAGCTGTGTTTCCTCACGCGCGCCAGGTCTGGTGTCAGTGCTGAACGCGCGCTCTAGGCGAAATCCTGCTGTTGGGTACTGCCAGGGCATGAACTTGGTCGCTTCGACGCTGCTGCTAGTTCACGCTGACGAGGAAGAGGCCTTCTGGGTCCTCACGGCGATCATCGAGCGCATCCTGCCCGACGAGTTTTTCTCTCCCTCGCTGTTGCCATCGCGTGCGTGCCCCATGGTGCTCCTCGACTACGTGAAGGAGTACACGCCCAAGCTCTACGCGCATCTGAACCAACTCGGGATCGACCTCCCCGCGATCTGCTTCTCGTGGTTCCTCTCGCTCTTCACGGACTGCCTGCCGGTCGAGGTGCGCACCTGCTCTACGTTGGCTGGTATAGCGCACGCGCGCGCCGCCTGACAGCTTGCTTTTTTTTCTTTTTTGAATTGCATGTATGCAGACGCTGTTCCGCGTCTGGGACGTCTTCTTGGTCGACGGCCTGGACGTGCTGTTCCGAGTGGCGCTCTGCATCCTGCGCGGCAACGAGCAGGAGCTGCTGCGGTGCGAGTCGATACCCGCCGTGTACGTCGCGCTGGAGAGCCTCCCGACGCGGATGTGGGAGCCCGACAAGCTGCTGCAGGTGTGTTTTGTGCTGTGTTCTGCCTCGATTTGGTGGGGATCACGGGTGGCTGACGATGCCTGGCAGCTGGAGGCCGACCTGAGGTTTACCGTCGTACACGCGGACATCATCAAGAGACACAATCGGCATGTTGCGGGGCTTCAGCAAGTCATCAATTAGATTTGTTCGCGGCATAGTATCTATTAGGCATCGTGTAGGTGAGTAGCATCGTGATGTGGACACTGGTATGGGCGGTTCGGCAAGCATCAGGGGACTTTTTTCTGTACAGAATGTAATCGTGCAAGGGATGGGTCGCATATAGAACCTTGATAGAATAGAACGTCGCTTTGATGTGCTCATACATTGCGTTCGCTTGACACCGTCGATGGGCTCTGTGCACGTGACTATATGCGTCTCTCGAGGGGACTCGCGCGGTCGCCTTCTCTCTCTGCTCCCCATCTTGCTGGCTAACGTCGTGGCCCTGCGCAACTCTCTATGTCGTACGACCAGCCGCTCGTCGACATGTCCAACCCTTGCTACACGCCCACCAGAGACGGCTCGGCCTTTCTCCAGAGCCTCGCGCTAGAATACGCCGGCCCGCCTCGCTCTCGTGACCAGTACCTGTTCTCGTTCTACGCTAGGTTGCTCTACCCGCCCACGAGGAGCGAAGACGAGGATTTCCTCGGGTGGCCCTTCCAGCGCGCGGACGCCTCGTTCATGGAGGAGCTGCTCGCCCAGTCGCAGGACTCGCGCGCGGACAGCTTCGGGAGCCGCGCGCCGTCTGAGATCTCGAGCTTTGGTACTTTGTCTTCTGCGGATGGCCCATCTGGAAAGCGGGACCCTTGGATCTTGGGCCTGGACAACATGCGCCTGCGGTCGTTGTCGGCGAAGCGCAAGCGGGACTGGTCTTTTGGGTCCGACGAGTCTGGCTTTGCGGGTCTGCGGGGGCCCGCGAAGCATATGCGCTCGTCTGTCAGCCTCAACCAGAGCTCGTTCGAGGTGACCAAGGTCGACGGCGTGCCCGATTTTTACCGCCAGAGCGGGCAGACGTCGTCTGAGCTGGAGCTGGAGATGCCTGAGCTGGAGCCGGACGTCTTTGATACTCGGTCGTCGCCTGTTCAAGGTGCATAATGCTGCGAACTTTCACTTTGTCTATCCTCAAGCTATTCTGGATGCGTTATTTTGCGCCCTCTGAATTGAACACTGATGAATTTTCAGATGACGCGGAACGCCCGCTCGCCCTCGCGACTATAGTCTCGCGATTAAATTATCTCCTCCCTGGAATAAGAATCAAGGAGAAACTTCTCTCCTTGGATACGCTATCCTACCAAAGCATCGCCGACGTGCTCAGCTCAGACGGTATCATTCCTCCACGCATGTCGCACTGCTGCCTATCAGCCATTGACCTCCTCACCAGGCCGCTTCAACACCAGCACGCTGGCGCTTTTGCGCCATTCAGATGTCGTGGCGATCGACCTGTCTTCGTCGCTGGCGCCTGAAGACGGACTGAACCTCGGCGGGCGGCAGATGTTGCAGGGTAACGCGGCGGATGCCTCCCCCTCCTGTGTGCGCGAGCTGACCGACAGCGTCCAGTCTTCCGATCTGCCGGCGCCTTCCCCTCTCTCTTGTACCTCGCGCTCGACTCCGTTCCGCTCGACAACCGCGACATACTGTGCCTTCAGAACCTCCCCGTATTGACGACCCTCGAACTGTCTTCAACTGGAATCGGAAATGAAGCGTGCGTGCCGACGGCAGTTCATCTCGACTGACAGGCCAGCGCAGAGGCGTTACCATTATGTACCTGACGGCGCCGCAGCGTGTTCCTCCTTGTAGCTCTGAAACCGACGCTGTCGCAGCTCTACCTCAACCAGAACCCAGCGATAGACGACGACGCGATCCCTGCGCTCATCATCCTCGACAGGCTCTCGGTAGCGGCCCTCTCCGGGACCAGCGTCACGATGGACGGCCTGCGCCGCCTCGCGGCAGCGGCGCTAGCGCGAGAGCAGGATCTGTGCCTCACCGTCCCGGACGAATGCACGCAATACCTCATCGGTGAGCGCGCCGACGCCGCTTTAAACTGACCACTGAACCCGGCCTGATGGCCGCCTGATGATGTGGGTGCGGGTGCGCAGACATGCCGGCGAAGTACGTCGTCGATCCGGAGGCACCGCTGATCACGGACCCGGCTACGTGCGCGCATCTGACGCTCACGGCGCTCCGGAAGAACCTGGCGGCGCACGCGGCCGTGAACGCGGAGATCGCGACGGCGGGGACGCGCGCGGAGCTGCGCAGGGCGCTGCAGACGGTGCTGGAGACGCGCAGGCGGGACCTGATGGTGAAAAGTTTGGTGTGCAGAGACGATTATGATGGCGAGGGCGAGGGCGAGGGCCAGGAGGGTGATCGCGATGGCTCGGGGATGTGAGCCTTGTTTGCACCTACTGTATTCCACTTTCATGTTGTGCTGTGCTTTCCATGGTGCTGTGCTTATCCAGTCGCTCTGATATGATGTCGCGCTTTTTTTCTAGACCTCTTACGATGCCATTACGATGAGGTTCGGGCTCACGTTTTGCGAGCGCTTCTCCTTCCTCAATAGCTGTGCGATGATATCTCGCACGCAAGCGCGGACCCTGCAAATTGACGGACAGACGCATACAGATCTTCACAGTTCAGATCAGCAAGCGGTGAATGCGACATCGAGGGGTTCCCCTGGGGCTGTGAGCGACGATAAGCGACATTGAGTACTAGATGCTTTAGAGCTAAAATCCGAGCGGGGATCAATCAAGGAGGGCGGAGATGGGAACGAGACGTGATCGTGATAGGCGTTGAGATCTGGGCTGATGAATTGGGCGCTCGAGCAGTGGGCCGATGAATTTGGGACGCCTCGTAGGTGCGTAGTCACCGTTCAATGCGTCCCATGCACTTACTGGATCGCTGATGAGCGTGCGTGCGTGGGATGACAGCACAACCTGCCAGCTAGGACCACGCGCAGTTGAGCACGATCTTCTGGTTCCAGGCGACGCCCTCGATCGGGACGTGCATCGTCGTGCACAGCGCTGCGCGTTGAGCTCACAGACGGAGCCCTTGAGCGGCACGAGGGTGCACGTCCCCGGCCCAGGGGGCGCGTGGCCCTTCGACTGCGTGTAGAGCGTAGGTTAGAGGTCTGCGAGCATCGAGTTGACGATGGGGAGTTTGCTATGGAGGGGGGCTGGGACGTGCTGGGATGTGGCGCGCTGATACTCTGCGGTGATTGAGGGCGAGGCATCTAAGAGAATGAATCGGGGGATGCAGTCGTCCACGCTCGTTGCTCGAGTCGAAGAGCAGACTGAGCGGACTCCGCACGACGATCTGGCCACGTGATCCTCTGTAAAAACGGAATTCAGGTGAACGTCAAGCTCAGTCAAAAAAATAGTCTTTTGTCATGTATCCGTCAGGAAAGTGGCGCGAAAAGTCATGCACAAGTCATAAACTGCCAAAGTTGGACACGACTTTTACACGACTTCTGCACTGCTTTTATGACGGATACATGACAAAATACCAATCTTTTGACTGGGCATGACGTTTACTCGAATTTCCGTTTTTACTGAGCGTGACCCATCTTGTCGCTTGGCCACTCTTGGGCCTTGGCCGACACCGTCACCGACATTCTACTCGGTTTAAACTTTACCTCTCACAATCCATATCCTTTACCGGGTTCTCGCTATCTTTCAGGCTTTAACGCCACATCCTATACACTAGATGCAAGACGAGACCCCATGGCCAAGCGCCCAACCTAATCAGAATAACACATTACTCACACCGGCGGCGGCTGCGGACGACGGACAGAGCAGTCTACGCTCCTCGGCAGAGGAGGTTTGGTATCTGAAGGACATCTCACTTTTTGACGGACAGGGTTACCGAGGGTACAAGATCATAACGCAGAACTTCAATGGGTGGGTATATAATGCCATTTTGAAGCGGGAATGCTCATGATCGATTTCTTAGACCGTGCTCTCTAATCGCAATATGTGCGTCGAACCACCCGTAAAGACCTCTCTCAATCATCCTCACGGCAGTCAATGAAAATCAGGTAATATACTTATAATGCGCGGGGACATCCAAATCCTACCCCCCGATCGCACCACCGTCTCCTACGACCTCCTCGCCCAGCTCGTCGCCGACTACCTGCTCACGCACTCCCCCGACGTCGACATCTCATCCGCGCTCTCCATGCTCCCCCTGACCACCAGTCTGTCGCCCGCTCCCTCGCTCCCTCGCCTGTCCTGACCCTTCGCGGCTGACCAAACGCACTGACCAGAGGGCATGGACCTCAACCCGCTGTTCACGAGCCCCACGGCGTTCCGCCCAGCAGGGGACACGGGCGCGCTCGACCTCTTCGCGCGCACAGGCATCGCGCTCGTGCACGGCTGGCTCGTCGACCCCGCGAGCCCGGAGCACGCCGCCATGACGCGGCTGGAGGACTACGATAATGCCGTGACGCTCATCGCGGAGGCGGATCACCTCATGAGAGGCCAGCTGGTGCGGAACGAGGACGCGGACTTCGGGGCACATGGTGAGGCGGGGCCGAGTGCGGCGGGGCCGAGTGCTGCAGGGCCGAGCAGTCAAGGCTTTAACCTCAATGACGTGGACCGGAGGAAGGTCGAAGACGGTGCGTGTTGCCCGCATCCCGATCTAGCAATCCCCGCCTCAACGTTTGCCCAACGTGCGCGCACGGTCCCGCAGCGATGGCCGCGCGCGCCTTTCTCGACGCCACGCAGTCGCAGCTGACCTACCACGGGCTCTTCACCCTCGCGTCTACGCTCCCCCCCGCGCAGCCCGTCGCGCTCTTCCGCAACTCGCACCTCGCCGTGCTCTACACGCCACCGGGCGCCGCGGGCGTGCTCTACACGCTCGTGACGGACCAGGCGTTCCTGCACGAGCCGTCGGTCGTGTGGGAGCGCCTCGCGGACGTCGATCAGGGCAGCGCGGCGTTCGTGGACGGCGCGTTTAGGAGGAGCAGCCCGGCCGGGGGGGACTGGGCGGGGTATACGGGCGAGAGCGCGCTGGCGGCGCTCGAGGGGGACCAGGGCGGCTTCGTCGACCCCGCAGAGTAAGCCCCGCTCGCGCTCTGCTAGGTCTGGGGACGCGGGACGCTGATTTTTGGACTTTGGGACCGGTAGTCAGGCGCTCGCGAGACAGCTGCAGGAGGAGGAGGATCTGCACGCGCAGCAAGTGTACGCGCGGCGGCAGCGCGAGCGGCAGGCACAGCAGCAGCAGCAGCAGCAGGGTCAAGCACCAGCATGGGCGCAGGGCGCGAGCCAGGTTCCTTCGGGCGAGCTGGCGCGCAAGAAGAAGAAAGACTGTGTCATCATGTAGATGCTGCATGAACCACGCGTGGAACGATATACCCGAATACCATGGCGTGAACGCGAACTCTGAAAGAGTTAGCAAGTGTGTCGCTCACTTGTTGCCACTCCAAGGCAGGTCGTGCGCTCATACGTAGGGCGACTAGGTCGTGCGACTTACGTGCCAACATCGCCGCCCGCTCAAGAACGATTGACGTGACGACAAGCTCTCCATTCGTCCACTGACGTACTTGAATGATAACACAGACTAACGTAAATGCGAAGATGCGGCACGCGTAAAAAAGCGGCCATTGGGAGACAATGAACGAAGAAATGCTAGGGATGTGAAGAGTATAGCGCTACAGAAGGTCTTTGATCAGAAAATTCAAAAGGGAGCGATGCGTACATATGATATGGTATAAGGCTACAGTGGGAGGGTCAGGACGTGCAAATTGATACAATGGTGCAGGATTGTCGATGGGGATCGAAATTAGTGGGTGGGGTAGTACAGTTGACTGTCCACAGTGTCGGTAAGCTGAAATCATGACGAGGATGCGATAGGCGGCTCATCGGCTGGCCACGATGTGGAATCGAGGACTGGGGAGGACGTCGACTCAAATAAAACCTGCAGAGACTCTTCCGGAGTTGGCATATACTGGCCTTGCTCAAAAAATCCAGAGTACGATCCGGAGCTGGTGTCCTCGAACCCAAATTGATCTGCAAGAGGGAAGTCGACGATAGGCGTGAACTCGGCGGTGAACTCGGTGTCGGTTGGAAACAACATCGACATCGGTGGCGGGGGTATTGAGAAAGGGGTGAACGGGGATGACCACGGCGTCGTGAACGAAGAGGTCGCTGTCCCGAGCGAATCGCTGAAATACGGAGAACTCACAATGTCCTAAGGCCAGACTGTCGTATCACAACAAAGCCGAAATTCAGTAGGAGACATACCGGAGACATAGCATACGCCCATTCGGCGGCAGGAGGCAGCACCGGTTCGATGAAAACAGGATCCACCTTTGTAGGTGACTCGCTGTCGTCCGCAGACCGCGATCCCAGAGCGGTGCTGCTCGACGAGGCGGCCTGCGGCGCGTCGGCTTGGCGTGTGCCCGCCTGGCGACTGGCGAGCTCCTCGTCGATCGCGCGCACAGTGGCGACGATATCCTCCTGCGGTCTGTTCTCGCGCAGCAACGCCGCGATCTTCTCGATCCGCTCCGCGCTGTCCCGCCCGTTCCGGTTCGTCCTGCGCGTCGGGCGTGCGCGTCTCTTGGGCGAGTAGCGGTAGTCGGGGTGCTGCTTCTTGTGGAGGCGGTCCCTCTCCTTCGCGAGATCTGCCCACGGCTCCTTCTCCTTCTCGGTCATCCTGTTCCACGTCTGTCCCGCCATCTTACTCAGGACCGAGTGGTCCCGCTCGATCTCGCTCAAGGTCTCAAGGTTTTCTTTGATATAGAAACTCCTGAACAAGATGAACTTGTTGCATGGCCGTGGGACGTGGTTGGAGTTCTTGCGCGTGCTGTGCCTGCGCGGGAGCTTCGATGTTTTCTTTTCTGGTGAGGACGGTAGAGATGCTTCGCAGGATGATGGCGTTTGGGTCAGAGTGATGCCGGAGAGGGCAGGGGAGGGGGTGGGGCACGGGGTGGGAGAAGGTTGAGAGGCGTGGGAAACAGGGTATGTGAAAGGCTCCTCGGAGGGCGAGTAGGAGATGAAGGGAAGATCATCGACATCATTGTATATTGCCTCACTCAAAAGATCGTCGATGCAGAGATCATCGATGCAAAATTGAGGCGAGCCAGCGAATGGATTTGCGGATGATGGGAGAGACATGATGCTAGGGAGTGGCCATGAAGTTCATTGCGCACCTTTTTATACATCCGCCCCTCCCTACAGTGAGCGGAGGCCTCCGATAAACAGGACTCCTCGCCGTTATCACGGCGTGACTTTGCGAAGCAAAGTTTGAACTGTCAAAGGAAGCCAGGTTTCACAAAGGATTGTTTGCGCCTCAGCACTTTCCTTTGAACGTCGTGGCTCCTGCACGAGGCACTGGGTTCTCAACATGAGGTAGGAAGGGTGGGGTGGAAGGTACAGCCCCAGGAAGTTCGGTCCGAGTGGAGGGCGATGGGTCGAGGGTGTAACGACCGGTGAGCACTGTGTCGGGTCAGCGGTCAGCGGCGGCATTGCGGATAACGTCCGATGTGTCCTACCCGGCTTCGGTGAGAATCAACGACTCTTTGTTGATGACGTAGTCGACCTACCAAAGCTACCTGTGTCATCGATATCGTTCACTGAACCTTGCCGGCGAGACGAGCACTCCTGTAAATATGATCGATTAGCTTCGGAAAGACACTCAAGCGTTCACACTGCAGCAGAAAGATACGATTCTGCGAACGATAGTAAGCATTGACGATACATCGAATACTCGTCAAACATCTAGTTGAGGGGAAAGACCCAAGACCCACGGGTTTCGACACTCGACGTATATAGCCACTGAACATGCACGATGTCATCAATCCTTTGTTCAGATCACAGGGACGCAGAAGAAGCATCAGTCCACATGACCACAAAGGAAGAAGACAAAGATCGCACGCACGAGCCTGCACGAGCCCTATACCTGTTGTCAGGACTGGATGCTTTGAGCAGCCTGTGTTTCACAAAGCACAGCCCTGAGCAAGAAGACTTCCGGGATCTCTCTTCGACAATCAGAAGGCCTATTAATACTCCTCGACACGGCGCAGCCTGAACGCGACACAAAGGCAAAATCTGCTGCGTGGTGATGATCAAAACAAGGCAAAATGGAACGACACTGCGGCCGGATCCGTTCTGTGGGTTTCAAGCTTGCTGTGTGTTTACATGGACAGCCTTTCGCTATCTATGTTTTTCGAAAATCTGCAATGGACAAAGGAAGCCGTCATGGCGAACCTTGAGCACTGTATCTACAATCTCCAACCTTTGAGATAAGCATGGCCGGCAATAGATGGCATAGAGCAAGATCGGGCGACTCGACCTGTGCGATATATCTCCGACAGTCTGTGCAAGCAGCTACGCACCATGTTTGTGAAGACTACACGAGACACCCTCGCTGCCATGGTTGTGATCAAGACTCGTGGTGGCTACACAACGTGGAACATCGAGCAGCTAGCTACTGGTAAGAAACGGGCAGCAACTGGGCAAGTTTCAAGAGCTGCAGAGCCTGGGGTTTTTCAAGAGAATCCGGCTTATAAACGTAATACTTACCCAGGATTTGTATAAAAACTATCAACCCCTGCACGTGCGCCCCGAGGGGCCGAGGCGCTCGAAAGGGGTGATGTATTCCCATCACGTGTCGTGAATGACTTGGTGCGAATGCAGTCACTCTTCTAAGTTCTGACCGTTCTCTCCGGGCTTTCCTCTCTCTCTCGCTATCCAACTCATGAGTGCCAGGGCGCCTTTCCTTCCGTCACGACCTGCATCTCGTGCAGCGCACCAGCTCGCCGCCACGATCAGTGGACAGGCGAAAGGCTCAACTAGCAAGGATGCAGCTGGTCCCGAGGCCCACACACAAAAGTTACGCTCTGGCGGGGACGTTACTGATTCTAGTGCAGCTGAGACGGCTCCCATATCAACGGTCAATAGGCCTTTGAATCTTGTTGCATTCAAAAAACCCAAACCGGACGGCGCTGGCGCTAGGCCCCCCTCTAGGAACATGAACGCGTTTAACGAAGCAGCTACTCGCGCACGCTCTCCAACTCACTGGCCAGAGCAAAGAGGGATGCGCATACATGCACCCCGCCCGAGATCTCCTCATTTTCCCAACAGTTCGGTCTTCACCTCCACGATGAGTTTCAAAGAACCCTCGCTTCCTCTGTCTTTTTCTGCGGGCTTGAATGGGCAAACTGACGAGCATATATCTACCTCTGAAGGCAACAATACTTCTGAGAATGCTCCTGGTGCTATGATCGAAGAGCACAACCTGATCCGCACTGCTTCGCCTTTCAAACCTAATGGTCTGTTAGCGTTTTCGCGTCTCAAGGCGTCTGGCCCTTCTTTAGAGAGCATACAAGAGGATGCTGAAGAACATGGGGTCGCTAACGTTCGCCCTGAAGCGCATATATTGAGGCGTATGGGTAAGAAGAGGTCCTTTGCAGTCGTGGAGGACTACGAAGGCAATTCTGGCGGCCTTTCGAAGCGCCTTAAATCTGGGGATTCGCATGTCAATAGCGACAATGTTGGCCGCCCCCATTCCTCTCGTATAAATAATACTGCCTCTATTTCGTCTTCTTCGGGCTATGACCTCGTCCAACAGCATGAACAACCAAGAAGATCTTCTTTTTTCGGGGGCCATGACAGCCTTGTATCTCCTACGTCTGCCCCTGATCTTCTGCAGCCTTCAGAAGTTTCGCAGGCTCCTCAAGCGCCACCATTTGCGATGTTCATGGACATGTTCGGAATATCACTGACAGAAGCAGACGTCGAGCAGTATGCCGAGATGTATGAACGCGAAAGGCAGAGGTGGAACTCGGTTAATCTCGAGGAGCACAAGGCGGGTGAGGCAGAGCTCATGGGAAAAATCGGGAAGCTTGTGACTTCGGTGAGCGCTTCCCTTCTTACTCAATCGTATCATAACTGAATGTTGGGGTAGGTGAATGATCATGTGGCGTACGTGTTGACGTGCTCCTTGCCCGTGCTTGGAACCCCTCACTGACCTAGTGCAGTGCGAAGATGTCTTGCTTTGCTGAGATTGACAAGAAACTCGCTGATCAGCGCTCTGCGATAGATGAATACGCCCGCGTATTAAGCGAGGTTAGTGAATCGGTTGTCCGTGATAGCGGGGTTGTTGTGGGAGGGTTGGGTGTTGACCTCAGAGCCGAGTAAAGCTCCCTTGTGCGACTAAGACTGGACTGAAAACTGGACGAAAAGAGGGCTTTCGACTGCGCCTTTGACTGCTCGTCTCTCGTTATACTTGTTGTGCTAGCTACTCTGCCTTGGACACTTCGGCTGTTCTGACCGCATATCAATCATCGGACCGTTCATTCCGCTAGTTGTCATGTCCAAAACCCCCTAGGTCATTAGGGGTTACTGTAACCGATCTCAAGTCTTGCTGTTTTGAGCCATCATTGATGTCCTTTTTCCATGCAATTTGCCATATGCTATTTTCGGGCTCTTGAATGTTTCCCGGATCAGTTGGGTTGGTGCTGCTTAGCTCGGATTCAAGCTCACCTCAAAACTCGACGCTTGAAGTTTGAAAATCCGACCGCTATATCTCCTGCAGGGGAATTGGTCATGAGTACAGAGATCGTTTGTTACACCGATGTTTTCCGTCAATGGGCATCGGTGAGGTGAGTCGTATGCTTGCGAGAGAGGAGTTCGTTCCGGGCGTTTACAAGGCGTCTTCCCAGGTCATTGGGCGCTCATCGTCCCATGATTTTGCTCATATGAGGATTCGGCATCACATACTTAGGGAACCCAATCGGAACACATCTACTGCGCTGTGGCAACGTGGTCCCAGAGAAAAAGCGCTCTGGTTCCAGATTCCTTCTGGCCAATGCATGGACGACGAGATTGAACGTAAGATAAAAAACTTGATCAGGTAAGGACCCTGCAGATGCTCTCGGTTCGATGCATGTTTCGGGAACTGTGATATATACTTTGGCATGCTGCAGTTTCAGCGCTCAGCGCTCAGGGTCCATCTGGCTGAAAGTTAACCTGAACGTTTTCCGATTTACTCGCCCATATTTCAGTGGCGGCTTGAACTCTTTCTCAACGGGTTCCTGGGATTGACATTTCAAAGCCAATATAAATATATCAAGAGACAATAAACAACATGCCGCGGAGCTGTAAAGATTTAACGCCTGCTTTCGGAGTTTCTTCACTGAACTTTTGTTCTCGACAGTCACCTGGCCATGAAACGTATTGCTTGACGCAAGTAATTGTTACTCCTCCTTCGCACGAACAGCAGAATACCTAAGCTACGAGTACTGTCTAGAACGAAGGTCGACGGAGCCTCAGTCAGCGTTGTGGATGGCTCCATTCCAGCCATATTCATAACGATGGACCTCGACAAAAAAATAATATGCTTAGCAAAATGGGTCGGCGCGGTAATATTTTGGCCGTGTGCGGTAGCTGCCGATATCTCCGCTTGTTGTCCGCTCCCTCTCTCCTCAGTCGTACGCTGTCTGGATTTTAAATTTGACACTCCGACTAAGCCTAGGGCCTATGTTATGAAATATGGTTGTCAGCGGGCGCCAAGTGTATCAGGACAGTGATACGCAGCAAGTCGAGGTACATTTTTGATGACTCTCGAGCGCTCGTGTCCCATTTTTATATCTCGTGACCGAAATGCAGCACCGGAGATCCTGTGCTGACATCATGTCCTCTACTCATACATCAGCTTAGGCGGGGTATAGAAGAACCCATAGGAGTCCTACAATATTTGGATGTCGCACTGCACTGCCCGATCATTCATGGGCAAAGAAGTTCCCATCAACGGTGACCCGGTTCCGAAAACAATATGACTTGTTCAAGATCCACGACTTATTTGTGCGTCGAGGGTCCTCGAATTCCGTCACAAATCCGAGTTTTGCATGTTCTCACACCGTAAAAAGAACCGTTACTCGCCAACTGCTATAGAAACGAATGAACTCGAGAGTAGCCCTGACGTTCGACTGTCATTCATAGTGGATAGGCTCTCTTTGGGTCTCGGCGTCTTTTCCACGATAGATGAAACATCGGAATTGCTCGTTCCCGGAGCCACTAACACGGGCCACCCATCCGCGCTTGTGAGGTCGTGTCTTGACATCGTGAGTTTATGCGCTCCTGATCCCCACCGAATGCGCTATCCAGAACAGGATGACCAAACACCGACGTTGTAAAGCGTCTGCAGTATATTGACATGCACTGATACAAGTTTCCAGCGCCAGAAATGCTGTGAGTCCTGGAAGGGCGGCTCTCATATCTATAAAAGACAATACTCGATGGCCTTGACCGTTCACTACCCCCATTTTCCACCCACTGCCAATCCACTCTCTAAACCTCAATGACTACCCATACTCCCGCCCCACTCAATCTCGCCAACGTCCAAGGCGACATTTTGTACGTATATATACGGATGATTTATACCACTGGCACATTGACTGACTGCATGACCTCTTAAGGGCTGGATTGCCAAAGAAGACCCAGACCTACGTCTTATTCGAGATTACGGATGCCCAGGCATTCCGTACCGCCCTCACTCATCTGATACCCCTCATCACGTCAACTGAGCAGGTCAAGAAGGATCGCCATTCGATTGATGAGAACAAGAAGACAGCAGCTCACAGCGGCCATCCGCCTCCACTCTTGGACATAGTCGGCGTGAACGTTTCATTCTCTCAACTCGGGTTGAACAAGGTTTGTAATTCCTACAACAACCCAACTGGCTTTTGATAACCTTCATTTGTTCTAGCTTGGGATTAAAGATGATATCAAAGACGCGGTATTCAAGGCTGGACAGCTCAGTGACGCTCAAAACCTAGGCGACCCCGGGACCACAAACGCATCGAAGAAGTTTGTTCCTGACTGGATTGATGCTTTCAAGAAGGGTGTACATGGCGTCTTCATCGTGTCTGGCTCTTGCCACGAGTTGGTGAGCAAGAAGGTTGAGGAGATCGAGCATATCTTTGGTGTACACGGGCACCACGCGAGCTACACCCAACTCTTGTCAATTGTTGGGGATGTCCGACCTGGCAAAGAGAAAGGTCACGAACAGTAAGTCAATCAACCACCCCAATCTGCCTGTGCGTTTGACTTTTGACCCGTTTATAGCTTTGGTTTCTTGGATGGTATCTCACAGCCCGCCGTTAAAGGAATTGATACCGACCCGAACCCCGGCCAAGAGACAATTCGCCAAGGCATCATGCTCCTGGGACGTGATGGTGATGACGTTGCAGCACAGCGCCCATCGTGGGCATTGGACGGCAGTTTCCTCGCCTTCAGATACCTTTTCCAGCTTGTTCCCGAGTTCAACAAATTCCTGCACGACAACCCTATCGACCTTCCGGGTTTGACCCGTGCAGAAGGTAGCGAGCTTCTTGGCGCGCGGTTCATGGGAAGGTGGAAGAGCGGTAAGTTTGTCAACATAGCTAGAGCATCCATGGAAGACTAACGTGGACTTTCTCCCCAGGTGCCCCCATCGATATCTCTCCTCTCAAGGACGATCCTGCCCTCGCCACGGACCCGAAGAAGAACAACAACTTCCGTTTCCAAGGAGAGGCCAACAGCCAGACCCGATGCCCATTCTCTGCCCACGTCCGCAAGACGAACCCCCGTGCGGATCTCGAGGACACTAAGCCCCCTAATAGCACCGAGAATCGCAGGATCATTCGCAGAGGCGTTCAGTTTGGCCCTGAACTCACCGCGGAGGAGCAGCACGCAAACAAGACAATCCACGGGCGGGGTCTTATCTTTGCCGCTTATCAAGCTAACATCGCTAATGGCTTCCAGTTCATTCAGCACAGTATGCATCTTCATTTCATTTAATTTATTCATGATACTCATGATATTCTCTCAAGGCTGGGCGAACAACCAGAAATTCATTTTTGGAACGACTGTGGAGCCTGGCTTTGACCCCATCATCGGGCAAGCTGGCTCTGACGGAGCCCGCACGGTGTCAGGCTCTAACCCCAAAGCTCAGGCCAATATGCTCACATTGCCGACTCAATGGGTTGTGCCCAAGGGAGGAGAGTACTTCTTCTCGCCCTCGATCCCGGCCCTGCGTGACACTTTTGCGCTCGGCGTTCACATCGAATCTTACTGATCGATACCTTACAATTATGATGGACAATCTCCTTCCTGTCTTTCCAAGCTTCCAATCCCTTGTATGTGTTAAGGCTCAAGTATATTTGGCATTTCTTCCTTGTTTCATCTCATCTTCTTGACGACGTATTATGTCCATGTAAAAGTAATGCTTCCAGAACCATATGCATCGTCATGTTGTACCGACATCGTCTCATTGATTTTTGCAAGTGTATTACGAGTCGCATCGAGCTCGAATGCCGGGGAATCTGGATTACCTGCAGGCATTCACGTACGCGAGAAAAGTCTTGGAGAGAGGACGTCGATAGATAAAAGAGCAGGAAAAGAAAGATCATAAACATATCATGAGATGATCGTTAGACTCGTGCAAGCAGACAGACGTATAGGATGAGGTATCGCAAAAAAAAATGGCGGAATCGACGAAGATGGATGAGCACGGTATAATCAGATGATAGATAGATATCAAGCGCGAAGGTAGCGTCGAGCACCAAGAGCGAAGAGCAAGAAATGCGGACAAGCCAGAGGAAAACACCCCGAAAAAAATCCCCCCAAGGGTCGAAAAGTCCGATGTCCAGATCAAAGAAGCATCAAACAGAGAGTGACTGCACAGTCCGATGTCACTGGCCCTGTCAGATTCTATGTGTGGTATCCGTGGTCTTGTTCATGGGTCCGCAGCGCTTGGAGATGACTAGGTGAGCTCCAACTCCCTCCCCACGCGCTACGGCTGCTTCCGCTGCCATCCTGAACACTCAGCCCACCGGTCCATGGCACATGGGGGAAGCGCATCACTTCGCCTGTAGAAGGATCAACTACCGACGTATGCGTGGTGACGCTGGACGACGTCTGGCCGGTGGAAGTGGTGCTCGACGAGGTGACGGTCGCGCTAATCACGGGCGGAAGCACAGGAATTGCTGGTATGCGCTGAGGAGAGGGTGAAGAGGCGTCCCGACGCGTGGGCATCATGCTCGAGCGGCCGATAGCAGATATCGGCGGAGATATCTCGCCCGGATCTGCGCGATGACGACGACGTCCATCCGATGAGATCGAGCCGGAGTGCATCAGGGAGGCACCGCTGCTACCTGATCGTCCTTGCGAATGCCCGGAACCCGTGGACAGGGTGTGCCGCGATGAAGGTGCCGAGCCCGATGCACTGAGTGGGCTAAGGTGAGAGCGCATTGAGTGCAGAGAGGCTTCCTCGGAAGCATTGCGTTCTCGAGGATGCACGAGGACTGGGGGCTACAAGTTCAAGGTGAATAGTCAATCAAATTGTCAACCATATTATAAATCAGGAATTGTACGAACCGTGCCAAAAGTTGTGCGCCTCTCCTGGACATGACCTGACCCTCCTCGCATTTGCCTCCAGCCCTCTCCGGCCGACGGCGGCGCCTCTTCGAGGATATCAAGGGAGATTCCAGGCACACTTCCAAAGCTGCCGGAGCCCAACGATGCCGGGCTCTCTCCGGACCCTGAATCTCGCCATGCACTGGGATTCGGCATGGGCGCAAGTCCAGGTGGGAAAGAGGCCTTCCCGTCGCCGGAACGCCCTATAGATGACTGCGCGGCGGCAAATGGAGGTATAGGGGCAGGTATAGGCATATCTAGTATATCCGTGATCTCAGATGGCATTTCTCCAGACCCGCCTGGCTGTGCAGGCTGCGCGGTTGGTTCATAAGCTGGCGGCTCGCCCTCGGGTCCATGACTGGTAGACAGATGGGACGGGCCTGGCTTAGCCGAGGTTACAGCAGTGGGCAGTGGCGAAATCAGTGGCGTCTGAGGTCTAGATGCCGCGTCATAGTAGACAGAGTGTCCCGAGGATTTCGCACTGCCCTTGCTTACAGTCGAGAGCGGACGAGGGCCGTCACGGAAGGACATATCGAGCCGAATAGCGCCAGCCGCTGCGCGTCCGGCCTCCATCTCGGCATCCGACAGTGCGCGGGCGGCAAAAGATGTGGGACGCGAAGGCCCGCGGGAGCCTGGGCGGGAGTAGCTGCTCGGGGGCGCCTCGCGGTTGAACCAGCTCAGTCTTCCGAATTTGGCGAGAGAACCGATGCCGATGCCGCGTGCCCAGCTCGGGCCGACTTCGTCGCGAGGCGAGTTGTCGGGCACGGACGCGAGCGTGTGTGCGGGGACTGCGAGATCACCAACCCTCACGCGACGCGCGGTGTGTACAGTAGCGCGCTCCGCTTCGGTGTCAGGTGTCACGGAACCGGTGGAAGGGAGAGAACGCAGGGATGGCTTGCGGGATGGACTCAGGCGGCTCGTACTGCTCCCGAGACTGCTGGGATCGATGAGACGGGGAGGGAGAAGTGGCGAGTCCTGGTCGTGCTCTGGCTCCTCGTCTTCGTGTGCAGCTGGATCACGGGGAGACGTAGGGGAGTCAGGGTACATGCGCATTAAAACATCGCGAGGAATGATGTGCCGTGAACCGGGACGTCCCCCGTTGGACGGATTCGTGAGATCTAGAAAGCTGGAGTACGGCGTTGCTACATGTCGCATTCAATGAGATATCTGCGAAAGAAAATAGAGATATCCATACCTCCTGAGACCTCAGATTTTTCTCCCGATCCGCGAGTGGAAGTTGAGCCAGGCTGCGTTGGGATATTCGCAAGCGCTACACCTACAGCACTGCTGCCTTCGACCTGTCTGGAGGGGGTGCGAACTAGTCGAGCGCTAGTGTCCACCTCTTTCATTCCATCTGTCGCGCCTCCACTCCGTCTGAGGAAGGAATCGTGCTCGTCCCCGCTTCCACGTGGCGAGCCTTCGCCAGGTTCCCGGGCAGGTGGTTGGCTAGGATCCACCATCTCCCACATCCACAGAGAGCTGCCTGCTTGAGGTAATCCTCCCTGGCGAGAGCGTGAACGTAAACGTAAACGAAGACATATAATGAGCAAGAAGAGGAGCAGAAGAGATCCCAGAACAGAGCCGAGGACTGCCCCGATGATGGTCCGTTTGTGGGAGTGGGAGGACGCGGCGATTGGGGACGCGCTCGAAGACGGGGACAAACTCGAGAACGAAGATGAGAGTGAAGCGGATGAAGACGTGCTCGACGGTGAGGATGATAAAGTCAGTGACGGCGAGGACAAGAAAGTCGAGGAGAGTGGTGAAGAAGTGATTGAAGAGACGGATGTAGGTGTCGCAGATGATGTGGGGTTAGTTAAAGAGGCACTTGTAGTTTCAGGGGGAGGCGATGTGAGCCCACCATAGACCCATGAACCGTCAGTGCCGAGGGGGATCTAAATATGGTCAAAAAAATGTGGTAAGAATATGTCTAGACATTCAAGTTGATATTGTCAAGTTGAAGGATGAGCAGCAGCCATGGTTTGCATGCTTCAAAACATACATGCAACCTGTCGGAATCAACTTCGAAGCAAAGTCACACCGTGTATCATGAATGCTTCACAGGCATACTGGGATTGTAGTACCGTACCCCAGTGCTAGGAACGGCTATTTATAACGGATGATTCTCTGTGCGTGCGCACCGAGGCGGCGATAACTGATAACAGCTCAAGGGCTGGCGCACACCGACCAGGTTTGCAGTGGTCCCAGTCACCAGCAAGATTAAGTGACCCCAGAGGGCGTGAAGAGTCGAGATAATTTTTCTGCACCCCTTCCGTTGCTATTTCTCATTGTTGAACCTACTCACCGATGGACCATAGTAAGTGAGCGGCAAGCGTAGCAGAGTAGTCGCAGTTGCTGTCGGATCGCCGTTCGTGTCCGTTGCTACTGAGGTGGAGATGGAGAGCCATGGTGGAAGCTGCTGAGTTGGCGCAGTCATGACCGCGTAGAACAGGTGTGAACGTCAATGTGTTACGGCTGTGATCGAAAGAGCGTGGGCGTGACTGTGCGAATTCGTGAATCTTCAGCGGTGAATGGACTTCCTTGGACATAAGAATGCGTACATAATCGTGTGTAAACCGGTTTCGTCTACGTGCGTCAAGATGTTCGGGAAGGAGGACGGGATGAAGTGCGGGGAGGAGGATGGGAACGTTGTGGACCGCCAACTTCAACTTCATTATTGGCTCAGAACGTGATCGTCACGTGATGAGAACCATCATCCAAATCAGGCATCGGAACTGCTAGCAATCGTGGCGCAGCGCCGCAGCTGCAGTGTACGCGTAGAGTCACTAGCGGTGCACATCATGCCTGGCTGCTGCTGAACATTGGTCGTTCCCTTGGTGGGTTTATGCTTCTCATCATCGCACAGCGCACAACTATAATCAGATTTGTGCATGTATGGTGTTAGGTTTTCTCCGTGCAGTGCTCACTGCTCGCAGCTGGCTGCCAAAGATGTTCCGGATTCCGTTGCTCATGCTTTCCTCTTATTTGTGGCCTGTGTATATCATATTGATCAATTTCTGTCTGCCGTGTGACACGTCTCAAAGATATTTATTGACTGTGACAAGTCATCTTCAATGCAAGACACCGACTGCGTGAAACACTTCACAGCAGGCGCAGCAATTTTGAAGCTTAATACAACTAAATCCTTTCTAACAACCCTTGGGACACCATGACGAAATGCAACCTTGCGCCCAGGAGGAATGGGAGTGGGTGACATCGGCTAGAAGAACAAGCTATAGTCAGCAAGAGATCAAAAAGAATGATAGAGAGCAGCACAAATACCAGCTCAAAGGATATGTTTGCGGCAAGGTCGCTGGGCAACTGGGGAAGAATCCAATGTAGGGCATTTCAAAGACCGTTGGTCATGAGATACAAGGGTGAGAGAGAAATGATGACTTCACTGCAGTCATTCTCAATGGTCCGATGGGCTTTTGAACTGTTTGTAAAATGAGTGGCACACACAGCTCACGAGGTGAGGGCCATAGTGTGGAGACCAATGATTGAAGAACAGCGCGGCAGTGCGCCGCTGAAATGAAGAGCTGGCACTCACCTCATGCCAGGATGGACTAGAAAATGGCTTGTGGCTCGTTGAGTAGCTCTAGCCCCGAAATCAACAGCTTGTAGCTTGAACAATCCTTAAGAGAATACCACAGCTCGAAGTCGCTGTGGCATAAGAATGCCCATTGGGTAATTGCCTCGCCTTTGTAGAAGTGATAAACTCTGCTGATCTCGTCCTGCGGTGCTTTGAATGCCAGATCAAGTCCACCATAGGCCATAGTTTTGCCAAAAATTGCCACAGACAGAAGCATAGGAAGGTTGAGGAACCTCAGGCCTCAAGGCCAGTGGCCACAATGGTCAAGTCGGTGAAGCAGCGAGGAAGAGATGATGATGTCACGTGGGATATAGAAAAGGACCAAAACCTCATTTGGCTCATTGTGAGAAGAATTTATTTAGCCAATGCCAAACGTGGACTCTTTCGCAGAGCCCCCACTCGGAGGTGCGTTGTCCTTTACAAACCCACGGCCGTATCACCCAGACTCAGACGGTATGTGACATGCATGCTCGTAGATTCATCTAGCATCTCATGTTGGCAGAATAGCGCCAGTATCAGCTTATCAGGGCGTATCATGACGTAGATCATGAGCATCATGATTCTTATAAGCAAAGCCACAAATAATAATACGATACTCCGCCTTACTCCGCTGAATTGCAGCGTCTTGGCCCTCGTCCAGGCTAGCTTGAAGTTGTGAGGGACAAACAGATTTGGCTTATCGTGAAGTCATTCACAACTTAGCGTTACCATCACTTGCGAAGAACGACAACCTTCACTGTATGTGACTCGTACCTCGGCGGCATCCTCATCTAACACTCACAATCGCCTATGAACGCTCGGACTCATCTAATATGAAATATGACGCCCACAGGCCTGATTGGGAGTGCGCAGTGTTGGTAGACTGACTTAGCCGCTCTCCTATCTCGCAGCCGACTCTTGTTTGCTCTGTGACGCTTTCCGTCTACCCAACCTTTGAAACCAAGGGTCGTCCCAATGGCCACAACCCATGATGATCAGTAAGTTCGATCATTCTCATATCATTTGACCATATAGTTCACGATATGTAGATGTGTATTCTGTCTGATCATCCAAGGTGAGCAGGTTTGAACGGTTTTGAACATCTCAGATGAACTGTCAATGGATTGAACTGTCAGGAACCATCCCAAGCTTCAAGCTCTTTGAGACCGAACATAGGTACACTTACAACAGGTTCTTTCCGACTACCGCATTGATGTCGCAATCCAGCCTAGCATTCCTCGACATCAACCCAATTTCTGAGGGGCACACCCAAGTGATCCCAAAGTGCAAGTACACCCATCTTGACTCTGAAACATTTAGACCCGGGCTGAAACTCATTTCAACGGGTCTAGACCATGCAAAGACTCTGGGAGATCTCCCGGACGAATATTTACGCGACATAGGACCCGTTTTAAAGAAGGTAGCCTTGTCAACAGGTATCGAAGCATATAACATTGTGCAGGTATGAGAAATCGATCTTTTCTAGCCATGCGTCAACGACCCGTGGTCTTTAGAACAACGGAGAAATAGCTTTCCAACACGTGGGCCATGTCCACTTCCATGTCCTTCCGAAGCCAAGCGAGGAGGAAGGCTTGATTCTGACTATTGGTCAGAACTGGCCGCAGAAGAATGTCGGGAAAGAGGAGTTGGCTGCTACGTTGGCGAAGATGAAGGAAAGGCTTTGAATGTCGTTTGTAAGCATCCAAATGTAATAATCAACCTCTTCGCATTCACGTTCGATCAAAATTTGGACTAAAGTGACTTGTGCTAAGTAATCCCTACGATGTCCCATTCTCTCCGCTCAAGCCTCTCCTCATTTTGATAACCACTCACAGTAGACGCAGGCTGTCAGTCTAAACACATGATTAGTTGCATGCGTTATTTTTAGATTCTCAGTTTCGTCTGTCCTTCCCAATTTGGTCCAGGACGGAAACTGCGTGCAGTCGTATTCAATATCAGCCTCTCCGGACTAGAACAAGGTAACAGTATGAAAGAGCGCTTGATGCATTAGAGGATTGACTAGGACACCGTCTTCTGCACCTTCACTGGCCATGCTCCATCTCACTAGCTCGCTACAGCTTTGTGCTCTGTTTCTTACTCTCTCGGTTTCGGCGGCCCCTGCCAGCAAGCCATCTGCGCTGACACTTGGCACTTGGACATCATCTGTTTCAGGATCTCCCAGCTTAGTGTCGGCAGCTAGCCCAAGTCCGACATTCCCTTTGGCGACTGACAGCCCCAATGCTCCTGCCTTTCACGCGGGAGCAGACATTCAACCTGAGCCTATACGCGGTAAACTCGGCAGCAACATCATTGGTCCACAGAATGTGGAAATCGACAGACAGAATCCTGACTTCCTTGCACCTCCTACTACGGATAATGGTGAAGTGTGCGTAATTCGCGCAGTCGTGCGTGTGCCTCGTGTTGACGATTTGACCCTAGGCTAAATGCAAAGTGGCCCTTCAGTCTGAGTCACAATCGTCTGCAGACCGGGGGTTGGGCCAGACAGCAGAACAGTGAGCTTCTCCGAAACAATGCGATATCATGCTGCTGACTTTCGTACATTTCAGTCAACGATATGCCAATTGCTAAACGTCTGTTGCCAACTATGTCCGATCACCCATGATTTCTCACTAATGCGATCACAGAGATGGCTGGCGTCAACATGCGACTTGACCCTGGCGCTGTTCGGTACGTACCTACTTCTGATAGAATCTCATCATTCTGAACGCCACTTCCAGAGAGTTGCACTGGCACGGAACCTCCGAAGTATATACCTTTCCCGCTGTTCGTTCTCAACTCAAATACTGAACTATCGTGTGATATTTTACAGTGGGCCTATGTTATAAAGGTGTGTCTCTTCGATCACTTCCATTATCTTAATATCCAAACATCCTCGGGCAGGGATCAACTCAAATAACGGCCGTGGATCAGGATGGAAAGAACTACTTGGCTAATGTGGTATGCTTCTCTGCATTGCATCAATAGTCGACACTCTAACAACCTTCGGCAACTTAGAATGCAGGTGATATATGGTACTTCCCACCAGGCGTTCCACACTCTCTACAAGCGACCAATGAATCTACCGAGGGCACGGAGTTCCTACTGGTTTGTTACGTTATTTTTCATTTAAAATTCCCGTTTGAAACCGCATCCACAGGTCTTTGATGATGGTGATTTCAGCGAAGATGCAACTTTCCTGGTACGGTGGTCCATTTGAGGCCATTACCAAATACTGTGCTCACATACCGAATTTGGCTGTTAAGCTGACGGATTGGCTTGCGCATGTCCCAAAGGAGGTGATCGCTAAGAATTTCCAGACAGATATATCGGCATTCAATAACATCCCTGCCAAAGAGCTGTACATCTTTCCCTCTGGTTTGCACCTACACCAACCATTCGGGTGATACCATCTGACGTATGCTTTTCAGAGGATCCATCTCTAGATGCTGTTCCTGTCCCAGATCCTCAAGGACAAGTTCCTAACGCCCTATCTTTCGCCATGTCGACGATGAATGCGACTCGAACGCGAGGTGGATCGATCAAGATCGTAGATTCGACTATTTTCCCCATCGCGAAAACACTTGCTGTCGCGGACGTGACTGTTGAACCTGGAGCTATGAGAGAATTACACGTCAGTTTTATTGGTTGTATAAAAGCATCTCTAATTGACGCTGTGGACATTAGTGGCATCCCACTCAAGACGAATGGGCTTACTTCATGTGAGCCTTCTCTACTTATCTCGCTGTTCATGTTATAACTCTTTCTGCGCAGTGAAGGGAACGCTCGCGTCACTGTCTTCGCTTCTCAAAGCAACGCTCGAACGTTCGACTACCAGCCAGGCGATGTTGGATACGTTCCTGCGACCTACGGTCTGTCGTTATTCAACTCTATGATATTGATATTGCTTAGACGACGAGTTCAGGGCACTATGTCGAGAACGTCGGGAATACGACGTTGCATTATCTTGAGATCTTCAAAACTGGTGAGCAGATAATCGTGTATTCTGATCCTCATCCTAACGATCCACCTAAGATCGGTTCCAAGATGTCAGCCTAAGCCAAGTAAGAGCGTTTGGACAATTCCGTTTGTGAATTCTCTGCTCACTCGTTTTAACAGTGGCTTGCCCTCACTCCGCCTGCGCTGGTCAAAGCTCATCTTGGCCTCAGCGATGAGACAATTTCCGGATTCCAGAAGACGAAACAGTATATTGTTGGTATCTGAACCGCTGTATCAGTATGACCATAGCCGTCCTGTTGTCGCCACTGTTATTTTCATCTAAAGCAATATTTCTGATTGTCATGCACCTGGACATCCTGGGTCTGCGGACAGGATGAATCCTCGAATCTTCCATTGTTCATCCTCAAGACTTCACAGGGCCTCACCACCGACACAAGAGAATGAGACTTCAGAGAGGTGCTGGACATTGAGAGAAATTTGGCATTTAAGTTACTTGAGAACACCAATGATATGGTAACTCTGCACTTTAATTACTCAGCAAACATAAATTATGCAAATGGGGAGGTGCACTACGGTGCCGCTTCATCGAAATCTCAACCCGACGATGTCAGATTTATATCGCTCTGCCATGCAGGCCAGGATCTCAAAGTTACCACAACTACCTCCTAATGAGGATGATGAGGATGAGGAAGCAGGAGACTCCATCGCAGCGCTTCCGAGTTCTATGGGACCACCACGGTAAGGATGCACAAAGTTCATATGCCACCTGCTTCTGTGTGCTTTTGATCAATCATCTACTTGCTGTTGGATAGGACTAGGACTCGTAAACAGCCTAATCCCGCGTACACGCCGATATCAGCCTCGTCATATTTCTCCGAGGCGCTGCAAGTCGCCGTGCCACCTTCTGCACTGGACATGCGTGTTTACTATACCCCACCGCGCGTCCCGCAGGGGGATGGAACTGGCACTGTTATGGTGTGTCACCACGGTGCAGGGTTCTCTGGGCTCTCCTTCGCGTGCTTTGCCAAGGAAGTCGCTGAGATGACCCAGGGTGAGTGTGGGATAATGTCCATTGACGCCAGAAGACATGGTAAGTCCCTAAGGATTCCTCGTGTCATCCATAAAATGCTTTGCGGTCCCGATTTTCTGGCATCTGAATTTCCATATGACGCTCGAGCCAATGCACTAAACAAGTGTACGAGCATAGAGCTCAACATCTCTGTCGTAAGACTGTTTCAGCATCATTCTTATCTCTAGTCGTACCCATTACATCTCTCTCGATAATATGAATAAATTAATGCTTTGACGGGTGTTTCCCTCGTAGGAAAAACGATGCCTTCCGATGGCAGCTCGGATGAAGACCTTTCAATCGATATCCTCGTAACCGACCTAGTCAATCTCCTACAAATCGTCTTTCCGGACCCTAGCAAAGCGCCTTCATTCTTCGTAGGTGTCCAGTGTTTGAGCAAAAACATCTTCTCAAAGTGCACAAGCACAGCTTGTGGGACATAGTATGGGTGGTGCTGTCATCGTGCGTGCGTGCCCACGCCTCCTTGCAGGAAACTACAAGGTAGGTGGAGTAGCGGTACTCGACGTTGTTGAAGGTATGTTTTTAATCTTTCTGGCATCCTTCATCTAAGTTGGTTCTTGTCGCAGGGTCCGCTATTGAGGCCCTTCCGCACATGCCCATCATCCTGAACTCCCGCCCCGAAGGGTTTGATAGTATCGAAGAAGCCATTCAGTGGCAGTGGGTGTTCTCCAACTGACCTATCCATGGCTGCAGTCTCGTTTTTGACTTTAATCACAGCGTGTCAGCCAATCAAATACGCAATCCTACTTCAGCCCGCGTATCTGTCCCTTCTCTGATAATTGAGGCCCCCTCCGACCCTCGTACACTCCGTTCGTATCCATTGATATGGCGAACTCCGCTCCGGTCTACTGGACCTTACTGGGAAAGTGTGTGATTCGCTTACTCTCAAATCTTTCAACGGTCACTGATACTCGTCTTCGGCTTCAGGTTGGTTCACTGGTCTCTCTGCCTCTTTCCTGAACGCGCGCACCGCCCGCCTGCTGGTCCTCGCGGGAACCGATCGACTAGACAAAGAGCTTATGATTGGCCAGATGCAGGGCAAATTCCAGATGGTGGTTGTTCCTGGTACAGGGCACATGTTGCATGAGGTATGCCCCCGTGGATTTTCTGTCTCGATGCCGACCAAACCTTCGTCCAGGACGATCCCGTTAAACTAGCAGAGACCCTCGTCGAATTCTGGAGACGCAACGAGCGTGTAGTGGTGGGAGTGAAGAAAGTGGGCGATCTGTGATCATCTCATCACGTTCGAAGAGAGAAAAAAACAAAGTTGTAGTATCCCTAAGTGTATCTTACTTTTTGCTCGTTGTATACCAATCACAGCTACGGGTCTGAATTCACATCACCCTTGGATCTTCCTTTTCATCAGTCTTCCCTTTTCCTTCCCCGATGCCGCCGCTAACAGGCGTTCCCGCAAACTTTTCCCTTAGAGCCTGATACTTTCTCCTCTGTGCCCGACTCACGCTAGGCCCCACTTTCTCCAGTGCCTTATCGAAGTCATGCACACCCACCTGGACAGCCTCCCCTCCGGCACTGCCCTCTTCCGCCAAGCCACCATCCATTTCCTGTAGAGTCCCTAAAGTTCTTCGCAGGGCCAATACACCCGCTTCCCTGACAACTGCAGCTAAGTCGGCACCACTGTACCCGTCCCCGCGCTCCCGCACTAGTGTCTCAACTGCCTCCTTCGCGCCGTCAGGGCCCAACGGCAGCTTACGCATCATCGTGCGTACGATCTCCACTCGCTCATCTGCGGTTGGGAGGTCGACGTAGAGCAGTTTGTCGAGGCGGCCTGGGCGGCACATAGCTGGGTCGATCATGTCGGGGCGATTGGTTGCGCCCAGGACGAAAACGCCTTTACGGGAGTCCAACCCGTCAAGTTCAGTCAAAAGGGTGTTCACAACGCGTGCAGAAGATTCGGACTAGAGAATAAGTGAGTACGAGGGGTAGGCAGAAAATGAGGGCGAACGTGAACTCACAAGGCTCTCGTCTCTTCTTGGAACCAACGCGTCAAGTTCATCGAAAAAGATGACACAGGGTGACGATGCCCGTGCTCGAGAGAACACCTGTCTCACAGCACGCTCACTTTCGCCAACGTACTATTCGCCAAGGTCATCTATACCAATGAAGAAAACGTGTACGATAGATTTCGCACCTTATTTAACAGTTCTGGACCTTTCACGCTGATAAAGTTGGCTCTGGACTCGTTTGCTACCGCTTTCGCAAGCAAGGTTTTGCCGCATCCTGGAGGGCCCCATAGCAGGACTCCACACGGCGCATCGATGCCCACCTTCTTGAACAATTCCGGCCTCCGGATGGGCTGCACAACGGCCATGTGAAGCTCACTGCGGGTCGCATGCAGCGCGCCCACGTCAGCCCAGGTGACGTCTGGAACAGTTGCGAATCCTTCACGTTGGGCGGATGGCTGAACTTGCTTGAGTGCAGCAGCAAAGTCAGCAGACGTGATACAGATGGGGGCGAGTTGCAACGGGGTGAGAGGGGATGGGTGGGCTTGGAGGAAATGAGCAATAGAGCTGCCGGTCGTTGTGGGGAGAGTAAGTGCGGAGAAAGGGGAGAGTTGGGCGTTGGGCATGACTGTGACCAATGGCGCTTCGGATGTTTGCGCTCCATCGACCTGCATCGACACGTCGCCGTCTGCAACTTCTGTCACTTCTCGCTCTTCGATATCTGGGATGACTAGTGTCCCTTCTGAAAGCTGCTTGAAGATACGTTTCACGGCGATGATACCTGCCGCCCCCGTCAAAGCGGAAAGATCAGCGCCGACATAGCCCGGTGTCGCTTTTGCAAACGCCACGAAATCGAATGAGCCGTCTAGCCGGAGTTTCGAGCAGAGAACACGCAGAATCCTAGAAGACCGTGACATACAGCACAAAAGGGAATAGAGCGAAGGGAGCTTACTGTGCGCGTGCTTCATCGTCAGGTACACCCATAGCGATTTCATGATCGAATCTTCCTGCCCTACGCAAGGCAGCATCCAGGGAGTCAGGTCGATTTGTTGCACCAATCACAATCACGGGTTTATTATCAGTCTTCTCCCATGACAGATCTGCAGACACGGCGGTTGCTGTTGGCCGCATCGAAGAGAGAAAAAAAAGTTACGTACCATCCATACAAGTGAGAAATTGGGCGACTATTCGCCTCTCCATCTCTCTTTGTGCATTTTCTCTTTTTGGGGTGATTGCATCTATCTCGTCGATGAAGAGTAGGCACGGTGCGACACGCTACAAGATGCTGAGAACGGGTTGCTTCTTTAAGTGAAGCAAACATGCCTTCGCTTCTTCAAAGGTCTCGCGGAGAGTTTTTTCCGACTCGCCAGACATCCCTGAGACGATGGATGGCGCCGAAATTGAGATGAAGGGCACGCCTAGTTCCTGTGACCAGATGTCAAGATATAAAATACAGCGAATACAGTCGTAGCACGCACCCCTCCTATAGCCTTCGCTAGCATTGTCTTGCCACAACCCGGGGGACCGTGCAAAAGCACACCTCTCGGTGGCTGCACGCCCGTATGCAAATATATCTCTGGATGTGCCAACGGCATAGCTACCAACTCAAGCATTTTTTCTACGCATGCATCAGCACCTCCCAAATCGGACAGGCGCACCGTTGGCGGAGCATACTCCTTTGCTATACCACTCGAAGAACCTGAAATCCGCGTCCTCTTGATACTCTCGTCTCCTCGAGACGAGCGCGCCTTCCGCTTTCCATTTGATACCGGCGGCCGGGACTCTGAAGACTCGTGGGTGGGAGGAGTCGATGTACCAGGGATAGCTTCTGCTTGAGGAGTGTGTGGTTCTTCAATGGCAGGTGATTGGACTGGCGGTGTGCTGGTCGCAGGAGTCGGAGGTGTATTTAGGTTCACCTTTTTTCTGTGTGTCGACCATAGACCTTGCATAGACTTGTTCAAAGCATTGGGACCCTATCTGACTGTTCGTGAGTAAGGACAAACTGGATGTGTACTTAACGACGCACAGAAACTATCTCCATTGCGGCGCGCTCGAAGGCGGTATGGGTACGCGCGTTCACGGTCCGGTCACAGTGATTGGAACAAAAAAAGAACTTCCCGTGGTAGAAACTATGTCTGTAGAATTGACTTGAATGGAGAAAGCACGGTTTCTGCGCGTTTGTAGGAGGCAAGAGTGTTTTTATTTGACAAATCACTGTATTCACCGACAGAGACCCCGGCCACTAGAGGAAACGAACTCTGCGGATTTGACTCAAAAACAGCCAGCAAAACTCAAATTGGAGGTAGTGCAAGCAGAAAACACAAGCTTGAGAAATTAATGCGTCGAAAATTTCACTGAAAATGCTGAACGTGGATAGACAGTTGCCGCTTGAAGTACTAAAAGTTGAAAATCCAACGATACGGCATTTGCCGACTGCAAGGCTTTCGGCTGAACCAGCTTGTTTCTCGTACATCCACCATCGTTCGACTCTGTCGCAGCGCATTTCACGATGGAACTACCTTATGTGTGCTCTCCTATCGTTTCTTTGTTTGAGCGTGACTAACATGTTCGTCAGGTTGATGTCATGTCTATGCTGAGAGAGTTATCGAAGCCGCTTTGGGAAATTGACTTCCCAAGCTTGCCCAACGTGTGGGGAATAAGCGCACCTTGGCTGCTCAGCCACGGATACAGGCTTTACCCTACATGGCCGGAAGGCCGATATGAGTCAACCATCTGCAACTCTGACCACCCCGCTCCGCGAGATCTCCCGCATCCATATGCGTATTCAGCATACTTTCCCGGTCCATGCAATGATGTCTCTATGTCGGTAGGCCAAATTCTATCAAGGTGTGCTGATCGCCACCTGACGAACTATACTCCAGCAAAATGTAATTGGCGCTCAGGACGAGCAATGGCGAGATGTGGTCATCAAGGTCGTGGCCAAGGGTTCCCAGGAACTTACCATTTTCAAAATTCTAGCAGAAACGCCTGAATTATTCGACTCGAGAACATTTCCATGCGTCATTCCGGTCTTAGAAATTCTCGATACTCCCTACGACTATAAGTTTGTTGTCTTGCCACGGTAGGTCAAACTTTATAAGCGCTATCTTCTTTCACCTTCCATGTACCAATGATTCGTGACCTTATTCAAGATGGGGCGAGCCTGCAATGGAATTCTCTGACGTCAGAGAATTTCTTTTCTTTATTTCTTCTATGCTTCGGGTTAGTCCCGGCTTGTGAATCGCCCTACAACGGATACATTGACCATTCTCTCTGATAAATAGGGTTTGTGTTTCCTACACGAGCATAGAATAGCCCACAGAGTGCGCGCGCAAAGACTCATCACTCAATCAATCGATCTCACTCCTTGTTTCACAGGACATCTCCGAAAGCAACTTTCTCATGAATTACTTTCACTATAACTACCCTCCAGGGGGTGGTTGGACCCATCCTTATCTCGCTCCCTTTCGCGCGGGCCATATGTCGCTCCAGCCTCAATATTGCCTTTTCGACTTCAACCAGTCAACCATTTTCCCCCGCAAAGCGCCATTGAAAATGTGTCGCTTGCCAGACCGATTTTCCTGGTCCGGGACTCCTCAGTATCATCCAATGGATCTCAATCAGGGGGAGCTGGATTTTGATCCATTCGCGTTCGACGTCGGCTGCATGGGTTTTTTTTTGCTCCAGAATTTTCATGTGCGGATGCGCCTCTCATACCTTTGCCGTAGCTAACCCTGGCCGTCCAGTACATAATCCCAGCAGTGCCTCTTGTGGCTCCTCTACTCGAGCACATGATCACAGATGACGTCGAACGTCGCTTCACAGCTTTCGAGGCTCTGCAGTTCTGCGATGATATTAAATCAAGAGCGACAGAAGAAGATCTCACCAAATCTATTCCTCCACATAACTATGATCGTCCGCTCCAAGTCCCGTGGAGTTCACTTCCTCCAGACTTCGTAGCCCAGTGGTCACTCTGGCGCAACCCGCCTCCAACGTATCTGACGCGTCTGCTTCGTTGGGCCGATGCATTTGACTGGGGACACTTGATCATCCAATCCTTCCGACAAGCTTTTCGTTACCTTGCAGGCTCGAGGCCGGCATATATCATGGGCCACTGGGATTATATGAAATGACCTGACATATCTGATTGCATTCATTCGATTCCTCAAGCCTTTGCTTCCTGCAGTGTGATTCGGTCCTCGAGAACGCCCCCTTGCACCCGGACTGGCTATCTCGTCCTCATGCTATGCGCAGTTCTGGACACTTTCTCCCGACCATTTTATTGGTGATTTTCACTCCTGATGATTTTAAATCGTTTGTTTTACCTTCTAATGTGGACACATGCATTCACTTAACGCCCTTTATCACAGCTGCTGAGCCCCTCTGACGCACCCTTCGCGTATCGATGCCGGTTCCGCCGGTTCTCAGCTAATATCCTATCGATTATTATAGGATTGCTATTCTTGCTTCGAATTATAGTGCAATGCCAGAGAGTATGTGCAAGCGTTTGGCGTTGTGCCTACCAGGATATCATCTATTATACTCTTACCTCAAGAACTCATGGAATTACGAAATGGATCCAGAACATCCTTGCCGCCATGCTTTTCGCGGTCTGAGGGCCTTCAAGGGTTACTATCTACTATCTAGCTCACAACTTACCCATGACTGTGACTCTAAGTTCAAATTTTCCATGGATCTTATCAGCGGTGGTCTTTCTCTACCATTATCTTACGATTCATCAGCGATCTTACATCAGGTGTCACAATGTTCAGGATCGTCTCGGCAAGGACTATAATTTCTTCAGCAATCCTTCAAAAAATCGTCATTGGCACAAATCACTGCTGAATCCTTGTAAAGAAGGCAAGCTGGCTCTCCGAGACTCTGGAGGTGCTTAAGTCTCCTTTTTAGGTGACCACATTATTCCCACGAGAAACGAGTCAGCTGGAATTTCCCAAGGGTAGTCTATGGACTCAGTCACCAGCGCTGTCATATCAAGGGGCCACACATGGTCTACCATGGGGCAGACACTATTGGACATCAGAGGTGATTCATTGTCGATAGCAGAAAATATACATGAAGGGGAGGCCAAGGCAATAGAAGATAATGAGTGTAAGCAAGAGAAGCAGTAAAGAGGGGGGGAAGCAGACATGAGAGCAAACAGGAAGAAAAAGGAACATGAGAGTCAACTAGCAAGTTGCAAGGGTATACAAGAAACAACATGACAGGTGCAGGCAAAAACCCCCTCCCACAGAGGTAGACTTCCTAGCGTATAGCAGGAGACCTACTACAAGAGAAAAAAGGTCAGCAGCAAGAGTGGGTAGGGAAAAGGAGTGCAACCTAGCAGTGTCAGTTGCACAAAGCTACCAAATCCTTGCTGTCCATCATACACCCTGGTATGCAGGTGTGGAACTGGTTAGATGTGGTGTACTGGTGAAGAGTAGTTGGAGTCGACATCAATGTCAGAGCAAAAATCCAATAGGGTGACAAGGCTGGCATAGTCATTGGGATAAAAGGGTTGTGTGTGCTGGTCAGATGTGTTCACAGTGATGCCATCCTCTAACCAAAGATGGAAAACAGCCTAGAGAAATGTCTGGAGTGGAGTTGGAAAGCCATGGGCAGCAAAGGAACTGAAAAAGGTGGGCACACTACAGCAAGTGGGCCCATGTGATTAGGGTGCATAAAAGAGCAGAGTCGGTAGAGGAGGGACCTTTAATCCAAAATTTAACCCACTCCTTCTCAATGGCATATATGCCTCTAACTCTCCCTCTCCTAACCTAAGAGAGTGTGAGATCCACAATGGACATGAAGGATCCCATTATCTGGAAAACCACCCCTTTGTATCAAGCTCTAATTAGTTCTATTTATGCATAATTAAGAACAATTAGGATTAAACATTTTTAGCTTACCCCCCCTCTAAACCTGTTCTAATTAGACATAATTCTCCTAAATTAGGAATTACTAAGATTGATTATAACTTGAAATTTCGGAAAAATCATAATAAATCAAGCATCACAGTTCTCATAGCCTTCTTATAGAGTCATGTCTATTAGAGCACTAGTTCAATACCTAAACACAGAATATACCTCATAACAAACTTGCCTTCTGCCAGGTTGAACCAACAACCTCATGTATGCAAGCACCCAGGACAGATGCTCTAAGCCACTAAGCCACAAGGTCTAAGATATAAACTTGGTAATCAAAATAAGTAGACATAATATAGGCAACCTCAACATCTCTGATTTTATTTAACATCTATCTTTCCTCTATCTTATAGATAAATAGGTCAATAAATACCTAAAAAGTCAGGTCTTTCAGGATTTAGTTTAAACACTAGCTAAGAAGATAATAAACTAATGGAAAATCGATAATACACTTTATATAGGATAAAAATAAATTATGGCACTTATACAATTTGGACTGAGAATGTGTAAAACTATGATTGAGTGTAATATTCAATGGGACTCTACTAGTATAGACAATGCTACCTGAATTTGCAAATTTGATGAAAAACATGATTATGAATAATCAAGATCCAATAAGAGAGAGGGGTTTTCCAAATATCCACTAGTGAGGTAGAGGGTAGGGACAAGAGTATATGTATGGCATGTCTATATATAAATAAGCACAAGATTGTTGAAGGTGATCTTAATATGCTTAGTGCATATATTTCCTATATGGCAGGCAAATATATCATTCTGGCACCACATACTAATATGACTGTCTTTTCCACAGCCTAATAGCTAGAGGAAAACACCAAGTTTGAGCATCTTCTATATAACAAGGCAATAAACAATATAAATAGTGCTAAAATTGTAATATCAATAGTGATGATGATTGTGTGCTGCACAAGACAGTATTGACCATTGTACTAATAGACAAGGTCTACAAGGCTGCATATAGCATATCCCTAAGTCCAACCCACATGTTGTGTCTTATAATGACCAGTAGCAGGTATTGGCTAACAATAACAACTTTAATGATCTTGTGTGCAAGGACAAGGTACCTAGGTCTTCATAGCCTCTTGTGGCAGCTGCCAAGCTGCCAACGAGGTGGCTGGGGGCATCAATGCACATTTCTCTCTTTCTATATCCCTTGTAAAGGCAGCTGGAAAGTCAGCAAAAGAGCTATAAGATAATGGTATAGGCATATATGAAGGAGAGTAATATGCTGAAATAGTCTAGAATGTGCCACATCTTTACCTTCTCACTGATAGAGCAGTAGTACTTACTATTTCCTACTAATAATAAAGGACTTCTTAGTATAGAATTAGTGCTAATATGATAAAATTAGAAATCAATCCAATGCTCATAATGTATTGCTCCCAATTAGGAAATTAGACACTTTTAGATGCTATTAACACTTTTAGATACTTTTAGACACTATTAGATATCATCCAGAGCTAATACAAGGGGGTGGTTTTCCAGATGTATTATCTCCCCTGACAAAACTCAACTCACACTCTTTCACAATAAATCAGCCTATCCAATCTACATGACCTTTGGCAATCTACTCAAGGACATATGCAAGAAGCCCTCTCAGCACTCACAGATCCTGATTGAGTATCTCCCTACAACTCAACTTGATCACTTCACCAACAATGCAGCATGTCACCGTGCCATGAGCAACCTCTTCCACAGTTGTGTTCACAAGATCCTGGAGCCACTGAGATGTCATGGCAAGGAAGGATTGGCGATGGTCAGTGGAGATGGTATCTGGTGGTGCTGTCACCCAATCTTGGCCATACTCATGGGGGATTATCCAGAACAGTGCTTAGCTACATGTACCCTCTTTGGTGACTGCTCAAAGTACACAGTGCCCCACAATAAGCTCAGAGATCACATACATTACATGGCCCACAACCTCAATGATGTGCAAGACCTTCTTGATCTTGCTGATGAAGATCCAGCATCATACAATAGTGCCTGTCATAACGCTTGCAATAAGCCAGTTTATCACCCCTTCTGGGAGGCATTTCCTTATGGAAACATATTTATTGCCATCACATCTGACATCCTGCACCAAGGCTATCAAGGGATTGTCAAACACCTCGTCATCTGGCTCAATGATGCTTCCGGTGTCGTGGTGAGGAATGGTTTCTCCCCTAGACACGATCGGGGTTTCCTGTTTTTCCGGATGTACCTAGTGTTCGTTTGATTGCTGTTCTAGATGATACCTTCTGGTGTTGGCACGATGCACAGATGTTGGTCACAGTTATAGGCAACGATGAGAATATCCTGAGCTATTTAGCGAATTTCTAAAGTGGTGCCGGACCACTAACAAAGACAATACTCCGTAAATGTTGAGAATAATGAGGAGAGGCTTAAGAACTTTGTGATTCAAGTTGCTGAGGTGCTACACAGATTGAAGGCGAGCTACTAGTTTGTCTAGTATCCCTACAAGTCTTGCAGCTTATCTCCAACTGATATCACTCAAAGAACTTATTGACTGGCACTGACTGACTGAGTAAAAGTAAGAGGGAGAGATGGTCTCTGCCTGAAGCAGGACAATCAGCCTCCTTATATACTATTTCAAGTGGGAATCTCCTTCCTAGTATATACAGGCTGAGTAGAGTCATTGTGAGTCACAAAGAATGCTGTAGAAATAAAAAGAATAGGGAGGAAGGCAGAGGAACAGAAAGGAAAGTAAAAGAAAGGCTCAGAATGTGGTAGAATATTCCTTCAGCTTCCTTCAGAACTGCTCAGAACCTTCCCCTCCTTTCAGCTTGGAATGCCCTAGACCTTGCCCCTTTCCTAAACATTCTCCATCCTTCCACTAAAGCTCCTTTCTATTCTACCAGATTCCACTGCTTTCTTTCCATTCCTTATTGTCTTGCCATGGTCTAGCCCTTTCTGAAATAGACCCTAGGCTCTGGAATCTGTCCCAAAAGCGAATTATGAGTATGAAAAGGGATAGGAAATCAAGTTTAAGTGGTAAAATACTCGAAAAATATGTAAAAAATCGGAATTAAATGTCCTGTCCCTTCTAGGTTGTTTCTCTTTTCTTTCTTCTAGCCAGATATTCTGCCCTCCATTCTACCATCACTATTTGATGCCTAACAATGTGCGAGCGCGACATCCACGGGGCACTAGCATTCAACCGTCCCCGGTTGATGGTATATTCTTTTTAGACCACGTGATTCCATGATTTCAAAAAAAAGAAACTCGGAAGTGCTAATGAATGTTAAAAAGATTGTTGAATCGTGATACCAAAAGCATGTCCATAGAAACTCAAAAGGGAAGAAAAGATAGACTGTAAGAATGTTTATGGAGCATACCGTAAAACAAGATTAGGCATGACGAAAGCGACAAAATATCTGAGCCCCTGCTCCTCCTAATTATAGTAGAAGAGATTTAAGAAAAATAAGAAAGAATATCTGTTATACTGCCATTCCTTGGTCTCCTTCTCGTCACGCTGAAGTCTGGAAATGAACGCAGTGTGCTCAAATGAGCTGTCAGCTATCTCACCAAGCCTTGGCACAAACTGTAAGTAAGGACGAGCAAAAAATAGGGTAATGTCTGGCATTCTAAATGAATAAGTGAGGATGCCCATAACATCTGCTGCTACGCTAGGCACCAGAATATGGTCTGCCCACCAGTTAACTTTTCCTGGTTCTTTGCTCCGCACTGATCCTCTAAACAGGCTCACCATCGGGTCTGTTCCCAGATACTGCTGAATATTCACCTCCATCCATGCATCCTCTTCTTCACATCTGGTCAGCAACTGCTTCCCTTCCCATACCGCATCCAGTCCTGCTTTCTCCAAAATCCATACCTTCTTTTCTATCCTTAATCCTCCAGGCACATTGAACAGATTAATTAATCCACGCGTTAAGGTGGGCGCCGCTGAACATAGAGTTGATGGGTCCCCTTCCATGTGCTCCATGATACAGATCGTCCCTGTCGTCGAGCTCTGTCCGGTAGTTACCGGTATAGCGCTATAGGGATAGATATTGATTCCCTGACCAATCTTAAGTAAAGGTTTCATGGCAGATGAGGTAGACGACGTGTTTCTGAGGATGAAGATGATGGTGAGTGGAATGAGGAACTTTGTTTTACAACTTCCCTGTTTCTTTCCCCGTTCATTCCTATGTGCGCTTGTGTGTCCTGATTTTCTGAGCTTCCTTTTTTAATTCCTTGGCATCAGGCTCATGTTAATCCACGTCTTCTTTATCACCGTTCTTCCAGCTTCTTTTCTATTTTTAGTCTTCCTCTTCTGAGCTGCTGTCTTTAGGTTCAGTGCTCCCTCCTCTGTATCTAGACTGCATGATTCTTTGCGCCTTCCTATCTCTGGCAATATATGGTAGAATCCTAAATGCTGCATATTTTTCCCTCATAATTTCCCCGCTTAATTCACTAAGAATGTAGGCACCGCCTTGATTACGTCGTACTATTTGATAAGGCCCTCTGTATCTTGGCTTGGCCTTCCTGTCTAGACTCTTTTCTATTTCTGTGTGTCGCACCAAAACCAAGTCACCTGGATCAAATGGTCCAAATTGCATCCGCTTTTGGAACTTCTTCTCAAACTTCTCTTTTGATCTGATCCTAAACTTTGTCAGCTGGGCTGCTGCTCTATCCAAATCTGTCTGCCGCTTCTGGATTTGCCGCATCCTCAAAGTTAAAAGATCTGCTCTTGACATACCACTTTTGAAGCCTTTCACCAAAAATGTAGATTCTGTTAAGTCAAAGGGCAGAACTGGGTGAACCCTATGTAAAAGATAGTATGGCGAGAATCCTGTGACTTTGCTGATTGTGATCTTATCAGCGAAGAATGCTTCTTGTACCTTTTCTGGCCACTTCGCAATGTTTCCTTCGCAGGCCTTGACAATTGATTCTCTGATAATAAAGTGCCCTCTTTCAACGACTCCATTGGCTTTAGAGTTATAGGGTGAGATAGTGATTTGAGGGATTCCCATTCGTTCCAAAAGAAGCTTGAATGCTCCTTTGACTTCTGATCCATTATCTGTGACGACTTCGCCGACTGCTCCATAACAACAATAGATTTGTTCCCAGAAGAATTTCATCAGTGTCTTAGAGTCTGCCCTACGCAAGGCCTGTCCTTCTGAGGCTCTAGATAAATTGTCTCTGGCTGCTACAATATATCTGTATCCTTTAGCAAGCGGCATGAGCATTATGTCAACATAAATCTTACTCCAGACCGTACTAGGTGTTGATATTGTCAAAGGCACTTCAACTCTTCTAGTGCTTCTGATTTGGCATTCATGACATGATCGCACATGGTGACGCACGTCATTGAACATATGCGGCCAAAAAAACCTGATCCGGATAGTTTCAAACACCGCTTGTTCTCCTCTGTGCCCTAATCCTTTGTGTGCTCTTGTCAGAATATCTAACTGTTGATTTTTGTCAAAGATAACTTTTAAGGGTGGCTTATCTCCATTCCTTTTGAACATATTGCTTTTCTGAATAAAAAATTTGGTAGCTTTCTGTATAAACCTCCTATCATCTTGGGTGGATTTAACATATTCTGGATATTGAAGCGTCTGCAGAAATTTGAATATGTCCTGTAGATTCTTTTCCTGAGAGATAGCTGCTGCAAATGTAGATGGAAGGTCTTCTACTTGATAGCTTCTTGTCTTTTGAATGGCTTCTGTTGGGTATTCTTTCCCTACTCTGCCGACATGATAAGTAATAGACTCTAACCAGCTATCATCGTTGAATTCTGCTTCTTCATCTTCTCCTAACCTTCTTCTTGATAGGGCATCTTACGCCTTGAACCTTTCTGCTGGAACATGGACCAGTGTGAAATCAAAGAGCAAGATTCCTTGAATCCATCTATTAATAGCTGCATTTGGTTATAAGTCTGGCGAGTTTAACATCCCTTTGATGTATTTTGCATCCACTTCCACATAAAGATTCTTGACGCCTATGATGTATAGCCTATAGTGTCTGAGTGCTCTGTATAGTCCAAATAATTCCAGTTTGGGCTGAGAATATCTAGACTCAACTTCGCTCATTGGTAGCGATCCGTACCGAGCGGGTCTTCTTCTTCCTTGATCATCAAGCTGAGAGAGAATGAAACCTACAGCTACATAGCTGGAGTCAACTGATAAGATGATTGGATTTAATGACTCATAGTCAATTGGTCTGAGCGCTGGCGCTGAAGATACGAGTTGCTTGAGCATATTGAAAGCTTTTTCCCTCCTGTCATCCCAAATAAAATCTGTGTTCTTTCGCACAAGTTCTGTAAGCGGCCTAGCTATCTGTGAGTAATTTGGAATCCAAATCCTGACGGTACCACATTGTCCTAGAAAGCCGCGCACTTCCTTCACTGTGGCCAGCGTTGGCCATTTAAGAATTTTCTCCACTTTCTTGTCTTCTGGTTTCCTCCCATCAGGAGTACACTTCTGTCCGACAATGACCACTTCCTTTCTGCAAATTTGCGCTTTGTTTGGTGAAAAGGTACCGCCCGCGTGCTTCATTCGATGCATAATCCTATGAACATCAACTGCATGCTCCCAAATAAATCTCCTGATTCCTGGATTTTCTTTTAGAACTTCTGGGTTACTGTTCTCATTAGGATAGGTAGTTTCTGGTCCTGAAATCCCTAAATCATCTACAAAAATGTTTGCTTTATCAGGTATTTCGTCTTGCAGAATAAAAACCATGCTATTCTGAAATTCTGCAACCGAGTTGGTAAATCCCATTGGCATCGAAGTTAGCCTGAGAGCACCTAAATGAGTCAAAAAGGCTGTCAGGTCCCTGCTATCTGTATGCACTTTTCTTCCGTCAAAACCCCAGAATAAATCAAAAACTGTAGTACAAGCTCTTGCCGCAAAAGGTTCCACAAAGTCATCGACAATTGGAGGAAGTCCTGCATCCCGAATAGTAACCTTGTTTAATGGCTGAAGATCATGAACAATCCTGAGTTTTCCATTCTTCTTCAAGACGCAGAACCATCTTGACCGATATGCCGATTGACTGTGTTCATACACTCCTGCCTTTATTTTGTCCTTGAGTAACTTGATAACCTTGTCCTTGATTCCTGGAGGAATGGGAATATTTTTATGAATCCATAGTGTATGAGGTTCAACTGGAATAATATATGGAGAGAAATATGATTCCTTGAAAGTCCCTCTCTGCTCTTCTTTGAATGCCAATGCCTCTTGATTTAACACCATAATATGTTGAAATAACTTGATTTCTTCTGGCCAAAGCCATCCTTCCTCATTAATAAGCAACATCTTCATTCCCTCCTCTGAAATCCTTTCTGTTGGCTTGAATTCCGGAGGATTAGGAGTCAAAACCGGCAGACTAAGCAAGGGATCTTCCGGGAATTGCCTCGTGACTCGGGCAAACTCCAGGAACGTTCCAGCCACTGGCTTCACCTTTTGATCGACTCGCTTATACATTGTACCCGAGAACTGATTCTCAGGCTGGCTCGGCATATTCCGATTTGCTGCCACTGCGTTCACGTGCGCCATTCGGACCGGTTCCGGCTCCTTAGACTGAGCTTTTGGTGAGCTTGATTTCTCGTTGACATAGCTGTAGACGCGTTCGCATTGCTCTACAATATGCGGGCATCTCCAGACCAGTAAAAACCAAGCATACAAGCCTGCTGTAAATAAAAAATGAATGCCCTGTAGGCTCAAAAGAAGCGCACCACCCAATGCGATCAACGCGAGCATAAATCACCCATTCTCAAAACGTGCAGAATCGTTGTATTGTACACATAGACCGAATGCATAATCCAAAAGCATCAAACAGACCACTATCATATCAGAATCATTGTAAGGAAGACATATGCTGAAGCAGAAAAGAAAGCATAAAACGACTGAGCAAACAAAATATGGAAGTGCGACTGAGAAATTTCGAGATGTGCCCTCAATAGGACCGAGCTGAATACTATGGTCCTCAGGAATTTGAACATATAGGAAACTCACATATGAGTGCAACCAAAATTCGATCAAGCATAAAGAAACAAGGTTTGGGTGATCTAGATAGAAAAAATGAAACTCGGATGCTGCATGTAAAAAGAAAATAAGAACGAGGCATAGGATGAAATAACAGAACACTCGCACCCTAATCAATCTCACTAACCTCTGAAGAATTTTCCCCAGGGTATGCATACCAGGGATCCTCACACAGGATGAGCGCGTGGACCTTCGCTTCTGCGCGCCGAAAGGAATTGTCGTAAAGATCTTGGTGAGTGCTGCGCTGTGGGTCCGCGAGGTTGCTGTTGACTAGCCACCGGATAATGTCGTCATCTGCAAAATGGAGTCCTAGGAGCGTATGCAGAGCCTCAGCAAAATCCCACCTTCCAACGAGCCTGAAGTAATCAATGGTCGTCCTGAAGAATGCGCCCTCTTCTACCGTGAAGAGTGGGCTCCAGTCTCGTAGATGCACCAGCAAACTTGCAAAATCCGAGTGACTTCCAGGTGTATCAAGAAGATGGATAACACACGGGTGCTTTAATTCCCTCTGGACCTCCGAGTCCTTCTCTATTATTTCCTCCTCTGACGCCTCCTCCTCCCGTTCTTCAAAGTTCTTCTTTACTCGCAGGACTAAGCGCTGGATCCTTCTTCTCCAGAAGACGACCACTGCAATTGTTGCATGAGCTAGAGCCGGCAAGTACGAAGCACCAGGGATAAAAGGAAAGATAGGGATGTTCGGCACCATATTAGGTGAGTAGCCAACAACCGTTTGATCCATAAGTTCAAAGAAAGTAACGGGATGTGTGTGAGCAATGTCGGATAGGTACCCCGCATCAGGGAAACTGCTCGGCGCTTCGTCAAGCCTTGCTACCACTTCACCCGTACTGGCTACCTCGACAAAGCTTCCCCTACGGACGAACTGAGGCTGGTCGTCACCGGCTGAAAGCACTTCAGGTGCCGCTGATAAAGGGATAAACGCGGCCTGCCTTCCATACTGATCCCTCAAGTCCACTGAAGCGTACTCCCCATGCGTCATCACAAACGCGGCTGCCTGCCTGTCGTCTGAGCTGTGAGTCCCTTCTTCTTCCCTCTGTCCTACTGATCTGTTTTCTAGGAATCCTTCCCTCGTCGCTACCGGCTCTCTCTGCATGCTAGCTGGTGTGCATTCCAAGAGCAAGACCGATGCCTCACGAGAGTTGTTCGGAACAGGAGTGGAGTTATAGGAGTCGACAAGCCGATGAAAAGGAGGCCCTGAGATTTCTGCCATGAGCAGTCCAGGATCAATGGTTCCATCGTTGAAAGGTCCGTCCCCCTGACCTATATTCTGACGCCTCTCGTCACCTTCCATCCAGTCTCCATCCCTTTCATTCAAAACCCTTCCTTCCCTTTCCCTTCTAATCGCCTTGATCCTCTCAAGCAGCCTCTGAAAACGCACCGACCCTATCCCTTCATTTGCCTGTACTGACACTGGTCCAACCATAGGTCCTTCGCGCTCCTGGTCCTCAAGTTCGTTGACTTCTGGTAACTGTAGAGTTGGAGCTGGTGAGTCAATTTCTATCGCTTCAATGACCAGAGGTGCGTGAATGCCTGTCGGCGCCGTATCATTACCCTGTAAGTGCGTTTCTTCCTCAGTAAGCTGTCTGCTCATAATTTTATTCACAGGATTTTCTGTATTGAAGAACAGTACCTAGCTTCGAAGCGTAGGGTACTCAACCCTTTCCGACACCCCTCCCGACAATCCAAAATACGTCTTGACGAACGAATGGCCGATCCGCAACAACAAAGGTTCCCCAGGATGCGAAGACAGCTGAGCAACATGTAGCATGATCAAGGAATGATAGGTATATCCGTTCTCAATACCGGCATCAAGAGCGATAGAATAAGGTGAGGTCAAAATCTGGTTAGTGAGCTGGTGAGTATGCCGTAGGTATCCAATTTCCGTGAGCGCTTGCTGAATAGCCTAAAGCGCCGTCTGCCTCGCGCCTCCATCCTACATTGGGAGCGGTAGGTTTGCAACCGTCTCAACGAGCGGTATGTAGTTAAGGCGTATCTCTGCGGTGCCAGACATAGTGGAAAGGGATGCCGGTACGTCCTCTTCTTTAGCTATCTTGTTACTTATACCTTTTGCTTTTATTTCTAGGTGTTTCTCTTCAATTCTCGCTCCTACGGTGACGCGTCCCTCCATCCTGTCCTGTGATAATTTCTTTTGTTCCTCTACCCTTGCTAACTCTTTTTCTTCCTTTCCAGCCTTTTCTAGCTGATTCTCGCCCATACTCGACCCTTCTCGATCCGTTCTCAAGTTGTTATCACTCGGTGAGTTCCCTACTTCTATTCCCTTCCCTGCATCCACTTTATTGACTTGTCCTATCTTATTATTCCTGGCAGCTCCATTTATACCAGTGGTACTCACACTCGGGCCCCGACGCGGTCCCACAAAATACTGGTGTAAAATTTTGTCCGGATCACCTGGATCTTTGAACAAAAGGTAAGTACCATCTCGTAATTCGTCTAGAGCCACTAGATTAGTTTCTTGCCAGGCCCTACCAAGCAGGAGCTCAAACGACACATGCGGCGCCACAAATAAATCAGCATGCATTTGAATATTCCCGCATCGGAGCGGAACATTTGCTAGCATTCCCGGTAAGTACCCTTCACCTCCGTTTGCATCTTTCATTGTTATCCCTTGTTTCATATTCATCGGCCAACGCGCAGCTTGTTGCCAAGCATCTTTACTGATTATGTTGATGTTTGAACCAGTGTCAAATATTCCTTCAAGAATTATGCCATTGATTTCAACCGGTATTTTGATCAATGGTCTATGCGACTGATCATCTGTCGATTCATTCTCCAAGGTATTTCTTTCCTTTCCTTTTGAATTTTCCTGTTGATCCCTTTTGGCCATCAGAGACTTTCCTTCTACCTCCGAAGATGTAACCGGCCGCAGATTTTTGGTAAGCAGATTAGCCAGTTCTTTTGACGAGCCTAAAATATCTCCGACAGGCAACTGAACTGGTGACCGCAAGATTTGTCTGAGCACTGCCATAGGGTCTACGATAGTGGAAATCACCGACTGCCGAGGTGTCCTCTTCTTAGCAGGATTTCTCTTGGTTTTGTCCTCTTTTGTAGTACCCTGTGTAGCATCTTCCATAATAAAATCGTCATCATTGTCGGGATCGAACCTCATTGGCTCTTCCATTGGTGTGATCTCCACCTTTCTACGTTTTGGCTCCATCATTCTTGGTGGTAGCACATTCTCAGGCATGCTTGCCCGACTTCCTGATCCCTCAGTTTGTTGAGTTCTTCTTGCTCCATCACTATCGCGGTGCACTTTAATTGAAGGTAACTCTTCCTCTTCCTCTTCTTCTTCTTCTTCCTTCCTTCCTCTTGTTTCTTCCCATTGCACTCCTCTTCTTTCAGGTTCCTTACCTTTCCACCTCTGAGAATGACCAACCTTTTCTCCAGGAATTCTAGTTACTTCGATCGGCCTAGGAATTTCTTCCTTTTCTTTCTGTTTCTCTTTAGCTTGAGATTTATTTCTGGGTGGTGGGTATACTCCGTCAAACTCCATTTTTTTTTTCTTGTGCAGAGTCTTCTCTGTCCTTTCGACTGGATATACATCCCATAAGCTGCCTTCTGTCTGCTGTACCATATAGATTTCTTCCTCTGAACCTGAGTCTGAATCAGATTCTGAATCCAGATCTGAAGTGAACCTTGCTGTGTGATAGGAATAATGATTGGGTGAGCTTGAACCTCCATCAATGGTGATCAGATTACGTCTAGTTGATCGATTCCTTTCACGTTCAGCAGCTTGAATAATAAATTCCCCATTGAATCTTTGGATTCTTGCTCCATTTCCATGAGTAAGTCTTCCTCCATTATCCCTAGCAAGCATTCCATCCTTGATTAGTTCTGCAACTTTAGCACAGTTCGAAATTCCATGGCCCTTTTCACCGCAGCCAAAGCAAATCATTTCAGAGATCAGTGGTCTAGCAGGTGGGAAATTTGGCTGAGAAATTCCTGGCATCATATGGGGTGGTGCTTCTCTAGCAGGAGCCCTACGATTTGGCAAGATTGATGGTGGAGGTGTATCTAATCTAGGAGCCCGCACGACTGCCGCAACTGTTGGATCAAGCTTTAATGCCCTATAATAGACTAAGCCATAAGTTGGATCATTGATGTTCATCTTGCTCATTTGCTTGATGAGTTCTTCAATCTCGTCCTGTTGTTCACTCTGTCTTAGTTTCGCAGCAGAAGGAGGTGGTGTACCTCTTCTTTTTGGTCTGCGCTCTTCCCCACTTCTTGGTTCCTTCATGCGACTTTGATGCTCCCTCTCATATCTAACCTTCTTCCTACTTTCCTTCTTCTTCCTCTCTGCTTTGGCTTTCCTTGCCTCGACTACCCTGATATCCTCATCTGTGCTCTCTTCTGTTGAAGATTCTGAATCACCAGACCAATCTGTTCCAAATTCATCACTGTCATCTAATTCCACATACTCGTCGAATTTTTCTCTCTGCAGAATTTTTTCCGCAATATCTGATACCTCCTTCATAAGATAGGGTTTAGAGTTATCCCTAGTGGGCTGAGATGCAAGCAGTCTTGCTTCAATCCTAGACCGCAGACCACGTCCAATACCTGCCCAGAAGTAAGTATTCAATTCATCTTCAGTAATCTTACCTTTTCCTTTTAACCATCCACCAATCTTGATATAATCTCTAGCATATCTCCACCATGCTGCTAGGTCTCCCATACGCTTGTACTTAGTCTTCTTCACAAACTCTGTAAGATCCTTCTTCTTGAAACGCTGAGTATAGAGAGCAGCATCATAGTACTTCTCTAGATCCTTCTTTAATGCATCCCACTGTCCATCAATAAATGACTTCAATCCTTCAATAAACTCAACGACACTTGTAGAGCAGTAGAGTCTAATAGTCTCGCACTTGTCTTGGTCTGAAGTGATGTCATGTTGTTGGCACAACCTTTCAAAGTGTCTGATGAACCTTGAGACTTCTCTGTAATCTCCAGTGAACTTCTTCAGTGCCTTCTTGTTTCCAACAAGAGGTAGGGTAAGAATGGATTCTGCGGTATTGATGATGGGGTTGGTAGGTGCTGTAGTGATGTTATGACCACCACCCATTGTGGGAGGTTGCAAGCCTCGAGACATGATGAATGTATTGATGACTGACTAATAACCAAGAATATTCGATAGAATAATAGTTTCTGCGTGAAAATACCTCAACAATGTGAAGGTATATAGCCTAGAATGTCGGCAACAATCCCCTCTCGCGGTGGGCTCCAATTATGTCGCGGTGAGGAATGGTTTCTCCCCTAGATACGATCGGGGTTTCCTGTTTTTCCGGATGTACCTAGTGTTTGTTTGATTGCTGTTCTAGATGATATCTTCTGGTGTTGGCACGATGCACAGATGTTGGTCACAGTTATAGGCAACGATGAGAATATCCTGAGCTATTTAGCGAATTTCTAAAGTGGTGCCGGACCACTAACAAAGACAATACTCCGTAAATGTTGAGAATAATGAGGAGAGGCTTAAGAACTTTGTGATTCAAGTTGCTGAGGTGCTACACAGATTGAAGGCGAGCTACTAGTTTGTCTAGTATCCCTACAAGTCTTGCAGCTTATCTCCAACTGATATCACTCAAAGAACTTATTGACTGGCACTGACTGACTGAGTAAAAGTAAGAGGGAGAGATGGTCTCTGCCTGAAGCAGGACAATCAGCCTCCTTATATACTATTTCAAGTGGGAATCTCCTTCCTAGTATATACAGGCTGAGTAGAGTCATTGTGAGTCACAAAGAATGCTGTAGAAATAAAAAGAATAGGGAGGAAGGCAGAGGAACAGAAAGGAAAGTAAAAGAAAGGCTCAGAATGTGGTAGAATATTCCTTCAGCTTCCTTCAGAACTGCTCAGAACCTTCCCCTCCTTTCAGCTTGGAATGCCCTAGACCTTGCCCCTTTCCTAAACATTCTCCATCCTTCCACTAAAGCTCCTTTCTATTCTACCAGATTCCACTGCTTTCTTTCCATTCCTTATTGTCTTGCCATGGTCTAGCCCTTTCTGAAATAGACCCTAGGCTCTGGAATCTGTCTCAAAAGCGAATTATGAGTATGAAAAGGGATAGGAAATCAAGTTTAAGTGGTAAAATACTCGAAAAATATGTAAAAAATCGGAATTAAATGTCCTATCCCTTCTAGGTTGTTTCTCTTTTCTTTCTTCTAGCCAGATATTCTGCCCTCCATTCTACCATCACTATTTGATGCCTAACAATGTGCGAGCGCGACACCGGCCCTTTAGAGATCGACGCACAGTGTCACATAATGCCCTCAAACCACAATGCACGTATTTTTAGCAAGGGAATCACCATACTAAGCCGTGTGTATAAAAAAGAACATTGTGACATGTGTCACATTCTCCTTGGTCTTGTTCTTGATCTTCCCCTGCCTAATGGCCAATTTCCTGTTTATTTTTTTCCTGCTGTTCACATGCTCCTTGATTTCATGTACCTTGCCTAGTATCCTGTCCACACCACCCACACTTTGAAATTTCTTGATGACACACTTACTTGCTTTCATGATAACAAGGCAATTTTTGTGGAACTGGGGGTATGCACCGACTTCAAGCTTCTGAAACTGCACTCATTTGAGCATTATATAGAATCTATCAAGCTCTTTGGCACAACTGACAATTACAACACAGAGCAGTCAGAGAGGCTTCATATTGAGTTTGCAAAAGATGCCTATCATATGATAAACCATAAGGATGAGTATGTGCAAATGACTGCATGGCTGGAAAGGAAGGAAAAAATCCTCTGCTTAGAGCTGGTGATCAAATGGTGCGCACAATAACACAACGGCACTGATGCAACACTATCCCTGATATCCCAACCATCACTTCCACTGATTCATATGCACCTCCAGATGACCAAACATCCCTCTTGCAAAGCTGTCATGCTCTTAGATCTGGCTCTTGAATATGGTGCAATTGACTTTGCAGATGCTTTGGCTGACTTTGTCATCCTCCACAATCAGCCAAACCTCTATCCCACACTTGCTTGCAAAGCCGCAAACAACCTCCTCATCCTCTTTCAGAGACTTTCCATCTTTCACAAGATCAAATTTTGGAACCATGATGCTTTTGAATGTGAGGAGGGGTCAGACACCTTAGATGTGGTCCACGTACGCAATGCACGAAAGGACTGCCAAGGGCATGCTGTACCTGGTTGTTTTGACACAGTGCTCATTGATGATGGGTCTGTAGGCCCTCGCGGTATGACAGGTATGTCAATTCATAGTCCTGCAACATGGCCCCTTGAAATTCTTTGCATGTAGGGCTCCGCATTGCTCAAGTGCATATTGTTTTCAAGTTGTCCGAAACTGTCATAGCCGAGCTGTTTGAGCCTACCCATCTACCTCCACCGCAGCACTTTGCATATGTGGAATGGTTCACATCTTTTCTATCTGCACCAGATCCTGATCATGGACTATACATAATCAAGTATGCCATGCAGAACGAATGGCACATTGCAAGTGTTGTCCCAGTTGAGTGCATCTGGTGCAGTTGTCATCTATACCCCCACTTTGGCCCTTCTGCTCCATGACACTGGTCTAGCTTCAATGTACTCCAAGAGTGTTCTTTTTTTCATGTAAACCCTTTTCTTGATAGACATACAGAAATGACAGTATATTAGTATGTTTATGCACTTGAATTGAGAGCCCTGAGATGTACGACAGGTGTCACAGTGTGATCTCTGCCGCTCTGCATCTCTACATCAACTCCACATGTGCTGCTCAACCACAACAAATCTTCCTCCTACCACAACAACTAATCACTTTACAAACAATGAAGGACCCAGCACAAAGAGCACACCTTAAGCACCAACTGTCTCTTTGTACACAATCCATCCCTGCTGTGATGCTGAGCCAAGACATTATTGAGACACAACAATGTTCAATTGACACTATGCTAACTGCGACACACTGTGGCCTTATGCATTTGAAAGCCATCGGATCACCTAGATACAGTTTTCTTACTTGGTGAGCCTCTTAGCTCATTTGCTCGTGTTAGCACTAATTTGTGCTATCCTATCCACTCTTACCAAATGGCTAAAGTAGAAGGGTTTTCCTGATGGCCCATCAACCAAATCATAATTCTTTTTGATCTTGGACATGCCAAATTCAGTCTTTACTATGAGTATGAAATGTGAGTCCCATGACTAGTCTCCATGCCCAGATTGACCATCTTCTGAGATCATTATGGTGCACACTGTACTGTATCACTGTCATTTTCATTTGCTTGTCTCCTCTAGTTCATGCACAAGGCCAAAGTACAGTGTGGACAGACTAGACAAACCTGTTACAGTAAATGATACTATTTTGAATCAAGTCCGGATATATGAATTGGTCATTATGGTTCATTATAAACCATCTGATGCCATGCTTTTGCCATGGATTGGATATGCACATGGTGGCATTGGCAAGCATTTTCAATGGCAACCGTCTTAAAACAGCATAGTTATCTGAGGCTTGCTTGATTGCTCCACCATCGCTTTGTCCTCTGTGCATACAACAATTCATTTATCTTGTCTCGATTGATCGATATTAGCTGTGCTGCCTTCTCAGTTGGCCCTGCCTACAACAATCTGGCAGGGAAGAGGATGGCACACCTACGGTGGCAAGGTCCCCATCACACTCTGCCTGGCCGAAATGCATGGTGAAAGGTCGAGATTTTGGTACTCGACTATTCATAATTGATGAGGTCCGTGAACGACTGAGACAAGTTGACCGATTAAGAGCGGAGGCTAATAGTGGGAGGCTGCAACATGCGGGAAAGTCATTGTCCGATAAGCGCTGTGCACATGGCCGCGGAGTCTAAATATGGAATGTGGCAAACGGAACACGCTCATGCCTTGACGATTTCAACAACGGCGGCATAGAGGCGGTTCGGGTATTTAGGGCAAACTTCCTGCCTGGTAAGCTCCCTGCTCGCTCCATCCTGCTTTCACCACTCACCCCTTGAAATATCTCAATTATCAGCTAAAGAGCTCACCGGTCAATAACAAGAAGTCAACGACAGAGCGATTCTCAACTTCAACGCGGACTGTCCCAGCCAACGAAGACTACATACAGCTTATCAAAGAGATGAGGAGTCAATTTGTGGGCCCTATGCCCCCCAACACGTTTCTCAGAACTTTTATGCCCAAGTCCGAAGGGAATAGGCTATCTAAGGGATACCACGCCTTGTTCGCCGACCTCAAGATCGAGAAGGGGTTTGAGAAGAACTTTGTACATGCTCCATTAATTTTGAACTTCATCCTCCATTTGACCTATCGAAGTATGTTACAGATACAGGCCGTCCGAGAGTCAGGGCTTTGCCCCGGTTTGCTCTTCGTCGACACAAACGACCAGATAGATGGGAACTTCCACCGAAAGCCAGACATCTGTGTCTACAAGTCGGACCATGAATGGGCGAAGACCAACTTCCCGCTGATGGAGTTTCATATTGAGCGCAAGCCCGACTCATACGATCCGTTTCACGATCCACCGCAGGACATGAAGAGATCGCTTCGCGAAAAATACCCTTTCGAACACAATACTATCAACGGCAATCATTCTCGTGAACAAATTTCCTCATATACAGCTTCACAATTCAGTGTCCAATCTCGAGCATTCACATTTTCTCTCCTCTTCGTCGGCAAGTTTGTTCGATTCATTCGTTGGGACCGAGCGGGAGCCGTGGTTACCAGCCGTATAGATTGGAGGGAAAAACCTTGGTGCCTAGCGTCGTTCTTGTGGAGGTTCGGTCATTCCTCTGATAACGACCGAGGATATGATACTTCGGTGTCAATTCCGACCCAAGACGAGATTCTGCGCACGAAAGCCGCCCTCAGGCAGCGAGCAATAGATGTTGCTGTGGCACAGGGCGGAAGTGAAAAGGATATATTGACGTCCATTTACTCGTCAGACGACACGTTTCGAAAATTCCGTGTGGTCGATGATGGTCCGGACAGGCAAGAGCACTTTTTCGTCGCATCTGTTCCACAGTGGTATACGAGCAGTCCCACAGGAAGAGGAACGAAAGGGTACGAGGCACTGGATGTTGCTACGGGGAAAATGGTTTATCTGAAGGATACTTGGCGCTATGTCGCGCTGGGATTCGAAAAGGAGGGAGACACTTACCGATTGCTCGAAGAGAAGAAAGTGCAAAGGATTCCTCACCGAGTTTGCTCTGGTGATATCGAGGGGCAGGAGACACGCACTCACGAGTTTATCAAGCAAAAATGGTGCTGTCGTGTAGCTATACAGCGCCACCATCACTATCGACTAGTCCTCGGAGATTTGGGACGCCCGTTGAGTCAGTATACCTCTACAAAGGAGCTTTCCCAAGTGATGCTGGACACGATTGAAGGTGAGATACATTCCGCCGTACGTGTTCGTCTATTCACTTCATTTGGGGCATGATTAAGCCCATCAGCAAGCATTCAATGCCGGGGTGCTGCATCAGGATATCAGCGGTGGCAACATCCTGATAACAGACAATGGCCGTGGCCTCCTCATTGACTGGGATCTGTCTCGAAGAACGGAGCTGGCTGTGCCCGCAGCCAGGTTGAAATCGAGGACGGTAAGTCTCTGATACAATCTAAGTTGAGTGCTCGCGCATTCGAATTAATTGGCATCTTTAGGGTACATGGCAATTCATGGCATGCGCTCGTCTTCTTAATCCTGGAAACAAGACGCATGAATTTTGGCATGACCTTGAGTCGTTCTTCCATGTTTTCCTATATCACGCGATCCTCTATCAGGCCAGCAGGATTCCCACAACAGACGATAGTTCACGGATTTTCGAACAAATTGAGGAATTTTTCGATTCATCAAGCATTCGTCTTGATGTGCCAGACACTGGGGGTAAATTCAAACTGTCATTCTTCCAGCTCACTCCTACGCATTTTGTTGAGCCCGACCTCTCAAAATTCCTCAACGAAATGCTACTCCGCATCATCTTCGATCTCCGGGACCTGTTTGTCCCTCTCTATATTGCTCGTGGAACTCGATCAAAACATTCTACAGCGAACTCGTTACCTTCCCTTCAAGCAGCACAGGATGAACTCAAATCGTGTAGCTCACTAACCGAGATATTTAGGACTACGCTTCAACTTCAAGGCTGGACTGAAGATAGAAGCGACGGTCTTTTCGGAAAACCGCCAATCAACAGGAACATCAAACGGTCCGCCAAACGAAAAGGCAAGGATTCCGAATTGGACAACAAGCCCAAGCAGAAGAAGAAGAAATCCCGGGTATCTCAGAATGTGTCCGAGATTGTCGTATCTTCTCTTGTCCTTGGATCCTCGAGCATCGACGAAGAATCAGATATTTCTGATTCATGATTTTCCCTACGGCGAAATGCTATCCATTTCCTTCACATTCGACTTTACTCGTTTGTATTCTGTATCTCGTATCTCGCTCGCAATATGCTATTTCATGTATGACTCTTGATATGCAATGTTTACTCGTGCAATCAACGGCAGACTTCCAACACAAAAAATCAATCGCCGGAGCGATACAATTCAGGCAGATGGCGGGGTAACGCAGGAGCTGTGCCATGTGATGTGGGCGAATAGATAACTCCTGCGACGAATCAGCCCTAGCAAGATTCGCAGTGACAAGTTCAAATGGGATTCCTCCAGATTTCATCAACACTGGCTTCCATCGTCTCGAGCGTAACACCGTAACGCCAAAATAAAATAGGAGGGTGGCAAACGCTCAGAGGCAACCGCGATGATCACCTTAGCAGCGCTCCAGAGGACCACTTGGGCCTCTCACTAAGAAGCGCTTTGTGGTAAGGGATACTTGTTCCGGCACCCCGTCTGTTGATCAGGGATCCCATCCCTATGCGCCCGAGATGGAGGCGAGAGATGGAGAAGTGTAGGATCATTGGACAGCATGTTCATGGGGGTGAACATACACTCTCGGGCGACATCAATACAATACTTCCTTCATGTCTTCAGGACGAGGCGCATAGCGTTCATCGCTGAGCGCGCCAATGTCTTCTCCTGCTCTGCTCGAATCCGACACTAGGCTCTGTTGATCACTTCGCCTTCTCCTGCTCTGACCGAATCCGACACTAGGCTCTGTTGATCACTTCGCCGAACCCTTCCAGTGCTCGCCCAGACGATAAGACGGCGATATTTCGACCCTGTATGGAACGTCGTAGATGTACGAGGGAGTCACCTGCAGTGTGTGAAAGCATTGCAGGCTAGTGGTATCTCGCCCACCGCTGCAAGTATATTTAGAACGCTTCTCATGGTTGTCTACGACAATATAATAGCGTCAGCCTTGGCAGCCTGTATGCAATGCGTAGACATCAAAGCAGTGGTGAACGAGGATCTATATACCTAGCAACCCACAGGACGTGTCTATCCCCTCTGTTATGCTAACGCGTCCTTGTCGATCGCCTCCGAATTTCGAACGGGTTGGAAAGTCCCTCACAGCTCTGTCTCCATCAAACATTGAAGACCTTATACTTTTGCGTTCCTTTAATGACCGCTCCATCAAGGGTCCAAGTGAGCCAGGCGCGGCGCAGGATTTAAGACCTCTCGTCGGCTATCTTGATGATGATGTGTCGTGGCTGGGTCGATATCTCGTCCATGGCAGAAATTGTGGAGACTGGGAGAAGACAATGATCTGGCCAAGGTACTCAGCAACAACTGTAAAGACATATGCACATCGTCTGTGGGATTTTTGTAAAGTGTGCGCACTGCGCGTGTGAGACCTATCATAGCGGCAACGATGGACGAATGTCGCGCATCGGTTCGTGCGATTGAACGGTTCGAGCGCGGTGGCGTCGCCCTGAGACGAATCTCTGCCGCTGAGCAACTCGGCCTCTCCCCCTCGAATACATCCTCGTCGCGGACAATGCGACCGTCCCCGACATAGCCCTCCTCGTCGACGAACCTCTTCTCTGTCTTCATCTCCCCTTGCTCGCCCTCCCGGAACATCCACAACACCCTAGGACAGCCATCAGTCCATTGCTAACGTCCGCCGCCCGTGTCTATAATCTGTAGTCCTCTCTATCCTTATTATCGACGCACTCGAGATACCCCCGCACGCGGGCATGGCTCTCCAGACGCGGCCAGAGCCCATGAATGCCTCACCGCACCACTCCAAGGTCAACGTCTCGCTCACGCTCTCTGACCAGTGCTTCGTCGCAGGCGGCGCAGTCACCGGGAAGATGCAGATGGAGTGCAGGGCAGACAGAGGCCTCGGCATCGGCCTCATCCTCGTCGAGCTCGTCGCTATCGAAGGTGCGTCGCCCACCCGTGACCCCGTGCGCGTCTGAGCCGCCGTCCGCGCAGAGCTCACCTCGCGGGACCACTCGGCCACCTCCACCTTCCTGCACACCCGCAGGCTCTTCCAGGGCCCCGGCCTACCGCCTTCCAATGCCGTCCTCCCCCACCCGCTCGCAGGAGAGCCCCCGCTCCCCGCGCACCATTACCCTGCCCGCCGCGGGCTCACCACCTTCCTCTTCCGCCTCCCCGTTCCGCCGACCTCCCCGTCCGCGATCAACTTCGGCGCAGGCCTCGCGCGCGTCCGCTACGAGGTCCGCGCGGCCGTCGGGGTCGCGTGGAAGGGTGAGAACAAGCTCGTCACGGACAAAGCCGACGTCGACGTCGTCGAGGTCCCAGACGAACGCTTCGATCGCGCAGATCCCGAGGGCGTCGTCGTCGGCGAGCACGGCAAGATATGGATCCAAGGCAGCGTCGTTGGCGGGTGCCTCGTCGCCGGCGAGAGCGCGTGCGTCGAGCTTCAGGTGAAGAACCACTCAGCCAAGAAGGTGCGTCCTCCCGTCCGCGACGCGGCCCTTCCGCCCTGTCTGAACAGCGCCCCGCGCAGAACTCGTCGCTCTCGATCACGCTCACGCGGCACCTGCACCTCTCAAATGCGCCCGGCCCGCCGCGCGCGCCGCTGCAGATCATGGACACGCTCGCGACGGTGCACTTCCGCGGGCCCGAGTACGTCGCGCACCCGGGCACGGAGGGCGTCGCGCTGCTCGTATTCGACGTTCCTGCGCGCTCGCGCACGGTCAAGGGCGGCGAGCGGCACGGCGGCGAGGAGGACGCGCAGTCGAAGGAGCCGCTGTTTGAGGTGCGGTGCACGCTGAACGTGCGCTTCGCGATGCCCATCGGGAGGTGTGTTGTCCATCCCCTTCACGCCGTCGCACACACGCACACCCGCGCGCACACATACACACGCTGACGCCGTCCCCTTGCAGCAAGGACATCCACCTCGACTTGCCCGTCACCATCTTCCACCCCTACGCCCTCCCCTCACTTCCCCCGGCCCCCGCGCTCTCGCCGCCCCCACTTGCCTACGGCGCGCCCACATACGACCTGCCCCCGCCCTTGCCCATATCCTCGTCTCCCCCGCTCGCCATGCACTCGCGAGCGCCCTACCCCGACCCCGCCCGCGCGCAATCTCCCTACGCCTACCCCTTCACGCCGCCTCCCCTGCCCCCACAGTCTCAGGCGCTCTATGACCCGCACGCACCCTGGTTCTTCCCCCCGCCCCACCCCGCGTTCTCCCCCCCGCCACCGCTGCAGCAGCAGCACTACTACCCCCCGCCGCTGGCACCCCCAATAGGCATCCCCCCGCGCCCGGCGAGCGCAGAGCCCCCCGCCTCGCGCCCTCTGCACAGCTTCTACCCCTACCCCTACCCCGGCGCCCCGCACCCGCCGCTGCCTGCGCTACTACCACCTCCACCACAGGCAGAGTCGGAGGCGCGAGTGGAGGAGGCGCAGGTGCAGGTGGAGGAGGGCAAGGGCGAGCGCGCATCGCGCTTCACGCACCATCTGCGCATGACGTCGCGCCACCGCTCCGTGTCGCCCCAGTCGCACCGCTTCCCCGTCCCCGTGCCCATGCCCGCGCCCGCGCTCGTGCCGCAGGCTGTAGCACTTGCAGGTCTCACGGGCTTGCCTGCCACGATGAACACAGCCCACACGACCCATGTGCATATCCCGCATACGACGGCGAGCGCGAGCACGCTCCCAGGCCCCTCCCCTGTTCCTACCGCTCCCACCACTACCACCACCACGGACGTCCCGTCCTCCGCACGCTCGCGCACGTACAGCGACGCGCTCCCTCCCCCGCTCGCGATTCCGCCCTCTCCGAACAGCCGCAACCACAGCCCAAGCCCTATCCACAGTCCCGCAGGCGAGGTCCTCTCCCCGCGTCCCATGGCCTCGCCAAAGCAGACGCTTGCACCCGCCCCAGGGCCGTCCGCCCTCCAGCAGCATCCGCATGGGCAGCAGCCGCGCTCGCTCAGCAAGAGCGCGCGCGTGGCGGAGCTCGAGCGCATGGCCGCCGCCGTCGAGCGCGCGACGCGCGACTTGTCGGGCGACCTCCCGAAGGATGCGCATGCGTATGCGGGGGAGGTGGACGTGGAGGACGACGTGGACGGGGTCGGTGACATGCACATGGACAAGACGCTCCCCAGCCCGCCCGTGCCATCCGGCAAGGCGCGCGCGCGCGGGGCTGCGCGGCCGCCTCACGTTGATACGCTGTTCGCGCCGCCCCACCAACCGCCGGTGCTCCCGACGACAACAACGACAACAGCGACGTACGCACACCCCGACGCCGCGGCGCCAAAGACGCCCGCGCTGTCTGCGCTGTCACTGCTCAAGCCGCCTCGTGGCGGTGCGAGCGTATCCGCGGGCGCGGGGGCTGAGAGCGGGCTGGACGCGCTCGAGCGGCGGCTCCTGGCGGAGGTCGGGACGCGGAAGCTCGACGATGCGCAGGTGCAGCAGCACCAGCAGCACAGCGACCAGTATCAGCGGCAGAGGCGCGTGGACGCGCGGGCGGCGGTGCTGCCCATTTCGATCCCGCCACGGGGCGTGGCGGACGTGGACGCGGACGCGGTGAACGACTCTGCGATCTCGAGTTTGACGCTTGGGATCGGGGCTGAGTTTGGGGAGCGCGAGCGGGAGGGGGAGCATGGCGTAGGTGCGGGTGCGGGTGTGGGTGTGGGGCTGAGTTTGGGTGCGGGTGGGTTTGCGAATGGGGGTGTGGGAGTGGGTGGTGCGGACGGAGATGGGGACGGGGAGCACGAGATTTCGGACGAGCGGACGCAGAAGCAGGGCAGGGGAAGTAATAGCCACTCGGGCGAGAGCGAGCGGGGCACGCGGAAGGGCAAGGCACGGAGCGTCGCGTCCTCCAAGGGCCGGAGCAGGGGCAAGGAGAAGGAGAAGGAGAAAGAACGAGAGCGGCGAAGCGGGCGGAAGAAGGACGGACGGGACGAGGAGGCGCTGAAGCTGCGCAAGGCGGCCAAGGGGCGCGTCGCGGACTGGCTGAACAGGATCGACCCGGACGTGCCGCCGCCACCCGTCGACTCGCCGCGCACCGAGTCGCCCGCCCCCGCGTCGCCCGCCGTGCCGGGCGTCCCACTGATACCGCCAGTCCCGCCGCCCTCGTCGTCTCCTGTCCCTCCTGCCGACGTCGATCCATCAGATGCAAAAGAGGCAGACGCAGAACGCCAGGACGCTTCTTCCGCACCCAATCCCCGCTCCTCCGGCTTCGTCCCCCTCTCCACGCTCCGCGCGCGCCAGGCATCGCCCTCTAGGGACGAGCATCCTGCCTCGTCCGCGTCTTCCGCCACCGCACGCGACGGCCGCCCCACGACCGCCCACAAGCCGCCCACCTCCCCGCTGTCCCCGCGCGCACGCTTCGAGGCCGCGCTGCGCAACACGCCTCCGCCTGCGCTAAACCCCAAGCCCCCGCTCAAGAAACTCAACTCCCCCCCGGTGTTCCCCCCTCGCCCAGCAGACTCGCCCGCGAAATACGACGTCCGCTCCGCGCGCGGCGGGCGGGGCGGGCGCGTCACCGCAGTCACCGCCATCTGGGCCTCCGCCTCTGCTACCAACACGAGTACGCCCTCGTTGCCCGGCGCCCGCTCTCCGCCCCCGGTAGCGGCGCCGAAGCCGAATGCCCTGCTCTGCCTGCCTCGCTCAAGGCCAGGCGCCGCGACCCCGAAGATGTCGTCCCCGCTGGCGAGTCCCGGCCCGTCCAAGGCGGCGTCCGTGCCTGCGGTCGTGTCTTCCTCCCTTGCCACGCCTATGCTCTCGTCGACGGCGTCGCTCTCGCGCCCGCCCGCGCCCGGGAGCGCGCAGCCTAGTGTGCCGCCGCGCGTGCCTCCGATTGTGGAGGCTCCGCCGCGGACGGCAGCGGCGGTGCAGACTCAGGCGCAGGGCAAGGCGGAGGAAGGGGTGGCCCCGGCGAGGGGCGGTGGGCTGGCGTTTGGGCAGGCGCGGTTGCGGGATTTGATTCGGAAGTACCAGGGCCAGGTCGCGTCGTAGGCCGGTGGCACACGGCGGGGGAGGAGGAGGGATTGGAAGTTGATAACTGTATCCCTAATGCGCAGGCTCGTTTCTTTGCGCTCATGATCACTCGATGCCGTTATGCTACCGGACTGCCGTTCTGGCCGCCGACGACTGTTTTTTGTGTCCAGCGTCGTCGACCTATACCGTTTACTTGTTTTTTTTTTGTGATTGTTTCTCCAGATCTCGGTCGGAAGTTGCTCGTTGTAGTCTATGTTTCCCGGCGCTTACTTCGCATTCCGCATTCCTCACTTCGTTCCTTCTGTTCTCGCACGCCGACTCGCTTTGCTGGATGTTTTTTATTTGGATCGCTTGCTCGCGTGCTTGCTCTGCACGGCCTTCTCGATATATGTGCTTGTGACGACTTCTTCATACCCAATACTTATTGTATGCTTAACTTTCCAGCCGTTGTCCTTGCACGGAATCGCCTCCCTCGATACAATTTAGCAGCGTCAAAAGGTCGAACGTGTTCAACGCCCAATACTAAACTTTAGGATCACATCGCCATCGGGTTTGTCTTTTGGAGCTTCACGATGGCGACCTGCTCGTACAGGAATGATGATCGGACTGCGCGCTCCTCGCATGGCAGGAATCGGGCTTGGGGATTTGGAATTGCTGGTGAGGTTCGGGGGAGACACTGCCAATCACGCCTGTTGATCTCGAAGTGATTTGCACTAGTCGGGTGGGGAAACGCTGTCCCCGCCACGAGGTATTCTTGAGGTTATCGAATACCGAGGGTCTGCACGCATCTTAGAAATCTTGCTCGCCCGATGCAGTTCGGTCTGCGATCGCGCACTGCAACGTGGATTGGGAGAATTTTCAGCCCTTGGCACTAAAAGTCACAGAGACTCTGCAGAGTAAGCTAGCGGATCAGATATCTCTAGAATATTCTATCAATAAGTTCCAAGGATCCGGCACTAATAGCAGTCTCTCCCGAAACTCCGTGCCCGGATTGAAACGTCGCAATCATCGTGTTCATCCACCGCATGCCACCTTTCAGCGACACGCGGCAGGTCGTCATTACAGGGGTTTGTGGTACATGTAGATCTACAACAGGGCAGTCCACAGCACAGCGAGGGAAAAAAACATCGAAAGCGATTGGAGCGCGATTTTTACCTTCGTCTCCTACAAATATTTACACGCCGCAGCGGGCCAGGCCGTCGAGTTCTTCGATAGGGTCGACTAGCCTGTAGCACGGACGAGCATCTCCGCCTCCTTGGAGCGCGGCTTGATGCTACATTCGAACAGCTCAGGGGTCCTACACCGAGGGTAATCAGTCACAGGTCTCGCCGATGCGACGTAGGAAGTTACCCCATGATCCCAGGCGAAAACGCGCCCGCCGGTGTGATCTCATTTCCTTGCTCGTCGAGCGCCTTGTCGATTCGGAACGCCGACAGGACGTTGGCCATGGTGACCCACGCAAAGGACATCGCCATAAACCGCCCTGGGCAGAGGCGTCTGCCGAAGCCGAATGCGTGCTCGAATGCGACGAGGGCGCGAGGGTCGATATCGGATTTGAGGAAACGCTCGGGGTTGAACGCGAACGGATCCGGATAGAGGTTTTCGTCGTGCAGGATGGCCCTGGTCGCGTGGGAGTCACTGACATGTGGCCGTTGCGTGAATGGGATACGACGCACCATGAATTGCCGATGACGATCGAGCCCTTGGGGATGAAGTATCCGTTATATACGTCGTCAGCCATGACGCGGTGGGGGATTGCTGTTCACACGTATCATGAGGATTGACCACCTCATATGCGCGTTTGTGGACTGACCAAATGGGGCCACTTGCTGCCATCTCAACACCTCTTTCATGACGGCGGACGTGTAAGGCAAGGACGGCTCGTCGGAGAAGTCGGGAAGGCGGTCGGTGCCTACGACGCTGTCCAGCTCTTCCTGTGCCTTGCGCTGGATCTCGGGATACATGGTCATAGCAAGGAAGAAGGTCGCCATTACCGACACGGTCTAGTTCTCACGACTCAGGGTCCCGACGTTTCAACGAGCGTGACGTTAAACTTACCGTATCCGCACCAGCTGTGAAGAAATACCGCACGGGGTGAGGACACGATTCAAGGCACAGATCAAACGTTGTGTCATACCGGTGTAGGTCGTAGCCGCCACGCCTTTGATCAGTTCTTCCTCATATTTTCGATCATCGCCCTCCTTGATATCGCGAAGAGCCAAAGACGTAAACGACGGCACCGCGCCCCCCTTCTGCATGTCGGCCTTGACTGCATCAAACGGCAGCGCGATAAACATGTCCACGAACGCGCGCCATTCTCTCGCCTTGCGCTTGAACCCTGCGCCGGGCATCCATTCCGGGACGTGCTTCACTGTAATTCGCGGGCACGATCAGCAGGGTGTCTGACGGTGCTGTGAATAAGAACTGACATGCCGGTATGATGTCGACGTAGAATGACCCTGGATTCCCCGCTTTGTCGATTATAGCCAACGCTTCTTCTGCACGCTCCAGATAAGGGTCGTGGGGAGACTGGATATCAAGGCCGTACGCGATGTCCAGGATCACGCCCCCGGCCATCCTGTTAATGTTCGACGCTCATCAATTAAGCCGCACACAAGCGAACCTAGCCGTCGGGCATCGGCATCAGGAGCTTCCGGGACACTCACAGTTTCACGTGGTCGCGGAAGTCGTTCGGGGCGTCGACGAGCCGACGGAGAAAGTCATGAGCAGCCTTGAGCTTCTTTGGCTGGAACTGGACCACCGCTGATGGATTGAAGTGCTTGTGGAAGAGCTTGCGAGAATTTTTCCACCAGTCGTTATAAGGTGTGAAGCCCAGGGACCAGTAGAAGCCCATCCTGGGAAGATACCAACGTTTTAGTACCGGCCCTATCCTTCCTGGGAACCTGAGCTTACAATTCATTCATCATCGGCATGCGAGGCCTGCATGGTGATGAGAAAGGATCGAAAGCGAAACTGTACTTGGTAAAGACATACCGATCAGAATAAATAGAGGACCGTCTGTCTAGGAGGTCATCGGCTGCCTCCTTCGTGTTCAGCACGACTATGTGCGTTCCCAAGACCTGGATGTGAACGATGTCCGATCCTACGGCAAGCTAAAGCCCATCAGCTGATAAGCTCGACTTGATTGCCGGCATACCCAATTCACGACCCCACTGCCTAAACGTCTTGTAGATGTATCCGCTTGTGGGAATGTCAAAGAGGTTTCCCAGAATGGGAACACCTTTGGGACCAGGGGGATATGGTAGGTTGAGGGGATTGCGTTTTCTGCGCTGGGTATAGAAGTACAGGGTGAGGAAGAGCCCAGCCATGAAGCAGAGCGCCATAAACTGGAGTGGCGTTGCGGACATGGTGGAAAGAAAAGAGACTATACAAGGAAGCAAAGAGGCACAGAGACAGGAAGGCTGGAAAACGCATCACAGCAGCATCGTGCTGTCTTATATAGGGTGAAAGGACGAAGCGACGGAGTAAGCTGGCGCAAAGCCGGAGCTGATTGCGTTACCTCGGGCGCTCAGCAAGGCACTTCTTGATCCACAGGGTTGGAGAATTTCCTGGTCAGACGTCATGGATCTGCCGTTCGGGTGCTTGAACGGAGCGCGATGCCGAGGAGTAAAGGGATGCAAGCCCATGGACGTCCGTGGGGCGAGATCGATAGCATGGACCTCGCTTGCAAGCAGGCGGGAAACGTCAGCGATGCTGACCTTGGGGTGGATCGCGGTGGGCAGCTCGCTGCGATGCGTGCATCGTGTCCATAATTGTGTAGAGCGGAGGATGGCGATATCGCAGGCCGACGATTAAGCGGAGTGTGAATTCAGGGACATCGTGCACAGCCGAGCACTAGGTCGGCGAGCGCGATATTACACGAGGATCTCGAGATCAATGCTAGCACGTTCCATGACCTCCCGGATGCGCACGTCCACCTTATCGATGCGTATGCTGTGCTAGCACTTTCTGAGTGTCAAAGGGTTCATAGGTGGCCTGTATTCTCTATCAGGACAGTTTATGGAACGCACCATAGTGTGAGCTGGCCGAATAGCAGCTATGGACGTGAGATCGGCTTAGTGAATAATTATTACGAAGACCTAGCAGCTGAGGGAAAAATAAGCGGAGCGGGGGCTGGTGAGAGAGCTTAGAAGTAGAGAGCGGCTTCGAACGTGATGGGCGTTGTCGCCGCACCCCATCAGCGTGAGCTGCATTTCACGATCCGGCTAGGATGTCCGATGGCCACGTCTGCGTCTTGCCCAACAGATTTCCAAGGCGAACTTTGTGCGAGAGATGCTAAGGCATCGCGCTGGGGTTGGCTAAGTCTCGAAAGCGCTTTGCCATCGATGCTCGATAGCGGGACCTGGCAATCACTTCGATGATCAGTGACATTATCAGGCGGAAGGGATTTTGGGGGATGGACGCCTCTGATAGATAGTCCGCAGAGCTGACGAGGGTACCATCTGGCCGTTGGTGGAATACGAAAATGTCATGCGACCTCGTTGCACGAGATGGTATTTGTTGAAGGGATTGAGTGGCGGTCGCGCGATTGAATGGCCGGGAGTGAAAGTCCGGATCGGCAAATTCTGGCGAAGCCTCCGATAACGCCGTTCCTGGCATAATGAAAGGCCAGACTGTTACTTGGTCGCTCGCCAGCATACGGGTGCGATACATAGCTGCTCGACCTTGCTAGGCTCGAAGACCTTGAAGACTTGGACGAACGGGTTTGCGAGTCGTGGTGGAAAATCCTCCCACCCAGAAGAAGAGTGCACAGAATGGGAGAAATTTCGTTGAAAATGTAGACGGAAATCGGTCTAGACTGGTTTGCAAGGCGCGTCCACAAGCATTCGCAAGTCAAGTCGCGTTCTTGAATGGTGCTTCCATTGGCCGCTATTTGCTTTTGACGGATCGGATGGCTCTGATTGACACCACTGTCCTTGCGTGCATATGATCGGAAGAGGAAGATGTACTGGTCTAAGATGAATCTGGCCTGGCGGACAATCCCTGAAGAAGTTGGAACAGCTTGGAATTTGGACACGGACAGGTTAAATTCGTGGATGACGAGCCTCCTTTCCCAACTCGAGCATCTAGACGGTTTGCTCTTGTAAACGTACATGCGACCTTCTAGCCATGATGACCTTCACTCGCACCTCAGGCGTTGATCAAGCTGCGCTCCAACGTCGCTGAGCGGCGAACGTGAGTAATGGTTCTGTTCAAGTCGGACTGAGGCGGTTGCAGTGGGAACCCGGCCGCGCCGAAGAGCTCCCATATATGGATGAAGGCCCGGAGATGGCCGGCAATGTCAATTATCGTCGTCTGCTTCTTCAATTTCGAGTATTCCCGACCATTTTGACTTGTGTGCGAGTGTCGGCAGACATCTGCTGCGACATTGCTCGTGCCTCGTCTCTCCTCTCCTGAACACCATCGGCGGCGAATATCATCCGTGCGTTGCACCGAGGTTGTCAGCGCTTCTCAAGGTCACACTTTCTCAGACACAGCTCTCGCTCGGGCCCTCGGAGTATCTCTGCGACCACCAAAACGTGCGGCTGCAGCTCTTCTGACGACCTCCAATCCCTACGAGAATGCCCGCGAAGTACTCGCACGTCAAGAAAAGGGCCGCCTCTGCGCGCAAGGCGAACAATGCCGGCCATAACCAGCACGCGCACTCCAATCCCCATTCACACGCGCATATACACTCGCACAGGGACCACCGACCGAACCCTCTGATCGACAAGAGCATCTCCCAAGCAATGTCCGCCGTGTCTGAGCTCGAACGCTGCATCGCGCGCATGCTCCTCCTTCGTTATGAGCAGGACATCGCCCGGTTATTCTCCACGCGCTTGTTCAGCGTCTCGCTCGTCCACCTCCCTACCCTCATGATGCGATGCATTGGGCTTTGCGGCCCGGGCTGGGTTGCACACAATGCCGACTCCGAAGATATCAAGGATTTTTTCCGGTCCGCCATCGGCATGGACATGCGGCAGGCGGGCGAACGGGTGGCGACTAAGAGCGTGCTGTGGTCCTACACCGTACTTAGACACTTCGTGCGTACGGCTGCCCAATGTGAATCCAGATGCCTGTCTAATTTCTTCTCGCCGCCGCTCGATCGTGGGCAGGCACTGTCGAACGGCGTGGCGATCTGTCGCAAGCGCGGCTTGCACTCCCTGCATCTTCTCCCTTACTTCCCCGCGCTGAGGGCGCACCTCGACGCGCTCGAAGCGGCGCCGTCCCCGAAATTCGCGAAGCCCACGCACCTGGGGCCGCTCACGGAGGGCCTCGAGGCGCTCGAGGAGGCATGCGTGCTCAAGTACGGCTCGCGTATCGGCGCGGGCGGCGCGTGGGACGCGAGCTGGCGCGTCAAGGTGCGGGTGGGGTACGAGCGGCTCGTGCAGACCCTCTGGCGCGTCGCGCACGAGTTCGACGTGCGCGGGTACGGGCTCGTGCTGCGCGAGAAGCTGACGAGCAAGTGGTGCGAGTGCGGGTGCTCGACGGACCATCTTGGAGAGGTGTGCGAGCGGACCGTGAGCGAGGAGGAGCTCGAGAGCGGCGTGCGCTCTGGGAAGCAGCGCGAGTGGGATGGAAGGGGTACTGCGGATCTTTTATCGTTCGATGATTACGTGCTGACGGTGCATGTCCGACGTTGCATGTAGGAAGCGGCGTGTATGGCTGGGGCACCGAAGAGGAAGAAGATATCTGGGAGCTCGAGCTCGACTTTGGTGGGGGGGTCGAACGCGCCGGTGCAGGCGAGGCCGAGATGACGGTCGGGGAGCTCACGGAATGGCGTTATATTAAAGCAGAGAGGGAAAAAGAGCTGGTAAACATCTGCCCTCAATTGTGCAGCGTCTCCTCTATTCTGAAGGCCGGGTACGATCTGCGATATTACAGGGCAACGTGGCGTTCAAGAAAGGGGACTACGAGTCCGCCATACAGCACTACACTTCGGCCAACGAGATCGAGCCAGAGATGCCGCATTACCAGCTCAACCTCGCCGCAGCTCATCTCAAACTCAACCGGTATGCGTGTGCCCCCCTTACTACTGCTTGCTTATGCCCCCCTGATTGATAACGTTGCTTCCATCTTTTCACTTTTCGCGCGCACCTTTTTTTTCACCGTTCTTCCATTCGCGTCATCTCATGTAGATGGATGGAAGCCGAAGCTGCGTGCGACAAGGCCTTGAGCCAGCACAAGAGTGGCAAGGGCTATTTTAGGCGGGCACGCGCGCGAAAAATGCAGGGCCATGTGGACGGTGCTATTAAAGGTGCAGAAGTTTATAATATCCTATGTTGGAAGCGAATGCATAGTCAGCTGCCCCTGAGCTTGGTGCTAACGACGGCCCTCGGGCGCCCTTGACTGCCACAGATCTGCGTGGAGCGTTGCACCTCCAGCCAAACAACCCAGAGGCGCTCGCAGAGCTGGCGTCGCTCGTCCCTGCTCCCCCCTTGGGGCAACAAGGACAAATGCAGGCGAGCGCAAATGGCAGCCGTGAAGCGACCTCGCGACCGGTTCTGGAAGACCCCTCGTCGCATACGTACACGCCCTCCGATCTCCCGGGCTCCTCCTCCTGCGCTTCGCTCTCAGCCTCCCCGTTGTCTACGTCTTCGTCCTCCTCTTCCGCGTCCTCGTCCTCCAGCACCGCGTCCTCGTCCTCGCGCCCGGCATGTTCCTCGCTCCCGAGCACGCAGGCGGGCTCGGCGCATCTGAACTACGACCACCTGCACCTCCCGAAGCCGAAGCCGCCGAAGCCGCTCCCGTTTGCGCGCGGCGAGCGCGACACGCGGAAGCTCAAGTTCCTGCCGATGCCGGTGTCGCTCGAGATGCCCGTCGACCTCGCGAGCGCCGAGGCATTCATGGCGGAGTCGAGCAAGGGCAAGGTGCCCGCCTCGACGCAGGTCAGGACCGAGTCTTTCTCGTACCCCGGCTGGGAGCGCTACACGGTCCAGAGGCCGGAATGAGGTAAATGCCCCTCGACGAACTCGGTCTGCGCCTCGATGGATGACGACTTGACTTTTTCGAACCGCTCAGAAACTGTATCGTTATCTTAATTTCTTTCGTGCTGTCCGTCGCTGTTGTCTGTAAGTTGTAGGATAGGGGCTCTGCGATGTGTCTCTTGGCGCCTTGTTGCCTATATGTATTCCGTCCATATGGGTCCCGTGAGTACGATAGGGTTTTTATTTGTGGACTCCGATGGCACTATGCATCGCATGCACGGTTCGGCTCGCTCGAAAGTTTTCCTTAGCTGAAGCTGACAGATTAAATTCGACTCGTGCATGGCGAGGTGGCAAACAAGGACCTTCTCTTTCTGCGGTACGCTTCTGACATTGGCGCGATGCGACCTGTTGGCCGAGGCGACGGAAACGATCATCGGACGGTCATTGGCGCGCTCCTTATCGGTAAGCATATTCGCCCGCTTCGCGAGTATGGACGAGATGCTCACATGGCGGCGCGTTCCATTTTGTTCGCAGAGCCCCGCAGCGCAATCAAGAGAAGGTTTCGCGAAGTCGCGTATGGAACATCGAGGGGCGAGAACGGGCTGGCTTACGGGATTATTGGACCCATATGTGCTGCGTCTTGTGCCGCGCGCTTCAGTCTTGAAGCAGAGGCAAGAAATGTGGCAAAGCGTCTGCTGATTCGCGCGAGCCCATCACGGTCTAGATCGCCCTCGTCATTATAGCCAAAGGCAGTAAGGGCACGATTGTTTTGCGTCTGGCACGGAACACAGCTCTGTGGACTGTTTGAGGGAAGAATGCTGCTATTGTGCCCTTTTGGAGATGTGGACCGTCATGTGTCCCCAAGGGCTGTCGTAACGCTTGAGGGACCTTCGCTTGTGCGGCACACGCCGCGGTGGCGGAGACGAAAGGGGAATCTGGAGCTAAATACTGTCACCTTGAGAAGGCTTACATCGTGGGCAAAGTTCCATGGGATCAGTGATCCAAGAATGATTACCTGATGATTTCTTGCCCAAAAGAATCAGCATTAGATCTATGGATAAAGTTTTGAACAAAATGGCAATGTGTTCCTCACAAAGTGTGCTTGGATTGCATGATGATCCAATTAAAATTTTATTTCAGAATCAGGCTCAAATGTCATAAAGGCTGCAACATGCATCCATGGAGCCCAAAAGGAAGGACATTTGAGTTAAAATCACTCGCAGATCACACCCTAAACTCATCCTAAATGGTCTACTGATCCCATTCCAATCCCATTCTGACCAAGCTGATCCCATTGTGATCAAATTATTGCTTGATCATTTGATTACAATGGAATCAGCTTGAAATCTGTGGACTATTTAAGATGAGTTTAGGATGAGATCTGTGAGTTTATCTGTGATTCTAGCTCAAATGACCTCCCTTTTGTGCTCTGTGGACACATGTTGCAGCCTTTATGACATTTCAGCCTGATTCTGAAGCAAAATTTTAATTGGACCATCATGCGATCCAAGCACACTTTGTGTGGAATTTGAGGAGCGCATTGCCACTTTGTGCATACTGATCCTTTTGGGCGAGAAATCATCAGGTAATCATTCTGGGATCACCGATCCCGTGGAAGATGCTCTCGAAGGATCAAAGATTGGCCTTCGCGAGGATCCTGTCGTTCGCCAAGAAGCGTCGCACGCCACGACATCGCGGCGCGTCGATGGCGTTCTGGCGCGCACGTTCGGGCTTGGTTGCGAACGACAGGGACGAAAGGAGGATGGACTGGGGGAGCTCGGCCGCGGGCCCTGACGCCGCTTAGCGAAAGAGGGTCGCGGCCCAATGCAGCGGCAAGCCGACGGCTATCGTTCGACGCTGGACGGAACCAAAGCCTGCTCTTCCACGTGTCGGCCTTATAATTGCATAACAAATTCCTCCGCCGCAACGTATAACATACCGCGCCAGCCCCGTCTCCTCTCCAAGTTTCGTCCTCTGTCCCTTCTCCCGCCTTCCTCCCTGCACCTCCCCCACTCCCAAAACCACACACTATGAACGGAACGACCCACGTACGTCGCCCCGGTCGACGCGCGTCCTCGATCGACACTAATGCGTGCCATGCTTAGGCGAGAGGCCCCTCGCCTCCCAAGACGGCTTTACTGTCGGTCGACTTCATCATCGTCGGCGGCGGCATCGCCGGGCTCGCGTGCGCCGTCGCGCTCAGACGCGTGGGCCACCGCGTCACCGTGTTGGAGAGAGAGGTCGACTTCGACGCCGTGAGTACGGCTCCACGCCCGCCTCGTCGTCACGTCCCGCCCCCTCACACACACACCGCCCGCAGTCGTCCCAAAACTCCGGCGGCACGCGCATGCCCCCGAACATGACCAAAATCTTCTACCACTGGGGCATGGGCGACAAGCTCAAGCAGATCGCCTCCATCTCAGAATGCGTCTACCTCCAGCGCCGTGAGTCCCGCTTACATTCCGCCGCGGCGATGTGCGCGCACAGCCCCGTCCTGACCAGCGCTCGCGCCCCCCCCCCCCCCCCCCCCCCCCCCCCCCCCCCAGTCGACTCTGCATACATGCTCGGCGCGCACCGATGGGACAAGGAAATGCTGAACGAGGCCGGGGGCGAGTTTATGTTTCTCCATGTACGTCGGCCGCTTCTTCCGATTCGGACCTCAATTAACAGAGTTTACGTGATAGCATAGTAGGCTGCGCAAGATGCTCTTGGAGACCGCGCTCGAGCTCGGCGCAAAGGTGCGCACCAACGCCCGCGTTTCGTCGGTGGACGCGGAGGCCCACACCGTGACACTGAGCACGGGCGAGGTGCTCAAGGGCGACATCGTCATCGGCGCGGACGGCGCCAAGGGCGTCTGCCGGGCGGAGGTACTGGGATCAAATGACTCTGTCAAGCCGACAGGTCTCATGATGTTCAAGTCGGTCTATGCCCATATCCCGGTTTTAGCAGCATCTGAACGCGTTTCGTGTCTAGCGCTGTCATTCCAGGGGAGCAGATGCGCGCAGACCCAGAACTAGCAGAGCTGCTGAAGCAGGAGCTGGTCAGTATCGATTCACCCCACCCGCCTTCTCCCCCGTGCATTTTACATGGGCGTGATCTGATGACAGGTCACGCAGTTTGTCTGGTTCGGCGACAAGCACTGCGCGCTGTGCTTCCGAATAGTCAGTCCTCCCAGCCTTTTGTCTGGCGACTGCCTCCGCTGATTAAGTTTTGGGGCTTGCCATTCAGGGCGAGAACGACGACTGTGCCTTGTACTTCTACGCCCCAGACGACGGATCGAGCACTAGCGACGTCTGGAACGACGTCGTATCCGCCGATGTCCTGTCGAGTCACGTAACGGGATCAGAACCAAGGTGCGGCCCGCGTTGCCTATTCCGCGCGCAAGTCGAAGCTCACGGCCGGCGGTGGCGCACGGACGGCGATTTTCGCGGACGTCGCTGTTCTGCCACAGGCTGCAGAAAATGGCTAGGCTCGTGAACCCGGCGCGCATGCAGGTGACCGAGCGCTCGGACCTCGACGACTGGGTGCACGATAGCGGGCGGCTGCTCGTCGTCGGCGAGGCCGCGCACCCCTACCCGGTACGTGCCGTTCGCCCGCCCGTTCGCCCGCTCGCCCGCAGCAGGGCAACGCGGTGTTTACTGCCCTCGGCCCGCCGGCCATGCTAATTCTGGGGGCGCGCTTTAGCCAGGGTCGATCCAGGCGGGCAGCATGAGCCTGGAGGATGCCTCGGTCCTCGCGAAGCTCTTCTCGCACCTCCGCTCGGAGGACCAGATCGAGAGCTTCCTGTACGCCTTCCAGGACCTGCGCCAGCCGCGCTGCTCGAAGAACCGCGTGCTCGACATGGCGAATATCTACTTCATGACGCTCCCCGCGGGGCCCGAGACGCGCATGCGCGACACCGTCATGCGCGCCAAGTTCGACAGGGGCCTCAACGTGCTCGATAGCGACGAGTCCGACGGCACCACCGCGCAGTGGGACGAGAACCGCGAGATATTCGGGTACGACGCCGAGGACGAGGCGGATAACTGGTGGGTCCAGTGGGGCCTCCTCCGTGAGCGCGCCAAGGCGCGCGAGATGGAGTTCGAGATGGACATACAGGTGCAGCACTCTGACGGCCACTGACGAGCGGCGCGGCGCCGGCCTCGTCCGCGCACACCGCACGCACACTCTCTCTGGCTGTTCTTTGTTTTCTTTTAATTATTTCCGACCCCATACATCAGCTCTATTTCCACGGCGGGCGGGGGCGCGGATCCCTCGCCCCTCGTCGTTCCTTGCACATATACTCCTCATATTCCCCATCATGTACCTTATACCTTCAACTGCGGCATAGAATGAATACCCCCGTTGTTATTCGTTTCGTCTCGTCTCTGTATGTACCTATTACAAGTTCCTCGGCGGAGGTAAGCTGGGGGGGCGTGATCGAATGACATTCATGCACGCCGATCCTCTATCATAGCTCACGAACGGGCTTAGATCGGGAGCAGATCTGCCAGTGATCATGCCAATGTCACCGTGAAGCTCGACGACAAATGTGTGTGGGTTTTTTTTTTCAAATTTGTTAGCCTACATCACGGAAACAAGGCAACGGAGAAGAATTCGAACCGGGCTTTGTGTAGGAGTACATGCGCACATCGTCATGGATCGTACAAGATTCGTGGCTGTGATGGTCGCAACCTACCCTATTAGCGACTAGGTCCCCCCCAGCAAACTATGTATTCTCGTACTCCTCTAGTCGCGCCACTTGCCTGATAAGGCGCCAACCAGACGCAGACGAGAAGTGTCAGATGTAGAGTGACGACGATGGAAGACGAAGGCGGGCGACGGACCTGTCTCTGACGGCCTCCTGCCACCGCTGGAGCTTCGCGATCTCGTTCACCTGGAACCCAAAGATCTTCGGGCGATAGCGCTCCGCCCTCAGCGCCGCCGCCGCCGTGCTCACCCCCTCCCCGACGCCCTCGCCCACGCCCGATCCCTCCTGGATCTCCTCCTTCATCCTCGCGCGCCGCCGCGCCGCCGCGTCCTCCCCGGCGAGCCCCGCCCCACCCGGCCGCGCGAGGTCCACGGGCCCGCTCTTTGGCGGGATGAGGCCCGGGTAGACTAAAAACAGGAGGTGGGGGAAGGACGTCCCGAAGTAGGCGCCGTCGATGGAGCCGTGGCGGGAGGACTTGGGGGAGTAGATGTCCTCGCAGCGCCCGCAGTAGAGCTTGACGGAGTTTTCGTACGGCACGTCGGTGAGGCCGACGGGGAGGAGGGGTTGGGACTGGCACAGCACGCGCGGGCAGCGCCCGAAGTCGGCTCTTTTGTACTTGTCGAGCTGGGGGGGAGGGGTGGATGGGGTCATCTGAGGGGCGTGGGGGGGTGGGGGTGGGGACGCACCATCTTCTGGAGGCCTCGGGCTGTGACTATCCAGCGCGCGTGGATGAGGCCGTAGAGGAGCCGGGCTTGTATATCGAGCGAGCCGCGGAACTCGTCTTGGAAGTCGTCGTCTGTTCTCGAGATCGTGAGCAGCTGGCGTCTCTCGGTCGACGGACAGACGGCGCGACACTTGCCTAGGTTGTCCGTGATGAGGTCGAGGGCCTGGGTGTAGTTTGACACTTCGGTGTTCAGGCCCGTGAGGTTGAAGCGGTCGAGGATGTAGTCTTCCTCGACCTCGCAGAAGTATTCGTTCCCCTTGGACGAGAGGAACCACGATATCCACTGTCCGCCGCCATACCTCTGTGAGATCGACGGGGCACGGTAGACTGGATGTGACGAACCGAGCTGGGATGGGGCGTCAGCGAGTCTGCGTGTGGTGTGCGGGACGGGGCCACTCACTTGGAGTAGTCCGAATCCGAGCCTGTCGACGCTTCGTCCACTGTATGGCGAAGCATGTGAGGGTCAGAAAGGATGTCTACACGGATTTGCGGCGGTCGGGACTGACTTGGGACCAGTGGGTGGAGGGGTGGAGGAGAGGACTTGGTCACACAGCGGGTCACATGTCACACACCCTGCTCGCCCGCAGACCCCCGACAGAGGCTCGGATCTCTCGGCGCAGGTGCCGGGGTCCTCGCTCTGGCTGTCCTCCTCCGTCTCTGCAGCCTTCCATGGGAGCAGGTCTGATACTCCAAACAATGCCGTCCAACCTGCACCCCTCCAGAGCATCTCTGGACATCGTCGGCAGCGCACGCCGCGGCGGCATCACGAGTCTGACCGTCGACGTGCCCACTCCCTACCATCACTCCAAATCACCCCCGCGGTGGCGAACGCCGGAGTTCTTCGTCTACTACGTCTTCTTCGTGGTCGTCGTGCCATGGATGGCCTGGGTGCCCGTGTCTCTCAGCTCCAGTACGCATCTCGTTCACCCTCGCGGCTTTCGAGCGTGCACACACACACACACACACCGCGCGCGATTTGCAGCGTCACACAGGAATTACAACCTTTATCGACACAGGCTCGCGCCTGGGTGGCTATTCGGTCGTGAAGTGGTAAGCTCTGTGTGCCCGTGTCCATCGCGCCGGTTGGCACGGAACGAGCGCGCCCGCGTTTCTTTTGACCGCACCCTCGACACGCTCGTCTGACTGGACTTGCAGGACAACAGCGACCTGCAATACCGCTCATTTCGCAGCAACATCCCAGCGCTCGCGCTCCTCCTCTCTGTCTTCTTCCTCCTCAAATACATCTACACGCGCCCCATCTTTCGCGCGGCCGCATCGCCTCCCAACAACATGCACCGCGTCCCCTTCTACACCGCATTTTCAATCATCATGCTCTTCGCGCTGCACGGCACGAGTGCGCTCAAGGTCCTCCTCATTCTCACCGCGAACTACGCGCTCGCGCGCGCATGCAAGGGGCACAAAGGGGCCATCGCCATCACCTGGCTCTTCAACGGCGCCGTCCTATTCCTGAACGACAGACACTCGGGGTACACATTCGCCAGCGCGCACCCGGCGCTGGAATTTCTGGTTCGCACGGCCCTCGCCCTCGTTTAGGCTGCCCCGGATGCTCACGGCGTGCCGTCGTCAGGATAGCTGGCAAGGCGTGTATCCGCGCTGGCACGTCAGCTTCAACATCACGATGCTCCGCCTCGTCTCGTTCAGCGTGGACTACCACTGGGCGTGCACTCGCACCGGCGCGCCAGACGTGAGTCCCCCACCACCCTGCTCGACGTCTCGTCCCGTCTCGGTCACGCTGAACGCGACGCGGAAGGAAGACGGCGAACTTCGAGATGTCCGAGAAGCAGCGCGCGGCGACCTTTCACCCGCTCGAGACCTACTCGTACGCGAACTACCTCGCGTACGCGCTCTACGCGCCGCTGTACATCGCGGGCCCGATCATGACGTTCAACGACTTCATGTGGCAGGTGCGTCCCCCAACGCCGCTTCTGCGCGAGCCCCCAGCTGCCTGACCGACCCGGGGCGAACAGTTGGCCCGCCCGACCGCGATCTCGACGCGCAAAAACGTGCGCTACGCCGTGCGCTTTTTGGTGACGCTCCTCACGATGGAGCTGGTCCTGCACTTCATGTACGTCGTGGCCATCAAGGACGCGCGCGCCTGGGGCGGGGACAGCGTCGCCGAGCTCAGCATGATCGGATTTTGGAACCTGATGGTCGTGTGGCTCAAGGTCTGCCCAATGTCCTGCTGTTTTTAATTTACCTGCTGAAACTCGATGGCCTAGTTGTTGCTGCCGTGGCGGTTCTTCCGCCTGTGGGCTCTCCTCGACGGCGTCGATCCGCCAGAAAACATGGTCAGGTGCATGGCGAACAACTACTCTACCCTCGGCTTCTGGCGGAGCTGGCATCGCTCGTATAACCTCTGGATCGTGCGGTACGCCTCTCACTCTCATACCACAGCTCGTCGGGAGGCGGAGGTGACGGCGTTGCCGCAGGTACATCTACATCCCGCTGGGCGGGACGAAGCACGTCGCGGTGTCCAGCGTGCTCGTGTTCACGTTCGTCGCGCTCTGGCACGACCTATCGTTCAAGCTGCTCGCGTGGGGGTGGCTCATCTCGCTGTTCATCCTCCCAGAGCTGCTCGCGCGGCGCCTGTTGCCCGCTTCCACGGTGCGCTTACATCCGATCCTACCTTTCGTTTTCGCGGCGAGGAGCGCGCGTCTGGTGCTGATTTGAGGCGTGCAGTTCGCGCCGCGGGCGTGGTACAGGCACGCGTGCGCGGCGGGGGCGGTCGTGAACGCGCTCATGATGGTGTCTGCGAACATGGTCGGCTTCGTCGTCGGGACGGACGGCATGAAGCACATAATCCACGAAATCGTGGGGAGCTGGGCAGGTCTGCGATTCCTGATCTCCGCGTGCGTCTGCATTTTCGTCGCCGTGCAGCTCATGTTCGAATATCGGTAAGCGCCGTCCGCCGCCGTCACATTCTGCGAGAGATTAATTGGCGATGGCGTTTTCGTTTCTAGCGAGGAAGAAGGGAGGAGGGGGATTTATCGGCGGTGCTAAAGAAGGCGTGCGTTTTTTTTTAGAGGGACGTGGGAGACTGGCTTGGTTAGATCGGATTTTTCATTAAGTTAGGAAGTTAGTATGATACCCCCGCTTCGGTGTCAGCAATCACATCCTTTAAGTTCGTGGAATGAGGGCTCTCATATATCGAAATCGTTCCCGCGAGTCCCGGAGATGGATTGGGGTTCAACAGTCAGTTGCCTGCGCCTCTGGTGCTTCTGATTCCCCCCCATGGATAGCGAGAATATTAGAAGGTAATCATACACTAGTATCCTACACCAAGGCTAACGAAGGTTCCCCGCGTCAGCGGTCTGGAAGGTATGGAAGGGGCCTCGACGGGACGTACCGACGGGCATGCGGGCGTGCGGGCGCTCACGCGAGATTCGCGCCCTTGTTGAGCTTGGAGCCGACGACGACGAAGCCGCGGGGCGACTTGCGCGCGCGCATCTGCTCCGTCTTCGTGCGCACGGCGCTGGCGGGGACGTTGGCGACCTCGACGAGCTCCTTGACGCGCAGGATCTTGCCGGCGGACTCGGGCGTGTGGCGGTGGAAGACGGTCTGCATGCGGCGGTGGAGGCCGAGCGCGACGAGCGTGCCTTTGACGTTGGCGGCGAGGGAGATGGCGGAGCGGCGGAGGGTGATGCGGTAGTGCGTGTTGGGCTCTGGGTCGGAGGGCGAGGATGGGGAGGGGGAGGGCGTTGGAGAGGGCGTTGGAGAGTCTGGGGAAGGAGAGGACGTTGCTGCTTGCATCGCGAGCGAGCGTGAGACCCGGGGGATGATAGATATTTTTGTGGCGAGCAGTGCGCGGCGGTGTATGCAGAAAAGTGGCGAGGTCATGGTGGACGACGAGGACGACGATGAGCGCGCTGTCCTGGTCAACGTCAAATAGTAAGTGTGACGGCCGTACATCTGTGACAGGATGCTGTCGCAGTGCCTCGGGGTCCTTCGACGCGCTCCACGTGACTGACACTCGACGATCGACTGGTTTGGTTTCTCGCCTCCTCACCGTCCTCTACGACGCTGCAGCCTTGGTGGGTCTGCAATAGCGAGCCTTTCTTTCAGGATAAACCTGCCCAACAGTCGCAGTCTTGTGCCAACGCGAATCGAGCTCTCCGTCTGCTGCATCACCATGAATTCGCGGCGCAGAAACAAGTCACACAAGGCGCGTCGCGATTGCAGTTTCAGAGCATCGAAACGACTCTTCTGACATCAGGCTTTTGCAGGTCCCTAATGTGAAGCTTCGTCCCGCGCAACCCCAAGGCTCGTCGTCCTACCGGCAGGACTCATCCGCGCTCGCCGACGAGCTGTCCCCCTTTTCCAATGACATAAATTGCAGCTTCATAGACACATGCCCGCGTCCATTCGCCGGCGTCCATCTATGTGCCACAGGGGTGGATAAGGTGAGCTCTTCTGCTACTTGGTCGACGCGGGGCATTGTGTGAACGACACGCGCAGTCTCCGTTGTTCGCGAATGCCGGAGAGATGGGCGCGAATACGACGTCGGATTTTACGGATAGAGTGACGCATCTGATCGCGCAGAGCCATGGTAGCGCGAAGTATATGGTGAGCAGGCTCGTCTGTTACTTCTGCTCCTCGCCAACCCAATAACCACCTTGGCAGTGTGCGCTGCAGCGCGGGATACCCATAATGAAACCCTCGTGGATCCTCGATTGCTTCGCTGTTTGGCAGCGCGGCGATGACGTAGACTTTGAAGCGGCATGTCCATCGCCTGCGTATCCTCTCATTGCATCGACGGCTCACTCCATTCCCAGAGCCTCGAGCAACACCGCCTCCCGGTGTTCTCTGGTGTCGTCCTCACCGTCTCCGGCATCGATGATATCGAGCGGCGGACGGACATCAACCGATTACTAACGCGACAAGAGGGCACTTACGTGAAGAACCTCGAGCGACCCGTCCGCGTCACTCATCTGCTGTGCTCAGGTGACGTCGAGACGGACAAGATGCGGTACGCGAAGAAGTTCAACGCAAAAGGCGAGGCAGCCATCCACCTGGTGTGGGAAGAGTGGTTCTGGGACTCGCTGCGATTCGGCGGTCAGTCCGACCTCCGCCCCTCGTCTCATCCCTCTCTCTCATCTTCGATTTTTTCGATCGATCTCATCTATATTCGGCATTTGTAACTTCTCTGTGGGTGCGCTTGTGACAACGGCGCATCTCAGGCAGATTTGACGAGTCTGATTATCGAGTGGACAAACCGCGCCCGGAACGCAGACAAGCACCCGAAATTTCAGCCACCCCCGTTGTCACCGTCACAGCATCGCAGTCATTATCCGCAGACGTTTCAGCCCCGGCTGCCAAGTCACATGCAAATACCAATGGTGAGCAGGACGAAGAAGAGATCGCGACCGCGCGCCGCGTTCCCGCAGTCACACTCCAGGTATGGGAAAGTTTGTTGGGTCCCAGAGGATACAAGCGTGTCGGAGGGCAGCTTGTGAGAACAGAGGGCGCCTCTGGAGGTATCCAGCCCGGGAATGAAGGACCCTTAGACACAGGCAAAGGCAAAGGCAAAGCCGCCGAGGCTCCCAGCCAAGGTCGAAACACCGGCCAAGTGCACGCCGCAGGACGAATGCCGGACGTCGAGCTCAAGGCGCACAGCGCACTTCGGACATTCACCCGCTCAAATTCGTTCGCGCCGACCCGCGCCGAGCCTGTGCCCTCGCGACGGCCCTTTCGCAAGGTCGCGACGTCTTCCCTGGCCCCGCGTGCGCCGTCTCCGCAGCCTGACGACGGCGGCTCCGGAGACGGCTCGTCGGCCGCGGCCCAGGTCTTTGCTGGAATGAAGTTCCGGGCGCGTGGGGAGGCCCGATCTGCCAGCGTCCGCGAAGCGGTGGAAGGCTGTGGTGGGCGATGGGTCGAGGGACAAGAGATCGACGACCCCGATGATGTCGACTTCGTCCTCGTCCGCCTCGTCAGGTAAGCCCCCGTATATCAATTTCCCGGCGCTCGTCCTCATATGTGGCTTTTTTGGTCCAGCGGGAGCAAGCTGTACCGCGAGGAGGCGGACGAGAATATGCGCAGAAAGTATAGAACCGAATGCTGGCTCGAGGGCTGTCTTGCCCGCGAGCGGGTCTGTGGGCTCAGCGAACATATCACCTTTGCCCCGCTTGAAGTCGAGACTCCCGTGATAGGCGCAGAGGGGATAACCATGAGTCCGTCCGGCCTTGACTTGGCAGAAGACATGTGGGTCAAAAGGCTTGCACGAGCATTGGGTTCGTGCCTTTCGACTGTATATTTTTTCCTTCGCCTCCAACCTCCCGGCTATTTTCTTGTAGGCATAGTTCATGCACCGACGTTTAGCCGAGCGTCCACCCATCTCCTGTGCCCGTCGAAACAGGGCGCAAAGTTTGATAAAGCATCAGAGTGGGGCACTCCTGTCATTGGCTTGACATGGCTCGAGGAGATGGCTCGCACAGGAGCCATTCCGCCGTTGGCTGATTACTTGATCTCTGGTAAAATAAACGATCCAAAGGGAAAGGGGAAAGCAAAGGAGAACATTGAAATGGTGGACATCACGAATGGTCAGTCCCAAGTAAGAATCACGGGGTCTTTGATATTGATATTTCCTCAGATTTCCAGCATGCTATGTCCGTCGAGGCTCCCTCGAAGACTTCTCCTACAAAGCGTCCGATACCGACCACACGCAAAATGGTACCACCAAAAGAGGGCGGCGCGCCTGAAACATTTGGCCCTCCTAAAATTCTTCTACATGGCTATCATGCTCCGAAGATCGCCACGCCCCCAACATCTCCTCCCCGCAGTCGATCGCCAACAGTACCCCGCTCTCCTTCAGTCCCCTCATCAACAGCCGCTAGCATGTCAATGCTATATCGCGATCACGACCCTGACCCCGACCCCGACCCTAACCCTTCTTTAAAACCTACACAGCCTGAAGACCGCAATGTCCCATCATCATCCACGCCGTCACCTATGAAAATTCCTACTGATGCTCCCAGCCGAAGAGCAATATTGGGGGTTTCGGACGAGGCGGCGCGCGCGCTCCAGGAGAGCCTGGCATCGCTCCTGGGGAAGCGAGCTTCGACCGAGGATGCAGATAGCGCTCCCGTACCTGCGCGGAGTAAGCGACCGAGGCCACGATCCAAGGTACGTGCAAACGTGTTTGCTCCCGTCGTCTCTTGAGACTGAGCTCGATCTCAACAGCCTCAGACCCGCCATAACTCCGGCACTGATGAGGATGTGAACATGCTTGACGCGGGCATACCTCCCCCGGACATGTACGACCCCGCCATGGTGTCGTACGCGTGCGACGAGATGGCGATGTTGGCCGGTGTGGGCGAGTCTATAGAGGAGCGCCAGGAGGGCGCGTTTGTAACGTACGAGGACCCTTCGCAGCGGGCGGAGCGGAAGAAATTGATGAAGTTGCTGGGTAATATAGACGAGTTGGATGGCAGTGATCATAGCGCGGTCATGGGTAAAGGAGAGGAGGCAGGCAGGAAGAGAAGCACACGGATTGCGGGATTTTAGGCGGTGTTTTGGTTGGGATCTCCTCATTGCATGTAGCATTATATCCTGGGCCGGCGACGGATCTGTTCTATACTACACTTGTGTATGCCTTACGTTCTATGTCTGCATCCCCTTCCTTGGGTTTTGATTTTATTGCATCTGTTGTTTTTCGTCGGAGCGCTCACGGATCACAGTGGTTTGCGCCCTACTCACAATAAATAGGCAGACCACATCTGCCATAATGACTGCCCCCTCTCTCTACGCCCTTCAAGCCCCACCGTCTGCCACCTTGTTGCGTCGCCGTACCGAAGCGAGCATTGCCGTGATGGTCTATGGCCTGGCGAGTTGGTGAGAACGCTCTGCAGTCCTCATTCAGCAGATATCATATTCCATTGAAGTACATCAGAATCTGGACAGGTTTATACAACACGATAGCAACTGTGAGAGCAGGTGATTGAAAACAGGGAGAAACATGTTTGTTAGTGCAACTCAGCATGGTTTGTTAGTACAACGCGCGAAGCGTTTAGTAAGAAATTTCTCGATCCTCGACTCGGAGGCTTGCAACTCGCAAACAGTCCATGATTGAGGCAGCTCGCCTCAATCGTTTGTTCAGCCACTTCGGTATGACAAGCTAGAAGGCGCACGCGGCGCGTACGACGATGGACCCGAAGTGTTGGGGGGACACGATTGGTGACCAGAAGGGCCTTGACGTGACGGGTTTGGTTGTCGCGCAGATGGATCTGGCGGCTGCGGAGTTTCGGCAACTTCACGAAAGGAGAAATGGTCGGCCGGTACGCAGTATGGGAAGTGTTCTACACCAGGGACCAGGACGATAGGGTCGTATTGTACTTGGTGCCTCCAGATTGGTATTTCACTCAAATTCACGCGGTTGATGAGTCCCTGGTCATTGCACATCAGATCAGACTAGTACTAGAAAGGTTCGTATATTGAAGTGTGGCCCACCTTCGAAGTGGCTGGGCCATAGACAACTTGTATTTTGGAGCCTTTCGAAATTAGGTGCTGAGATCCATTTCTGAGGTCGGTAAAGGAAAAGTCTTTGGTTAGGAAACCCTAACGTGGATGATATTCAAAACGAATCAGCTATGGTCGCAATCTTTAACTTCATTTGATGATTTCACCCACAACTTTGTTATCTCCTTTAGGACCGAATGGCGTAGTGTTTGAGGAAGATGCAGATTGGATTTGGGTGTGTGGGCACATATTCTCGTAATTTCGCGGACTCGCTATGGACTGTATGTTGGGCGCATTGACCCATGCCTTCTTCTTGATATCGTACATGGTATCATAGACATTATTCAAGGGATGTAGCGGCGCCTAGGGAGCGTAATATGGGAATGGATCAGCCTAAACTAACATGTATTCAACATAGAGTGCACACTCACCACGGAAGAAGATGTTGGACGCGGGACTTTATGAATTTGAACGACAGAGTGGAGAGGGAAATCTCGCGATGGCTGCCCGGTCTTTGGATCGATGATTTCCTTGGTAAGTTGTACCCAAGCATCGTTCTAAGGGTCTTGGTGAATCAGTACTTATATCTCAGATAACAGAGGGTCGTTCAACAGGCCGGTAATGCCTGAGGGGGAGGGGGACTTGAAGCCATCATGGTATCGATGGGTGATCGGCAGTACTGCGAGCTCCCTTATATACCGTCGTACTAGGCATGTGCTCTACGATCCAATCATATCGATATCAATCACCTTGCTAACTCGTTTCTTGTGTGAATAATGTGGTCCCCTAAAATGGAGACTTCAGCGCCTCCGGAGTCTTGGAGAGCTAGCTTGCCTTCTTTACGAGGATTCAGCAGTGATTTGTGCCAATGACGATTTTTTGAAGGATTGCTGGAGAAATTATAGTCCTTGCCGAGACGATCCTGAACATTGTGACACCTGATATAAGATCGCTGATGAATCGTAAGAGAGCAGTAAGAGAGGGATCACCGCTGATAACATCCATGGGAAGTTCGAACTTCGAGTCACAGTCATGGGTAAGTTGTGAGCTAGATAGTAGATAGTAACCCTTAAAGGCCTCCAGACAGTATGGCAGCAAGGCCGTTCTGGATCCATTTCGTAATTCTATGAGTCTTGCGGTAAAAATATAGATGATAGCCTGGTGGGCACAACGCCAAACGCTTGCACATACTCTCTGGCATTGCACTATAATTCGAAGCAAGAGTAGCAATCCTATAATAATCGATAGGCCATCAGCCGAGAAGCGGAAACGGCATCGATACGCGAAGGATGCCCCAGAGGAGCTCAGCAGTTGTGACAAAGGGCGTTAAGTGAATGCATGTGTCCGGGTCAGTATACACATTAGAACGTAAAACAAATGATTTAGAATCATCAGGAGTGAAAATCACCAAAAAATGGTCGGAAGAAAGTATTCAGCACTGCGCATAGCATGAGGACGAGATAGCCAGTCCGGGTGCAAGGGGGCGTTCTCGAGGACCGAATCACACTGCAGGAAGCAAAGGCTTGAGGAATCGAATGAATGCAATCAGATATGTCAGATCATTTCATATAATCCCAGTGGCCCATGATATATGCCGGCCTCGAGCCTGCAAGGTAACGAAAAGCTTGTCGGAAGGATTGGATGATCAAGTGTCCCCAGTCAAATGCATCGGCCCAACGAAGCAGACGCGTCAGATACGTGGGAGGCAGGTTGCGCCAGAGTGACCACTGGGCTACGAAGTCTGGAGGAAGTGAACTCCACGGGACTTGGAGCGGACGATCATAGTTATGTGGAGGAATAGATTTGGTGAGATCTGCTTCTGTCGCTCTTGATTTAATATCATCGCAGAACTGCAGAGCCTCGAAAGCTGTGAAGCGACGTTCGACGTCATCTGTGATCATGTGCTCGAGTAGAGGAGCCACAAGAGGCACTGCTGGGATTATGTACTGGACGGCCAGGGTTAGCTACGGCAAAGGTATAAGAGGCGCATCCGCACATGAAAATTCTGGAGCAAAAAACAACCCATGCAGCCGACGTCGAACGCGAATGGATCAAAATCCAGCTCCCCCTGATTGAGATCCATTGGATGATACTGAGGAGTCCCGGACCAGGAAAACCGGTCTGGCAAGCGACACATGTTCAATGGCGCTTTGCGAGGGAAAATGACTGACTGGTTGAAGTCGAAAAGGCAATATTGAGGCTGGAGCGACATATGGCCCGCGCGAAAGGGAGCGAGATAAGGATGGGTCCAAATAGCTCCTGGAGGGTAGTTATAGTGAAAGTAATTCATGAGAAAGTTGCTTTCGGAGATGTCCTATGAAACAAGGGGTTAGATCGATAGATTGAGTGATGAGTCTTTGCGCGCGCACTCTGTGGGCTATTCTATGCTCGTGTAGGAAACACAAACCCTATCTATCAGAGAGAATGGTCAATGTATCCGTTGTAGGGCGATTCACAAACCGGGACTAACCCGAAGCATAGAAGAAATAAAAAAAAGAAATTCTCTGATCTCAGAGAATTCCATTTTAGGATGACCCCATCTTGAATAAGGTCACGAATCATTGGTACATGGAAGGTGAAAGAAGATAGCGCTTATAAAGTTGGACCTACCGTGGCAAGACAACGAACTTATAGTCGTAGGAAGTATCGAGAATTTCTAAGACCGGAATGACGCATGGAAATGTTCTCGAGTCGAATAATTCAGGCGTTTCTGCTAGAATTTTGAAAATGGTAAGTTCCTGGGAACCCTTGGCCACGACCTTGATGACCACATCTCGCCATTGCTCGTCCTGAGCGCCAATTACATTTTGCTGGAGTATAGTTCGTCAGGTGGCGATCAGCACACCTTGATAGAATTTGGCCTACCGACATAGAGACATCATTGCATGGACCGGGAAAGTATGCTGAATACGCATATGGATGCGGGAGATCTCGCGGAGCGGGGCGATCAGGATTGCAGATGGTTGAATCATATCGGCCTTCCGGCCATGTAGGGTAAAGCCTGTATCCGTGGCTGAGCAGCCAAGGTGCGCTTATTCCCCACACGTTGGGCAAGCTTGGGAAGTCAATTTCCCAAAGCGGCTTCGATAACTCTCTCAACATAGACATGACATCAACCTGGCAGGCATATTAGTCAAGTTCAAACAAAGAAATGATGAAGGAGCACACATAAGGCAGTTCCATGATGACTTGCGCTGCGACAGAGTCGAACGATGGTGGAAGTTCGAGAAACAAGCTGGTTCAGCCGAAAGTCACGACCTGACCTTGCAGTCGGCAAATGCCGTATCGTTGGATTTTCAACTTTTCGTACTTCAAGCGGCAGCTGTCTATCCACGTTCAGCATTTTCAGTGAAATTGTCGACGCATTAATTTCTCAAGCTTGTGTTTTCTGCTTGCACTACCTCCAATTTGAGTTTTGCTGGATGTTTTTGAGTCAAATCCGCAGAGTTCGCCTCCTCTAGTGGCCGGGGTCTCTGTCGGTGAATACAGTGATTTGTCAAATAAAAACACTCTTGCCTCCTACAAACGCGCAGAAACCGTGCTTTCTCCGTTCAAGTCAACTCTACAGACATAGTTTCTACTACGGGGAATTATTTTTTCGTTCCAGTCACTGTGACCGGACCGTGAACGCGCGTACCCATACCGCCTTCGAGCGCGCCGCAATGGAGACAGTTTCTGTGCGTCCTTGAGTATACATGACTTTGCTGCTGCACTCAAGCATGCCCAACCATCCGCCCAACGTGAAGGATTTGCAACTGTTCCAGACTTCACCTGGGCCGACGCGGGGGCGCTGCATGCGACCCGCAGTGGGCTTCACATGGCCGTTGTGCAGCCCATCCGGAGGCCGGAATTGTTCAAGAAGGTGGGCATCGATGCGCCGTGTGGAGTCCTGCTATGGGGCCCTCCAGGATGCGGCAAAACCTTGCTTGCGAAAGCGGTAGCAAACGAGTCCAGAGCCAACTTTATCAGCGTGAAAGGTCCAGAACTGTTAAATAAGGTGCGAGGTCTATCGTACACGTTTTCTTCAATGATATTGATGACCTTGGCGAACAGTACGTTGGCGAAAGTGAGCGTGCTGTGAGACAGGTGTTCTCTCGAGCACGGGCATCGTCACCCTGTGTCATCTTTTTCGATGAACTTGACGCGTTGGTTCCAAGAAGAGACGAGAGCCTTGTGAGTTCACGTTCGCCCTCATTTTCTGCCTACCCCTCGTACTCACTTATTCTCTAGTCCGAATCTTCTGCACGCGTTGTGAACACCCTTTTGACTGAACTTGACGGGTTGGACTCCCGTAAAGGCGTTTTCGTCCTGGGCGCAACCAATCGCCCCGACATGATCGACCCAGCTATGTGCCGCCCAGGCCGCCTCGACAAACTGCTCTACATCGACCTCCCAACCGCAGATGAGCGAGTGGAGATCGTACGCACGATGATGCGTAAGCTGCCGTTGGGCCCTGACGGCGCGAAGGAGGCAGTTGAGACACTAGTGCGGGAGCGCGGGGACGGGTACAGTGGTGCCGACTTAGCTGCAGTTGTCAGGGAAGCGGGTGTATTGGCCCTGCGAAGAACTTTAGGGACTCTAGAGGAAATGGATTTTGGCTTGGGGGAAGAGGGCAGTGCCGGAGGGGAGGCTGTCCAGGTGGGTGTGCATGACTTCGATAAGGCACCATATGGCCATGATATCCTTTCTCAACAATTAGCTTATATTGCACTCTTTGGGACTTCACAGAATTTGAGATGCCTAAACCCTGTGATGTGTCATCTATTTTCGCATTTTTAGCATCTATCCATGGAAGAATGATGGTATATGATACATCATTCGAATGCTATGATACAGGGAAGTATCCCAATACCACTCATGAGCTGAAATCTAACAGATAGCATCAATGTCAATTAAAATCTTTGAAGTCCAACAAATGTATTTCTTGATTTTCCAGTACTGTGGGAATCTTACATACTCTGCCTTCCGGAAATGTGCTCCTAGTCAGCTTATTGATAGAGCACCTTATCTGCCCAGATCTGGCCATACGCAGATACATCCCCAGGGCTTCGTAGGAAATGACAACCAATCTGTGATCCAAGTGTAGAAACCAGGAGTGATATCAGAATTAAAACCAAGTGAACTCAGACTGAAGCTGACAAACTCCTGCTCAGCATTTAACCCGGCTGCGTTCTGAGATTATGCTGAGGTGGTGGAATCTCAGACTAATCCTGAAAACTGATGCGAGAATTTTGCTGAGATGCACCTGGCCATGATATAATCTTGCTAAATCAGCATGTTCAGACTCTGCGGTTTGCGCCTGCAAGAACTATCACAACCTTCTGTGATGTAGCACCTGCCCAATAGGCTGTGATTGTTGCATGTCTGTTATGATCATGTTCTATCGGGCCTACACGGCGGTCTATTCCGATACGATCATCACAAATATCATGCGGCCTCATAGGTTGAGGCGTACACCAAGGTACAGATATTAACCTTGGTCATCCACTCCCAATGGATCATCAATCATTGGTCGAGTATCACGGGCCTTTGTATTAGCGGGCATGGAACGCTGCCTTATAAATTACTCACACGCAGGGCATGAACCTCCTAGTCTTTCCTGGCCGGAAGGAGACCAACGGAGAAGCACAAGAGTAGTCGTTATTGAGAGAGACGACTTAGAGAATACCTACAGATACATATTCGGTATTCTCACGCCCTACTTCCCAAAGTAGTATAAAAGGCCCATAGAGTAGGCTGAGGTTCTTCAGTCTATTCTCTTCGTTCTGGTACTGTCTTCCTACAGTACCCTTCATTCGTTGTGGTCTTCCTACCACAGCACCCTCATCCACTGTAGTCTTCCTACTACAGTCTTCATTGCTATATCGCAATACACTTCTGGCTCCTGTGCTACACGTACAGTTGAGACCATCGTTCCACACATCCTCCACGAGTGACCTAGGGAAGAACCTCCTACTCTTGGGGTTACCGACGAGCAGTCGTAACACTAGAATAGACTCTTCTGCCCCTACCTTGCTCGCACTAGCTTGCTGCCACACCCTCTCTCACAACCTTGCTCAGTGGGGATATAGACCCCCATTGAGAAAGCGTTACTGCACACACTCTGGAGCAAGACCTAGGCCAGGAATACCCACCCGGCACTAGACGTATCAATAACCAACTCCGTCACAACAATCGCCCTATCCGGCGCGAAGGGGACTTCTGGGTCTACGAAGACAATAACGGAACTGCCCCTCCGAATTACGATAACTGCTCATACCAAAACGGGCGTTATTACTTCACCCTTGAAGACGGAACAGAAGAAAAGGATATTTGGAATGAAACAGAAGCTCAGTGGGAACTAGCCCCACAATACAGGGAACCGGCGCCGGTAATCCCCGAAGACTCGGAGCAAGAGGAAACACCCTCGGAATCAGACTCCGACTCACCAGACCAAACACCGATCAACACCCGAAACGAACCACTCGCCGAAATGTTGGGACAAGCTTCGACTTCTACAAACACCCCTTCCGCGACAGTACAACCCGGAAGAGGAAAAGTCAAACTCCCAGACAATTACACAGGCGACCGCATTGAATCCCAGAAATTCATGCTCCAATGCCTCCTTCTTTTCGCAGCAGAATCCGATCGGTACAAGACCGATCAAGACAAAATATCCCTTGTGCTCTCATGCATGAGATACGGCACGGCGGGAGCCTGGGAGGAGAACTTCCTCCTCAAATCAGTAGGAGCAGATCCACCTACCGATCTAGGCACCTGGAAGGACTTTTTAGCCAAGTTCAAATTACAGTTCAGGGAGACGGGCAAGACCGACAAGGCGTGAAGCGCACTTATGGCCTTCTCCCAAGGACGAATGACGGTTGATGAATACTCCAACCAGTTCATTCTCATTGCTGCCGATGCCGACATCTCCGATAAAGAGCAAGTCCCTTACTTCCAACGCGGGTTAGACCCGCGCGTCATGGACAAAATATACGACAAGGAAGTTCAACCAAAGGATACGATTCAGGACTGGATCAATACAGCCTGCGAAATAGATGGACGACTTCGAGCCAGAACAGCTCAAAAGGCCATCCTCGCCAACTCCACCTCCTTTCGAAGCGATTATCTGAATCGTTTTCATAACCAAATCTCTCCCCGCTACAATTCCACAAACGCCCCTCGCAGAATGAACAACCAGGTGGTTGACATGGACATTGACGCTACCAGAAAGCGTAACGCCGAAAGTCAAAAGAGAAAATTTGACGGCAAGCGAACCACCTCCTGTTCCAACTGCGGAAAACCAGGGCACTCTAGCGCTAACTGTTGGTCACCACGTAGAGGCGTTCGCCCAGTTCGAGGAAACTCGAAAAGACGCCTGGGTACGACAGGGAGAGGAAACCGCGCGGTTGATTTGGAGGGAGAAGACGACGCACCCGTTATGGGAAACCAAGCGGGAATATATCAAGGAATGGAGACAGAGGACATTCACCGCAACAACCAGCGGGTACCACAACCTGGTCCTTCGATGGAACGTCCTCACTCTACCCCATCCGGACGACCCCAGACGAACCATGGGCAGCGCACTATGCTACCTAACGGACGACGGGGAGACGGAGGCGTCAGTCATTCTGCTCGAATCGGAGCAGTACTCGGAGAATTAGGAGAAGATGAAGCCAGAGAAGTAATCTTGGGACACGCGGAGCGTTTTTCCTGACCTCTCCCTCACCAGCGAAGGAGAGAGGTCAAGGACAACCCGAGTTTGATGCCCACACTTGTATTCGTATCGGAGCAATGAACGACCGTATCAACACCCCCATACGCCTGAACGTGAAAGTATCAAACAGGAGTCAAAACGCTGGAGCCAAAGCAACCATCGACTCGGCCTGCGAAGGGGTTATAGTAAATGAAACTTGGGTCAAAAGACATCGTTTCCCCACCTATACACTCAACAACCCCATTCGCGTCCGGAACGTCAATGACACCATTAACAAAGCAGGTCTCATCCGATCCGCCTTGGATGTGAACCTCACCATTCGGGACATCAGTGGACGAATGCATACTGAGCGCGTCCAGATGTTTATCTCCAATCTAGGAAAAGACGACCTTATCCTGGGAACAGATTGGTTAAAATACCACGATCCCTCCATCGAATGGAGGCGACGTGAAGTGCACTTCGATCGGTGCCCCCAGAAATGCCAGCAACCATATGGGTTCACCAGAGCAAGGGAAGAACCGCCATACAGTAGGCGGTTATCAGACGTGGAGCCACGGCACAAACCACGCATCAATGAGCGCGAAAAACAGCGCCTAGAACATCTCCGAAGACTATCGGAAGATGTAGGACTCCGCGACCATAGCGGAACGTTTGGTGTCCAACTACGAGCATACCTCAAAAGGAAATGGCTCCTAAAGGACATAAGGAAATACGCAGAAGAGAAACGAAAGGCTCAAGACAAGCCATCTCTTTCACCAAACGAGGGAGAACCTGATCTCCTAGACAAACCCTCAGGAAAACAGGCTATAGAGGAACCAGTTATTCGGAAACTGGCTCCTGAACCGTCAGGATTTGCCAGCTTCGACCAGGACTTAGAGGACGAAATCGTCGTCACCAATCTAAAGGAAAGAGTCCCCAAGGCGCATCACGAATATTTGGACATCTTTAGCGAACGAAAGTCGCAGCGGCTCCCAGAGCACACTTACTGGGATCACGCCATAGATTTGAAACCGACTTTCAAACCTCAAGTGCCAAAAATCTACGCCTTGAGCCCCGAGAAACACGATGAACTAGGGAAATTCATCAAAGAACACCTCACTCGGGGGACCATCCGTCGATCCACCTCACAAACAGCAGCCCCATTTTTCTTCATAGGAAAGAAGGATGGAAAACTGCGCCCGGTACAGGACTACCGTCATTTAAACTCGTACACCATCCCAAATGTGTGCCCCCTTCCACTAATCCAAGAACTATTGGACGTAATCAAAGGGGCCACCATTTTCAGCAAATTGGACGTACGATGGGGATATAACAATATACGAATCAAAAAGGGCGACGAGTGGAAGGCCGCTTTCATCACTCCGCTGGGCTCTTATAAACCCACAGTAATGTTCTTCGGCCTCACCAACTCACCAGCCACCTTCCAGGCCATGATGAACATGATTTTCAGAGAACTCATCACAGCCCGGAAAATAACCGTATACATGGACGACATCCTCATTTTTTCCAAAAACATGGCGGAACACATTCAAGTCCTGAACCAGGTTTTCCAGATCTTACGCGACAACGACCTTTACTTGAAACCAGAAAAATACGAGTTTTATAAAGAAAAACTCCAATATCTGGGATACACCATTTCAAAAGACCATGTCGCTATGGAAGACTCAAAGGTGGACGCCATACAAGATTGGCCAGTCCCATGCACCGTCCAAGACATTCGCTCCTTTTTAGGTCTAGGAAACTTCTACAGGCATTTTATAGATAAGTTCTCCCTTATCGCACGACCTCTGCATGACCTCACCAAAAAGGATGCAAAATGGAACTGGACTTCGAAGTGCCAGGAAGCCTTTGAACGATTAAAAAGGGCATTTATCAGCAAACCCGTTCTGAATTACCCGGACCCCATGCATCCATATCGACTAGTAACGGACGCCTCACTAATCGCTTATGGAGCCACCCTCCTGCAAGAAGGAAAAGACGGCGACTGGCATCCAGTCGCATTCCTTTCCGGGTCATTTTCACCAGCAGAACGGAACTACGATGTCCACGATCGCGAACTCCTGGCCATCATAAAAGCGTTGGAACACTGGAACCACTACCTCGAAGGTGCACGACACCCATTCGAGATCTGGACAGATCACAAGAATCTGGAACACTTCCAAACGGCGCGAGATCTCTCACGATGACACGCCTGTTGGAGCCTTTATTTGAGCAGATTCGACTTCATGCTCAGCTATAAAGCGGGATCAACAAATCATTCCGATGCTCTGTCCAGGCGTCCAGATCTAAGTGAGGGGGTGGAATCTGACAACAAAGCTCAAATTTTGCTCCCGGCCAACCTTTTCAACAAATCTGACGAAACTTTGGTAGAACCGTCTCCGACACGGCACATAAAATCCACGGAAATCGCCTCTTCAAACCTCATTTCCCTCATCCAACACTCGAAATCAGAACATGACGCCTTAACAAGAGTAGCTCTTGCAAAACTCCTGCGAGTAGGTCCACAAGGGATGAGAGGATTACTGGGACATTGGACACACGAAAACGGAATTACCAGACGCAACGGCCACATATGCGTCCCCAAAGACGACGTCATCCGAAGACTCATCGTCAAAACACATCATGACGCACCCGCGGTAGGACACCCGGGTAGAGCAAAAACATTGGAAATGGTGCAACGACACTACTGGTGGCAAAACATGACTAAATTCGTCCACGAATATGTGGATGGATGTGCCATATGCCAGTCTACGAAGAATTTGACATACAAGACACACCCACCTATCTGCCCTCTGGAAACCACCAACGTTCCTTGGCGATTCATCTCGACAGATTTCGTCACGGACCTACCCGAAAGCAAAGGGTTCGACTCAATTAACGTGGTAGTGGATCAAGGTCTGTCAAAAGGCATAGTCATCACTCCATGCAAGAAAACGATCACGGCAGAAGAAACAACCGTGCTTTTCCAAAATAACGTTTTCAATCGACATGGACTGCCGACCAAAATAGTGTCCGATCGGGGCCCTCAATTTGCGGCCAAATTCACCTGAGAACTCTGGAAACGGCTAGGAATCACCGCCGCTCTCAGCACGGCGTATCATCCCCAAACAGATGGAGAGACGGAACGGGTAAACCAGGAGATCGAGCAATTCCTGAGAACGTTCTGCAACTACCATCAGGACAATTGGGTAGACCTTTTGCCGTTCGCCGAATTCTCACACAACACACGGAAACACTCGGCCACTGGGAAATCCCTTTTCGAAGTGCTATACGGTTTCAATCCCCCCTATTCAGCTGACACGGCGCTGGAGACAAAGGTACCTGCGGTAGCTGAACGCATTAGGACGATCACAGAAGTTCAGGAAGAAGCCGCTGCCAGCTTACAAATAGCCAGCAATTACGCCAAAGACCGGGATCTTCACAGGAAACTTCCCCAATGGGAGGAAGGAGACCAAGTATGGTTAGAAGGAACCCATATTCGGACAACCCATCCTAAGTTCAAGCTCGCCCCTAGGCGATATGGCCCCTTCAAGATACTGGGAAAAGTAGGAACCCTGGCGTACAAGCTCCAAATTCCTCCGCAGTGGAAAATCCACCCGGTGTTCCACGCCGCCATGCTCACTAAATATAGAGAAACCGAAGCCCACGGAGAGAACTTCGCGCGACCAATACCGGAGGTATTGAACGATGAAGAACATTACGAAGTAGAAATGATCGTGGATTCAAAACGGCAAGGACGAGGAACCAAATACTTGGTCAAGTGGATGGGATATCCCGAAGCAGACAACACCTGGGAGCCCTACGCTCTCCTAAAGGGAACAGCGGAAGAAGCCATGAAGGATTTCCATGACCAATACCCTGACAAGCCTCGTCCGGGAACAGCCTGAAGGGAAAGACAAGGTTATAAAAGGAGCAACAGGAGGACTCCAACAAAAACATCTTCTCACCGCCTTTCCCCTCTCAAGCACATCCCCCCATTCGAATGCTCCTCCACGACGACCACGATGCTTCGTCTCCATCCAGAAACTCCTCCCCCGATGTCGTCCTTATGGTCGCCAATCCAGATGTCGAACGAGTGGAAAGAGGAACAAGTCCTCACCGACCAGATGCTGGACGAATTGATAGAGGAACAAGTCCTCAACAACCAGGATCTACCGGCGTCCTCCTCACCCCTCATCTCAACAACTTCTCCGACGACGACGCCGAAGACTATGGCAAGTTCAAGGAAAGGGAAAGAACCCGAAGACCCTCACCGGAGAGGGCCTCACGAGATGCACCACGGCATGAAAACTCTGATGACCGAAACCAGTCGAGCCTTGGCCAATTACCAGTGGGAGTTCCACCTCCTAGTGAAGGCACGCCAAATAGTGGAGTTGCAGGTCCCTCGGGATTTCGAGCAAGAACGGCAGCTCAACTCCCAAGCCATGGAGAAGCTGAACCAATACCAGTTCTATCAGAAACTGCACCTCCGCCAATACCAACTAGTGGACCGATTCCCAGCTCCATGGGAGGACCTACCCCTCGTACAGATCCTCACGCCGGAGAACTGGAGCGACACGCGGACGCGCTCCTCCAGCGGAACACCATCTCCGCGGTAATACAAATGGCCACAGCCATGGCCCTCCAAAGACTCGCTAACTTCTCGGCAGGACAACCCGGGAATGAACATAGCGACGTACCTCGATGACTGGCTAGTGCCAGCCTCCAGATCAGAGCGCTCGCCCTCCAAACCGACCCGGACACAGCCTCCTGGTACGCCCACAATGACGGGCGACCCCGAGCCCTCCTCATCCACCCTGACGAGTTCTCCCAATACGTCAACCGAGAGCTCCTTCCAGCTCTCCTCTTCGGAGGAGAACTGGGAAACGTCCAGCCAAGCAGAACCGACCCTTTCCGAGTTGTCACTTGGAACGTACCACGTCCCGGAGAACATCCCACGCCTGTACCAAATCCAAGGAGGGTTCCGCGTACGGTCGTGGAGCGCCCTCCACCGAGACAACGAGAGGTTCCTACAGCGCATAGCCATACTGCGACTCCCCCCTCTCACCGGATACGAGGTCTTCCCCTATCCCAAGGAAATACCGACGAGGAGGAACCGCCCGTCTATCGAAGAAATGAGGGAAGGCGGAGTCGGGGAGACCAGGCAGCCCTCGGACGCGGAACAACTGTTGGCCGGAGTGTTCGACACCGGCCTAGATCGCCTCCTCCTAGTGCTCGACTTCGTACGAACGAAAGAGAGGATAACCGAAGTAGCCGCAGAACTCGCCGCATTGATTCGGAGGCTCGAAGAAATAGCTCTTGGACTAGATCCGAGCTCGACGCATGGGATGCTCTAGACGATCCAGGAAATTACGACGAGGCGGACCCCTATTACCGACCTGACGAAGGGGGCGGGGATTATCAAGGACCTTTCGATTATTAAACGAACTAATAACAGGGCACAAGGAGAAGAAAGGGGGTAAGGAAGTTGAGGAACTCCTTCCCCTGACAAAACCACATCCGAAACGATGTAAAACTACAATCGTCCACAACGACGTAAAACTAGGATCGTCCCTCAAGACGTTAAACTGTACGACCTTCGTCCGAAACAGACGTTAAACTACCCCGCGTCCGGAATGACGTCTAAACTATCGGACCTGCATGTCTTAAAACTGTGAAAAGATAAGAAGGCAGGGGAAGTACCTGACCATTTTAGTCCTAGGTTCAAATGATGGTACGAATCAAGGACAACTGCGGGCATAATTCCACGTACAGCCTACGGCGGAACCTTTCACATCCTCGCTGTCAAGGAGTCAATCTGACAGATGCATCGAGCGTCCCATTTGGATCCTCAGTTTTACAGGGTTTTTTCCGCATTAGGGAACCCTCTACATGACATATACTCTACTCGTAGGTGTCGACAAGCAGGCCCTTCGCCTTGGTACAGCGAAGTGCCCATACATAACCGGTTGCAAGTCCGAGTCAAGAAATTATGACGCATAACTCGTATCGTGAACCCTCACAGTCAAGGTCTGACTGGTGTTTTGGGACGTCCCACTTTGGATCTCCCGTTTTACAGGATCGTTTCCGCATTAGGGGATCCTACAGCTGGCGCATGAGATGATGTAGAGAGCGGGCCGCCTCTACCTCACAAGTCTTCCTAATGATGCGAGGCCACAAAACCACATCCGGAACGATGTAAAACTACCAAAGGCTTGGTCCGCAATGACTATAAACTACTAGGGTCCGCAATGACGTTAAACTAGTCATCGTCCGAAATGACGGAAAACTATCACCGTCCGAGATGACGTTAAACTACCATTGACCCAAAGGAGCGTGGTTGCATTCTGGCGAAGCGCGGAAGGACTCGCGTCACAGAACCCTGCCTATAAAAGGTCGAAGCGCTTCCGATATTCACTCGCTTTTCAGTAAAAGAATATCGGGTCGTCTTGGTTCAAATCCAAGCGAGGGGTCTGGGGACATGGAAGAGCAAGCATCTCTTCATGGAGCGCTCAGTCTAGTCCTGGAGTCGAAGTACAAGAAATTCCGCTCCAAGACCTAGTCAGGAGGCAACTAGGACACGTGCCTCGAGTTGAAGATCTAGTAGGAAGGGACTAGATCATGCGACTCTCGTCTGGCCCACATAGCGGAAGAACGACAAGAGCGGGCCACTTATCCGAAGTCTATTCCGCCCAATCGTCCGCAACGACGTAAAACTAGGTCTCGTCCGCAACGACGTAAAACTAGGTCTCGTCCGCAACGACGATAAACTACAAAGCGTCCGGGATGACGTTAAACTAAGCATTGTTTTTCCACAATATTTGTGGCGAAACAACGTCCGCAAAGACGTTAAACTATTGTCCCTTTCCACATAGGGATTGTTCGAGGCCAATGGCATCGACGTCCGCAATGACGGTAAACTACGGGCATCCGAAACGATGTAAAACTACCGTCCCTTCAAGCATAGGGATCGTGCGTGGCGATCTTGACAAGATACCATGCGTCCGAGACGACGTTAAACTAGTGCCCCTGAACCTAGGGGTTGTCATTGACGTCCAATCCCCTGGACACCAATGCGTCCGCAATGACGTTAAAACTACTTGCTTCCGATCGCATGGGAGTTGTGATTCATCACTCTGGTGCTGAATCGTCCGCAATGACACAAAACTATTTGCTCCTTACCGTATAGGAGTTGTGGATTGACCGCCATGGTGTCAATCGGTCCGCAATGACATTAAACTACGGACCGTCCGAGACGACGTTAAACTATCCGTCCCTTCTAGTACAGGGATCATCGGTCGACACCATTCTTGACGAGAATGTGTCGACAATGTCCGAAATGACATTAAACTACCCTCATCCTCGGAGGAAAAGCCTATCGTGACTCGAGGGACACAGTCAGACGATGGCCCGCCTATCGCACGGCGTTAAACTGCAAGCTCGCCTAATGCACGGCGTTAAACTGCAGGTCCGCCTACCTCACGGCGTTAAACTGAGCGGTCTCATAACCTTGAGGCGTTACAAGTTATCCGGTTTGATATAGTATAAACCGTCCATCATGCCTCAGTGGAATCTGGAGCGGGTAAAGTCTGGTCTATGGCCCTATGCACATAACCGATGAATGGTCCGGCGTGCAGAAACATCTTTCCCCACAGATATTCCATGTTGATGATGAAGCACATCCGAGACGATGTAAAACTACTGACGTCCGCAAAGACGTTAAACTACGGATCGTCCGAAATGACGATAAACTACGGACCGTCCCGCATGACGTTTTAAACTGCCAGTCGTGGATATATCTCGCACCCGCTCCTTATTCCTCGCTGCACCTTTCAAGTCTAATTCTCTTCACATCCTTGCCTCGAACCCAACACTACACGTGGTATTCCCCACCATAGGCCCACGTTTGTGAAAAACAAACTCTGGACGCCGTAAACTGCCTCACCGGAGATGAGTCCACCGTATGGGGACAATACTGCTTGGGATTTGGCTGCAACCTCACCGGAGATGAGCTCACCGTATGGGAGCGATACTGCTTGGGGCGTCATGACTGGTAGCCTGGAGAAGTAGGCCTAAGCCTTCGTAAAGCGATCAACCTACTTGTCCATGGGCGCCATCCACTGTCGTCAAGAGGAACAACAAATCATGAGGATAGATGACTATCCTGGAAACACTGAGGTTTGGCCCTCGTAGAAGGAAGAAGAAGAACCTGATGACACGAATCGGAACCCACATGCTAGAATTTCTACACATCCACACACCACTCGCATTCATACGCCTTTCTTGATGCTGTTCCAGAAGCGGGCTGGAAGTAAGACCGCGATGCGGTTTACCCGCGGCAAAATCAATCCCACGGGTGAAGGAAGAACATCCTAGAGAGCGGAGGCTTGGATACCCTCACGACTCGACAAACAAACAGCTCAACGGAGATGGAAAACTCCTAGAGGATCAAACGACGTAAGTCGGTCTTCCTCCCAGAAAACGAAGTCATGTCTCGGAAGTCGCATCTGGAGACCATCGTTGGATCAAGAAAGCAAATCGTATATGGAGTGGCGATGACACGCAAGGCGTGGTCCTACCAGGCGAATAGGACGTAGAAAGGGGGTATTGTTATGATCACGTTCTATCGGGCCTACACGGCGGTCTATTCCGATACGATCATCACAAATATCATGCGGCCTCACAGGTTGAGGCGTACACCAAGGTACAGATATTAACCTTGGTCATCCACTCCCAATGGATCATCAATCATTGGTCGAGTATCACGGGCCTTTGTATTAGCGGGCATGGAACGCCGCCTTATAAATTACTCACACGCAGGGCATGAACCTCCTAGTCTTTCCTGGCCGGAAGGAGACCAACGGAGAAGCACAAGAGTAGTCGTTATTGAGAGAGACGACTTAGAGAATACCTACAGATACATATTCGGTATTCTCACGCCCTACTTCCCAAAGTAGTATAAAAGGCCCATAGAGTAGGCTGAGGTTCTTCAGTCTATTCTCTTCGTTCTGGTACTGTCTTCCTACAGTACCCTTCATTCGTTGTGGTCTTCCTACCACAGCACCCTCATCCACTGTAGTCTTCCTACTACAGTCTTCATTGCTATATCGCAATACACTTCTGGCTCCTGTGCTACACGTACAGTTGAGACCATCGTTCCACACATCCTCCACGAGTGACCTAGGGAAGAACCTCCTACTCTTGGGGTTACCGACGAGCAGTCGTAACAATGTCGAGGAGCATTCAAGAGGTGCTGCAAGACCTAGCTGCGGTGTCATGCCCCATGCTGTGGCTGCCTCTCCTGGTGCAGGGCCTTCAAGTATATTAAATACAATCATATAGAATACCATTCCTATACACTTTCCTGCTGCAGTATTGTGAAGGAATGCTCTCAAGAATGCCAGTATTTCAGTGGTCCATAAGAGGAGGGCAATGTGACGAGTGTGACAAAAGGTGACGGTGCCTCGCAGGCGCCGTCAGCGCGTCAGCCCTTGTCTTTTTCCTTACGCATCTCCTGCCCTATGCGATTTGTCTGCATGTGTCTAGGCTCTAACACCCAATACCAATACCTCTGGACTGCCAATGTGGACTGGTACTTGGCTTGAGCTGAATCTTGGGGCTTGCTATGGACACAATCTAAAAAGTTCTCAGCTGCTGGGATCTGACTGATGGCTCTGGATTGCTATGCTTGCAGCTTGGTGACTTGGGGTGTTCTGTCTGTGTGTCAACCTTGGGCTTTTGCAAGATCCACAAGGAGTGTGAAAGGTGGGCTATACCATCTCACATTTTGTTTCACAGGTGTTGCCATGCATAGGGTTAGGAGTGATTGTGACTTGGGAGGCAGACCAGGTTTTATAGCATGTCGGTGAGTGGTGTTTCTTATCCTTGCACCCAGCAAAGTCTCTGGACTGATGAGCAGTCCACTAGTACTGTTATATAGGTATTACTGATAGGGTTGTATGAGAACATCTATCGGTGCCGTCCTTGCTCGGTAAGTAAATTTTGCGCATATAGTAATTGGTGGTGCAATGCTAATTGTGGAAGATTGGTGGAGACTATGAGTTCTGGGATTCTGTAAGTCAGGAAGGTCAGGGTGGTCGACGATGCCAGCAAGGAGGTCCTCATATAGTATCACAACAATATCTGTCGATAGAGAAATATAATTTTATAGGCAATTTTTATCACATGATTAAATTAAATGATATTAATAAGAGGATATAACCCGATTGGGATTTATCTATGACAAGGGCCTAGATGGGCTGGTTTGACTCTGAGATGGCGAAGCTGAAATGATGCTGATCAATCTCAGAATAATGCTAAGGTAGTGCGATATGGAATGATTTCAGAACCGATAGTTTGTTGTGGTATCAGCATTTGCCGGGTATCTTGCTGTGGATCTCAAACTCAGCTTTTTCCTGAGTAATCCCCTAGGGGTGTATCTAG